TTACAGCTGCGGGCATGGGTGCGATCGATTTCCATCGGGACCGGTTCGTTGGCAGCCGGCCGGGTCGGAGCGGGTGTGGGCGCCGCTGGTACTTCCTGAGGGCGGAATTGGGGGGGAGGCCGTGGAGTCGAATGCGCATAGGATATCTTACGCAGCTGGTCGCGCAAGGCATTGGCCTCGATGTTAACACACGAGTTCTTGAAGGCGCCGTATGCCTTGGGCAGGGGAACGCCGGTGTTGTAGAGGCGGCTTGCAATCTCGCTGCTGAGCCCCTGCTCAAGAAACTCGATGAGGATATTGTCCTGATCCCCCTTCTTGTATTCGCCCTGGTCATTGGTGGTGGTGACCACGTTGTATCCGGCGTCCGCAGCCAGCATTTCAAAGTCGGAGATGTAGTCTGCAAAGGACCGCCTGCCCTGACGAAGGGCCATGAGTCGGGCAGCAGCGACTTGTTCTGCATTAGAGTCTCCAAAGGCCCTCTGGAGCTTCTTCAGAAAGGTTGTCACGGTGACTCCCGCCTTCATTCCTTGGAAACCCTCGAAATTGTGCTGCTTCCAGTTCATCGCCCATCTCAAGGTGGCGCAGCTTGTGCTGGCCTCATTACGGAGGTAGGAGAGGACGAAGAGGATTTTTGTCTCGTCCAGCGAGAACTCTGATCGATAGGCACTGATGTAAGTGGTGCACGCGTCCACAAAGCCCAGGTACTTGGATTTGTCGCCATCAAAGTAGGGAGGATTGGCGGCGAGGGTGATGCAGTGATGTCCTGACATGGTAGGAGCAGGCGTGGTAGGTGGAGGTGGTTGTTCGGAGGGTAACTCGTCGAGGTCCGGCATCTCGTCTTCAGGCGGTGGGAGGGCGAGGTAGGGATTAGAGGTCCCGGGTTGATTTTGGTGCGCCAGATCGGGCGACGATGGTACGATGGGGGGAGGGGACAGGCTCCCAGACAACAATGGGAATCGGAACAAAATGGTGGATTTGTGTGCTGTACAAGCACTCAAGGAAAGGTTCTTTTGCTAGCAAAAAGATCCCAGGCCTAGCTCTTTACGTGCCCAATGATCCTGAGGTGCGTTTTCCCAAAGGTCTCCGCAGCACTCCTTGTAGCTACCGTAAGGCTTGAGTCGGGCTCAACGTTACCCGTGGCCTGGTGCTGTTTGCTTGATATGAACCCTTCACTGCGATCACAGGGAACGACTAGATGATTCGGTAAAAAGGTGAGTTGGTTGATAAGGGTTAAGAGGATATAGCGGGCGTAGCAGTGAGGGATGCAGTGGTAAGAGATATGAGGTAAGAGGGTAGGAGGGGAGTCTTCGAATTATGTGACAATCAACCAAAATAATAGTCGAAAAGAGAAGTGAATTCGAAGACTGGAGAATACAACCAAGTAGCTACAGTATTTATACCCAAATCCAGTCTGAGTCATATCTACAACTAATTAGTCATAGGGCTATGTACCGCATGGAACGCTGGTCATGGGTTGTAGTAGAACCTTCCGGAGCATATGTTGCACAGCCTTGAATCGATAAAGATGACCCCTGTCCCCCTAGCCTGGACCGTCAGATGCCGTGATCTGCGATAAGATAATCCGTGTTGAGATAAGATGAGATTGTCGAGGATAAGATGAAAAAGAGTCGAATTATGACACCCTAGCCTCCTGCAGCTCCCATCTAAGTTTTCTGTGTTCAACAGGATATGGACTCAGTTGACTTGGACATAGGCGCACCAGATCTGGAGGAAGGGAATCAATCCTATTGGTGGACTTTGGAAAGGAAGTGGACCTATAGCTGAAGGAAATGCTGGCGCAGAAATTTGCAGAAGAAGCAAAAAAGAAGAAGGAGAGAATGACCAAGGGGAGGATTCCAGATTAATACTGGGAATTTGTCAAAGTGTTTGCCAAAGAATTGTTCGACTCACTACCAAACCGATGTTGGAGTTGGGAATCCCTGTTGAAGTGTGGAAAGGATGTCTTGCTTGGTTCAGACAAAAGAGTGTTACTTAGCTATGTGACCATCAGTACATAGCCCTAGATCACTGTGACCTACTGGGCTTTTTGCCTCTCATCTGTGCCCCTAGCCTCCTGCGGCTCCCATCTGTGTTTTCTGTGTTCAACAATCCCAGCACCAAGGCAGAATAGCTCAGTGGTTAGAGCACTGGACGATCCAAGTCAGAGGTCCCAGGTTCAATTCCTGGTTCAGCCATTTTATCAACAAGAAGTTGAACAAGATGACCATCCAAAATCAATACACGTTGCTGCTTATCTCCAAACTGGTCCATAATCTATGCGGTGCCAAGTTCTTCACGAAGTTAGATATCTGGTGGGGTTACAACAACGTACAGATCAAGGAGGGTGACAAGTGAAAGACCATGTTCCATACAAACCGTGGACTGTACAAGCCCTTGGTTATGTTCTTTGGTCTTACAAATTCCCTGGCAACCTTCCAAAACATGATGAACAACATACTGCAGGAGCTGATCAACAAGGGTCACGTTTATCTTGACAATATATTGATCTTCACAGAAAACTTGGACAAACATTATTGGATCACAAAATGAGTGCTCAAATTGTTGGTAAAATGGCTGAACCAGGAATTGAACCTGGGACCTCTGATAAGTGCAACCAGTGCTCTAACCAGCTGAGCTATGTGGTGCTTGGGGCCCATACTCCAACACAAATTGCTCCAAAGACACAAGTTGTACCTGAAACCCAAAAAGTGCAAGTTTGAATGCTAGGAAATTGAATATTTGGGTGTAATTATTGGGCACAACTCAATGCAGATAGACCCAGTCAAGATCAAGGGTGTAATGGAATAGCCTGAACCAAAGAGCATCAAACAAGTCCAAGCATTCCTGGGATTCACCAACTTCTATCAGTGCTTTGTTTGGGGATATGCGGAGATGGCAAAGCCGTTAATGCGGCTGACAGGCAAGGCAGGATGGTTATGCGGAACAGATGAGCATGCAGCATTTGAGGGGTTGAAGAAGAGAATCACGGAGGATGCAGTCTTAGCACTGCCAAATAACACTGGTCAATATTGTCTGGAAGCCGATGCTTTGGAAGGGGCAACAGGATCCGTTTTGAGCCAAAACCAAGACAGCATTTGGCACCTAATTGCATTTATTTCACATGCATTGACCAAAACCAGGCAAAATTACAAGATCTATGACAAGGAAATGCTTGCAATCATGCTATCATTGGACAAATGGAGGCAGCTACTACTGGGAGCCACGAAAACGTTCGAGATCTTCACTGATCATCAAAATCTCGAGTATTTCCAGAAGCCACAAAAGCTTAACCAACGGCAAGCATGATGGATCACAGAATTGGCAGAATTTGATTTCATCTTACAACACCGGCCTGGCGCACTCAACTGCAAGGCAGATCTCTTATCACAATGAGCAGATCACGATCAGGGCAAGAACGACAACAAGGACGTCACACTACTGAAGCCCAAGTTCTTTCGATCACAAGAAGTCACATTTGAAGGGCAAGATCAGCAGCTGATTGATGAGATCAAGGCCATTTGATCAATTGATGGAAGTATCAAGGCGGCCTTAGAGAAGTCACTCGTTAGATGGAAAAAGGAAGATGGGCTCATCACGTATTTGTTGATGTGTGGATTTTGTGTGTGCTTGGTTCGGACAAAGGATGTGACATTACTCCGGGACGTGTAGTATATGGCATCAGATCAATGTGACCTACTGGGCTTTTTGCCTCCCATCTGTGCCCCTAGCCTCCTGCGGCTCCCATCTGAGTTTTCTGTGTTCAACAGTATTACAGCAAGCTCTATGTACCGAGGGACAAGGAGTTGCAGGACAAAATCATTGGGCTACACCACAACACGCCTTTGGTCGGACGCGCAGGGATCAACCAAACACAGGAGATGGTGGAAAGGAATTGCTGGTGGCCAAGGATGGGGAACCAAATTTGGAAATACATCTAGACGTGCAAGGCATGCCAAAGGACCAAGACCAGGAGAGCAAGGACGGGGACTCTGCACCTGCATGCAGTTCCAAGTGCGCCATGGGAAATCATCTCCATGGATCAAATCAGACCCTTGCTGGTCAGTAATGGGTATGACGCAATTCATGTGTGGTGTGACACCTTCACCAAAATGATCTATGTCAAACCAATCAGTACTGACATCAGCAGTGAAGGAGTAGCACGATTAACCAGGAACCAAGTCTTCCGCTATCACGGGATCCCTTGCAAGATTTTCACCGACAGGGACTCACGTTACATTAAGGGCTTCATGAAGGAAACGAATTGCATGTTGAGAGTGGAGATGAATCCTAGGACCACATATCTGTTGGTAAAATGGCTGAACTAGGAATTGAACCTGGGACCTCTGATAAGTGCAACTAGTGCTCTAACCAACTGAGCTATTCTGTTAATAGTGCTTGGGGCCCATACTCCAACAATATCACCTAATCACAAATGGGCAAATAGAGCGTATGAACCAAGAAATTGAGCACTATCTCTGGATCTATGTTAATTACCATCAGACAGACTGGTCGGAGTGGCTGGAAATGGCAGAGTTTGCATGTAATGATAAAATGAACACGTCTACCAAAGTATCACCATTCTATGCAAATCATGGATATCACCTATGAAAGGAAGTGGAGCAGCGAATGGAATTGAGGAATGAGTTGGCAGAGGAGTTTGTAAAAAGAGTCAAAGAAATACAAGATGAAGCAAAAGCAGCATTAGAAAAAGCAAATGAAAAAATGAAAAAATACTACGATAATCAAAGAAAAGAAGTTCCGGAGTTGAAGGTTGGGATGAAGGTGTATATGGAAGGGGACAATATCAAGACGCATAGACCATCGAAGAAGATGAGCAACAAGAGACTGGGACCATACAAGATACTGGAGAAGGTTGGAGCAGCTGCATGGAAGCTGGATCTGCCGGATATGGACCAAAGACACCCAGTGTTCAACAAGTCACTGTTGACACCCTATCACAAACCACCCCCTATTGCCAAGAGAAGAGACCTGTAGCCAAGATGATCAGAGGAGCAGAAGAATGGGAAGTTGAAGAAATTGTGAAGGAACAAAAAGTCGACCGAGGGAAGCAGTACTTGATCAAATGGACGGGATGGCTGCATAGCGAGAACACCTGGGAACCATCGCAACATCTTACCCATGCAAAGAAGGTCCTGAGAGATTGGCAGAGGAAACAATCCAACCCAGACACACACATTTGCCTCCTGCCAACGCTTGAAGCTGGACATTGGGACTATCTTATCCATTGCTACAAACCCAAAGACGAGCACCTCTCATATCCCCAACAACAACTCTTTGACCCTTACAAAAACGTCTTCACACCCATTGGCCCAGTTGATGAGGACATCGACCCTAGAGAGGGGGTAATGTCATAATTTGGTCCTTTTTCATCTTATCATTGATGATCTTATCTTATCTTGGCACAGATTATCTTATCGCGGATCACAGCATCTGACGGTCCGGGCTAGGGGTCTGGGGATTATCTTTATTGATCCAAGGCTGCGCGGCATATGCTCCGGAAGGTTCTACTACAACCCATGACTAGTGCTCTATGCGGTACATAGCCTTATAACTCATTAGCGGTAGATATGACTCAGACTGGATTTGGGTATAAATACTGTAGCTACTTGGTTGTATTCTCCAGTCTTCGAATTCACTTCTCTTTTTGACATTATTTCTTGTTGATTGTCACACTACCACTACTACCACTACATCCTCAACTACTATGTACATCCAAATTTGCAATCTGAATATCTAGCTGTGAGAATGTGCGGCAGATGAGCATCAGATGATCAGCTGACAATCAGCAACAGATATAAACAGGATTGATATCGATGATGTAAAGTTATCCTTTTTTGGGACCTTTATATCAGTGAAATCTTTGCAGCTCATTTCAGTCTTTATTTGAGGAAAATCAAGCACAATAACAAGCTTACTGATTTTACATGTATAGAGCACCATATCTAACCTGTTTATATATTTTAAAAAAAGGTACATCATGTTGAGACTTTATATCTGTCTGATAAATTTACTTTCCACAAAAGTCAATTTCAGTTGTTTAGAGGTCAATATAGAGGATGTTTATTTTGTCAGAATGAAGTCCCATATTCACTTCGATTATTTTGAACTTTATATTTGCAATATAAAGTTAAGATAAATCAGCTTTTTAAGTAGGATCCCAGGGTGTGAGTATCGCGCCCAATATCCCAACTATAAATGAAGCTTTATGGCTCCTGTTATTCGGCATCTGCCGGAGTGTCACATCCCCTAAAAACCCTTTACCTAAAGGTACCGGGAATTTTCGCGAGTCTCAAGGTTTTCGGGAGCCGCTGTAAGTGGAGCATTCTGTTCACACCGTGAAGCTAAAAAAACCAGGCTGAAATGATGAAACTCCAATCACTTGTTAGATTTCTTACTTTCCACAAAACCAAGGGGTTGGCTGACGGCAAGCGCTTATTCAGTGCATAAAAATTATGATAGATGCAATATGAATATGCGAGCAAATTAAGAAACTAGAAGATGGCGCGCACCAGTCCACCGCCGATAGCAGCACCTACGGAAAGCCAGCATGAGAATTGATCTCCTGAAGAATCTTGGGTACCTACCGGCTCCGAACCCCACACCTCCAGCAGCCGAATGTGCCATCTTAGATCTCTTTGAATGATGACTCGGGAACTCGGGGAGAAACGACGCACTGTATTTCCGTACTTGCCGAACTTGCTCTTCTTCTTTTCCTGCTCGGGATCATCCTGCAGACCCAATGAGTTTGTGGTTGGACCAGGTACTGGAGCCGTCGGTTGAACTGGAGGTGGGACATCTCGGCCATGGTGGGCAGCTCCAAATGGGCGATAAGGTTTGGAGCTTGGCGCGCGAGTAGCCGGAGGAGGTGTTGTGCCCGCAATCTTTTCGACATAAGCAGAGGGGAACAAGGCTTGCCGGCCATTGAAACGGCCCATCCACCAATCGCCGTTCTCCTCCTTGACGATTTCAATGATGTCTCCCGCAGAAAAAGAGAGGTCGTCCGGATCCTGCACGAGTGTGACATGAGCAGATGGGTCAAGTTGTGTATAATGCCATACGGACAGCTCCGGTTTCATTGTAGGCCCACAACGCGCGAGCTTGTAGAACCCCAGCCACAGGGGAAGAAATCAAGGAGCTGGAGATGGGTACGGAGGATTTGAAAGAGTTTGGAGGAGACACGGAAGACCGCGGTGCGTCCGGGAGCTTGGAAAGGAAGGCGGAGGCATCGACTTGGGAGATATACTTCTGAGAAACAAGGAATTGGATATTGCTGAATTCTAATAAGACATTGAGAGGATGGCTTAACATGGGAGACCGACCTCTCTACTTGAGAGACGACGTGGGCAAGCAGAGCGGCTTCAGACATGGTAGTGACTGGCCAAGTGTTTCAATGACCGGGACTGAGTGCACTGCCCTTTGATGTAGTGATGGCGCGTTCGAGATGTGTTCAGTGACCAAGTTACGGCTTTCCTTGATTGTCTGTCTACTCGACTTTATAATCACAAACTCTGTCCAAGAGAAAACGCAGATCGACTGCCCCCAGGAGCCTTTCACGCATCCCCCCATCGAACATATTCCAGACGACATCCCTAAAGAGGGCGTAGTCGTCCACCAACCGATCCTTCACGTGCTGCAATAAAACGCCGACAGTTCGGTCATCTTCGAGATACAGATTCAATCGTGCAGCAGCACTGCGTAGATCGCGTTCACAGGCAATGCGGAAATTATGCTCTAGTTCTTCCGCACTAGATTGCTGGAAGACCGTTTGAGCCGTCGACGATGGCTCTGAATTGTCGGGACGGAGAGCGGCAATTCGTGCGTTCAAGGCTCCGATTTTCGCCACCCATGCGACAATGGGAGAGGAGATCGGCGCAGAACATTCAGCGATAACTTCTTCGCAGACGCGTTTGAGATCGTGGTCAATGCCCTGACCGATTCATCAGCCGATATCATTCATATCCATATGAAGATGATCTCACATGCTTGGCGACTTGAATACCTTCCTCGGTCCTCGGCATTCCAAGTGATGCGAAAAGCGCGCCGGGAAACAGCGATGTCGTGGTGTTCAGCATCGAAGCCAAGGTGTCTGCATAAGTCAGCCATATAGGAAATGGCAAAGCGTTATCATCTCACCAGTAACACCGTACTGAAACTCGCTTGCATCTCGATGAGCAAGCTCGAGATGATCGGTCACCTCTTTCAAGATGAGAAGATGACGTGCGAGGAAAAGCTGGCCATCTAAAACGCTGGTAGACGAGCCTGTCCGCTGTTTTATCATGTCCGATGCAAGGATGAGTGACTGGCGACACAAAGTCACCGCTTCTTGGGCGATGTCCGCAAAGATCGCAGGCTGGAAATCATCGATACAGAGACAAAAAGAAGATACTATACACACATTTACAAACTCATGCAACTGTGACAGGACCCAGACGGTCTTTTGTAACGTGGGAAACCACGTCTCCTGTTTGTCGATTGTAGGAAGCCGAAACAGCTGACTGAAGCTTTCTTTCTCTCTGGCAGTAAGGACTTGCTGACCCCCGTGTGAATCGACACTAGCTGAAGAACTTGGAGGAACCCGAGAGTCCGCAGTATACCACTTACAAGCAAGTCTATCTGGGTAAGCCAGATCTTCCGGTTTAGGGGCATAGGACCGGATATCTGACTGGATAACCGATTGAGCCTTGAAAAAAAGCCTAGTCTGCGCATCCTGTAATATCATCTCGAGTAAATGACTGATATGCAAAGTGCCCAGGCTGTGTTTCTTTTGATCCAAGTCCACAGACAGAGCAGGTTCGCCATCATCCTCAGGTATTGATGCCACATCGAGCACCATGAGGGCTTGAAGAACAGTGCAGACTTCGCAAAGAGCTGTCAGCCGTGGTTCATGGAGAATCCGAGGCCGCAGGTCATCGTAAAGATAGTCGCAGAGATTCTCCAGATATTGGCTGTGCGATGTCAATACTTACACGCAACAAAGGCAAAAGCACGCACTAGAGCTGTTCTTCGCCTGTAGTGAAGAACGATTGGTATAACTTGAATTCGTCCATGCACAGCTGCTTTAGATAGCTACAGCCGGCCCTTGTCTGAATCTGTGCTCAAGATCTTGCACTGAGTGGGAGAAGGAATACACACCAACTCCACTAACTCTGTCCGACCAGGATCTAATCCCCTGATTTCCTCCATCAGCCGACCGACCAACAGCGTTTTTCTTGTCGAAAAATAGGCCGTGTGACATTCCGCCAATAATGCGGATAGTTCCACTGGATGCGTCTGGGCTCGTCTTTCTAACTCACCTAACAGCGGAGCTAGCTGAGACGATACACTCTGAAATCTAGTGTAAAGAAGATGCATCTGAGCTGTACTTGATACGTCCTGCGTGAGTTTCAGTTCGCGCATCGATACTGTGAGATGCATGTGGTCCACTGGCCTTCTCTGACAGCTTTTTCAAGATATCAGCCGAAAGCGCCTTCAAGGAGCCCACAAAATACATTCGGATAAGAGTCATCGCGCGGGTCATGCATTGTTGAAAACGCAGCAGATAGACTTCCGCCTCTCGAAAGTATCGCTAATCCCCAGTCAGCTCCTTGAAAAGAGGCGCGAAAGGACCCTCACGTGTGCTTTGAGGTAGTCGATGCATATGTCCACCCGTTCCACCATGTACAGAAAGTTCGCCTGCAGCACAAGAGATTCTCCCGGGCGATTCAGCATCCGCATCGCCTGCTCTAATTCCTGGAAATAGTCCAACCGTGCGCCGATCTCCTCCGTGAGATCTATCAGACGGGCCTGTTTCCACGAAATCATGACCACCTTCGACGAAGTAGCATAGGACATACCCTTTCTTCTAACAAACGTTCACATGCTTCCTTCAGGCTTCTTCCACCCTCCTCAACACTTCTCCAGCCCTCAAGCATGCCCTCAACTTGTCCATCCACCTCACCGATCCGCTCCACCAACGCATCGCATGCATCCAAGTGCGCTGACACGCCCGCGACGTGGGCACGAAAATGAGCTTCCTGACTATGCGCCACAGAGCGATCCAACAGCGTGAACCAATCATAGAATTGTTCCGGCGTTATAATGGGTTGTTTAGGATGAAGGTTATGCGTCGCCGCAGGGCGCAGGCTCTGCGCAGATATATTTCCGGACCCAGAAGCAGGGGTACTTGGTCGTGATGGGGTTGAGCTAATCCCACTGGGTCCAAGACGGGAGGAGTCATGACGCGCATGAGCGCGACCCAAGGGCGTGGTTGGACGCGAAGAGGAAGAAAGCTCATTCCCATCGAACTGTATGTCGGCACATTAGTGCAATCATTTCCGTTTTGCATGCATGACGAACCTTGTGCGGCAGAGGAGGCTTTTCGCAAGCCGCCTTCATGACACCAGCACTGTTAACTTCACGATTGCTGAGCGGAGCTTTGGCTTCCCATTGTTCAACGTTGAGCGTAGGTTTCAGAGAAGGAGAATTTACGGCCGTATGAAAGGTCCCTTTCTTTACGGCTGGTCGGACAGACATGCATATAGCGTTTCTGGATAACGATGTTTCGGCTGGCTCCGAAGTAGCACTGCCTCCAGGCCAGTCACGGACGCGTTGTTGCCATACTGTTGTGCGTGACTTCGCGCAGACTCGCGACACCCATGGCCTTCGTGCCTTTGAGCCGGCCCTCGAAAGCTCAATCGAAATTCGACCATACTCCGATTCACCCTGAAGCTGAAGGGTTCAACGTACGGCTCATCTCCGCTTCCGCTCATCATCGGACTTATTTTGACAGTATCCCACTTTCCGTCTGCTCAACAAACAAAGTCGTGTTACTCTTTCTGCAGATTATCTCCTCCCTTCGATCTCCAGAAAAGTATTTGCGGTCTCAAACTCCCAAGGGGGATGGTTTGCCGCTGCCACATCCCATGGCAAGTTCTCTCTCTGCCCAGATATCTCTTATTGCTCAACGAAACAGGCCTCATCCTCTCTCCGCTCAGCCAACTCCGCGAATCCGTCAAGCTGGGAAGTGAAAACGTTTTTGTTCCCAAAATCACATTACCATGCGCTGCTATAAGTATCGCCTTTGGCTGCGCCGATTCTCGACTTTTTGCTGGAACTGAGCAAGGCCGAATCCTCGTATTCGACACCACCCATCTCTTTACATCTTCCACACCGGTTGATCCAATACACGTCTTGGACACTTCTACCAGTCCTCCTCTCCAAATCTTGCCCAACCCCAGCGGTGACCATGACCTGTCTCAGCTGTTAGCTATCGTCAGAGCGGACGGAACCGCGCAAGTCCTGAGTGCGCAGATGGAGCATCGAGCTGGATGGATGGGCTCGAATGCGGAAGACAGTCCTGTTGTTGGTATGTGAAGATCGCGAGGGTCATTTATTTCTCTCTAATCGCTGGCGCTGGAAAATGTAGCTGCATGGTCTCCCAAAGGCAAACAAATTGCTCTAGGGTTGAGGGCGGGTGACATCATGACCTTCGGATTGACGGGTGATCCATCGCCCCTCAAGCATATCCCCCCTACTGCTGACGGGCCATTGGTTTCGCTGCAATGGATCGGCCCCTTGCACACATTCCGAACCAGCTACGCGTCCGCCGGAAATCCTCCTGACCATATCGTTCACCTTGATTCACGGTCGAACACTGGTGGATTTGTTCAAATGACACATCCGTTCACCATGTCGGGTCGATCTCAGAATGCGCAGGTACTGGTTCTTCCGAGATGGGATCAAGAGGCCACTGCAGAGCATAAGGTTCTGCTTATTGTTGGAGATACATCATCCACCGACCTTGAAGTAGTGGCGAACGTGGGTTCCCGCTGGTTTCAGCAATCGCAGGAGAACCCTCTCAACGTCCCCTTGGACAAAAACGACGAAGACACCTTCCTGCTCAGTCTTGATGTTGATCTCACCGACGAAGTGCCTGTGATGTATGCCTACTTGAACGATGGGACAGTTCAGGCTTGGTATATCTGTCATCCAGATGGGACACCCTACCCAGGGCTTATTTCCAGCACCGCCCCCGAGAAAGCTCTTAATCAACCCCCGGACGGCCTATCAATTTCAGAAAAACCGATGACCACTTCCCCCTTCGGACACATGAACTCTGGCAGTTTTTCTGCATTCTCGACTCAATCCAGTACATTCACTCCCCCGCCACCGATGTCCCACTCCCCCTCTATCTCAATGGAAGATAGCACCGGCTTTGGTGGCATGTCTCTGGGCAATTCAACTTCCGACAAGCCCAAACCAAACAGTAACGTTTTCGGGCCACCTGCGCCTCTGCCATTGCCTCCTGACCATCCGGCGAATCATCCGACACCACCAAAAATGGCATCGTTCTCGGATCCGGTCTTGGTTAGGCCGGCGAGCGGATTCGGAGCATTTGGGGGTGGCCCGACCGGCGGGGCTTTTAGCAACCCCAAACCCATCACCTCATCTAGCGTCACGGCATTTGGTGCATCGCCAGATGTTGCAGCTGCATTCGGCAGACCATCGCTGGGGGGCGCAACCTTTGGACAGTCGGGTTTTGGCCAGAGTCAGAGCTCTTTCGGCCAGACAGGATCGGCATCCACAGGCAATGCCAACTTTGGGTCCTCTACTTCTGCCGGCGGGGGGTTCACGGCTTTTGCATCTTCCGCCCCAAGTACGTTTGGTGTCCCGACCAAACTTCCGTCTCTTGGAGGATTCTCCAAGTTCGCGTCGTCTGGTGGCTCGAATGCATTTGTAGCAGCTGCTAACGGAACGAATTTATTCGCTGCTACCAGCGAAACAGTGTCTGCCTCGTCGAACACGCCGTCGATGAACGTGTCTGACACCACGAGCGATCCCAGTCCCTTCGGCAAGAGCTCATCGTCAGCCGCTCCGTTTGGAAAACCCCAGTCCGGTGGATTCAGCTCGTTCGTATCGAATACATCATCTCCATTCAGTGCCGTTCCTATCAGCAGCTCAGCCCCGGTTGCGCATGCTTTCAGCAATCTGACTTCGTCCTCCACTCCGGTGTTCGGCCAAACTACTAACGCTTTTTCCCGCCAAGACCCGGACAAAGGCACATCGACCCCGGCCGGCGCATTTGCGAATATGAAAAATGCATCACCGACAAGTGTGTTCATCAAGCCCGCTTCAGGGGCTTTCACAGATGGCCAGTCGACCTCTCCTTTTCTGGGGTCGTCGAATCAAGCACAGCCTCAGCGAGTATCTGCATTCGGACCCTCAGCGGGATCGACATCGACAGCAAATCCAGCATTTAGCTCTCCGTCTGTGCTCAAATCTGCATTCGAGACACCGCCGAAAGCAAGCGGGAGTCCGTTCAGTGCCTTCCAAGGAACCCCAGTGAGCTTGAATTCTGTCCCTGTGTTCACACCACCTCCGGAGAAGGAGAAGGACACTGCCCCGCTGTCCCAAGCGGGTTCGTTTGTGGAGGTGGATAGAGAAGATGATGCACAGAGCGAAGGTGATCGGGAAGAAGCCCATCTTGGAGAGGGAGAACTTGAGGAGGGCGAACTCGAGTATGAAGGTGATATCGGCGACGAAGATGATCTCGCCGCATTTTTGTCAGAAGGTTCTGAACTGGGTCCCGAGGAAGACGAGGAAGAAGACTTCACACCGTCGCGTTCACCTTCGCCGACGCCTTCCGATGCATCTGAGGCATCCCGACTCTCCACAATCAGAGAGGAAAGCACAACTCCTCCCGGTAGCCCAGAAAAGAAAACCACGCCGTCAGTGCCCATTGCAGTTCCGTCTCCGACCGCAGCCGGCACAGGCCCATCGCTGTTCGGAATAGGACTCGGCCGGCCAAGCACGAGGCCCACACGCAGCTCCCCTCTTGCTGGCCCCTCCACCTCGGCCGAGGAAATCAAACCTCCGCAAGAAGCAGCATGGAAACCACAGCCGCATGTGATTGCGAGCAATCCAGACGAGAGCAAACCACCACGGGCCAAGACGCCTCCACTTTCAGCATTGTCGTTCCCTAGTTCCAAACCCAGTCTCCCCGTCAAGACGCCGCTTTCAGGGAAGCTCTTCGGAAACGATCCACCGACTCCAATTGTCCCATCGAAGGGTCTTTTCGAGCCGGCGAGTCCCGTGGTCAAGCCAGTTGCTCCCATGGGCAAGCCGGTTATTCCCGTCGCCAACCCTGCCGTTCCAGTGGTCAGGCTCCCTGTGTCAGATACCCATGCAAGGCCAATTGCGGTGCCGCCGACCCCTAGTCCAGCTCCCCCGGCTGTGAAATCTGGACCTCCTCCCATGGAGGAAGGATTGCAGAAAGAATGTGCACTGCTGTTCCAGACCATGACCCGAGAATTGGACAATGTGGGTCGCTTATGCACTTTGACCACTATATCGCTCATAATATCAGTTCCGCGTTCTTGCCCAAGCCGCTTCTCAAAAGCGAATGGAACTGGGCAGTTCTGCCGGCGGCTCCCGCCGGGCATCTGATCTGGGCAACCGCGCAAGATGGAATCTGTCGGATGCAATGCAGTTTGGTTTAACACTGAGGTCGTACGAGAAGGACCTCGATGCGCTCAAAGAGAACAGAGCGATGTCACAAAAGTCCGTGCGGGAGTTACGGAGTAATTTGCTCAAAGGTGAGTTCGCTTGTCTTCCGAATCTTCCAACCTCTGAAATTTTAAGCTGGAACCAAGCGCGAGGAGATCGGACGATTCATCAAGGCCCAACACGATCCTGAGTTCGCGAAGATGCTCAAATCCCGATCGCTTGGACCGGAACATCTGGAGACACAGAGTGTATTGAGACGTGGTATCCGGGTTCGTCTCCTTCATCATATTCATGTTGCATTATGTTCAACTGCCATCAGCAACTGCAGGACCGTGTTCAGAAATTGGAGGGTCATTTGGAGGAGTCTAAAAAACGGCTTAGCCGAGCTAACAGTGGGACTGCGGGTCTTCGCGCACCAACGTTGGACACACTCAATCGCACGTTCCGCAACATGGACATTGCTCTGGATAACCAAACGGACGATGTTGACCGCCTTACGACTCGTATCGCCAAACTAGAAGTCGCTGCCAGCAGCAGTACACCCACGAGAGACCCACGACTACCTGGAATAGGACATCGCCCTCCAAAAGTCACGCCTCACGTTGCGGTCACAACTGCCGCTGCGCTCAATGCTGAGCGCGCAGCGCAAAAGCTCAAACGCGCACTATTGCTCGTACGTAAGGAACCATTGATGAACACCCAGGCTGCGCTGGCACCGGCCCCGCCGTCCGTGTTCAGCACACCGTTGCGGCCGGGTGCGGATCTGAGCACGCCAGTGAAAGGGATTTCGCTGGGACTGACTGCATTCGCACCACCTTCGACATTGCCTGCCTTCGATCCCAGCTCTTTTGACTTGCCAGCGGACAACTTCAATCCATCCCCGCCACCCGCGACGAGAAGAGGGGCAGGCACCAAAAGTCGGGTTTCAGGCTCCGTCCCACTCAAGAGAACTAGTCCCGCTCATCAGCCGTCATCGTTCGACTTTGGACCTCTTCCAACTCTGGGACATTCTCCGTCGCCATCACCGGCTCCTGTATTCGACTGGGGTCCGATTCCAGCATTCAATAAACCGTCGAGCACACTTCCAGGCTTCAATGTCAAGTAGAAAGTAGGTAGCCAGCACAGAAATATAATAGTTCTACAGTTCTTTTGCTCCCGATCCTCTTTGTTCGCGAGTTTTACCTCGATCGGCTCGTCCTATCACATTGGGCGGCTTCGTGTGTAGTAATGCTCAACTTGCCCTCGTGTCTGAGAGCCAGAGAAGAGTGCCCTTCTCGCAGGGCCGGAACGCTCGGAAGTTGGAGTGTGGCTGATGCGCAGAGGTCATCATGATATCATCTGGCTACACCGGACACTCATCTGATTGAGGATTGTTATATCCATGTTCAATGCGGTTTAGTTCTGCAGGGACTGTGCAGTGACGCACCAGAGCTCATGAAGCTTCAGCGCAACAAAGCTGGCTGAAACTCATGAGTGGAAGCAGCTCAAGCTCTGCTCCGGTGAAATGTCTGGTTTGAAACTCGGTGGAAGCTCGTCTCAATTGCAAAGTTGTGAATCAAGATCTAAAAGTACTCCTCGGAGCGCGACTAACAGAGGATATAATCATCCGAGTCGAAAGGCAAGCCCGATGTGATGACTCATCACATATTTCGAAGCTCCAGGCCGGTACAGCCCTGATAGCAACCCTTCAAAGCAGGCTCTCGCGTCCTCCAAGTCGTGAATGTCTGAACATGTTGACCGGGAACTGGGAATATGAAGAGCCCGAAGGGGCTCGATGAACGAACTTATCCCAAATGTTTGTCACTGCATGTGAAAATGGGATCGTTGTCTTGTCACTTGACTGACATTCGGCCGCCCCGTACTGGTGGCTTTACCGGTAGCCTCTTCGTAGCTTGCTCTCTTACTCGATGGAATACCCTGTTGGTCTGCCCGCGCAGTCTCCCCTGCTGACTATCACTCATCGTGAGCTTGCGGTCGGCTTCGGCGTGTGTTCTCGTTGCGCTGACGTGATACAGCCAAGGACACGCTTTGGGTTATTGAATTGCACAATGGGGCCGACAACCGCTTGACTCCCGACTTTGTGCAATTGGCCATCAAGCCTGCATTGGATGTTGTCGAACGTCATTGGCGGGAACAGTGGCGCGCCGTACCCAATGACGCCAAGGACAAATCGGGAGGGAATGGTGCACTTGTGATAGTCGGAGGCAGGAACCAGGACAAGTTCTTCAGTAACGGTGGGGGACTGCCGGACATCATCTCGTGCCATGCTCACGACTAATCTGCAGGTCTGAATTTGTCCTTGGTGCCGCTCAACGGCATCTTTTTTTCAGGTGCGTCTTGTGTCTTGTTCGAAGGAGTAGGTTCAACCAGTAACCAGTCATTTTTAACCGCCTTCTTGATCGCATCATGCGATTCCCTAGTGAGCGTTCTATTTCGGGAGACGAAGGCCAGCAGATCGACGCGAAACGCGAGATTGCATGGTTACATCCCCGGTCGTCTGCCTTCCAACGAGATTGACCTGTTGCTATGCAGTTCCCACTATCGCAGCTATTAACGGACACTGCTTCGCTGGCGGATTCATGCTCAGCCTCGCTTGTGATTATCGCGTAATGACTGATGGGAGCCAACGGAATGCATGGGTGTGCATGAATGAGGTACTTTTACTTGAATGGTCCTTCTCTTGATGACTGAAGCCCACGGTTTTGGCAGGTCGACTTTGGTGCACCATGGCCTCACTCATTCGCAGGAGTGCTAAATGCCAAGATCTGTGACGGACCGACGAGGCGCAAGATTGCTCTGGAGGGCCATCGTTTCACTCCGCCTGAAGCGCTTAAAGCCGGCATCGTGGATCAAATCGTGACTGGCAACACTGCTGCGATCTTGGAAGCCGCGGAACAGCTGGGATTGAAGGTTGGCGTCAAAGCACAAGGTGAGCGGTAATGCTTATTATCCAAGTGAAGATCTGATCATCATCTTCCCTGGTCTCAGGCGGTGTGTGGGGATTGATCAAAGTAAGTCGGTGCGCTCGAGACAACGGCTTGCACTGATGTGCTTCCAAGAACGATATATACTACGATGCATTGGAAGGCTTGAAGAAGGATCCGAGAGAGATTAGTCCGTTGGTTGACGACCTTGCTGCAAAGGCGAGATTGTAGATCAGCGTCTTCAAAGAGATTACATAGACTTTGCCAGTCGATCTGTCTGTCCTTGACACGAAATCATACTTTCCAGAAACAAGACATGACGAGGGGCAAGGTGGACACCCGATCTCGCTCACAAGTTCAGGCTGGCCAACGTTCTCTCTCGTGCCTAAAAACAGAACATCTAGAACCATCAACACAATGCCAAAGAACCATCTCTAAAACAAGGCTCTAGGGTTCTGGTTTATAAATGTAGATGGACAGGGTCACGCAAGTGGTAAGTCACAGGTGGCTCGACCGTAATAATACCACCCGATTGCGAGATTGTCAACCTCTCTCTCTCCAGAAACCAAGAAACTCAAGCATAGAGATGACGACGGTCACGCACCCTGTGTTACGTACCCGTCGCTCGGCCGATCCGAGTCGTTGGGTCGCCAAGCAGGCTTGAACGACTGCGCAAGATCGTGTTCTTCCATCAGATTTCCCTCACGACTGTCGACGGCAGCCGGATGCGGGTTCGGCTGACGGCCATATATAAGACGGATCCTCAAACGTGTTACACACCCTTCTTCCACCCAAGGCCGGCCTTACCTTCCTCTCCTTCTCTTTGCTTTCATTCTCTAGGGTTGATCCTCCTCCATTCACGTTCGGCCATGCAACTCTCTATCTCTTTCTCTGCACTTCTGGCAGGCATGCTTGTCGCTCTCAGTGCCTCTGAGGTTCAGGCAGTGCCCGTTGCTCAAGCACCCAAGATGGTCACCCTCCCTATCAAGCGGATGGGTTCCCCAGCCAGTGACTTGCATCCGGAAATTGTGTGTTTCATCTTCAGACCACATGCTTCATTCTGACGCCCTCCCGTCGCATAGCTTCTGCAACAGAAGATCAACCATGCCAGCAAGCGCCTTGCTCTGATGTCTGGTCGTGAAGCCCCCACGGATGCTATGATGCAGGATGCTCTGCGCAAGCGTGTCTTGGCCATCGAGGGCGAGGAGGGTGTGGAGCGCCGCTTCAATCGCTGGCAGGTCCCTCCCAAATCCCAACAAGCTAAGCGCTTCAACCGCTGGAAAGTTCCCAACCAGCCCACTAAGCGTCGCGCCGGTGGAAACAAGGCCGCGTGAGTATCGACAATGTGATCACATTCCGCATACTGAGTCCTTGATTCAAGCGCTTCCCTCGCAGCTGCGGGTAGCGCCATTGGAGGTCCTGATTCCGCTGTTGGTGTACAGGTTGCCAACACCCCGACTACTGCCAACTCGCTGGCTTTGAACAACGAGTGCGTTCCAAAATTCGGAATACTGTCCGAGGCTAATGTTAGAATAGGACTCCCGACATCGGCTACCTCGCTACCGTGCAGATGGGAACTCCTCCCCAGAACTTCCTGATCCTCATGGATTCTGGCTCTGCGGACTTGTGGGTGGCCTCCGAGTCTTGCGTGTCGACTACCGGTGGCAACTGTGGTAAACATTTGACGTTGGGCGCCACTTCATCGACCAGCTTCGCGGCGTCGAACACTCCGTTCCAAGTCACTTACGGAACCGGTGCTGTGCAGGGTCTCCTCGTCCAAGATGATGTCTCCATCGCGGGGCTGACGCTGAAGGCTCATACCTTCGGTGCTACTCTGCAGGAGACCGTCCAATTCACCGACGACAGTGTTCCGTTTGACGGACTGATGGGTCTCGCGCAGTCAACTCTTTCTCAGCAGCAGACCTTGACCCCGGTTGAGGCGCTCGCCAAGCAGGGCTCTATCACCGAGGCCATCACGTCTTACAAGATCTCTCGGGCTGCCGACGGCCTGAACGACGGTGAAATCACCTTCGGTGGGCTGGACGCAACGAAGTTCAACAAGGCCACGTTGACCACTGTCCCCAATGTCAACACCCAGGGCTTCTGGGAGGCTGCCGTCGATTCGTTCACCGTGGATGGCAAAGATTCCGGTCTTGCTGGTCGCACTGCCATCCTCGACACTGGAACGACGCTCATCGTTGCGCCCGTCAGCGATGCCACCGCGATCCATGCTCTGATCCAAGGCTCGGCATCCACCGGAAACGGAGGATTCACCATCCCGTGCAACTTCAACCAGACCATTGCCTTGACTGTTGGGAAAACCTCCTTCGCGATCGATCCCCGTGACATGGTCGTCTCGCAGCCTAACGCTCAGGGTGTTTGCTCCAGCGGCATCAGCGGCGGTAGCTTCGGAACCAGCAACACCGAGTGGCTTGTTGGCGATGTGTTCCTCAAGAACGCTTACTACTCTACTGACGTTGGCAAGAACACCGTCTCCCTTGCAAAGCTTGTTTGAGCGCGATATTGGACTATCCAGGGACTTTAGATACTGATCTAGCATGTATTTACTAAATGGACACGAATGAAACGGGGATACAGGGCAGCTCGCGTCTGGGTGTATAACAGGCTCGTCATCAAGTTCGAGATGCAGTCCACAGGACAACCAACAAAGCCGCAATAGCCTTCAGCGTTATTACTAATTTTAATCATTGGCTTGATCTCGATCAACAATTGCTGTCGAGAACTGTTTCAGTGACACTTGGTATGTCAACGGCGCGCAGCCTTGCATTCAGAAGATGGTTATGGACGAATCAGTTAGACGATCATCTTGTTTCACCTTCATTCCGTTTTCAGCTTCGGATACTTGGAGCCCCAAACGATCTTGTCGACATCAGGCAGTTCCCCCGTCATCGCCAACTTCAATTGCTTGAAAACAGTGATCGGTGGACTGAACATCCCCACTCGAGCTTGGTATGCGGCATATCCTTTGTACTTGCCAGCGGTGATGGCCTCGGTGTACACAGTCGAACTGAAAAAGAGAATCGACAAAGCGACGGCTGGTGTGAGCGGGGCGAGCGGTCCAAGATGCTCCAACCAATCGGAAAATGGAGATTGAAACATGGCGGCCAAGTGTACAGTTGGCAGGTGCGGAAGAGATGCAAGATTCATGATCCACTGCAACAAATTAGATACCATGATACGTGTCGCGAGGAGAGCTCACCCAGAACGACTGTTCGCACATGAAGTTTGGATGGCGACACCAAGCCCATGATCCCCGAGTCAAGAAACCGCGATCGACATCTTCCTTTGTCCAGTCCAAGCGGGATCCCGGCCACTGTTGATGTTCATGATATCGTCTTGGCGTGTGCTTGTATGTCTGAAATGAATACTGCTGATTGTCTGCCGTGAATTCGAGCGCCAGAACAACCAAAGTCAGCGCTATAACGCCGTAATCGCGACCGTCTAGGGATTGTACAGGTTGTATTGCGGCGTAGTATGCTGGGACTCCCAAGAGCAAGAGTAGAACATTCTGTGTGAATGCTGTAGAAGAACTAAGTAGTGTCCGCACGAGGGGTAGAATTCACTGAACCGATGAACGTGAGGTTGACGATTTGAAAGAGGGCTGGGTGAAGTTGTGACCGCAGCACAGCCCAACGGTAGTCCTCGTCCTTCCTTCGAAAGGTCAGCTCGTGCATCCATGAGCACATAAGAAACGAACAGATTGAAGAGACCGCGTCGATATGTGTTGTAGCTGAGTCTGGTTCGAGTTAGAATGTCACCTTTGAGCTCTTTCAAGTACGGTTCACGCGCCTGCACATCCAAGTGGTAACTAAGCCAAGCAACATCAGCGCACGTGGGTTGTAGGCCTCAGCCGCTATCTCCAGAGCAGCGGGGGTGTATGGCGTCGGAACTGGATAGAAAGGTTGCGTCTTTGGCCAAAGAGGCAGTAGTGCGAAGTATGCTGTGTAGATGGTTGGTAGAAAAGTCCACACGCGGTCGACTTGAGAGACATTAGAGGTTATTATCGATGCAATGTAAGTCGTTGCAGTCGAGAATAGACAGAATTGTACAGGCCACGAGAAAGCTGGTGGAATGGACAGGTAGTTCATGGTCAAGGACAAGCGAGCACTGATGTCATCACACGTCATTCATTCTGCTCAGGGCCGTTTTGGCGCCATCTGGGCTGCTGCAGTCCGTCAAGCCGTGCTGTTAAAGCAGCCCTTGTTTGCGCAAGTCGGGTTTTTCCGTTGACTTAATATCGGAGATTCTAAACACAGAGAATGCAACTCACCTTGGCCATACAATCATGTGATGCAAGTTCACGCCCGTCCTCGAAATACCAATAGTAATACGGATCGAACGATTGGTGGCATCTCAAAGACAGAACGCTCGTGATCGTGCATGCTATGGTCTGCTATGGCGCAATTCGAGTTCTTACAGGCACGCCATTATTATGAATGGTTCCGTCACTAGTGGGCGGTCGATTTAAATACTAGCTGACAGATTAGCGATCTTAAACCCTTTCCACGATGGCCACATTCCCCAAGCATGAGTACTCTCTCCGTCTCGGCAGCATTGCCCCTGACTTTGAGGCCGACACTACGATCGGACCCATCAAATTCCATGAATGGCTCGGAAATTCCTGGGTAGCGCACCGGTCACACCTGATGAAACTGGAAACTTATCGATCATCTTCCAGGGTATCTTGTTCTCTCATCCCGGAGGTATCTTGCCCTGTTCTCCATCCTCGTCCCATCTTGAACATTCGCTGGCTAGACTTCACCCCCGTCTGCACAACCGAACTTGGTGAAGTTGCGCGTCGTGCTGACGACTTTGCCAAGCGCAACATCAAAGTCATCGGCATCTCTGCAAACGGCCTAGAAGAGCACGACAAGTGGATCAAGGACATCAACGAATATGGTAGCAAGGTTGCGCCCACGGATGTCCAATTCCCCATCGTATGCACTCCTCCTGGCTGCGATATGTACAGTTCCTAATATGCATGGAACAGATCGCAGACCCCGATCGCAAGGTGTCCTACATCTATGACATGCTCGACTATCAGGATGCCACCAACAAAGACCTCAAGGGTCTACCTTTTACCGTGCGTTCACCTGGAATCTACCTGTTTCGGTCTTTTCATGGGTCACTAACTCGAGCTCAGATTCGCACTGTCTTCGTGATCGACCCGAAGAAAGTCATTCGCCTGACTCTCTCATATCCTGCCGTTGCTGGCCGCAATTTTGTGCGTGTTCCTTGTCTCTCGAAGACTCCCGCTTGACCTACGGTGTCTTAGGACGAAATTCTGCGCGCAGTCGATGCAATTCAGTTGGGCGATAAGCACCGCATAGCCACTCCCGTGAACTGGAAGCCTGGCCAGGATGTGATCATCCACGTCGGGGTCAACAACGAGGAGGCCAAGACCCTGTTCCCCGAGCATACAGTTCATCTTGTAAGCATCTTGCCAGATTATCTGTCGATCGCACACTGACAATCTTCCAGCCTTACTTGCGCACAACCCCGTTGTCGCCTTCAATCTGAAATAAATCTGGGGCAAAGCTTGGCAGATCACACCGGTGTTTCAATGTGTACTACCGAAGGTCGTGTCCTTACATTGAAAGTGAGAAGTGCTAGAATTACATGTCATTAAGTGGATACATAGTGTGCTTTAAGTGTACAACAGCGAGGAGCCTTGCATCGAAAGACGCGGAACTACTTGGTCGTGGTAGCCGAAGAGAATTTAGTGACAGATTTGGTCTGGCAAGAAGTCAGTTTTGAAAAGAATGCCAATGAAGAACGCACTCCTTCGCTGATAGCGTGCTTTGCAAGTTCACCGGGAAGAATCAAACGAACCGAGGTTTGGATTTCACGGGAAGAGATGGTGGATTTCTTAGAGTATTGAGCAAGCTCTATAAAACTGGATGAGAACGTGATATAGGAAGGACCATGAGCACGCACTGGATGCTTCCGACGCGATCCGTTCAAAAATGTCGTTGACGAATGAGTTCAGAATGGACATGGCCTTATTAGAGATACCGGTGTCCGGGTGGACCTGTCTCAAGACTAGTACAATTCATTCAGCACTCGATACGACTTCGGGCACATCCAACACACCCTTGTATATGTAGGAAGAGTAAGTCTCCTTCCTGACTTTCTTACGTTTCTTCTTCTCCCCGTCGGCGGGCGCTGACACCTTGGATGTCTTCTTGCCAGCCTTCTTCTCAGTGGATTTCGATGGGGCTTTGGAAGCGGTGGCAGCAGGAGCCTTTCCAGCGGTGGAGGCTGGAGCTTTGCCAGCGGTGGATGCAGGTTTGGGAGCCATCGGTGTCTGACGGTGGAGACTGTAGAAGTTGGGGACTAGAAACAGAATCTGTGTGTTGAATAACGTTTATAACAGACACGTCGATTTGCGGTTCTTTGGTTCCTCTCAACAAACGCTCCATCAGCAAGTGCCATCAGTCACACTGTGACTTGACGCGTCAATATAAACTTGACCATCTTTGGCCAGGCCTGGTTTTCTCTTGCCTGCCACCATCTCACTTCTCACTCTACTTCATCCCACCTAATCAGTCCCCTATCGATATCGACATGTCTGGCAAAGTTAGTGGCAAATCCAAGTCTGGCAAGGCTGCCGGTGCCAGCAGCGACTCGAAAGCTCAGTCGCGCTCCTCCAAAGCCGGTCTTCAGTTTCCGGTCGGTCGTATCCATCGTTTACTGAAGAAGGGGAACTATGCTCAGCGTGTCGGTGCTGGCGCTCCTGGTTTGTCTTCACCGGATTGTTTTCATATCTTTGCTGTTGCTCACCTCTGTCCAGTTTACCTGGCCGCTGTCCTCGAATATCTTGCGGCTGAAATCCTGGAACTGGCTGGCAATGCCGCTCGTGATAACAAGAAGCATCGTATTGTGCCGCGTCACCTTCAGCTTGCTATTCGCAATGACGAGGAGCTGGGCAAAGTGCGCTGCCAGCTTACCATCGTTTACCTGGCTAATCACTGGAACAGCTCTTGGGCTCTGTAGTCATCTCGCAAGGAGGGGTGGTACCCCATATCGATCCTTCTCTGCTGCCGACAGCGACAAAGAGTGTGTTCGCCTCTTGTTCCTTTTCGTCTCTTTCTAATCAGGTCTGCAGAAGGCAAAGGCGCTGCATCGCAGGAGATGTAGACCTAACTTCGAAGTTCCGTTTCTCCGTATCAGCATCTCTGTACACATTGTAGACCTACCATTACTATTTTACACACATCAGTACTTACAGAATTGTAGTTTGGTGCTTGCATCCTATGCCACATGCCGATTCCCACCTTGATAATCAGATTGTAATGACTTGCTGCTGCAGAATAAGTGTCGAATGCAATGAATACAGTGGTAGAGGCGGCTGAGTTGAGTTGAGTAGCCTGGTGACGACGTACTGTGACGCGTGATACTCCGAGATAGCGTAATTTCCTTTTCTGATCCGTGGATGTTCAGGATCGATCAAAAACCATTTTTCGTCTGCAGATATTGAGGGTATCCTGTTTCTATAAGGAGAGAAAATATTTCCTTCACATCTATCGTCACTTAGCCCGTTACATGCGGATCTCATCGATTACCTAATATGTTGCTGCACAAGATTTCATTCTCGGAGTCCCTCAGAGTCTAATATGTACGTATGCTGTATTCTGTAAAGATATTAATATCCTTCCCATGATTTTCGATCTTAACAAGTTTTTACACGCAAGCATAGACTCATGCATGTCCCCTTTTGACTCGTATGTAACGTTCACGCTCAGTCGCAGGTTAAACAAACCTCCATTTCGGGTGCAGTCTGGCACACTCAGGGGCGGGATAAACCATGCGCTTCGGTATCACACGAATATATAGTCAATCGTGCAAGGATTCAGCTCCTGTGTACAGCTGCTCCCCTTTGACCTCTCGTTGACCATTCTCTGAACTCTCCCTTTGCCCGTCACTCGTTTAAAACGTCTGCATTCACGTTCGCAATCCGACATCCCACATGCATCAACAGGAGATTGAGCAAAGGTCCCATGCCGTAATCTCGGCAAACCCAGTGTGTCTCCTAGACTATGAACCATCCACTGCGGCACTCACTCCATGCACCCAGCCATTCCCAGCTGTATTTCGCGGTGTCCTCTTCCCCGCAGGATCGAATGGGCAGCCTGTCGTGGTCCCTGTTCCGCTCGACTATGGTCTGGGGTCTTATATGTTCCCGGAGGATCTACGGACGCAGTCGTGGACTGTCACACAATTCAAGAATTCATGGCGAATGGACGCAGGTCACGGCGTCATCTATCTGGCATATGCATACGCACAACGCATCTCAAAAGCTACCGGTGCTCTTGTGAATAGCTCTCTGAGTGACTCCAAGCGAGTTGTGTATGGGGATGTTCTGGTCCTAAAAGAGAGCCAATTGCGTGAATGCATCGTTGACCTGGACGAGGCGGATTTCAAACATGTCGTCGACAGGTTCACCCGGCAAGTCCTGATTTTCGACCCCCTCAGTATCTCTTACCTCGAAACAGATGGTGGGCAATACACGGTTCAGATCCGGACCAGTTGATCAGCTAGTTGCAACTGCAATCCATTCTTTTAAGGAGATCTGAGCGAGTGAAGAATGTATAACTCAAACATGTCTTACTCGCCTGACAATCTGGAGATATGATATACCCTGGCCGCTTTCAAAGCGTGGGTTTTTAACAATGAATTGTTGACCGCTAGGCAGCGGGATTTTCTTCATCGCTTACACCGGGTTCACTCCCATGAGTGCTTCCATTCACTGGCCATTCGATGATTGACTCGAGGTGTTCCAACGCAGCCTGTCAAGACTAGTATGGCGCGAACCGGTTATCGTTGATGAAATCGCTGCGCACCCTTCCAACCTCGCTGAGCTCCTGGTTTTCATCACCAGCGAACACCTCAAAGTCACCGCCGTTGGAGTCCAAGAAAGCATCCATATCTTCTTCGTCGGAGCCCGTGGCGGGATCGGGATGCAGCGCAGCGCACCGAGACAACGCTTCGAAGATGGGTTCCACTTCAAATCGGTTACGAGACGAACAGGATGCATAAGTAAAACCACTTACGCGATGAAGCGTCTTGAGGGATGATGGAGAGCTCGCGCATCTCAGACACCTCGTCATTAATCGCTGCGGATTCAGGTTCCCCAGCATGTTCATCCAGTTGACAGTAGATCGATGGGCCAGACTCTGCCCGAGACACAGCGTGAAGTGTAATTGCTGGATACTCGACCTGAAAGCCGCTTCCCTGATTAGGCATGAACACTAATACGCTACAGCAAGGTTCAGGGAAAGAAACGTGTGTGTCAAGATCGCAGAGTACCTTTCAATCACATACAAAGTGCCCTGTGCATTGCTTTGTGCGAAACCGTCTAATGGCGGATCAAGAGTGACTGAGACGTTCTGTTCGATGTGGCAGACGACGGGTGGAATGTCGTTAAAGGATGAGGGCGTCTGAGATACCAGAGCGGTATGATTCTCGCGAGAGATAAAATTCGGCAATGACTGGATTAGTGTCGCAGCGGGCATTTGAGATTACGGACAAAGCAAAGCTGCAGAGCGTTGGGCGTGTTGATAATGCTCGCGTGTTTACTCGTGTTGTCTTTAGGTGCTTCTCTGCTAATTCAAATTGTGCTTGGGCGATGGCAGATCCACCCTCGACCGGACTGCTTTCCGGCGTCTTCACCTTCGTGGCGAGAGAATTAGAATCTTTCATTGTGAATGCCACTGGAGGGACCATCGAAGAGGTTCTATTGTCCTTCCTCAAGTTTTCAAACTCACTTATCATCCGCTTGCAGGATGAGACCTACTCGCCCGAAAACTCTCCGGAACCCCCAGAGCCATCCTCTTCAACGCGACTACATGATAGCTTGATGGGCGCTCATGACTCGAAGCATCTGAGACAGCATCCCACGAGTCCTGCGCAGCGACGATCACGACCTTCTCCACCTCGACGGCGACAGCATGACTCACCCGCCGAACAAATGCCCTCCACACGCTCCTCCCCTCCAGTTGACGCGTACAGACGCGTCGTTTCTGACCCAGATACAGGTCAATTGTATATTCCATGGCGTTCCTACCGTTTCTCACTCACACTGTGCAGATATCCCGTCGAGTGAACGCAATCCATTCTCTCCTCCTCCTCTCCCCTGCATCCTCAAGCGCAGAAAGTCTTTAACAATGCCGGGGTCACTTTTTCCGCGTTCGCCGTCTCTGGAGCCAGGGTCACACCACGAACAAGAGATGCGCCAGGTTCGATTTCTGCCCAGCATCATCAGCCCACCTGCTCGCAGCCGCACTGAACCCATTCCTTCCGAATCAATACGGTTTACACTGAACGCGGATGCCGTGGCGGAACATGAATCTCCACCTCGCCTTCGTTACACCGCGCAAGAGAAGGGTAAGGCTCGTGCAAGTGGTGATGCTGACAGCATTCCGATAGAACTGCGCGGGATGACACGTGAATTATCAGCCGCATGTGACGAACTAGCGGCTCATCGACAGAGCAGAGAGGAGGTCGAAGAGGATACCGAACTACAGCGAGAGCGGGAATTGGACAAGGAGCGCATCCGACACCTGGAAGCAGAAGTGCATCGTTTGAAGCAGGAGGTGCATCTGTTTAAACCGATTGTGGCGAAACTAGCTAACGCTCACTGAAGTTATCTGACCGTTCACATATCACGTCTCCTCCTCCGCCACCCGCCCCGCCACCTCCGCCCCCGCCTGGTCCTGCCAAGCGCATCCCTACATCCATTCTGCCCAAAGTTCCCACGTTCTCGAATCTGCCAACGCAAGAGACCGCTCTGGGCGGCAGTCGTCGTTCTGGTCAACCGACGATTGGCGTACCTCCCGACAAAATGGCTGATTTCCTAGCTGAAATGAAGACCGTCCGTTTGAAAAAGACATTGTCCGCAACCAATAGCCGAGATGAAGACACGTCTTATGTCGAGAGCAGTTTCGTCGTCGGAGGGCGCATGTCCTCCCGTAACGCTGCTATACTCAAGAAGCTTGGAGATTCAATCTCACGCTCACAGCCATCAACGACAGGCGTCGGAGACCGTAGCTGGAATGGGACGCGCAGCACTCCTTGGCTTGAGGACCGGTCTTTCGACTCTGCTGTTGTTGGCGGGAAACGTAAGCGTGCCGAAGTAGACCCTAGCGAAGATCAAGGTGTGTCGAATACTTCTGGGGCGTGCTTGTTGTTGAGGCGGACATCCAGACCAAGCACCAAAACGCCGCTTCTCGGCTTCGTCGTCGTTCCCGGCTGCCGGGTTTCCGAAAGCTGCTGCGTATCGAGATAGCAGTACAATCACACCGTCTCTCTCCTCCGATCGAGGAAACGACGACTCAGACGAACGTTCACTTTCCACGCCACCGGCGCCAGCATTCGCGATCCTCGACCCGCCTGCTGCGACGTGGATGCCCATCCGCAAGATCTTTGTTCCTCCACCACGAAGAGCGCCTCCCGCCGACGGACGCATCTCAGCCACTCCACCTCGACAGCGAGTGCCCAGTGCGTCTGAACAGCTCGACAAACGACCGCCCTCGTCTCCGATTGCTGTGCAGTCTCCGAGAAAGCCTCGTCCGCCAGGCAGGTTACACAAGGCAGCCCGAGTTGTCCACAACGAGGAGTCCGATGATGAGCTCAGCCTCAGTTACGATGCTCCGGTCCATAGCCCACCACACAAGACTGCTCAGAATATGACCCTGGACCAGGAGCTGGTCGCTGCTCGATCACGTGTTTATACCCGTGTGCGACCAGGTTCACAGTCTGATCCAGATAGCGGGCTATTCGTGGGCCTGGGCTCCCGCGCAAAGAACAGAGGATTTCTTGCTCGTGGCGGTGCTGGTGGATCTCCTGTCTTCATGGGCGTAGGATATGTTCAGGGTGTGGACAATGACGATGAATCTCGGTCTCCAGGCACCAACCCCCGGAAGGGCAAGAGAATTTGATCTCTTTCTTGCCTTTGACCCGTGTCTGTTTCTTGTTTTGTAATCTATAGATATGTATCTCATTCCGTATGGTGTAACAACAACTGTCTGTTCAAAATATAGCATGAACGATGTCTCCTCCGATTGCACTACCAGCACCAAAACCAAGGCCGCCCACTGCCGAATTCGCAAGCTGTGCTGACTTCAGAAGAATATCTACACAGGATATACAGTACGTACCGTGGCTCCAAGCCCTCCGAATTTGCTTTGCTTCGGTGGAAGTTCCGGTGGGGCAGAGGCTGGTGGAATAGGTGCAGGAGGAATAGGTGCAGGCGCCCCATAGGGCATGTACGGAGCAGGAGGTTGACCTGCTTGGTATCCGGGTCCATATCCTCCCGGATATCCGTTGTTCGCTGGACCGGGAGGTGGAGGTGGTTGATAGATTGGCATGTTCGAGTATCCGTCTCGACCCTGAGGAGGATAAGTGCCGCCGCCGCCTGGTCGCTTTTCCACGTAGTTCGACGGGAACAACCCTTGTCTGCCATTGTGACGGCCAGTCCACCTGTTCAGTCAGTGAAGTCAATTGCTGGGCCCCGTAAAAGCAGCGAACCAGTCTGGATTATTCTCCGACAAGATTTCAATCTCATCTCCGGCACGAAACGCTAGGTCATTCGGATTCTAGAGTGTGAGTAGGTGCCCACGTCCAATTGTGGCGAAGAAAGCAGCAGCAGACCTGCGAGTTCTCATTGTATCCCCAGAGTGCTCTGCCTCGGACCAGCTGTCCTCCTGGAGGAGGTGAAGTCATGAAGGTTCTGTTCGCACTCTGTGTGTTGGGAAGTCTGGCAAGTATTTCTCGGCCTTCAGAAGGACTGATATGATTCTGCGACATAAGAAATTCGACATTTTGGCGCGTCTGAGTGATGATATGAGAGACGAGCGCAGAAACATCCATGTCCGAGGAAGCGGAAGTCGAGTTATGTGTGCTAATGGTACTGTGGAGGCACGTGATGTGGGACACTTAGGGAAGTTTGAACTGTAGCGAGGCGATGAATACACATATTACTATGAGCACCTACGATGTTTCATGGGCATGCTTCCTAGCAAGACCCTCAGCAACTTCTTTCAATTTAAATGCGAGTGTGGCAGGCTCCATGAATATTTTTCTGCGCGAAGTCCGAAAAGGGAAACTATCCTGATGTGGGACACTTCGTCGGTTTGACCCGCAACACTACATCTATGCCTTCAACTCATCTCATACATGATTTTAACGACTCTATACAATTGAGGGGGTGTTCTGAACTATGAGATAGTGACCTCTAGTGTGGGGTCAATGAGGTATTTCCGTTTGGGCAGGGTTAATGGATCAGTTCTGCCGCGGCTTTCAATGTATACGGTTGTTGCCTGCACCTCATCGACACCGCTGAGTGGCTCCCAAGTTATATCACCATCCTCCCAGACAACCATGAATTCGAGACTGCCCTTGACCCATCGGTGTCCGTTGATATTGGTGACAACGCTCTCCGCAACTTCGCCCTCTGACTCGTTCATGTCCACATTCACAACATCGTTCTCCCCAGACTGCGAGTTGTCTATAAGCAAGAAAGGCTGATGGGATTGTGCAGAGATTGGTGGGCTTGGTGTCGAGGGAGGCGGGGCGCTGCAAAGGTTATTCAAACTGATGCTTTCCGAGTCGGAATCATCGTTTGTGCGGGATGGTTCGTCCTGTATTCCGTCACTCCATGTACCTGACTCATCCTCCTCCGAGCTATCCTCCAACTCCTCCTCCGAGCTACTTTCTATTGTTGATCCTCTGCCTCTGCCTCTGCCTCTGCCCCGGCCTCGCGTACCTCTGCCCCAGCCTCGCGTGCCTCTGCCTCTAGGAGCTTCAGATTCAGTTGTTCCGTGTCCACGTCTGCGTCCGCGACCTCTTCCGCCTCGTGTGTTGGACCCTCGCCCACCATGTCCTCGACCTCGACTGCGACCTTGACCTTGACCTCGACCTCGAGCCGGCTGGCTCGGCTGATTGGGAACATACTCTGTCCCAAATAGAGCACATCCCTTGGGCCCTCGACTAGGAGGACGGCGAAGTGCACAAGCCAGAGCCATATTCAGCCAAGGAGTACAAGATTCGTCCGCTGTCCAATCAAAATCATGTGGCGGAGAAGTAACTGCAGCGCCAACATGTTCCCGACCATTGGACATCCATGTCTCTATATGGCCCAGTACGCGACCTAACTGGGTGAACACAGGCGCCCACTCCTGTTTGATCTCCTCTCGGCTCGTCTCCTCTGGCGTCAGCAACCGCGCTCCAGTATTGATGTATTTACGTTTTCCTTGATTCTTTTTGGCAAAGCACAGCTCCCGCAGTTTCTTGTTCTCAATCTCAAGGAGCATCCTTTGCGCTTGGTCCTGCTGCAGCTGGATATCAGCCGCTTGGAGAATGCTGCGCAATTTCAGATTCTCCTGGTGTAGGACTTTGCGCGATTGGGGTCCTTTAGCAGGAGATGGTATGCCGATTCGAAGCAACAGTCCAAGTACATGTTCAGCATCGCCGTGCGCTGCAACAGGCGTTGATGGAGTAGACGGACGGGGCATGGATGCTGAATCTGGGGGACTGTGACAATCAACCCAAAAACAAAGTCGAAAAGAGAAGTAAATTCGAAGACTGGAGAATACAACCAAGTAGCTACAGTATTTATACCCAAATCCAGTCTGAGTCATATCTACAACTAATGAGTCATAGGGCTATGTACCGCATGGAACGCTGGTCATGGGTCGTAGTAGAACCTTCTGGAGCATATGTCGCGCAGCCTCGAATCGATGAAGATAATCCCTGAAACCCCTAGTCCGGACCGTCTGATGCCGTGATCCGTGATAAGATAAGTTGTGCCAAGATAAGATAAGATCGTCGATGATAAGATGAAAAAGTGGCCGAACTATGACATTACCCCCTCTCTAGGGTCGATGTCCTCATCGACCAGGCCAATGGGTAAGAAGACGTTCTCGTAAGGGTCGAAGAGCTGTCGTTGGGGGTATGGAAGGCGCTCGTCCCTGGGCTGGTAGCGATGAATGAGATAGTCCCAGTGTCCAGCTTCAAGCGTTGGCAGGAGGCGAATGCGTGTGTCTGGATTTGATTGTTTCCTCTGCCAGTCTCTCAGGACGTCCTTTGCGTGGGTAAGGTGACGTGATGGTTCCCAGGTGTTCTCGCTGTGCGGCCATCCCTTCCATTTGACCAAGTACTGTTTTCCTCGGCCGACTTTTCGCTCTTTCACGATTTCTTCGACTTCCCACTCCTCTGCTCCTCCGATCATCTTGGCCACGGGTCTCTTCTCTCGGCGATGGGGGGGTGGTTCGTGATAGGGTGTCAACAGTGACTCGTTGAACACCGGGTGTCTTCGGTCCGTGTCCGGCAAATCCAGCTTCCATGCGGCTGCTCCAACCTTCTCCAGTATCTCGTATGGTCCCAATCTCTTGTCGCTCATTTTCTTTGATGGTCTATCCGTCTCGATATTTTCCCCTTCTATGTACACCTTCATCCCAACCTTCAACTCCGGAACTTCTTTTCTTTGTTTATCGTAGTATTTTTTCATTTTTTCTTTTGCTTTTTCCAATGCTGCTTTTGCTTCGTCTTGTATTTCTTTGATTCTTTTTACAAATTCCTCCGCCGACTCGTTCCTTGATTCCATCCGCTGCTCCACTCCCTTCCATGGGTGATATCCGTGATTAGCATAGAACGGCGACATTTTGGTAGACGTGTTCATTTTGTCGTTGTATGCGAACTCCGCCATTCCCAGCCACTCCGACCAGTCCGTTTGATGGTAGTTGACGTAAATGCGGAGATAGTGTTCGATCTCCTGATTCATACGCTCCGTCTGCCCATCCGTGATGGGGTGATATGCGGTCCCCGGATTCATTTCCACGCCCAACATCCGATTCGTTTCCTTCATAAAGCCCTTGATGTATCGAGAGTCCCTGTCAGTGATGATTTTGCGGGGGACCCCGTGATAGCGGAAGATTCGGTCCCTGGTTAATCGTGCTACTCCTTCGCTGCTGATGTCAGTACTAATTGGTTCGACATGGATCATTTTGGTGAAGGTGTCACACCACACATGAATTGCGTCATACCCGTTACTGACCGGCAGGGGTCCGATCTGATCCATGGAGATGATTTCCCACGGCGCGTTTGGAACTGCATGCGGGTGCAAACTCCCTGTCCTGGCTCTTCTGGTCTTGGTCCGCTGGCACGCTTCGCACGTCTGGATGTATTTCCGAATTTGGTTTCCCATCCTTGGCCACCAGTAGTTCCTTTCCACCATCTCCTGCGTTCGGTTGATCCCGGCGTGTCCGACCAAAGGGGTGTCGTGGTGTAGTCCGATGATTTTGTCCCGCAACTCCTCGTTCCTTGGTACGTAGAGCTTCCCATGGTACGTGATAAGCCCCTCTTCCTTCTTCCATCCGGCGAGTGACTTCTCTAAGGCCGCCTTGACGCTTCCATCAATTGATCGAATGGCCTTGATTTCGTCGATTAGCTGCTGATCCTGTCCCTCGAATGTGACTTCTTGTGATCGGAAGAACTCGGGCTTCAGTAGCGTGACGTCCTTGTTGTCGTTCTTGCCCTGATCGTGATCTGCTCGTCGGGACAGGAGGTCCGCCTTGCAGTTGAGTGCGCCGGGTCGGTGTCGTAAGGTGAAATCGAACTCCGCCAACTCCGTGATCCATCGTGCTTGCCGTCGATTGAGCTTCTGCGGCTTCCGAAAGTACTCGAGATTCTGATGATCGGTGAAGATCTCGAACGTTTCCGTGGCTCCCAGGAGCAACTGCCTCCATTCGTCAAGTGATAACATGATTGCGAGCATCTCCTTGTCGTAGATCTCATAATTTCGCTCGGTTTCGGTCAAAGCGTGCGAAATAAATGCGATTGGGCGCCAAATGCCGTCTTGGTTTTGGCTCAAAACTGATCCTGTTGCCCCTTCCGAAGCATCGGCTTCCAGACGATATTGGCCAGCGTCATTTGGCAGTGCTAAGACGGCATCCTCCGCGATTCTCTTCTTTAACCCATCAAACGCCGCATGTTCATCCGGACCCCATGACCATCCTGCCTTCCCTGTCAGCCGCGTCAACGGCTTGGCGACCTCCGCATATCCCCGAACGAAACGTCGATAGAAGTTTGTGAATCCGAGGAAGGCTTGGACTTGTTTGACGCTCTTTGGTTCCGGCCATTCCATCACGCCCTTGATCTTGACAGGGTCCATCCGCATCGAGTTGTGTCCAATGATTACACCCAGGTATTCGATTTCCGTGCGTTCGAACTCGCACTTTTCCGGCTTCAGGTATAATTTGTGCTTTTGGAGCAACTCGAGTACCCGTTTGGTGATTCGTCGATGTTCATCCAGATTTTCTGTGAAGATTAGTATGTCGTCCAGATAAACTACCACATGTCCCTCGTTGATCAGTTCCCGGAGTATGTCGTTCATCATGTTTTGGAAAGTTGCCGGGGAATTTGTGAGACCAAAGAACATAACCAAGGGCTCGTAAAGTCCGCGGTTTGTGCGAAACGCAGCCTTCCACTCATCGCCCTCTTTGATCCGTACGTTGTTGTATCCCCACCGGATGTCTAGCTTGGTGAAGAACTTGGCGCCGCACAGGTTGTGGACCAGTTCGGAAATCAGCGGTAGCGGGTACCGATTTCGGATCGTCATCTCATTCAGCTTCCGGTAATCTTGAACAGGCCGTAGCGAGCCATCCTTCTTCTTGACAAAGAAGAATGCCGATGCCATGGGTGATTTTGATGGCCTGATTCGTCCGCTGGCTAGGTTCTCTTGTAAGAACTCGTCGAGTTTGACCTGCTCATTTCTCGATAAGGGGTACACCTTGCAGTCCACTGCTTTGGAGCCTGGTTTGAGCTCGATCGCATGATCCCATGCCCGTCGGTCCAGTAGCGAGTCGAATGATTCCTTGGCGAATACTTTGACGAATTCTCGGTATTGATCTGGAATCTTTCCCTCGGTCATTCTCTCCTTCTCCTTTTCCGCTTCTTCTGCGAATTTCTGCGCCGGCGTTTCCTTCAGCCGTAGGTCTACCTCCTTTCCAAAGTCGATCAACAGGATCGATTCTCCCTCTTCCAGATCCGGTGCACCCGCGTCCAGGTCAATTGCATCCATGTCGATCATCGCTTGGTGCTCCTCGTGACCCCTCATTTGACATTGCTCTGGGCATCGGCTGAATCTCATTGTCTGCTCCTGCCAATCCACCTCGGGGTTGTGTTCCGTCAGCCAATCCAGGCCGATGAAGATCCGGGCTTTTCCCAGACACGTCAGAAGGAACGTGCGTGTCTCCACATGAGGACCGATTCTCATTCTCAAGTCGACGTAGTGTGTGATCCGACCGCTGATGTTCTCGGTGTTGTCGGCGTTACGAGCCACAATGGGTTGCGGAAGCTCTTGGATATCCAGCTTTTCTGCCCGAGCGTAGTCGATGTCGATGCAGCAGGTACTGCAGCCACTATCGAGCAGCGCCTTGACTCCACGCGTTTTCCCTGAGTCCAGGCCCGTGATCTGGACATATACGTCCATCGAATGCCTCTTTCTTTCGGCTTGGTAACTGCGCAATTCCTGCGCCAATCTGCTGGGCTGGGGGCCCTTCTGTTTCTCGGTCGCCAATTTCCTCTGGATGGCATCTGGCACCCTGGTGCGTTTGGGTGCTTCTGGAACCTCGATTTTGGCAGATTCCTTGGGCGCTTCCTCCTTTTCCAAGGATCGAGCCTTCGGAGCGATGCTCCCCTTTTCGGTCTTTGTTGACGTGGTTCCTTCTCCACGAGCCATAAATACGTAGGAGTCCAAAAATAATTTATCTGCAGCTTTCTGATCCTTTTTATCTTGTAAGTATTTTCTATTTAGAGCTATCTTTTCCTGGCGTTCTTTTTCCATCTCGGCAATAAGAAAATCGTGAATATTTGTACGTAGTGAGTCTGAGATCGTGTATGTAGATGAAATATTGTCCGTATCTTTAATCGAAACAAGTACAGAAAATCGTCCATAGTCCGGACGCTCCACCTCCTTGGCTAGAGGAGTGGAGCGCTTCAAAAACCCTTCTCGCGCAGCTTCTCGGCAATCTCCTTCAGGAACTCGTTGTCCTTGTCCCCGTTCTCGATTTCTTCCAGCATTGTGGCCCGATTGAAGAACGTGCGCTTCTTCTTGGGCTCCGGGCAGTTCCGCGCAATGTGCCCGGGCTGCTGACAGTTGTAGCAGATGATATTGCGGCCGCGGGCGTGGGTACGATCGATTTCCATCGGAACCGGTTCGTTGGCAGCGGGTCGGGCCGGAGCGGGTGTGGGCGCCACTGGTGCCGTTTGGGGACGGAACTGGGGAGGTGGTCGTTGTGTGGGGTGCCCATACGACACTTTGCGCAGCTGGTCACGCAGAGCATTGGCTTCGATGTTGATGCACCAGGCTTTGAACGCTCCATAGGCCTTGGGCAGAGGGACACCGGTGTTGTAGAGACGGCTGGCGATCTCGCTGCTGAGTCCGCGCTCCAGGAACTCGATGAGGATATTATCCTGGTCCCCCTTCTTGTATTCGCCTTTGTCGTCGGTGGTGTCAACCACATTGTAGCCTGCATCCGCGGCCAACATCTCAAAGTCGGAGATGTAGTCCGCGAAGGATCGTTTGTTTTGACGCAGGGCCATAAGCCGGGCAGCGGCGACTTGTTCCGCATTGGAGTCCCCGAACGCCCTCTGAAACTCCTCCAGGAAGTTCTTTGATGTGACTCCTGCCTTCAGTCCCTGGAAGCCATCGAAGTTGTGCTGCTTCCAGTTCATCGCCCATCTCGAGGCAGCGCAGCTCGTGCCGTTCTCGTTACGGAGGTAGGAGAGGACAAAGAGGATTTTGGTCTCATCTTGTGAGAACTCCGATCTATAGGCACCGATGTAAGTGGTGCACGCGTCCACAAAGCCCAGGTATTTGGACTTGTCGCCATCGAAGTAGGGGGGGTTGGCGGCGAGGGTGATGCGGTGATGCCCTGACATGGTAGGGGCAGGCGTGTGAGGTGGAGGCGAGGGTGGTTGTTCGGAGGGCAGTTCGTCGAGGTCGGGGATCTCGTCTTCAGGCGGTGGGAGGGCGAGGTAGGGGTCGGAGGGCCCGGGTTGGTTTTGATGCGCCAGATCGGGCGACGATGGTACGATGGGGGGAGGGGATGGACTCCCAGACGACGATGGGAATCGGTACGAAATGGTGGATTCGTGTGCTGTACAAGCACTCGAGGAAAGGTTCTTTTGCTAGCAAAAAGATCCCGGGCCTAGCTCTTCACGTGCCCGATGATCCCGAGGTGCGTTTTCCCGAAGGTCTCCGCAGCACTCCTTGTAGCTACCGTAAGGCTTGGGTCGGGCTCAACGTTACCCGTGGCCTGGTGCTGTTTGCTTGATATGAACCCTTCACTGCGATAGTGGAGGACGACTAGATGATTCGGTAAAAGGGTGAGTGGGGTGATAAGGGTTAAGAGGATATAGCGGGCGTAGCGGTGCAAGATGCAGGGTAAGAGGTATGAGGTAGGAGGGTATGAGGGGAGTCTTCGAATTATGTGACAATCAACCCAAAAACAAAGTCGAAAAGAGAAGTAAATTCGAAGACTGGAGAATACAACCAAGTAGCTACAGTATTTATACCCAAATCCAGTCTGAGTCATATCTACAACTAATGAGTCATAGGGCTATGTACCGCATGGAACGCTGGTCATGGGTTGTAGTAGAACCTTCTGGAGCATATGTCGCGCAGCCTCGAATTGATGAAGATAATCCCTGAAACCCCTAGTCCGGACCGTCTGATGCCGTGATCCGTGATAAGATAAGTTGTGCCAAGATAAGATAAGATCGTCGATGATAAGATGAAAAAGTGGCCGAACTATGACAGGGACTGGATTGAACTACAGGAGTTGGTGCCCGGAACAAGCCTGGTGGGGGAGGAATGGAAGGAACGGAAGCTTCGGTTGAGAACAGCTTCGCAGGCTCAAATTCATGCTGAGGTACTGCAGTTCGATCCAAAGGGTGAATCCCGCTACGTCGGAAGGCGTTCTGTATCGTATCGTGCTTGAATGCCTGTGCTCGGGCGGCAGAATAGATTGCAAGCAGATTGTATTTTGTGACTTGTTGGCCTCGTGCATTCAACTAAGTATCAATAAATGTGTGGTTAACGGACTATGCAGCATCCGACTTGTTCTTCACACACCTCCTGAACTTCCTTTTTCCAGAACGATGAAAGTGGCTTGAAGGCACCGACATCACACGGCTGAAGGGCATGGGTCGTGTGAGGAGGTAGGCAAAGAATAATGATGCGGTGCTCTTCAGCAAAGCTGGCAAAGCGAAAGGTGCAGTGACTATTGTGCCCATCGAGGACAAGGAGACGATATTCGCTGGGGTCTTCCAATCGTGCGAGACTTTCGGGATGAAAAGTTTTCTCGAGCCAGAGCGATCCCAAATGTTGATCAGTCCACCCGCGAGGTGAGACAGCGATGCTGACAAGTCAATGAGTATCAGTGTGCAGTGTCAGATCTGGAGAGAACACACCTTGCTCCACAAGGGTTCTCCTTGCTCCAATTGGCATCTCTCCGGGCGCCACGAAAGATGATGGTCGGAGCCAGTGCCGAGCCATCTGCACAGAGAGTCTCGATGACAGTGACAAGCTCTCGATCCCCATTGGTTACACGTCGAACAACCTTCTGGTCACGGTCGACCAGAACTTGCGAGCGGCCAGAGACCCCGAGTTGAATTCCCTTCTCGTCCATGTTGTAGGTGTTTGCCGGTTTGATCTCGTACTTGGTGACAACGTCGGTGAGCAGATCAAAGTAGTTGTTGACCGTGGTTGCGTTCAGGTTGTTTGCGCGGCATTTCTCAAGATGTTGTGTCCAGCGAACGCGTAACTGATCAGCATGGCGGTTCTGAGCAAGGAATGATGTTAAAAAGGAGAGACAATGTGTTGCTGAGTAACGCACTTTGAATCGTTGAGCCCATTTCCCTCCCACTGGTCGTCCTGCCAACTGCGTCGCATAATCCTCGACCGTTTTCAGAGACATTGGCATGCCACGTTCCCCAAAGATCTGACAATCATAAGTTACAGTTGAAATCAATTACTGGTTGCACATAAGTACCTTGATCCATTGGATGAGAACGGCCTCAGTGGCCTTCGTCAGGAGCTGCTGGTTCTCATGGCTGTCTTGATGAGTCTGGGCCCCGTTGATGCGTCGAGAGAGCGTTGAGCGAGGAACAGCGTAATGGACAGCTGCCCGACGCAAGGACATCGTCTTGTCCCGAACGACGATCCCTGCCAACTCCAAGCGAACTTCCATATCTAAATCTTCCATCGGAGTATTAACAAAGTCATCAGGATTCAACTCTTGTTCCGGAATATTGTCTTCATCATCGTCATTGTCAATGTTGATCAGGTCGGGCGATGTCTCGGTAGATTCAGCAAAGAGGGTAGTTTCAATAGTTGGAGGGCCAGCTGGTGGAGGCGGCGGCGGCGGCGGCAGTAGCGGGGCTGTACCAACTGCGTTGCGAGCCACAACAACGTGCGAGCGCAGCGAGCGCCGGAGGTCCATTGGACACGAAGATTTGGCTTCGATTGAGAGGGGTTCGTTGGTGAGACTGGGATGGAGGGTGAATCCTCATATTGACGACAACAAGCAATAGATCATGAGATTTGGTGTTCTCGGAGGGGATAGTATGTATTGGAGTAGGATTGAACACAATGGAAAGGTGAGGTAAGAAGGGATGCGCCGTCCGAAGATACCCAAATTGGCCAAAACAGGTCAGGCGACGACGGCTGCGGTAGATTCAATAATGAAGATAATGTCCAGAGGCACGTAGGGTACAAACTAGGGAGCCCCAGGTCCATCCTGGTACACATGTCCTAGTTCATTTCCACCTCCTACGAAAACCCTGCATTTGCTCAGCTGAAGAGGCAATATCCAGGTGTATTACACAGATGGTGTGCTGGAACAACGCAAGAAAATCAGCAAAATAGACGGAATACGGGAATAGAAAGTAGCTACCATGCGGAAACCCTGTGTCGAAGTCGAGGGCCGCACATTCTGCCCTGGTTCCGCATCGTCCTGCCCTTTACCTCAACTCCTCGTGCCCGATCTTCGCTGACACCGCCTGGACATGCCCGGTCTGCGAGCAAACAGAGAAAGATATGGGAAATGTGTTGTGGTGGATTGAAGCTTACACCTATGCGCGTCGAATGGTGGTAGTCGGGCCCAGATACGTGGAGGCGTTGGCAAGAACGAAGCGACGCGGCTGACAAATCCAGTTACTAAATTAAGGATTTCGGGCCTCTCGATCTGAAATCATGGCGATGACGACTCGCATGATCGAACGGCTTGACCGAATGCCACCAAACTTGGCTTGTGGACTCACATACTATCCTTCTATGATACAGGAATACTGCTTTACACAAGACATCTACTGGAGCCTCTCAAGAACCCTGGTGTCTCACATCATGTACTGTCCCACGAGGTGACCCTCCACAGTACATCATCTCGCTTATGTCACTATCGATTGAATCTCGAGGTCGTTCTAGAGCCATTTGAACAACCAACGCTTGCTCTTGGCCGCGGAAGCGGCAGGTGTTTCAGAGGGGCCCGAATCAGTCTTGACAGTCTCGCGATCTTTTGCTGCAAAGCGTCGCTTGTACTCCGCAGGGCTTTCAGCGAGGATGCCGTTTACCCACATTCCACGACGAGCCGCTCTGCATATTCCATTTTTTGAGGATGTGGAGTACTCGTGAGGAAGATGATGCACCTCGCTTCAGCTTCCACTCGCAAGAACTCTTCCTTGCCCCATTTGCCGTATTCAGCGCCAGCCTGCAGCAGTGAGCTCATGTGCACTTTCCGTCACGGGCACGCCGACCTGTTCGTATGTCGTTACCCAGCCTGCCTTGAGCATCTCTAAGGAGAGACTTTTCCCGAGGAGCCTACTCCCGGCCAAAAATCGCGGCGGAAGCACAACAAGAGCCACCTGATCTCTATTGCCATTCAGTGACTGGGATATGGCAGTGTGAACGCACGACACGAGAATACTGATCTCTCCGTAGCAGTTGGCAATACACGGTCCTTCCCAGCACAGCATGCCGCAACCAAGCAAGGCTTTCTTCAAAGAACGGTTGAGATGGTCGACCGAAATGAGCCCCCTTCAGGTAGTGAGTGGGGGTGGTCAAATAGGCGATGGAGGTAGACCTCTGGAGCGTCCACTCCAGCAATACGGATGTGCAGCGTCTTGTCCTTCAAGCCTAAATGGCATTGAAATTCATGCGACATATGTGGGCGACGGGAGCTAACCTTTCGCCGTTGATGGAACGGTCCTAAACTTAAATGGCCAACTCCATCCAAATGCGGGTGTGTGATACAAACGGAAGTTATCTGAGTCCCCGACGCTGGTGACGGTACCTCGTACCCATCTCTTCTTAGCGAAGATGTCTGGTGTGATCCAGTCACTGTTGGGAATGCGGCGAAGGTAGCGATTATACGCAAAAGCACCGCAGATTGTAGTGAGAGAGCCGACAGAGAAAGCGCACAACAATAATACAGGTCGCGAGATGCAATCGAGCTGCGCCCTGGTTTGAGAGCGGATAGTATCTAGCTCTTTCGATATTTCCTTGTCCCAAGGGAGTGCAGGCATGGTGGGAGACTTGATAGAGATCGAAGAGTAATGTCTGGATTCGATGTAAACCTGGAGAACGCAGGGAGAGGCAGGACGCGTCCGTCTCCTTGTCACGTGAGACGAGCATGTGATTGATTGACCGAGCTCGTCACGATCCCATAGTCTAGCGCTGCAAGGCGCTGCATGCCAACTCAGACGGCGAGACGGAAGATTGCGCAATTAGTCATGGGCAGTACGGTATACAAGTTCTGCTACAATACAAGTTTCAGCAAGAATATCATTCAAGAAAGTATGCGATCCGCTACGAGACAACATCGTAGCTCCCTAGAAGAATTTTAGGCACGGATCTGTCAAAAGGGGTTACTTACAGATGCGAGCATGCCAGTCACCGCTGCCCGTGGCAAGAACGTTGCCCGCCGGACTCAAATCAATCGAAATGACTAGCAAAAGTCAGTATTTGACGGCACGTTGCAGAGCGGCCGCACCCGAGTTCTTGTGACCCTAGCACAAACTGTCAACACTTGATTGATATCTGCACATGGACACACACCTGCAGCATACACTGAACCACACCGGTTTTGGCATCCCAAAATTGAACACCTCGGTCCTTGGATCCCGAGACAATCCATTCCCCATCATGAGAGACGGCGACGGAGAGGACATAGTCCTGCAAGCTCAGCGATCGCGCTTTTTCCGGTCCTAGACCCAAAAATACAAACACTACACACCTTGTGCCCGATGAATGTTGTGGTGCACCGTCCCTCGCTTACTTCTCCCGTCCCTTCTTTCCATCCTTTGAGCACAGAACTCGACCTCGATGATGGACGTCCATCTTCCTTCCAGCCTTGAGGACTGGGCCCCAGACCAAGGTCCCATCCTTTGACTGTTCGGTCCAACCCGCCGCTGATCAGTCCAATCCCCTTGGCAGACGATACAGTTCCTTCTGGAACGAAAGCGACACTGTAGACGCTATCGCCATGGCCTCGAAGCCGACGCACGAGTGCACCCGACTTGACATCCCAAACTCTCACTAATGCATCCAAAGATCCCGCAGCAACACGGGATCCATTGGCTGAGATCGCTACACTTGTCACTCCGCCATCGGGAGTCGGACCGGGTGACGAACGAGCTGTCGACGGCGGTGGGGCCGAGTCCGTAATGTTGAGCACTGTGCAAGAAACAGTCTGCTGCGGATTCGCCGGGAGTACAGTGCGCATATCCCAAATTCGCACGGTCTTGTCGCCAGAACCAGAGACAACGAATCGCCCGTCTGTCGAAAAATCAAGTGCGTATATCTCCTGCTGGTGTCCAGAAAGAACTGCGATAATGCGCTTTTTCACAATATCCCATATCTTGATCGCATGAGCACACCACACATATGCCTGTGAGCGTGCTTACTCGGATCTGAGCATCCTCTGCGCCGGTAGCCAGCAGTGCTCCATCGGGCGAGAAACAGACGCTGCGAATGTATAAATCGCCTCCTTTGGGCACAGACGGGTCCATTAGCGAGCTTAAATGAACCTCACTCTCAACACTTTCCATCCGAACCGGACCAGACGCACCAAACTTTCGTCCCTGTTCGAGCATCGAACACTTGTGCCGTACGATTGCACCCCGTTGCTAGAAATCGCCCGTCCTTGGAGAAGCGAACGCAGCAAACCACGCTATCGATAATGAGATGATTCAAAATCAAACATAAGCACACGGAACACGTACGATTCGTGTAGCAATGTGTGAAGCAGCGACACGTCACCGATCTTCTTCTGCTTCACCGCCGGATTCCATATTGCAAACCACTCTGGCCGTCCGGGTGATGATGCGGTCGCCGCCGACTCCTTCTTCAGATGAGACGGAAAGGAGGCGAGGTCTGCGTCAAGAAATGAAAGCGTGGATGAGGGGTGAGGGGACAGTCGATGTACTTCGATGGGCGTCACCGGGGCTGGACCGGGACGACCCACTCGTTCTGTTGTCTTTGTTCGCTTGACGTTCGGTTCTCGAGCGTCGCGATCGCTGCGCTCTGAGACAATGACGTTTGTGCTCGTCCCACGCTCTCGGTCCCGTTCTCGTTCCGGGTGCCGGTCCGTTATCGACTGTGTAGAAGAGGAAGGGTGCAGCGGAGGCCGATGAGAGTGGTGATGATAGGCGAGCGATGATTGAGGTGGAGGTTGATGGCCATGCCTCAGCATGTGCAATTCCTCTCGAAGACGAGCCAACTCCTGTTCATATTTCGCTCGCACTTTGCTGTGTTGCGTTTCCAGCTCGTACAAGGATTGTCGGATGATATTGAGCTCGTTGACTTGGGCAGTCACTGCAGGCACGATTCAGGAACCGAAAATGAGACCATTCCGCCGATGCGGGCGTGAAAACGCGCATATAGGCACAGAAAGTTGTGGACGGACGCACGCGTGGCTTCGCAGTCCTCTCTTTCCCTGCGTACAAGCGCGACTTCGCTCGTGAGATGGTCGAATTCCGCTTTGACCACGTCCAATGCCTCTGTTATCAAGGCTGCTCCCGTGGCCCCAGAAACCAGATTGGGGACCCCGGCACGCAGTGCAGCCATTTCGAGGACCAGAAGAACAGACGCGGAAAGAAAGGAGCGAAGGGCACGGTGGAGAAAAGAAGGATATATGGTTTCGACAGTGACCGCGGGACAGGCCGCCTGCACTTAGTCAAGGTTTGCGTAAGGCGCTGAAAGCCAGGATGTCAGTCGAATCACAAGGCACGGACAACCGAGTAGAGGTGGCAAGGAGTAGAAGACACCGGTGAACCAAGCTGCAGACGGTCAATCCAAGCGCGGATATCGATGCGGGTAAAATGGAAATGGTGTAGGACCTGTCGATTCGGGACGCCGCGCCGCGGAGGGTCGGCGATTCAGCTAGCTGCCTTTCGGGCACGTAGAGCTTAACCATAACACACGCGAGTCAAGTTGAATGCCGGATTCTAGAGGCCGGGCACGACAGCACAGCTGCTTGCAAGACTGGAAATTCTCTCGGAAAGCTATCCGGCACATCGGCCCGGAAATTGATTCGGCAATTTGTTCGTCTCATACTCATGTCCGAACCACTACCTAGAGACATCTTGATCCTATACGCAACTGAAACCGGAACAGCACAAGATGCAGCTGAGAAAGTGGCTCGCCATTGTCGTCGAATCCACTTCACTTGCCGTGTTCTGAGCACAGATGAATATTCTCTGGTATACTGCCATCTCGATCGTGATTTCAAATCTGAATTGCTGAACAGTCAGATCTTGTATCCGAACCTCTCGTGTTGTTCATTGTCGCCACAACTGGCTCGGGTGTGGAGCCACGGTCTATGGCCACGATGTGGAGAACTCTCCTTCGCTCTGACCTGCCGTCCGATCTCTTCGACGAGCTTGCATTCGCTGTCTTTGGTCTTGGTGACTCTTCTTACGAAAAGTTCTGCTGGGCAGCGAAGAAGCTATCAAGGCGAATGGCGAGTCTAGGGGCTCTGGAGATCTGTGAACGGGGAGAGGGCGACGATCAAGATTCTCGCGGGTAGATATGCAGTGCGAACTTCAATATGCGCCCGGCTAAGACCAGAAAGGATTGATGGAAGCCTCGACCTCTGGATTAAAAAAGTGTTGGAGGTGTTGCTGGAGCGGTTCCCATTGCCAGACCATTTGACGATTGTCCCAGCTGACCGGGTTCCACCTCCCAGAGCCAAAGTGGACCGAGGCGCACACTGGTCCCTGCAGAAATCCGATTCACTTGATAATATGACAGGATACCACACTGCTACACTGAAATCCAATACTCGAATAACTGCTCCGGATTGGAATCAAGATGTTCGTCATTTCGAATTTTCATTTCAAGATCAGATACAGTGAGTGACCTGCTCATCTCGACTCCTATATTCAACTGTATCTTCACCAGATACTCTCCGGGAGATGTTGCAGTGATCCGTCCAGCTGCGTTTCCGGATGAGGTTGAAGCATTCTTGGAATGCCTTGGCTGGCTAGATATTGCAGATGCTGCCTTCCATGTCGAATCAAATCTGTCAGTTTCCTATTTCTTCTTGTTGGTTGCATGCTGAGGTGGACCGAAAGGATGGACCAGAAGCTACCTGAGCATTTACCCGACGTTGTCACTCCCCGAATGCTTTTCACGGAATACCTCGACTTCAATGCAGTTCCGCGACGGACCTTTTTTGAGTATCTCTCATTCTTCACCAAGAATGAATTGGAGCTGGAACGACTCCAAGAGCTTTTATCTTACGAAAACGCGGTATCGCTGTTTCAATCTCGAGTCTTTCTTGTCTCACTGGTGCGCTAGGATGAGCTCTATGATTACTGTTTCCGAGTTCGAAGAACGATTTTCGAGGTACTCTCAGAATTCCGCAACGTCGAAATACCACTGCAATATGTTTTCGATGTATTTCCCACCATGCGGCCGCGCCATTTTTCGATCGCAAGCTCGGCCAAAGTACGAACATCAAGCTCTTCGTCCGCTGACAGTTTTTCACCATTTGCACAGAAGTTTCCCCAGGAAGTGCAGCTCTGCGTCGCTATTGTGAAATATAGGACCAAGTTGAAGGTCCCGCGGCGAGGAGTCTGCACGAGCTACCTGGCATCCTTGAAGCCTGGACAAAATGTTCAAGTTCGTCTGCAACGGGGTTTTATCGACATGCCGAAGGATCCCCGTACGCCAATTATCTGCATCGGGCCGGGAACGGGTATTGCCCCGATGCGCGCAATCATTCAAGAGCGCAATGAAATCCATGCCTTTGGTGCGTATGTCAGGCCGCATCTCTTCTCGCCACTGATCGCCGCAGCAAACACTCTTTACTTCGGGTGTCGGTCCTCTGACAAGGACGAACATTACGGAGGCGAATGGCGCCAACTTTGCCAAGATTCCCAAATGGCTTATCGCGTAGCGTTTTCACGAGACGGTGCCCCAGGGCAACCTCGAGTCTACGTGCAAGATCTCATGCGACAGGACGCCGGGCGCATTTGGTCGCTGCTCGAGGCGGGTGCGATCGTCTTCATTTCAGGGTGAGTCGACTACAACTACCGCTCGAGTCTCACTTGCAGAGCCACGCAGATCTTCCAATAAAATGCCTGCCGCAGTGAAAAGTGCACTGGCTTACGCTGCCGAGACGCACGGCGGACTCGAATTGAAGCAAACGGCCGACTGGATTACATCACTGGAGAATGCAGGCCGACTGTTTGAAGAATGCTGGAGTTGAAACTGGATATACGAGATACAAATCCGACGGCCATGCACGCAACGTGCTTTTGTAAATTCTGACTACGATGCAAATTGATTTACTCGGGCTTGTGGTCCGGACGCAGGGAGCGGACCACTTTTCCAGCACGCCATATCTCTTGGTTGTCAATCTCAGCAAGTTCCCGAGCGAGATCTTCACGGTAAGTGGACCGGCCGTTGTACTCGAGCGACTTGCGGGTCTCAGTGCCGTTGCGAACACTCTCGTACAGCTGCTCGAAAATCGGAACGTTGGCCTTCTCGAAGATTGGTGCCCAATCCAAAGCACCGCGACGAGCCGTTGTCGAGCAAGCGTTGTACATATAGTCCATGCTACAAGTGAAATCAGGCTATGCTCGCAGCTCAGTTCAAGATTACTTACCCGTACTGTCCAATCAAGGGGTAGAGCGATTGGGTTGCCTCCTCGACAGTCTCGTTGAAGGCTTCGGACGGGGTGTGTCCGTTTTTACGCAGGACCTGGTACTGAGCAAGGAAGAGTCCCTCTGATGATAGACGTCAGTCACCAATTTAAAAGCAATAGACATACGCACGGATTGCTCCCATGAGCTAACAACGAGACGCGTCAGAAATAGGATCGAGACCGCGTCGAAAAAAAACCCACCACACCACGCTCACCATACAGGTCTGAGTACACTTCCTTTTCGAAAGTGGTATCATACATGTAGCCAGAACCAATACCAACGCCAAGAGCAATGGCCTTCTCCTTCGCCGTGCCAGTCACGTCCTGGAAGACTGCCACGCTGGAGTTGATGCCGCGTCCCTCCTTGAAAAGAGTGCGGACAGTACGGCCCGAACCCTTGGGGGCAACAAGAATGACGTCCACATCAGAGGGAGGAATGACACCGGTGTCCTGCTTGTAGACGACGGAGAATCCGTGAGAGAAATAGAGGGTCTTGCCCTTGGTGATCAACGGGGCAATGGTGGGCCATGTCTGAGACTGAGCAGCGTCTGAGAGCAGGTTCATGATGATCGTTCCACGGTCAATGGCCTCCTCGATGGGAAACAGAGTCTCCCCAGGAACCTATTGCAAAATTCATGGATTGAATCAAGGGACAGCGTCAGCAACTCACCCAGCCATCTTCCATAGCTTGCTTCCAGCTCTCCCCGTCCTTGCGCACACCAACGATGACGTTCAAGCCATTGTCGCGGGCGTTCAAACCCTGGCCATGGCCTTGCGACCCATACCCAATCAAGGCAAGAGTGTCATTCTTGAAGTAGTCTTGCAGTTTGGCGAGGGGCCAGTCCGCGCGCTCGTAGACAGTCTCCTCAGTGCCAGCAAAGTTCAGAGTTTTGATACCCCGAGCAGCCTAGTATACGTTAGTAAGTGAATGAAGTCTAAGGGAAGCAGACTTACGACAGGAGTACTGCCTGCGACCTTAGCAGCAACGGCGCGAGCCAACAGCGAGTAAGAGGCCGTTTGCGCAGGTTTCAGAGCAGCGCCGGAGAGGCCACGCGGTGCGCGACGAGAAGCTGCACGGATAGCGTTTGAAGTGGCACGAGCGAGAGTGGACATGGAAGAAGGAAAGAAAGAGTTGACTTTTTTCTAGCCTGCACTGTCAGAGTCATACTACCCCATGTGTCCGATGCGGCCGATCGGCCGAAGCATGGATTTTTTGATTCTTTACATAAAAAATGGCAGTCAAGAAGCTGGTCGCTCGAGCCTGGAGCCGTTCGACCCCGTCGGCTGTAACGCAATGGTGCTACGACGCAGTAGTCTACACGCGAGGACGACTGTAATTCACAGAAGCCCCAAGTCACAGTGCTTGCGCTCTGCTGCCTGCGCGACGTTTGGTGTCTCTTCTCCCTAGAGACTATGCTAAGACCTGACGCAAGTCTTGAGGCTTCTTTCCGGAAGCTGCATGCTTGAAAGAGGGCAAAGCGTAGTACATACTACAAGTGGTTTCAGCTTGCGAATGAGATCGAGTCAGAGGGCTCTCATTGGCGCAAAAGCTCCTTAGGGTGCGTGATTCAGCAACTTATGAGTATCGTGTTACTTGGACGCATCTCCGGAGCTTGGGCGCACGGTATTCCCGCTATGGGATAGCGGATAGAAATCTAATAGTAACACGGAGAAGAGAATACATGTTCTTGAAATATCACACAAACCACCTTCGCCCTCGTTCCCCTCGCGGCGCCGTTTATTGGAGTCATGTGAAAGAGCGGCCGGATAAAGAGTAAAAATACCCCCCAGCTCAGAAATTCGATGACCACAGACCATGCACAGATCGCAGGAATAGATAGACTGTATTACAGGGACAGATTCAAGCACGCAGTTGGTTTCGAAGGTTAGTCTCCAGGTTGCCCTTCGGTCTGATGAACTGCACATATGCACCGTCCCTGGAACCCATCAGCAAAAGGTACAACGACAGAGTGCATGCAACGCTTACTGCAACACCTTCTTTTCCTCCTTCAATTTGATGTAGTCGGCCTTGTTCACGTTGGTGAAACCCCACTTCTTCGACACGATGATCTTTTGGCGCCCGGGGAACTTGTAACGAGCACGGCGAAGAGCTTCCATGACGATCGGTGCATTCGTTTCTTTGCATCGGATAGAAAGCAGGACTTGTCCAATGTTGACACGGGCGACACTACCGTAGGGCTTGCCCCAAGCACCACGCATCCCTTGTTGCAGACGATCGGCACCAGCACAAGACAACATTTTATTGATCCGGATAACGTGGAAAGGGTGGACGCGGACGCGAAGATGGAAGGAATCCTTGCCGGAAGTCTTTGTCACGTACTGGGAGCAGGTACATTGACCGCCACGATCACGGACAACGAAAGCGCACCTTGTTGGCGCAGATGCGAGCAGCTTCAAGAGCCTCGGAGCTGAGCTGCTCATACTCGTCGGACACAAGATGGCAGCAGAAGGGAAATTCGTCGACGGAGGCCCGCTTGCGGCCAAGATCGAAGATTCGAATCTAAGAGATATTAAGCGAAGAAAAACGTTGATGCCTTCCGGCAGACCTTGGGGTCGGGAACACCGCGATTGTACCTGCTCTTTGGGTAGGGTTTGTTCTTGCAGTAACGGTAACAGCGAGCTGGACGGCGACCCATGGTTGTGAAGGTGAGTGTTATGCAAGACTGGTGTTTATAAGCTTGATCTACGTATGTCCCAGACGAGCCTAGCGACACCGCCTGCTTTGATTTGTCATCACTGGGTCATGGCGCTGGTGGGAGTCTACGCTTCACCATCAGGATGAGTCAGCCGGCTATTACATGACCGCTCACGAAGAAGTTTGTAGAGAGCCAATGAACAATCTTATGTGTAATGGATATGCGTTGGAACGTCTAAAATCCAATCAAAGCTGTTTAGAGCGTGGCGTTATGCTGTTCTATTTAGTGTACATTCAGCTAGGTGTTGATTTCTGCGACCCTTATGCGGACAGCTTCTTGCGCAGCAACGTCTTCAAAGTCTCGCCATCCTCGGCGAACTTCTTGATGCCTTCGTGCAGTTTGTCGAAGGCCATCTGGTCCTGGAGCAAGGACCAGCGGAACTCAGGCTCATTGTCGATGAACGAGACCTTGGCAATAGGGTCGGCTTGGGCAGCTGGGTACATCATTAGCGCGACTGCATGGTTGGATCGGTCTCAACGCACCAGCGACGGAGTCGAGCTTCTTTGGGACGGGATCGGTGGATGACTTGAGCTCCTCGAGCAGAGTAGGGGCAATAGTCAGGAAATCAACACCGGCGAGCGATTTGATTTCGCCGATCTGACTCTTGTCAAAAGCTTGCATATACGCAATGACAGCCACGCACATTGCGGAAGGAAGCACCCATCACGATGGTCTTGTAGCCGTGCTGCTTGTAGTAGTTGAAGATACGTTTAACAGACACGACACCAGGATCCTCGTCACCCTCGTACGTCTTGCCGGTCGATTTCTTGTACCAGTCCAGGATACGGCCGACAAAGGGGGAAATCAGAGTGACACCGGCCTCCGCACAAGCTACAGCCTGGCCGAAACCGAAGAGGAGGGTCAAGTTGCAGTGAATGTTGTCATCGCGCTCCAGCTCGCGAGCAGCTTGAATTCCTTCCCACGTTGATGCGATCTTGATCAAGATGCGATCCTTCTCGACACCGACAGATTTGTACAGTGCAATGAGCTCCTTGGCCTGGAAATCGGGCGTCACAAACAGCGGTGTTTCCTGTAATGGACGAACATGCCTTGGCTTTGGTTGCCTCCTTGTCGAAGGACAAACGCGCGTCGACTTCGGTGGAAACACGACCCGGAATAATTTTAAGAATCGCCGAACCGAACTCGACGAGCTACATAGAGAAAATGAGTGAAAAATTCAAGGAGCAAGCGTAAAAAACCAACCAGACGATCAGTGGCCACGCCGACTTGCTCGTCAAGGCTGCCGCCCTTAGATTTCGCGTACGCCACAGCGTTATCGATGAGCTTAGCGTATGCAGGCTTGCCAGCAGCAGCCAAGATCAGAGAGGGGTTCGTCGTAGCATCCTAGGATTCACATGAGCTAGGTTCCAAGATACATGTAGCGTCACAGACCTGGGGCTTGTAAACATCGATAGCTTGAGAGCGATTAATCTCGGGTAGATAGGGTTGCACAGAGTTAACGGAGGCGTACTTTCAAAATCCCCGGAGTCAGAGACGACGACGGTGCCGCTTTGTTTCAATAGATCAAGAGAGGTGGTCATGGTAGTGCGCAAGAAAGAGTGAAATAGTCGTGACAAAAGAGTGACGACGATATAAGTGCAATCATCAATGACCGAGATTCACCGGACGGACCGGACCGGTGCTCACTGCAACTCCGACCGTGTCCGACAACCCGATGCCTTGCTTATGGATGGTTGTACTGACTAAATCTGCACAGTAATATCAGATATCAGCCCCAGACCCACTCGCTCGATTTCCTTGAGCACACCGCTCTCATTCAGCACGACTGAGCTCTTGTTCTTGGGCTCGTCCTGTGGGAATGTTATCATCGTGTCGTTCTCTGGATTGCACCGGAACATACGGTCTGTATCACCGGCATGGCTGAGAAGCCTGCCAGTACCCGGAATGGCCGGGGTTGTCTGAGAGTCGGTACCCAGACAATGCCAAACCGGTCGCCCCCCAATGGATCGTAGAAAAGCTTGAGAGTGTCAGCGTAGACACGCTGGAAGACATTGAGTACGAGAGAAAGCGCCAGCTGGGCACCGACCTGTATGTCATTGAAAAGGTCGCGGATCGGGTCAAACCCAGGGCGCAGAGAGCCGACCTCGTCCGCTCGTGGGGGATTGGTGTACTGGGCAGCCAAAGCGACCTCGATGTTTTGCGCATGCCGAGGGATGCGTGATGAGTTCAGGCGTACAATGACGTCATAGTCATTTGTCGGATGGACGAAGAGAGACTAAGGAGGATTAGTTAGCAGCCTTCTGGAAAAACAGACGCACAGACTTTGACATCGAGATGACCATTTTCCATTTGAAGCAGACAGTCCCAAGTGGCCTTGGCCAACGCGCGGATGCGTTGTGCGACAATCACATCTGGACCCTGTCGTGTCCAAACAGAGCCGACAGGATCCAACTCGGTCATCAATCTCCAAACGCTTTGCACTGCTACAGGAGACACAGACGGGGCCGTGACGTCGCCATACAATGGCACATGCAGCCCGTCTTCCCATTGCCAGTCTTTGAGAAACCGGACGACACAAGCGAACCCGCGCTCCTTGCTGCCAGGAACGCTGGCGCGCTCGGCGTTTCTCGTCTCGGAGTCGAGAGCAAGTTCTCTGCCGTCCCCAACAAAGAAAGCAGCGCACAGCAGCTCGACCGCCTCCTCGGATAGATGAGCCTGTAAGACCCAATGACTGGCAAGCCAGCGCTTGACGAGGCGAACAGTAGGTGCATACGCGGGGAACACGTGATTAAGGCCTGCAATGGCTCGATGGTGGCGGGGTGCATGTATAAATCGTCGAAGATAGATGTCTTTGGCCTCAGAGGCTGCTTGGCGGCCGGGGTCTTTCTTGGCTTCGCTCTTGATATGTGAGAGCAGTCCCTTCCCAGAGATGATTCTGTCGAGCAGAGTGGCCTCGCGATCGTGCCAAATGCGGGCGACGAACGCCCAGCCGTCTGCAGTGACGATCTGCAGACAGGCCGTGTCTTCGATTGACGTGTTATCTGATGCAACGACGGCTGCAGTGAGACCGGGGACTGCTGAAACTAGACCGCGGGCGATACGCTCGAAGAAAGCAAGCTTGATCTTCTGGATGGCACGCAACTCGTCTGGCCATTGGGCCGACTTTTCGAATTGGATGACCATCTCGATCGCCGGCTGAAACCGGGCGTTTTCGGGCAAAGCACCGGCCGTTGCGGCCGATAGCGGGACTGGCGCAAATACACTCGTGTAGCGCAAATATTCGGATGCGGCACTCACCAATGCCACACTGAGCGGCAGCTGGTCGTTCAGCGCCTTGATCTGCTTGACCACTCCGTCAAATGCATCCATAGCGCCTTTGAAGCCCAAGACAGCCCCTGAACTGGTATGGACCCTGGAGATATTCTCGGGCAGCTTGAGCACCGGGTCGAAACCCTGCTGCGAGGCTTGGACAACATCATCGCCGAGCCCAAAATGGCGCTGGAGGATGTGGCTAGCGACCATGATGGGCACCCGAGACCGTTGATCCGCCGATTGGACATCCCACACCACGCTCTCAACGATTCGGCCATCTTTGAACCGCCGCAGTTCGGCCTTGTCCCCCCAAAACTCGCGGAACCGTTCGGCAACGGCAGGATCTGGCTCATCCGCAGAGGGCCCGTGATCGACCAGTCTGAAAGCGTGGCGGGGATCAAAAATGAGCCCGATGAACAGCACATTGGGATCAGTGGGGAGTGCCTGGGAAAGCGGTCGGGTGCAGGTAGTTGTGTGGAGAATGGCCACTGCTTTTGTTCGATCCCCGAGCCCATGACGGAGAGCTTGAGAAATGGCGTCGATCAATCCATCGACAGCGGACGCTCTGTCAAGTATAACGTGGCGCGACTCCGTTCTAGGCTTGGCGGACGAGATGTCGACTCTGTCCGAACATGAATAAGGGATAAAGGGGTCGAAAAGCTAGATACCGGAGCAGCGCATCGAAACGAGAGGGTAGATCGCGGTGATCTTTGAGGAAAATCTCCGGGAAAGGATCGCCGGCCGTAGAAGTCATGTTGAGCCTTTCCAATGTACTTTGCGCATCAATTTGGAGCTGGGAACGAGCTCAGATCGAGTCCCACAAAAAATGTAAAGAGCAACGCACCAACTGCAATGAGCCGAGAGGAACACCTGCAAGCATATTGACGAGGGAAGTCGATTCGACAAACACAGTCTCGTGATGAGCCTCGTATTCATCGGAAGGATACTGTGAGATGAGTACAGGACTGCCACACGATGGATGCAGTCACTTACTCTGTCCCCTTCACTGGTCTTGAGATAGACGGGATCCTGCGAAAAATCGTGTTTGGCTGCTGGGTGTGAATATTCCGATAAGTACAGGTGGAGAGATGAGGTGACCCACCAAGAAAGTCTAGGGCTGCTTTGAACAATTGATATGAACTCAAGCCCTTCCCTAACGGCTTTCTCCTTCCTTTTCTTTGCGGACTCTCCCCAGATACAAGCAAGGTCAACAACGCAGCCCACCAAGACCCAAGCGAGTCGAAACCTCGAACGCCGAGGCGGGTACCCTGTCCGTAACCTCGTTGATTCGCCCACACACGCAGCAGCGCAAGGGCTTGCGGAAAGCAAGGCGTGTGCTCTTTCACGGCATATGCTGCCAAGAGCTGTGGCTTTGGCAGCAGCGATGTCAAAAGCCGTGCGTTGTATATCGGACTTGGCAAGGGAGCTTGGGTCTCACTATCACTCGCGACTCGCAGATTTGAATGAGCCGGCGATAGTCGATGCAACGGGATGGGACATTCCGCGAGCGACAACACAGGGATAATGCAGACTCGAGCGTTTAGTTTTGAAAAGTCGTAGGGCGAGGTATCTGCAGGCAAGAATCAACGGGGTATATCGCTTCGGTACGTAAATCTACCTTTTCGAGGCTCCAACACGAGTTTGGTCAATCGAGGATCGTTGAATGCTGATTCATACGACACGTCAATATTGAGATCCTTCGAGTGTTTGAGGTGCGCGGCCACAGTTGCAAGATAAAAGGCCCGCTTATGGAAGAATCGACCGTTCAGGTAATCCTTCTCTTGAAAGAGGTGCTACCCCATGGATTGAAGGAGACCGCTTGACACAAATCCCGACAGACGTACCGAGGGCATTTCCACAGCTACGTCTACCCCAAATTTGGATCCGTCCTTCCCCTTCACGCTGATTTTGTTCGCCCAGCTCCCAACCACAGTGATATCGCTCGGCGGCTGGAATGCGACTTTCCAGTTGGTGTCTTCGGTAGGACGCGGGATAGCGTAAGATACAGCGACTCCTTTTTTGAGCAGTTTCCTTGCGGCTTCGAGCGGATGTTGCGGGGAGACGGCAGGGATGCCAGAGATAGTTCCATGTAGAGAGACGAGAAACCGATCCAAAGGCGAAATGTGAGATTCTTTCGGTTGGACATTGGGAAGAAGAGCGTCGATCTATTTTTGTTAGAGACTTGGTCTCCAGCCGAACAGATTCGAGTACCTGCAACTTGAAAGTATTGGACTTGTACAAGTCTTTTGCGTCACTGATAGCCCGGAGCTCCTCTCCAGTGGGAGGAAGGTTCAATTTCTTGGACGGGTTCTTGACATGGATGTCCACTGCTGGCGGCGGCTGTTCCATCTGAATCCCGCCCCACTCCTCGCTACTCTCCTCAGAATATTCATCAGATCCTGACTGCGGGCCTTCTTCGCCGCGAAGTTTCGAGCCCTATCTGAGTTCATTCATGGAAGTTTAGTGAGTCGTGTGAGGCCGACCTTGCGAGGAACATTATTCTCGACGCGTTTACGCTTCAAGTTCAAAGCCATCCCGAAAATTGTACACAGCCACATCACAATCCTCGATTGATCTCCGGTTGATTGCCGAATGCCGATCTAATGATCATGATACCTAGCATCCAGCGAGAGAGGTCGGCTCGGCGGACTCTGGTAGTATTGCTTCATGTGCTAGGTTGCGGGCCCGTCAACTATGCAGTGCTACAACTGAGCTCCGTATACACCTTCTACCGTACTTCATGCAAAGACAGACTTTCTGTGGGAGATTGAGGATTTATGTTACTTTCATGCTTATGTATGCCTGTGCAATGTGCAGTATGTCACGATTCAAAACACAAGACTTTCTGGATTCTCTTGACCGCAGATGAAAGTCCACGAATGGGGATTTTAGGCACTGCTTGCTCACAAGAAGATGGGTGAAGAACTGAGTGCGTGCTGTGATTTACATCATGTTCGAGCTTTAATGTGCAATAACCGATGCGATCACAGACTCAACTGTGTCGACCTGTTATGATATAATATGCAAGCTACAATTAGCAAAAACTGTTTGCGCTTGTCAGGGGAACCCCCGCTCGAGGTTGCCCTTACAGCGCTGCGGTTTGTACAGCTATGTCCACAAGGATATATTCAGATACAACAACTCAGCACTGATGACAGCCTTTGAAATGGGTAAGAATGGTTCCGAGGGAGCCAAATCTTGGGCAGAGGAGTTGCACAGTAGTACCAGCAAGAGGCAGTCAAGTTAGGAGGATCAATCTGTTGTGACGTGGGCAGTATGAGGTAAGAACGCATTGCGTGAGCGTGAGAAAGATCAACGTCCTCCCAATCTACATTGCAGTCCATGAAATAATGGCCATCTCTCCTGCCCAGAAAGCAGCAGTCGAAGAAGTGCTCAATGCAATAACTTCAGCGACAGGCCTCCTCGCAAACGCCAGCTCGCCTCTATGTTCATGGATTTGGTGGACAGGGAAGACTGGGCAGAGTACTACGAGGTCATACCCGAACCGCGCTGCCTCAGAGACATTGCCGCGTCTCTGGAGAAGAACCGCTATAAGGACGCGTTGACTGTTTACACAGATCTCTCCCTTGTCTTTCTAAACGCGTTGTTCTATAATGAACCCGATAGCCAGATCGCCGCAGACGCACAAAAGCTTAAGGTACGCCAGTTGTGAGTGATTCGGTTTTTCCCACCAGACGTAAATATTCTAGGCACTACTGGAATCCGAGTGGAAAGCAAAATCTCCTCTCTTGCCTCAACCGTCTACGCCAGTCGCGCCGCAAACAAGAGCAGCGCCGCCTGTGTCGCACGTACTATCCGGATTGAAACCTTCACCTGGCGCACCTGCACCGACGGCTGCTACTTTGAGCCACACGACCGACATAGAAATGTCAGCAGCAATCAGCGCGGCTCCCGCATCCTCAGCTCCGGTCTCTCAGGACCCTGAATCTGAGTCCGAGTCCGAAGAAGATGAAATCCATGAACTGTGGACTGTTCCTCCTGACATTGAAATCGTTCACCAGCTCGAACTGGGAATCCCCCAGTACGAGCTCTTGGTCGGTGAAGATGGCGGTTGGATGGCGGACGTCAAGCATGAAAGACATCTAGAGATTGTGCAGGCAGTGAAAGCGTACCGAGACGCTGCGTGAGTGTCAACCTACTTCCACACGTGCGTTCTCCGCTCATCGTTTTCTTTCTAGCGGGGTCAAGCTCTCCACCGCGTTGGATGGTGTACCGGACGACAAGGTAGGCAATCTATCTATCTGGACGACCCCTCTCAATGTTGACCAGAACCCCATCACGTTTCGCCTCCTGGATGTGCGTCTAGCGACTGACTCCAGCGTGACTGTCCTGACATTTCAGTGCAGAGCCGTTCTCGTAGCAAAACGTTTTACACATCTTCGCACGCCTTCGATGCAGACCTTGCTCGGATGTTCGAGAGTGGCCGGCGCTATTACCTTGATCGAGCGGGAGTCATTACTGGCGCCAAGGGAGAGGAATGGGAGCGTGTTATAGCGCTTCAGGTATGGGATTTAGTTTCCTTTGTCAAATTGATGTGAATGGTTCTAGCGCGTGGCCAACGCCTTGACATCCAGCGAGCCTCCTCCTCTTCCCCCTGTCCAGCCTCTGTCCTGTCCCCCTGCCCACTACGGCCCGGATGCCGTGGAATGTGACACCGTCAACCATAAGGGATATGCCTTGCAAGCCGGTCAGTATGTGCATATTGTTGCAGGACAGGACCATCAGAACAATATGCAAATCGGGGTCCTCGGTCGCTCGGGCGGTCCGCTGGTCGGTCGAATCACAAAATGTTGGAGAAACAGCGTGGGCAATGAGGGCGTCAGTGTCCAATGGTATCTGCGAGCGGACCAGGAAAGTCGCCATTCAACGGTATAATTGTCTGATTGCTTGACCATGTGCAGATCTCCTCTGCACTCTTGCCAAACCGTCAACGAGGGGGCGCTGAAGGTGAAGTCGTTGAAACCGGTGCGCGAAGAGGAATCTGAGTTGGCTCTGATTCTGACTAGATCGCCCGACCAGACCAAACAACCCATCATCTGCTTGCAGACGTGATAGAAAGAGTAACATGCCAGCACGTCTCTACCGCGGGCCGGGGACGATTGCGTGCTCCGTTCTGGTATCCGGGATGGCCGGTGTATGTCTGTGGATATCGATATGATGCCGTCCAGGGTCGGCTCCGTCATATTTCGCCGTCAACCTGGCGCGCACGGAACACCCCAGGAGGATTTATCGAGGACATGTATCTGTTCGAACGGCCACTGCGCCTAGGCAAGCGCGATGAAAAGCCTTCAGCCTCGACAAGCGATCGCTCTGTTGTCACAGCCGGAGGGGCAGCTGTCAGCACGGTTGAAAAGCTATCCACGGAAACAAGTATGTACCTCCCCTCCTAAATCTTTCTTGTTCTCATCTTGGGTCAGCACGTCATTTTGAGCGGGATCCCTTGAGTGGAGAGATGTTCTGGTTCCCGGGACCTCCGCTGCCCATGACCAAGCCCCAGGCCCCACGGCACAGACTGGAATATCTGCATTTCTTGGCCAAGAAGTGCGACAGTGAGAAGGGTGCTCTGGAGAATGAGGACGGGCGAGCCGCGAAGAGAACGAGGTTGAGTGCATCAGAAAGGCTTGAAGAAGCATTACAGGTGATACAGGGCGAAGAGTAGCCTATGCATTTCACACAACTAATCTCGCTGCACCATAATCCATGAGATGATACAACAACACCTTTCCCCTTGTGTTGCCGATGACAAGATACTCGCTCTGCGCAGAAAAATCTACCGCAGTCACGTGTCCTAGTGGGGTGCTGGACGTAGGCCAGTTTGAAAACGCAGTCAAACTGGGCAGGTGGATCTACAGCACATCAGTGAAGCATTTCATATCAGACTGACGATCATACCACACGCAGAGCGTCTTTTTTGTCTCGACTGGCCAGAGCCATCAATTGAGAGTCGTGGTTGAATCGTAGGGTCGATATAGCAGTGGTCAGGTTCCCGATCGTTTTCACTGCCTTGGGCTGCGCTGAGAATGTGGTCCCTTCGCTGTGCCGGAACGAATCAGCTCCATATACGTTCACTAGCCCAGTGTTCGATCTAGCCATCGGTCAGCGAATAGTGCGCGATCTAAGAAGGGCCCACCAACCCAATTGCAAGCCAACCTTGGCGCGCTCCAGCCATAGCACGCCCAGCTCCTCGGAAACCGCCCTCGTCTTTCCAGCGTCTCACACAGCGTCTCTGGCCCACATCCCACAGGTAAACTTCAGAGTCGTTCGTGAGCGCGGCGAGTGTATCATCCTGGCCAGTCCACCAAAGAGACTTGATGCTTGCACCGCATTTCAAGCTGCCCACGACTTGACCGGCCGCGCTTTTCCAATCGACCAGATGCACATTCCCTCCTTGACCGGCGACTGCTAGCATGCTGCCAGAGTCGTTGAAAGCCGTCACTTCCATTCCTGCCGCACCTCCACCAGATGTAGAGTCCCGCTCGGAGCCACCTCTGCGTGGTCGCTTTCGTCGTGGCTGTGCAAGCATCGTGGAGGAATCGAAAGAACCCCACAGGCCACGGCCAGTTTTGTGAATCATCTCGCCCCGGTGGAGGTCATACACAAAATAGAATGGGCGATTTCCAGTCAGTAGCAAGGAAGAGCCCGATGGGTGGAAATTGGCCGAGGATTGAGAGAGAGGAAGTGTCGGTATGTGCAATGTTTGCAGCAAGGGAGACGTATGGCCATCAATCTAATCTAGTCACAAATCCATGGAAAGGGCCTCAAAGAATAAACGCACATTGAAAAGCCTTATTCTCCGATCCGCACTTCCTACGCACAACAGTGGAATTTTTGCACTTGGGTGAAACGAAAGAGTTTTGATTTCTCCAGAGTCTGAACCAGCTTGATTGGCATCGCGCAACCGTTCAATAGACAGCGTGCCTGTCGCCAGCGTTCCCTTTTTCGTTCGAGACGCGAGAATGCCGACAGTGGAAGAGAAAAGTTCATTGATCCCAGCTTCATCCATCTCCTGGAGCCGATCCTTAGCAGCTTTAGCCCATGCTGGCTGAGGGTTGATGGTTTCATATTGTCTGCGAAGACGAGACTCATATTGCCGTCCAGTCAGTGTGGTTTCCGATGCGTCGTTGCGAAGTTTACGAAGCTTCCCAGACTGTATTGACACGGACGGAGGGTCCGATGGGTCCTCCCAGGCAGGTTTACGGCTCGACTGAGTCCATGTCGGTGGTGCTCTGACTCAGGGTGAGAATCCGACGATCCGTCGTCGTCATCTTCGTCGGATCCTCCGCTGTCGCCCTCTTCCTCCTGATCACTGAATTCGACATCGTCAAGAACAGATGTAGGTTGAGCGTCGTCAACGTAGAAAAGCTATGATAAATCAGACCGAGCATTGAAAGTCAGACCACAACGAACATCCATGTCCGCCAGATTTTTCATTTCTCCGCTCTCCACAACAGAACCAGTGGTGGCCATTGCAGGCACATACTTAGTGCCGAAGAGGACGTTTTCCAGTCGGCGTTCTTCGTCATCTTTCTGAGAGTCATCGAGAAGCTCCAGCTCCAGAGACGCATCGACTGTCTTTTGGCGCTTGCGAGGGTGTTTGGGCATGGTGCTATGCGCTCGCTAAGGGAGGGAACAAAACTGTGTTTGGCGGACCGTCTTGCCGAGCAGTCACTTGATCACACATGACCATGAACTTTTTTCGGTGCCAACAGATCGCACCCAGATATCCCTTGTTTCCGTCCGATTTCGTTCGGTCTTTCTCCTCATCCTCTCCGCGACTTGTCAAGAAGAGAATGCCCCCCAAGAAAGCGGCCGTGCCTGAGAAGAAAACCCTTCTTGGGCGACCAGGGAACAATCTTAAAATCGGCATCGTAGGTACGCTCCACAGACATCGATATTCTCTAGACATTTATACCTTGCACAGGTGTTCCAAACGTCGGGAAGTCATCCTTTTTCAATGCGCTGTCCCAAACCGGTATGAAAGACTGGTCTACTTTGCTTGCACGCTGGCTGAACTATCGCAAGATCTGGCAAGGCCGCAAACTTTCCTTACGCTACCATAAAGTGAGGCTCGTCGCGACATCTTACTTTGTCATTGCTCATTTATTCTCTAGTCCTGAGGTACATTACTGTGGCCACGTCACACCTGTTCATCTTTCCAATACTGTGTAGGAAGCTCGCATCCCCGTTCCCGACACACGGTTCGACTGGCTTTGTGATTTATACAAGCCCGCTTCTCGTGTCCCCGCTTTTTTAACTATCATCGACATTGCTGGACTCACCGCGGTACGCTGTGGATAACCTCTGGGTGATGGCTCATCTAAAAGACGTAGGGTGCTTCCACGGGGGCCGGACTGGGCAACGCCTTCCTGTCTCATGTTCGGGCCGTAGATGGCATCTTCCAGATGGTCCGGGCATTCGACGATGCCGAGGTCATACACGTTGAAGGAGACGTTGACCCCATTCGCGACATCACAATCATACAGACGGAACTGAGACTGAAGGACATCGAATGGGTAGAGAAAGCTCTAGATGCTCTAAAGAAAACCGGTCGCAGTCTCGGGAATAGCAGTCTCGCGGACAAGGCTAGGAAGGAAGAGATTGTGCGCCGTTCGCTCCATGACGTCCCCCTAGCTAACTTACCTGGTTCAGGCGACAACAGAGAAGATCTTGAAGCACATCAAGGAAGATAAGAAAGATGTTCGCAAGGGCGATTGGAGCAATAAAGAGGTTAGTCTTTGTAAACAAACCCTCGCGTGACGAGAAAAGCGATATGCTCGAAACCCAGCTCTTTGAGACGGGAGTAACGCCCCAGTCTCTGAAAACAACATCTATCTGACTCCTTCGACTTGTTTGAAATTGCATCCAGCGTTTACTCATCTCTTTCAGGTGAATATTCTTGACTAGTCAAGACGCTTTTGTGATGACAAAGAGCGACATGCTCGATAACCCAGCTCTTCGAGGCAGGAGTAACGCCCTTAGCCATGAGAACTTATCCATTCTGATCTGTTCACCGTTTTCTGGAACTCGTTGCTGACATGTCTACTCAGATCGATGTTGTCAACGGCCTGCAACTTTTGACGGCAAAGCCCGTGACTTATCTTGTCAATCTGAGCGAGAAGGACTTCGCTCGTAAGAAAAACAAGTGGTCTGTCCGAGTCGCTGCCCAGTTGTCGAGTCCCTGACATGGCTACAGGCTAGCGAAGATCAAAGCGTGGATAGATGAGAACAATCCTGGAGATAATCTGATTCCCTTTTCGGTCGCGTTGGAGGAACGTTTGGCCCCCATGTCGGCCGAAGAAATGGAGGCAGCTCAGAAAGAGATTGGCGCCACCAGTTCTCTTGGAAAAATTACCCAAGCTGGATATGCCAGCCTCGATCTCATTCGATACTTCACGTGTGGGCCTGATGAAGTCCGTGCTTGGACTATTCGCAAAGGCACCAAGGCTCCTCAGGCTGCCGGCGTCATCCAGTTCGTATCTTGCCGGTGCTCCAGTCCTCTCATTGATTTTCTTTCAGCTCTGATTTTGAGAACAAATTCGTTTGCGGAGAAATCATGGCTTTCGACGATCTGAAGGAGCTTGGATCCGAGGCTGCCGTGAAAGCTGGTGGGAAGGTCAGACAACAGGGCAAGCCCTATGAGAGTGGGTGTTCTGTTCTGTGTATCGATAATCGCCTTACGTGTTCTAGTGATCGATGGTGACATTGCCTACTGGAAGGCTGGCGGATAAGCCTCTGGATTAACCTGTACATTCTTGCCGCAAATCAAATGTATCCTTTACGTGACTAGAGTTATTCGGTGTCCAAGATTGAATGTAGTGTACAGATGCTCGGTTTATGACCAAACAGGATCGAGCTTTCAGACGGTTGAAGAAGTGCCCGGCCAATTGCCCAAAAATTCGTAGCCATGCTCGGTCGGAGGCGTCAACTTGGACAGCTTGCCCAATTGTTCGTCTGCAATCTCGTGAAGACGCGTCGCACCGTTCAAAAGTTGACCTACAAATAGGGTCGCTTTCAATCAAAGAGAAATGCTTCAGGGGCCACGTTGTGCCTTTGGCCTCTTCATCTTTGCGACGCTGTCTCATATCGTTCTGGAACAACTCAGACGTGTGTGTTTTTATGGATCTGCCAGACTCACCTCGATTCGACTCTTCTCCGTGCTTGCAAGGTCAAAATCGCCTTCTCTGATGCCCTTGGCAACGAGCGACCAGAGCTTGCGTGTCTCCATCGGTCCCATTTCTCCATTGGGCTCGCCCCCGATGGCCTTGACTTCCTCTTTGGGAGTGGAGACGTCATGGAAGGTCCCTCCCCCACCGCGCGTGTACTTGCTACTCTCGCTCCACACGCCTTCGATGACGATGTCACCGGATCCACTGCCCATGCCTGGTAATGCGGCAAGTGTTGCCTTGAACGAATGCGATTTGCCAGAGAAATACCCTTTGCCCTTGTACTCGATGGCGCAGTCGTAACCTCCGCCGATGATGTGGGAGGTGTCCGCGAGTTCGACATAAGGGTTTGCGTAGATCAACCCTGTATAGCTCAGCCAAAGAGAAAACGAATGGTAGACCGCAGCACACCTTCGATCCTAAGGCGAGGCAACGTCAAGAGATAATCGACCGATCCAGAGGGTGTTTTGACGGTCAGTACAGCATGTCCAATCTGCTTGACGATGATGGATCCACCGCTGAAGCTCGTCTTTTGTCCGTTGTGTCCGACAAGTTTCAGACCTTTGGCTTCATTTTGGATAACGTAGGCCGTGATCGGCGGATGATGCGAAACCTGCTCGACGAGGAGATCAGTCCGTCCGCGCCCATCCTTGTCGGGCCAGGATCCGTAAAATAGTCTGAAGAACTGCATCAATATACAGATCCAGACGGTGTAAAACCATACGCACTCTCCGAGAGCAGGATTGAGCGGTCTTGATTCCAAAATTATCAACAGCGATCATGACGTCTTGAATCAGGAACCCACTTCTTCTCTGAACCCATGGTTTCGTTTCGCGATGTGTACTGACTTTTCAAGGTACTCTATGGGGAGGTGAGAAAACTTCGGAGACACAGAGAGAGAAACTCACGATGAACCATTTCAGCACGGCCAACGCTCTCTCTTCCGGTGTTTTGGCATCTGCGATTTGGGCAAAGAGTTCTGGTCGTTCACACCAATACGCTGATCGTTCAAAGAATCAGCGAACTAGAGGGCCTGAATGCGTTTGATTTACCAGGAAACTCTGTGAGAGACACGGGCTGCAAGATTCATTGTTTGATAGGAAGTAAATAGTCTAAATAGGAGACTTGCTGAAAGAATGAAAGGCGGGGCCGTCTCGAGATCGAGTTAACACGAGAAAACGCGAAATATCTGGTTTGGCGCACTAGCGATGACAGATCTCCAGAGAAGGAGGCGATTCTAGATGCTGTGATCAGGCTAATGTCGTGTCGCGCGACCCGAGGACATACGATTTGAGGAATGAGGTCCAGCTGCTCTTTTGAGCAGGATGCACAGTCTGTGGATGAGAAAGCGTTAACTATACACACATCATATCATCGGAAATCGATACTTCTGCGGCTTCTGTCATGTTTATCGAGGCAAGTGGTAGTAGAAGGCGTGAGCGGAGAGGTGTTGTTGTGGCTGTACAGATCGTGACGTCATAAGTAGTCGAATAGATGGCAGTGCATAATTAATCGTGCCAGTCATTACATACGTATGGTTTGTGAGTGGATTCAGACAGAGTACCACGCAGTCAATTTAGTTGTCCCACCCAGCTCTATTCCAGAGTGTATCCCTCCCAAACGAAGACTTCTAATGGCCCCGGTTTTGACGACTTGTGCTTGAATCACCCAGAGTGTTGTTCAGACACGTGAACTGTGGATGAAGCCCATTTCTTCCAAACTGAAGAAAGTGTCGCCCATTCTGGCCTAAACGCGTCGGAAACATCATCGTTCGTGGCAACAGAAGCGCTGGGAAGCCCTGAGGCCAGAGCGGCAAAGCGTAGATCGCGCATGGTAATGCCTTTCATTTGTCGAGCTTGGGGGGTATCGCTTGGATGCCATGGTGGACGAAGTGCCGAATTTGTTACTGTTATTAGGAAGACGCGATTTCCGACGTCGGTATGCTCCACGCTCAACAGGACGGGATGGTGCTAAGAAACCAGATCATCTTCTCTTAGCAATTCATCAGAAACATTGCACACACCTTTTCTGCCCTACACAATGTAAAGATGTCGTGGACAAAGGGTACAGCATCGTCGTAGCGCTCGAATTTGAACTGACAGCTCAATGTAGCCGCCTTATCCCGTTGTTGAATAAACCAGCCACGAGAGTAGAGCGGCAATAGATATTGCGAGGTGTCGGTTTCTGTGATCCACGGTGTTGGCCAGCCTTTGACTTTCGCAGGGACGAGAATTGGGTTGGAATTCGCCAAATATCGTCTCGGTGGGATTCGGACGGGGGGCCTGAAGATAAGCCCGTTCGTCGAATATTTTACGAGCATGGTGGTGAGTGGACTGTAGCGGTCACATGCCTAACGAATCAGAGTCTTTTGCTATTACTGTTACTTTGGAACTTGACAGTCCAAGGACAATAGCCTCAAAAGATTAGACGGTGGTGTGTATGAATGCGGAATATACAGAGGAATAATGATAAAACTGGAGAACAAAGGAGTGTGGATAATCACCAAAACGTTGATAGAGAGCAGATAAATGAGCGTGGGCGCGCATGATGGCGCAAGTAAAAGGTCTGATGTCATATATGGGGTGGGCCAACCTATTCGGCCTTGAATCGCTCGCCCCCTGAGCCTCCGCGCATGATGGCCTTCATGAACTCGAAGAACCGTTCGGAATACTCTGTGGGTTCAACTGGGCTGATTTTGTGCTGCAGGGATGCGTGAGATCAGTAATCGTAGCATCTAGGGGAGAAGAGGCCAGACTGACTCGATCCGCACGGAGGCCCTTCCAAAAGTGTTCCAACTTCTTCGCCATGCTGTAAGGCGTCAGGATGTCGATAACGCCCAGGTAATAAATCGTTTCCGTGGGATCGTTGGCTTCGTCGGTAGCCCTCAATCCGCCTTCATCTCGGTAGAATAAAAAGTCTCTTCGATCGCCAGTGTCCTCCTCAGGCAAACGAAGCGTGCCTCGGCCATGGCCGAGACGCTTAGGATCTGACTCCCGCATCGCACGGCGCATCGCAATGGCCTCCGGCGAAGAGACCCTCGCCGACCCTTTGATTGCGGTGCTGGTGACTCGCCGTGACATTCCGGGAGGGAGATCTGGAGAAAAGACCTTAAGCGTGTTGCGCCGCACATTATCCCGATTCCCGCGCTCCATGTTGTGGATCCCGACCAGCAGCGAATAGTCCATCACGTGGATGGTTCGGAGAAGCTCCGCATCCCGCCTCAATTGTTCTGTGAGGAGAGCACGCTTCTCAGGTCCCAGTTCCAACATCTTTCCACGGTTGATCCAATTGAGATCCTTGAGCACCGCACGTGGGTTTTCTGCCGCCTTTGCTTCAGAGTACTCACGACCGACAGTGCTTCCCTTGAGATCGAACGTTTCGTGAATATCTCGGTGTGGAGGGAACAGATTGTTCATGATGACGAAATGGATTTTGTGGCCCCGGGGGAGCTTGACACGATGCAGTCCATAAAACCGCGAGAGGAGCGTGTGTGGGTTGTTCTTCACGTGGGTATGATACTGTTTGAGCACGGACAGCAGGAACTTGTGCTCTGAATGTCGAATCGTCTTTATGATGAACCGATAGTCCCGTGAAAAGTAGAAGAAGGAGCCCGATTTTCCCGGAGAACCCAGTTCTGAAAGGATGTACTTCGCGGTAAGCGACAGAAGATAGTCGGCTGGGTCAAGATGGAAATAATCTTCGCGGAGTTCCCTGAAAACGAGTGGGGCGTAGTCTTTGAACTTGAAATCGTATTTGGCGGATGGTGTTAATTCGTTGCCGACGCTAGCTAATGTCAGGCAAGGTTTGTATACGAAATGTCACACTCACATGTCGAAGGAATATTTGTGCCTCGCAGAGAAATCTTCTTCGGTCAACGGGCGTTTGATTTTGGCCTGGCATCGGGAGACACCAATCCGAATGCCCGTTAGCATGTTGTACATGAGCACATAGTTGACATGGTCTTCTCCGATCAAATTTCCAACGAGTACGACGTCATCTCGAGTGTTGGCGCTATCTCGTTTGGGTGCACTGCGCGTCAGCGCGGCTTCAGCTTCCTGCTGCTGTTTTGCACGTTTAGACATGCGTTCCCTCCGGATCTGGTCTGCATGTTGTTGGATGTCAGAGGCAAGTCCAACCTCCAATTCCTCCCCATCAAACACATGGGGTTGTGAGCCGTGTTGAGTATGCAACGACGTCCTGAGCGGATTGACTCCCGTCGAACCAATGGTATTGCGCCTCGTCGGTCGTGAAGCTGCGGGTGGCTGAAGATAGTCAGAAGGTAGTGCTGTGGAGGCGGTTTGGATGGATAATTCGGTATGTGCACTGGTGGATGTGTCCAGCGGTCCTGCAGCCGGTAATTGATGAGTGGGAGAGTATGAACGGGTAGCAACGTCGCTCAAGGATCGCAGAGTTGCATGAGGGCGACGTTCAGAATCCTCGCGTTGTTCGCCTGTTGGGACAACGGTTTGTTCAGTAACAGCTGATTCGCGAAGTTGTTCCGGTTCCTCATAAAGAACACTACGACCAATGTCGAGTGTAGGAGGTGGGTCAACTATATCATCACCCGGATCTACGCTCGCAGGAGGGCTCGGCGGAGGTGGTCCCACCCTATCTTGTCCGTGAGGTGTTGAATCGAGATGGGGTAGGAAGTAGGAGTCCTGGTCACCGGTGACCTTGACAATATGAACTTCATGGGGATGTGACGGTGGGCGGGACAGTGCATGCGAGCGTTGTTCAGACTGTGACTGCTGCAACGAAGACGATGAGCGAGAGGATGGGGCAGTTCGATAGGATGCAGTGGAGGAGGATTGTTGCCGAGCGGAAGGGTTATGATATGCCCCGGCTGCAGCCAAGTTGTCCATAGGCTCGGGTGCTCGCGGTGTCGACACTGGATGCACTGCGACCGACATGGTCGAGAAGTGAAGCTTTGTATGTGTATGTTGTGTCAGTGATCACACTCTCTGTCTCCGCAACGACTTGGCACCGCAACGATGATGTTCGAACCGATACGTGGGGGGACGCGTGGAGGACAAGGAGAATTCAAGTGGTCTGACGTCTCGGCGGACAAAGACAGAGAGGTTAGTCCACCCTCCCTCTTCCTATTTGCAACAATTGAACGAATAACTACAGAATTATCTTGGACATAGTATCAATGCCCCTACAGGTCGCTGGCAGAAGAACAAAGACGTTCACTGGTACAGTCGCGAAAACAACGACTCAGAGGAAGCTCGAGCCGAGGAAATCCGTCGAATTAAGGAAACAGAGGCAGAAGCTCTCTCCTTGGCATTGGGGTTCGCCCCAGAGAAACGGGCAAATAACAGCGGCACCGAAGCTACGGGATCGAACGCCATACCTGCTCCAGGGACACAGGACGTCGAAGAACACGAGAAGCACTCGAGCAAATCGGAGCGGAAGGAAGAGAAACGGATGCGAAAGGAACATCGTCGAGCGGCCCGCGAGGAACGACGCAAACATCGAGACAGAAATCCTAGTCGCGACCGTTCAGCTTCTCCGCGGCGCAAGCGTCACGTTGATGCCAATGAGCGGTACTATCGAAGAAGAGATTCTCGTTCCCCACGACGTAGTATCTCGCCGCTCCCGGCTCACATCAGAGTCGAATCGCCGCTTCGAGACTCTTCGAGACCTTCTGAGAAATATACTGCCGCACACAGAGAACGTGAACGTGAGCAGGACCGTCGGCGGTGGGAGAGTAGTGCATACAGAAATGTACCTGGCGCTGGGACTCGGAGATAACAACTTGAGTCTTCGACTATCTGCGACAAGCTAGCATTTTCGATCATTTCAGTAGTACTGTACACTCGCGAGCGTTTGCTTGGATGTTCCCAATGGAGAGCACTCTTCTGAAGTCTCAGTATACCAGTCTCAGCTGAAATAATCGGGTTGCCTTGCTTGTCAAGGCTTCTTCAGACCCTAAATTGTTGCACACAAATCAGATGTAATGTTCCTGCATCTGATCCGATCAACTCGTCTTTACCGTTGTATGTACGCACGCGTCTCTTGTGCTCTTGTGCTCTCATTTGCGCAGTGCGCTTTCCGCCGTGGTTTTCACCCGAGTGCGCTGTAAACAAATGTATTGTAACAAATGTACCGAGTGACTCGTATTGATGTATGTATTGTGTTTGTGAATGATGCGCGAGCAAGCAAGGCAGTTGCTGGCGGAGGCGGCGCTCTAGTCAGCAAAACTACAGGTTCTGATGTTGATGCTATCATATCATCATCAGCCGTGATAGCATCAGTGCTTGACTGGCCACTCGTGACTACCTGTGTAGCTGCTTACCAAAAGATTATTCGCAGTTTTCGACCGACAACCACTCCAAGATGGCGAGCTTTCCTTGTCTCAGTGTTGCTGCACAGCTGACATCCGCCGTTCTTGGAACACTTAGACCAAGCGCACCAAGAAAGTTGGCATTACCGGAAAGTACGGTACCCGTTATGGTGCTTCCCTGCGAAAGCAGGTCAAAAGGATGGAAATCTCCCAACACGCCCGCTATACTTGCACTTTCTGTGGCAAGGTGCGTCGTGCTGATGTAGTTCGTGGACGTGCATTGATCTGACTTTTCGACCAGGACACCGTGAAGCGCACCGCTGTAGGGATCTGGAACTGCAGCTCGTGCAGGAAAGTTATCGCAGGGGGTGCTTGGACCGTCACAACTACAGCTGCATCGACCGTTCGGAGGTGTGCTCTGTTCTTTCTTGGGGTCTGATGTATTCTAATGCGTTGTTTTAGCACTGTGCGTCGGCTGCGTGACCTCACTGAGGCATAGAGCACGTCCCCATGATTTCTCCTCTCTCTCATCCTGCTCTGCACTCTGTATGTTCGTATGCCATATGAATCAGAACACAAAACTCGAACTGCTCTGGAATTGGATGGGACACGATGGAATGGAAATTCTGAGCACTGTGTATAGAACGAATATAGCCGGTAATCTCTGTGTATCACTCCCTCAGCCATTCATATCCATCTCGCCCTCTGCGTCGCCGTCCATATCCATCTCTTCTTTGCCGGCATTGGCTAGTTGCCTCAGGAAATATTCCGGCTCCTGGACTTCGGCAAGCAGATCTTGACGTTCCCCTACTTCATCTTCGCCCATTGCGACATGTGTCATCCGAATCACTTCCCATTTATCGGCGTACGAGTCATAAGGCTGTGATGATAAGTGAGATCAAGAACCACACCGACGAAACAGAACACCAGACGTTGACGCGTTTTTTCTTCAAGACCATCTTCCGCTCGATTCCTTTGAAGTAAGCACCGGGCTGTCGATGATTGGCAGAGATGCCGTCCGAGATGTCATTTTCGCCCCCATCCTCGAGAACAAGCAGGAATTCGTTTGGAACCTCCTGTTCGACTTTCACAGTCTCATAGTCGCGCACAAATGAGAAGATTGTTTCCTGGATTTGGGGTTGAATTCGTCACGATGCCTGCATCAGCAGTTTCGAGACGCACTTGACCGTCCGCAGGGACTTCATAAGGCTCATGCGTCCGTCTGGTCTCTTTGAGCCTCTCCGCCATTTCATCGTCCTGCGTGAGATAATAAGCGAGGAACGAGTCGTGTTCCGTCTTCATCGGTCGTAAGATCGCACAGTCTAGACGCGGGTCATCCACGTCTGACGGCCTTTCTCCTGGACGTTCAGAAAACCTGAAAAGATCATATTGGTTGGCCCAAATGTCATCGTCTGGTAGGACTTCGTATGAAGCGACCGCCCGTACGCCTGGCTTGTTAGGATGAACAAGAGATTCCAGGTTGAACTGATTGTTGGCTGCTGCAAATGAGGCTTCGATGGTCCTGAGCTGGGCTTCGGGAGAAACATCTATCACGGCGACGGGAATAGCTTTTCTGGTTGATGGATGACTAGTGAGCAGGACAACATCGTGACTATGAACAACACGCACGGCTCAGTTAGGTTGACACGCGACGTGCTCTCTCTGGTGATGTATTCCGTCCGGCGAAGCCACGAAACATGAGCGGGAAGAGAATTCGATGGGCCTGCGGACGAGTGGGCACTCCCGAAGGAATGTGATGGCGCTATATCGGCGAGTAGAGCTGCGTCTTCAGGATCCAGAGAGGGAAGGTCATTCGGATCGGGATTGAGCTCTGAACTAATAAGGTCGAAGTATGTTGCGAATCTGGCCCGACGCACCCGCGTTCAGCTTCACCCAATGACCCTGGATCTCACTTTTGCTCTCTCCGTCCCTAGGTGGCTCTAGCCACAGGCTTTCCCACTTGCCGAGGTCCAGCGGCATCCCACACTCTGCATCAACAATCATTGGAAGCGGTATATCTTGAGCCAAAGCGTCAAGGAATTCAGGTCGAGAATATCGTGTGGGATTGGTCGGGATATCCAAAAGCTTTGGGGGACACGGAGGTGCTGGAAGGGGGTTGGCATAGCGAACCCGAACAAGAAGATCAAGTTTGCTACTGCAGAGAAATGAGAACCAGGGGGCAGGCCGAAGGCAAAAGCGCGTACTTCTTCTTGGAGGTCATGGTTCAGTCGAGACAGTTACACAGCCACAGCATGGCTTTCAGTCCGCGGGGTTCCGCACTGACGCCGAAGCGCCTTGCAATTACATTAAGCGTTGCGCCAGTGCTGTCCAGTGGTATTACTCAAGAATGAACAACAGAGTCGAGCAACCCCGAAAGGCGCGTGAAGATTGAAGATAATCATAGCTACTCGATATTACAACTCTTCACGATTCGCGGGCTTTGCCTTGCTTTCCAATCCCATCAATTCGACGGTGAATACAAGAGCAGAGTTCGCAGGGATGACGGAGCCGAATCCACGAGAGCCTGGGATTTCCGGTCAGCCTGGTCGCTGTCCAGATATCAGAGGGTTGCGCACCGTATGCCATGTCCGATGGAATAGTCAAGGTTCGCTTTTCATGCAAACACATACCAACGAGACCCTCATCCCAGCCTTTGATGACCTGGCCAACACCGACTGTGTACGACACGTGTAAGAACAGAGAGAAACACAAAGGTTTACAATAACGCACGAGTCAAAGGCAATGGGTCTCCGCCGCGATCAAGACTTGGCGGTTTTGAGCATGCAGACTACTGGATGGACAGACGACATACCTCGAGTCGAACTTCGATCCGGTAGCAAAGAGGGTACCGGTCTGTTCAAATGAGGATAATGACATCAACGACAATCTGCGCTCGTACATAGTGCACTTGAATCTGGTCTCCCTTCTGTGCAGTGACTGGGCATTCTTCCGGTTTGTAGGTCGTTTCTATTTGCAGTGTTTTCGGAGGCTCGGCAGCTCCAGATGCAAGTGCAGGGACGAGAAAAAGAAAGGGAGCGAGAAGTTGGACGAAATGCATTGATACTGGCTCAGAACAAGTATGTATACGTGTTCGGTTAAACGATTACTTAAAGTGGTCACTTGACAGGTGGCAGTGCCATCGCGGCCGCACGTGATAGTCGACAAACAGGGCAAAATTGTACAGGTCAAGGCCAGCCTTTGCACAGACCATACCACGTTGATCTCGCAATATGGTGCGTTCTCATGACTCCTGGAGGCCCTTGCTGATCGAATCTATCGTTTCTCCCTCCCCTTGTCTTCTCGATTTGCATTATCTCTCGATTACCGTCTGTTACGACGTCCAGCCATCTCAAAAAACTTTCCGCACGAAGAGGATCCTCGCCAAGGCCTCGCGCCAGAACCGGCTAGTGCTATACTTCCCTCTGAAGCCCCGTCTCATCCGTCTCACAGCCCCATTCCTCAATGGTTCCGCCTGAAAACTGATTCCAAAATACAGGTTTGTAGTTGACTATTCTACACGCCATCCTGCTCATTTAAACCCACAGTACAACGCCAAGAGACGGCATTGGCGCAGTAGGCTGGATGCTTGCCTGTGTTTCACCCAGCTGACATTTTCTAGGGACGAAGCTGAACATCTAAACAGCCATGGAAGGATTGCAGGAGATCAGTTCTTTTTTTGCTGTATTAGCTATATGCCTATGATCCATTTCTTCGCATCCATTATCTTCATGCTGTACCTCTGTCTTTCCCGTGTGGTCCGACCCTCGACAGACTTGTAATTTTGAAAAGAAACCGTCTTAGCTCGAGCAACGAAATAACACTCTAACCCTAACCACAGACTACATTGCCATACTTTTCCTCTCACTGCTTCAAGCTTGTCGGATCAATGCCCGTTCGACCTGTTCCTACCCCTCTGAGCCTCCAGCACGCCAATGCCAGTGAATACACTCTGCGGGATGTACCCGGTGCCTCGGTCGATGCGGATGAGGATAGTGTACCATTAAATACGCCCACCACACCGACTTACGGGTCGACATTTGCCCAAAGGCATCCTGAAGGTCATTCATTGCCTTCTCTATTCATAACGCAGCTCTTAACCTTCGGTCAGGACCCGCCCGACGGCCCTCATCGAGAAGGCTTGTTCTGAATGCAACCCTCAAGATGGCAGCGGTGTTCATTGTCAGCACCGTAGTTCTGGGAAGCATACTGTGGGTGGCATTGCCCACGCTGGATGAGTGCGCATTCCGAGTTCATACATCGCACCGGACCTTACTGTTCTCAGAGAGGATCGGCCCAAACTTGGGATTCCTAAATCATTTGCTCAGCTACAGGATCTGAACGGCATATTGAAGAAATATCGGGACATCTACCCCTACCGCATAGTAATCTGCTTCGTTGTGACTTACCTCTTGTGCGTCATATTTTGCACTGCATAGCGACTGCGCCTACTGAAAAACCCTGCAGCCTACAGGCATTCTCCCTGCCCGGATCGATGTATATGTCGATATTAGGCGGGGCTGTGTGGGGGGTGCCCATAGCTTTACCTCTAGTGTGCTGTTGTGTCGCGACTGGCGCGACACTGTGTTACCTGATCTCAGATGCTCTAGGACCAGCTCTGTTGACCTTCCCCAAATGGAAGGCCATGCTTGACAAGTGGGCTCGCAGGATCCAGAAACATCAAGTGAGCTGCTCAAATATGAATACAGGCCACGGCTCACATCGACAAGGATAACATGATCTCGTTCTTGATTGTGCTGCGCATAGCACCGCTTCCCCCGCATTGGGTTCTCAATCTGCTTGCCCCGCACGTCGGAATTACTATTCCCGTCTTCTGGATCACGACTGCCCTCGGAATTCTAGGCGTGAGCGTCATTCACACGACGATTGGGGGCGGTCTCGACGAAATGACCAGCTCAGACGATTTCCATCTCATCTCGTGGAAGAACTTCTTCGGTCTCTCTGCAGTCGTCGCCGGTGCGCTGATACCTGTCGGGCTGAGATATTTTTTCGGCAAACGTGCGGGTGCTGACGATGATAATGTCGACGAAGCAATCGCAGAAGAGGAATCGGGGGATGCTGATGAGGATGCCGATGTCAATGTCTCTGTGACGAGTCGTCCTACATATGAAACTACGAGGCCGGGCGAAGATGCAGGTCAGCGCTTGTTAGACGACGATGAGTTGGCCGAGGACTACGACGACGACGATGAAGATATAATCCTAGAATCTGGAGCTTCGGCCCCCCTCCTCTCCAGCAGCAATCGGCGTGAAGCTGGAGGACTCTCGATAACATAATCTGCTCGTAGAGATGTACTTACTTTCTTTTTATCTTATTTCCTCTTTGTGTCTGAGTGATGGCCGGGAACTGCAAATGGCAGTGCAAGCGAGACGCGGTGGTGACTTGCAACCTTTGTTCTCATCTTCTCGGTCACCTTGGTCAAACTTGACGATTCGACTGCTTCGTTGCACTCGCCCGTCCAATCGCCCCGGCTCTTGAGTCGTGCGTGAGTCTAACAGCGACCAGACCAGAACAAACACAGCACGACACCTCGTCTTCTCACACACCACAACCTCTTCCTCCATTTCCCTCCAACCTCGCCCCTCGCGGCCGACCCGCTATGGCTGACCGCTACAACATGCTCCCTGCTGGATTTCCTCAGGGCGTTGTGCAGCATCAACAGCTGGGACAGCAGATGGGGCAGTCCCACCTCCAGCTCCAGCAGCAGCAGCAGGACAACCACAACCAGCCTTTTCCCGACCAGTGGCCCCAGATGCAGCAGATGCAGAATCAATTTCGACCGGGCAGCAATCCCATGGACCCGTCGCATTTGAATCCTCAGGTGTGTTGCGTTCAGGAGGGGTCCTAAACCCCCACTGAAGACAATAACATCTCCTGTATCGCAGAGGAACTAAAGAGAGCGATAGGTTGCGGAACTTATGCGATCACAACAATTGAGTCGTGCTGGCCAGCAGCCCCAACCGCAGGCCCAATTTCCTTTGCACCAATCCTCTCCACAATCCTTCCCCGACGGAGTGAACCAACAGCAGCCTGGTCAGTCCCACTCCAACTTCCAGAACATGAACCCGTCCATGCAAGCCCTCAATAACCGCAACAACATGATGCAATCCTTCCAGCAACCGAACAATCCGGCGACCCACAGGCAACTAGAGCTTATGGCGCTTGCCCATAGCCAACAGCCGCAGAACGGATCCATGAATTTTCCCAATCGCATGCAGCATCAGGCCGCCGTAGGGGGGCAGGCGAATGGGATGGGCTCAGGACAGGCCCCACAAGCTGAAAGTTTCCTCTCCCCCGTCATGCAGCCCAATCTCGACGGGATGCGACGCCCTTCGCCTTCAGGGCCCATGCAGCCTGGTGTACCTCCGAATGGCGGTGGACCCGCTCATCCTAACCGCGCGACCTATGCGACGTTGCAAGAGCGCGCGGCAAACCTGAAAAACATAATCACAAACCAGGAAAATCAACTGGTGCAGCTAACGAGCCAACGCACGCGGATGGGCGATGCTTCGTTCATGGAACGTGTTCGCGATCTTTCTGCGGACTTGAAGAATCGCAAGGAATACTACGCTCGGCTGATTCATTTCCTAAAGCAGATGAGCCAGCAGCAGCAGCAACTGCAAGGGCAAGTGAATGGTCAAGGAGGTGGGAATATGTATGTTGTCCCGCTTTCTGCTGGATTTGTTCTTGACCCCATTGTAGGCCGATGAATCAGCCACCACCTCCACCACCAGCTTGGATGTCGAATCCTTCGCAGCCCCAAGTGCCTTTCAATACGCCCTCTAACTCGACGCCTCCTGGACACGGTCCCCCTGCCGGTCATGGCTCGCCCCAGATGCGACCAACTCCGCCTGCTGTCGGACCAGTTCCCCCGCGAGGTGGCCCGTCCAGTGCTCAGTTCCCAAATTCGCTGGCTGCTGCCGCCGGTGAACTTCGCATTCCGCCCCTAGAGCGGAGTCGCTTCGAACAGGTGTACAAGAACTTTTGCACCCAGCGCAATATTGTGCACAATCCTCGCATGCTTATGATTGAGGCACGGCAACTCGATCTCTATGAACTCCATTCTCATGTGATGCAAGAAGGTGGTCTGCAAGCAGTATGTTTCTCGCTTCCCGTGTGTTCATGTCTCTGAGTGTGCGCTCCAGATAGTGCAGAAGGAACTCTGGTCGACCATCGGTGGGCGAATGGGCTTCGTTCAATTCCCAGGCACCGACCAGGAGCCACCGAAGTCCGGTCCCATGGTCGCACAGCAGCTCTTCCACATCTATAAAGAATATCTCGCTTCCTTCGACAACGTCTACATCAGCACAGTGATGGAAAGCCGAAGGAAAGCGGAGGCGGTCAATGCGACCCAACGAATTGTACCAGGCGCTGCAGGGAACGCCGGTCCTCAGCTCCCGATCCAGCATGTGAATCAGCAGCAGATGCAGATGATCATGAGTTATGCGCATCTTTCTGCTGCTGAGCTTCGTCGGCGGAACATCCCGGAGAACATGATCATGTTTGTGGAGAATCATCGGGCGACTTTGGCGCGCAATGCTGCCGAGCAAGGCAACTTCCGACATCAGCTGGCTGGACCTCGAGAACAGACCGGAATGAATCCAGGATTTCCGCCGTCCGGTGCCATGATGTCCGGGAATGTCAATCGACCTTTTCCCGGTCCGCACGGACCCATGGCCGAGCTCATGAATGGGCCAGGTGGGCTTCTCGCGTCAATAACCCGGCCATCACGAGAAACAGTGCAGGCTGCCATCAACACAATCACCAAACTCAAGCAAGAGTTCAGTCCTGAGCGGATGATGCAAAATGTACCACCCATCGAGATTCCGCCGGAACAACGGGCCGACTATAACACCTTGCTTGAACAGCTGCACCGAGCAAGTACGGATCTGGACCAGAAGTTACCCATGCTCTGTGCCACGCTGAAAAGGGAGGAGATCATACGCAGGCTTGTCATTATCGTCAGTCGGCTTTCTTGCCTTGGCTCTCGTGCTCATTATCCCAGGTCCAAACTGCATACCAACAACGAGCAATGATCTCCTCGGGCAGCACCCGCTACTTGGTGACACTGGACTCTCTGCGTCTCATGCTGGCCCAGGTGCAGCAGATGAACGAGAATTTCTCGGTGATCCTAGCGAACCTCGTGAACAAACCCGCAGGACAGGGAAATCCAGTCCCTGGTCCGCTGCCAGGCCAGATGCCAGGGCCGATCCCGGGCCAAATGCCAGCTCAAATGCCTGGACAGATACCAGCGCAACTGCCGGGGCAAATCTCGGGCCAGATGTCAGGTTCCATGTCGGGACCCATGCCTCCTCGGCCTGGGCCGATTCCACCTGCAAGTGCTCCATCAGCGGCAAGACCTATGAACTTGCGGGACCCGCCGATCCGCAAGACGAAGACCCCCGGTGCGCCAAGTCCTGCTGCGCCGAGTCCGACTCCTCCACCTTCAACTCCTCGTGACATGGCTTCGCCGCAGGCGCCGAAATCGCCAAAAGGCAAGGGCAAAAGTAAAGTAACGCCCAAGCGGAAGCCGTCGAATGCCAAGCCTGCCTCGACTCCAGTCCCGATGCCCGAGCCAGTCACCGCGCCATCACCAGGGAAACGAGCCCGAGAAGAGGATTCCTCGCCACCACAGTCGATTCCGGGGCCCAGTTCGATGGTCGAGCCATCTCCTCCCAAACGGCAAAAGACGGAATGGGATGGACCTCCGAGCGAGTCCCTGAAGGCACGGGCCGACCAGTTCGACAAGGCCCGGACGGAGGAGGACAGTGCCACCCTCCTTGAGCAGATGACCGAATTGTTCAAGATGGCTTCCGACAGTAGCGGGCAGGACTCAGGCATCACCCGCGATTTCTCGGAAACACTAGATACTATATTTAAAGACTTTGGTGGTGCGACTGAAGACGGGCTTTCGCTTGATGCGGTCGGGGGCGAGAGCTTAGGGTGCCAGGCCCAGACGAGTTTGTCGAGTTTTTTGACTTCTCTTCGTTTGGTCCGGATGAAGATGCGGCCGAGTCCGAGTCCAAGGCGGCCACTCCGGATCTGGTATCGTCAACATCTTCAACAAATCCAAGCCCCGAGTCTCTCTCGGAAACGGATCCAAAACCGGAGGATTATAACGATTTTCTTCGCTTGGGAGTCTGGAAGGAAGTGGACGGCGGCGAGTCGGCACATTTCCATTCCGGCCAGTGGAAATGGGACAGTCCAATGCAAACTCTCGAGCAGCCGTGGGCTGTCCATCCCTAGTCACCTCGGATTTCATTAATAGTTTAATCGGCTTTCTGTACTCGTATCTGTTGTTTTATCTCGCTATCGATTTCATTTGCATTGGGTTGTTATACGTATTGTAATTGTACTATGCATACAGTCAAGTCCGTGGCCGTCGACCCGTGCTTTGCAAGACACGAGCACGCAACTGAGCCAGTCCGCCAGTGCTGCTCAATCCCGGCGCCCCCAGTTTGCGCCGTTTACTTTGGGCCGTGGCAAGCTCTTGTCGGCTTTGTAGCCACTGCTTCCGCGCTTCGTCCCTGGTGCTCTCGTCATCCTCCACAAGACTCAACTCTTCTGGGAGACCGTAGCGATCCCGGATCCCGTCGTCCGCTTTTCGCTTCGCCAATTCCACTTTCTTCTCCTGACGGAACTTCTTCCGAATGCGCTGAGAGTGCGCAAAGGGATCCGCGTTGAAATGATCTGACACCTCCTGCAAGGATTCCACTCGGTCCTGGGCTTTTACAAGACCTTTCTGTGCTTCCGAACTCTTCTCTAATGAGGCGAGAGGGTCAACAGGAGCGGCACTCGCTTCCGTGTCTGATAACTGCCTGAGTGACAGCTAGAACCAGGGACAGTCAACTAACCATGAACAGCGAAGCCGCCGTTTTCTTCCGGATCCCAATTCTCTTCCTTTTGACGAGCACCAGAAACAACGACATAGCGGGTATTCTGTGTGCAATGTCGGTAATTGCGCAGAAGACTCTGAGCTAGTTGGGAATGAAGAAGGCTCGCACCTTGGGATCCGTCTGGATCTCGAACCAACCGTCGCATAGATGACATTTACATCGAAACGAGAAGATGGGCGTAGAATAGTAAGCGCCGACTTTCTTCTTCTCCGCATTGTATCGCACACCCATTCCGATGTGGTTATTGCATGTCCCGCTTCACATCAGCCGTGAGCGAGAGTGTCAAGTCCGTCGCTCAGAAGCAGACTGACCACCAGATATTGAACGGAAGCTCAAAGCGGGTTATGAGGATTCCCTGGTCGAGCTTTCTAGCCCGGTCGCCTAGAGCGTGCTTGCCTACGACGTGCTTGAGCGGCGCGGATAGTAAGAGCCACCCACGACGCACCTCTGTATGCGTTCAAACTCCCGTGTTTGTCGACATTATCGAAGAAATCCGGCGGGTAGTATTTGTTGAAGCCTGGTTAGCTGTCAGGGAATCGGCAACACTGCACACGCGCATGAGACATGCCCTGCATGAGGGCTGAATGGGAGTGATTGTTGGTACAAATATGGCATTACAGGGAAGTATGGGTATCTAAATGTGATCTAAATGTAGATGGTATATGTTCCGATGACTGGTCTATGGTCACTACGACCTTCTAAGCGTCGCATTCCTCGATCATCCAAAGTCCGATAACTGGTGCAAAAAACTTCTCCCCGTCTGGGCCCATCGGAGGGCGGCCCATCGCTGCTGTGAGCGGATGGGTGACTCAGAAACGAGGGGAAGAAACGCCATCGAGAAGGAGTGGCCGCTCGGTGATCATGAACCAGCGAGGCTCGTCGTGGTCGAGGGCCAGGAGATATTGGTGAGGGATGAGACCCTGGTGGCGAAGACATAGTAATGGCCTCGCTGGATCTGCTCCGTGCGACAAACCGAGAGAAGGGAGCCTGCTGTCCTAGGTCAACATCCTCCGGGGTCGGTGGCGATGAGACAGATGCGGCCTCAGCAGATGAGGCACTGGACACAAAGGAGCTGTACGAGCCTCTTCGACTGTTCGTGCGCGATGAAAGCGGCCTGAGCGCATTCGCAAGAAACTGAGCGACACGAGTGCGAGGTCGACCGGATCCAAAGTCAGAAGCATCGTCCTCCTCTGAATCTACGTGCAGTTGGACTGTTGACTTCCACAGGACACGGTCACACCAACTGGGCACTCGTTTCTTGTGGGACGAATCGTAGACACCCTTGTCCTCGTCCTGGTCCTCCTCCTCGTCGCTGATCCATGCATTGGATTTGCTTGAGCTCAGGCGCTTGAGACTCGGAGGCAGCCCAACCCCATCAAATGACCATCGCTGGGGTGAGGATGGAGATACCAACGCCAGCCATTTGTTTTTAGCCTTGGAAGCTGCTGCAGAGAGCGACAAGCGGCTGGCAGGCGAGCTCAATGAGCTCCTTCCGTTAGATGAAGGAGAAGGCTGTGCACAGTCTTCGTCTGCGTCTGTCCCGTGCTTCGAGTGCATCGAAGTCCACACAGATGACGACAGTGAAGCCGCCTCGCCCGCTTCAACAGCTTCAGCTTCTCCGTCGCTCTCGTCACCCTCTTCCCGAGACTGTTCCTCGATCTCAGTTATTCGAGTGCTTCGCTCCGCAGGAGGCTTCCATCGCTCCATCATTGAACCTCGGCGGGGACGTTTGATTGTGCGCAAAACATCGTACTTGAAGGTTGGAGGGAAATTGATGGGTGCTTCGTGGAATCCCGCAAAAGCCTCGCCACTCTGCATAGCTTTACGCAGCTGGTCGAATGCGAGGGCTTGAGAGTAGTCTGATCATAACAATGATTCGCCATGCAATGCAATTGAGACACCCCGTACCTTGGCGAGAAATTAACCAGTCTGCATGCAGTCTGGTGATATCCAAACGGAAGTTCAAATCACCACAGAGAAAGGTGAAATCGAATTTGTCTGTCAGATCTAAGTGCGAGCGTCAAAGGAATCCAAGATTGAATGAAGAGATCATTGCAACCTTCCGCCATCACTCGCGGATCATCCGGATCTAGAAAATGGTCGACATCGAGCTCATTCTAGCCAAGTGTTAGTGAGACGAATAGAGTAGACAAGATCTCGGTGTACTTTGATCTTTGCGAAGTTCGCCAGTCTGTGATTGACTTTCCCCTCGTGTGCTATCACGAGCTTCAACAGAGAGGAAGACTGACGCGGAGAACGACAAACCCGCAAGATGCGCATTGATGAATAGGAATGTGGTTCCTGTCGTACTTGTGGCATTCCATGTGCACCAGCAACGCTTCAGGCATACCTGCAATATCCAAACTGATACCTACACCACCTTTATTCCCAACTCTTCCGCCAATCAGACCGGCCGTCACTGCAGATCGGGATATCCCTTTGACGAAGGGTCGCAATTCACGGTGGATGTAGACGGAGAGGTACAGCCCCATCATGCGCTCTATATGGAATGAAATCAGTTGAAACAATTGCATGCTTCGATAGTCGCATTGGAATCGCGATGAAGTCAACGCACCTTTTACCAAGAGCTGGTACGGTCCTCTCCTATCCTTCGGCGAGGATCGAGGGGCGAGAGGTTTCGGTGAACTGATATCCGACGGAGTAGGGGATGCGCCTCGTACACCATGACAAAGCCAGTCTTCAATCATAGACGTCCATCCGAAGCCCTCATGATGAGCGAGGGGTTCCCTCCCCTCACCCTCTCGATCCCGTGGCTTGTCCGTTTCCTTGTCCTTTTCACGATCAATGAGTTTGAATCCAGCTCCGAGACCCATCGGAATCCCTGCAAACGATCGCAAGAAGTCCTTCGACTGAATTTTAGGACATACTCAGCATGGACGGACATTCCTGACCGGCACTGTAAACGTGTCAGAGGTAGAGAGACATTTGAAGTCCATGTAGGTACGAACACAATAACCAGATGGTAAGGATGGGCATCATCGGCCGAAGTTGAGGGAAAGCGGTGTCGGCTGAAGCCTCGCTGGTAGTGTACAGTGGGACTTTCCCCAAGAGTTCCTCTAAATCGCCCTGGGTTCACTGCTCTGAGGCCCGAAATATGTACAAGGTAGTATCGGCCCACCTGAGGAAGAGAGTCGTGCATATTCCATGTTACGATGCGAACTTTTAGAGACTTGGGAGCAGCTGGGACGGAGTGTAGACTGGAGGGGTTGCAGTCGAATTTAGTGAGTGTTGTGCAGCAGCCGGAGATAGCGGGAAGAGATTTTGCAGGCGAGTCAAGACATTTACGGCACTGTGCTGTCCTGCAGACGCCGTTGGAATCGTAATAGGATTGGGAGACATCCCCCCAAGGGCTGTAATGGGAGCGAGAGGCAGTAGAGCCAGCGTCACGCGGGTGACGCTGTTCAGCCCCTATCTGATGCCCCACGCACTGCAATGGCAGGTGTACACAAGTTCTTGTGGGCATGGAAATAAGGTGTGAAGCACACGGAGTCCCCGCCTCATGTTGAGCCGAATTGCAAGCGCGGAAGTTCAGCAAGGCGGGTGCGTTCAAGAGATGACCGGAACACTCCATCATGGCCAATTGACTCTGAACTGCAGAACAAGCCACAGAAATGAGCTCAAGAACCTCAGTATGAATAGGGCTAACTATGAGAGCTGCTGAATACTATTGGCGGTGTGTATGGGACAAGAACAAAGCTGTCTGGTTTGAAACCAGGTGCCAGAGCTTCAAGTCGCTTGTGAACGGATGGTCCTAATCACCCGTTACTGCTCCTCGATTACTGATTGCACCCAGGCTCAAACGTCCTGTGTCGAGAGAAGGATGCATGCGCCGCCTCAGAATGAGAAAGGAGATGACTCGAAAGAAATGAATGACATCGATTTAGTATTCAACTTGTCTGATAAGTTACAATCCAATATAAGGTAGCTGGAGCTGAGGCTCGTTGAGCACATCCAGAGCATCGAATGAGAGTGAATACCTCGGCACATGGGAACAGCTCGGAGAACGAATGATCGTAAAGTTCACCGTGAACCGCGTTTGAAGTAAGAGCTGTTGACCGCGGTTGCCTGTATCATATCGAATATTGTCTCGCCCACACCGAGATAACGGTCAGCGACCGACCGAAGAGTGGGGTCTGTGATAATTGTAGAGTCCGGGCTAACAAGAGAAGGCTGAGTGCGTGTCATCAGCGAGCTCTCATGTTTACTTGCCTGAACCCGCTCGATCGGCGCACACCGGCGGCCAGAGTAGAGATCAAAACAGCGTCGAACGCGTAGTGAAATAGTCGGCCCAATGCCATAGAGTGATTTGTGGATGAGAGCTGGGCAAAGGGAGCTGCGTCGAGCTATTTATCCACGTTGTAGCCGTGGACGACGTAGTAGTTGCGGCAGAGTTGATTTGATAATCAAATTAGAGTAAGACCAAGTCTTTTCCATCACTTGCTCAGGACAGTGCACATAACTTATGGGAAAACGCAAACGAGCTTCGATTAATCGCGAGACAAACTTGGAGGCCAGCATCTCAACGCCGGGACTATTACCACAAGCAAGTTTGATCTCCTTTGACAAGAGCTTTTGGCGAATCAGGTCCTCCAGAAACGACATTATCGACAGAGAGCTCACGCGAATCCATTCTCTGATCATTCCCTCGATTACCCTCCTGCGCCCGATGCTGTAGACTGGGCTGCTCACTATCCGGAGTGCCCTGGCCCCCCCGAATTCGCCGATGTCGGTTGTGGCTTTGGCGGCCTCTTGATTGCACTGGCACCTCTCTATCCCGAGATCCGGATGCTGGGTGGGTGGCCTTCTTCCTATATAGCTCGCAAATAACTCCCGAAGGCATGGAAATCCGGGTCCAGGTATCTCAGTATGTTCAAGATCGCATCGCTGCACTCCGTGTCACCGAAGAAAGCAAATATCAAAATGTCTCGATTGTCCGCGCCAATGCTATGAAGTTTCTCCCTAATTTCTTCGACAAGCATTCCCTCTCTGCCTTGTTTTTTCTCTTCCCCGATCCTCATTTCAAACAACGAAAACACAAGGCGCGGATCATCTCGCCAACGCTGTTGGCAGAGTATGCCTACGCTCTTCGCCCTGGCGGAATCATTTACACCATTACTGATGTCCATGATCTGCACATCTGGATGAAGTCACACCTTGAGGCATTCCCACTTTTCGAAGCCATATCCGAAGAAGAATTGCGCCGACTGGGAAAGGGCCCTATCATCGATGCTGTTTATACGAGTACGGAGGAGGGCAAAAAGGTGGAGAGGAACAAGGGAGAAAAATGGCTAGCGTGTTTTCGGAGAATAGATGCACAAAGAACGTGATGTCGTTGCACGCTTTTGAACACTGTAAATGTGCCATGTATCGTATCGTGTATGCGCTGTGTACGTAGAGACTGAGAAACTCAGCTCAGTGTGTGCAGTCACGACGTCTCGTCAAGTCCTGGTCACGTCACACTGGCACATTCCCGAACCCAAGCGCGCATGTCCGACTTCGACCACAGTCGCGATGGAAAGGCTCCGTCTTTCGAGACTCTACATAAAACGCCGCAGAACTCTCGTGTGGAAGATTCGTCGTCGGTGCTGGCTCCCATGGAAATGACTCCCAGAGATCATGGCGCTTCCGTCTCGCCACCCGGGCACAACCATCCCGCAACAACTCAAGTCACCGAATCTTCTCTTCTTGAGCATCCTCCTGTGCCCGTAATCCCTGTCGAAGACCCTGCTGCACAGGCTCCTGTCGAGCGCACTCTCAATGTTGCTGACGCCCTCGGCTACTTGGATGCCGTGAAAACCCAGTTCAACGATCGGCCAGACGTATACAATCAGTTTCTCGATATCATGAAGGAATTCAAAGGACAATAGTGAGTCAGCAGCAGAGTGCTATAACCTTTCAACTCAACCGTCGAGTAGCATCGACACCCCCGGTGTCATCAAGCGTGTATCTAGCCTTTTCAACGGCCACCCCGTGCTGATTCAAGGATTCAACACATTCCTTCCTGCCGGTTACAGAATAGAATGCTCCAAGGATGCTAATAACTCAAGTTACATAACTGTGACGACGCCGACAGGAACTACAACCACAACCACAACCACATCGAGACCTCCTCCTCTTCCAGTGACTGCGGATGGGCGCGCTGCGACCCCCGAAAGATTGTCGAGTCGACATCCTTCCGTCGAGCCGCCTCGTGAAAAACAAGCAATCGAGCCTGCTGTCACCTATGTGCACAAGATCAAACAACAATGCGACCCGGAAACGTACAGACAGTTCTTGGATATCTTGTCTCGGTATCATCATCAGCCCGGAAACATAGATGAGGTTCGTTAATCCATTCCGTGCCTTTTCACTCTCTCAAAGCGATCGCCTAGGAGGAGGTCACGGCACAAATTGCCTTTCTCTTCAAAGATTCTCCAGAACTACAGAAAGACTTCGCACTGTTCTTACCAGACCGAGGAAAGCCACAGGACGACTCTTCTCATTCCGAGAAAAGTAGACAACGGAGGACCGAGACTGCGACTCCAGCCACCGTTCTTTCCCACAAACGAAAGCGCAGGGAAGTAGTTGAGATTGTGCCTAAGGTTGCTCCCAGCAAGGTTCGTGAATGTGTATGCTGCTCACCTGCTTTCTGGCTCACGTTCAGCGGCAGAACAAAAAAGCCAAGCAGGCCGATCCTGCGCCAACACAGACGCAACCTCCAGTACGGATGTCTAGTCCTGTGCGACGACAGCCAGTCTCCAGGCCGACGACCTCAAGTTCCGCCCTTCCGGCTGCGCCAGAAGACTCTCCAGCACATATATTTTTTGACAGGGTAAAGCGAGCGTTGGACGACAACCGGGAAACGTACAATGAGTTCCTCAAACTCATCAACCTGTTTACTCAGGACTTTATCGACACGCCAAGACTTGTCCGCGAGAGCCGCAGTTTTCTTGGTGATGGCGAGCTCATGGTGATGCTCAAAGAGATCGTTGGCTGGGATGATCGACGAGAGAAAGAGTCTCGGATGGAAGGGGGGTCATGGACGCGGCCTGCCATCGTGAATCGCAAAGTGGACAAGTCTCAAGCTCGACTGAATGCCGAGTTCGGCAGCTATCGGAGGATCCCCGACGCTGTGAGTAGCTCTGACCGCATCCGATGATTGAGGCTCAAGCCAGGTAGGATGCCAATGTTGTTTGCTCCGGACGAGACGAGATGTGTCGGCAAGTCCTGAATGACTCGTGGGTATCACATCCGACATGGACCAGTGAAGAGGTTGGGTTTGTCACTCCCCGAATGAACCTGTACGAGGAAGCCCTGCATCGAAGCGAAGAAGAGCGACTGGAGTACGACTTTCATATCGAGGCCATCGTGCGGACCATCTCCATGCTGGAGCCCCTCAACATGAAAATGGCCGCACTCACCGTCGAAGATAGAGCCGCATTCAAACCCAAGCCGAATCTCAATGGACAGCTTAAGAGCATTCATCACAGGGTCATCAAAAGATTTACGGGCGAGAAGCTGGCCTGAGCGTGATTCAGGCAATGCAGGACACACCGGCTCTTGCTATTCCAGTTGTTCTCCAGCGTCTCAAGCAGAAGGAGGAAGAGTGGAAACGGGGGCAGCGAGAATGGAACAAAGTGTGGCGGGAGGTCGATGCTCGAAACTATTCCAAGAGTCTCGACCACCAAGCTATTCAGTTCAAAGTCAGGGACAAGAAGGCGCTCACGAGCAAGTCGTTCGTTTCTCAGATCGAGACGGCTCGAGAGGAACAAGTCACGAGACGGGCTGCTCTGATAGATCCCTTGTTTGCGCGAACGCGTCCCCGGCATCAGCTCGAGTTCGTGATGGACGATACGGTGGTTCTTCAAGATGCTCTCAAGTTGACGTTTTCTTTCTTGGATCGGGCGCAAGGGCAAATCAACTTTTCCGAGAGAAAACGAATCGAGGGATTTTTGAGGAATTTTGTGCCGCTCTTTTACGGACTGGACGCCGCAGCTTTCAATGCGGCATTCGTCGTCGTTCAGCCGTCTCCAGAAAGTGATCTTAGTGACGAGGACACGGATACCTACAGTGTGTCTTCATCGTCCCGATTGCGGCCGTCACATGCTGGCGACCTTCGCAAGCAGTTGCTCAAGAGCGAGCAGGCCAAGCTGAGCCATCGGTCGACTCGCAACAACGACTCGCCTGCATCAACTCGGCCTCCTTCTCCCGTGTCTGAAGCAGAGTCTTCAAGAGCGGCATCTATTCGGGGCACCTTTTTCACCAACACTATGTTCTATACGCTCTTGCGGTTGATCGAGGTGGGGAATGTGTGATCACTTTGGCTTGCCTCTCTCAGTCACTGTTTATTAGGTTCTGTTCTCTCGGCTCAAACTCTTGAAGGATGTCGCTGCTGGTCTCTTGACAAGGGATATGTCCAGTGTCCCCAGAGATCCTGGCGCGTTTGCGCACCAAGAGATTGTGCCATTTCGGGATCTGAGCTCCCATGCGGAGCATTTCTACAACATTATGCTAGAATCGTGCGAGCGCTTGTTCGACAACGAGATGGAGCAGCATGTCTTTGAAGACCAAATGCGTTTCATGTTTGGAATCAAGGTGAGTGCCATAATCAGCACTGGGGACGTTGATTGATTGATGAAAACACCAGCACGCGCACAAGATCTTCACTGTTGACAAAGTTGCAGGTGTGATAATCAAGCAGGCAAGTCAATTTTCTTGTACATGCGCCGTAAAACTTCAATCTTTGCCAGGTTCAAGTCATTCTGGGCGACTCTCAGAGTCAAGATTTGCTCGAGCTTTTCAAGCGGGAACGGGCATTGACATCATCCACTACACAAGACCTAGTCAACAGTCGAAAAAATGCTGAGAAGATCCTGGGTCCTGACGAGAATCTCTTCCGGGTCGATTGGGTGAGTCGATCGATGTATGCCTAGTAAGGAATGTCACGTGACATACAACTTCATCAGGTTTCCGCCGCGAGTCGCATGACAATCCAATTGATTGGGAAAGACGACTCGAGCTTCGATGACTCGGAGGTCCTGAACGGTCGTTGGCAATCTTACATGGAATCCTTTGTGACGGTCAGTTCCCCCGCTCGCTGCAAACGCACCCGCTGATTTGCTTGCAGACGAATGTCAGCGACGGTGTCACCGCGGCCCGGGTTCGCCGACCCTTCCTGCGAAGGTATTGGACTTACTTGCGCCAGATGCGTCCATAAGCAAAACTGATCCGGTGATAGAAACATCTCGACCGGGCCGGCCGTCCCGAAAATGCTCACTCGGGATGGACTGGAAATCAAAATCTGCGTCAGGACGTACCGTTTGTTCTATGGATCGCAGACTGAGGATTGGCTGTTCAAAACCGACTCGCGTGGGAAGTTATCCAGTCTAGTCGAGAAGAAGGCCGTTCGTCGGAAGCTGTGGCTGGAAAAGGAAGCTGTGTGACAGACGACAGTATTTCTCCGCTGGGTCTAAATTGCTCCGTGTATGTAATACAACAAGCTACTACTCTACGACTTGTCTTTGAACATTTTCTCGATCGCTGCGGTCGAATACGACTTGGGCCGCTCGAGAGCTAGGGAGGAAAGCAGTCAGCAACCGGAAACGCACGAAGATCCATATCACTCACGAGCGCCGAGAGCACGGTCCCAGATCAGCTGGGCAGCAACACCAAATGCACGGGAAACTCCGAACAGCACAGTGTAGAACTGCATCTGGGTCAATCCGTAGTGGGTCAGCAGCGCGCCCGAGTGGGCATCGACGTTGGGCCACGGGTTCTTGGCCTTGCCAGCCTGGATACAATCAGCACCAGATCCCATCAGTGCTCGACACGCGACCGACCTCGAGCAGAATATCGGGCACAATGTTGTAGATCTGGCCCACGAGCTTGAAGAGAGGGTCGTCAGGCAAGTGCTTCAGAGCAAACTCGCGCTGGGCGGTGTAGCGGGGGTCGGTCTTGCGCAGGACGGCGTGTCCGTAGCCAGGGACAACCTGGCCACCCTTGAGAGTAGACCAGACATACTCCTTGACAGCCTCATCAGAAGCGTTGACACCGATCTGGCTCTGCATTTTGCTCAGCCAGAGCAGCACTTCCTGGTTGGCCAGGCCGTGCAGAGGACCCGCAAGACCGTTCAACGACGCGGCAAAGGCGAGGAAAGGATCGGACAAAGCAGAGCCGACAAGCTTGCCGGTATGCGCAGACACGTTTCCACCCTCGTGATCACTGTGGATAGTGATGTACAAACGCATCAACTCAACGAACTGCTCGTTATCACCGAAGCCGAGCAGAGTCGACAGATTGTGCGAGTAATCCTTATTGGCGTCAATAGCAGGGAGTTTGCCCTGTCCGAAGACATTGCGGTAGATTCGGCCAGCAATGTTGGGCAGTTTTGCAATGCTAACCGCGTTGCGTGATGAGTAGACAGACAGACATGAGATATCTGGAACACGCACAGGTCCATTGAATCCTCGAACGTAGGCCCCCAGTACTCCTTCTTCGAGATCCCATCTTGGTATGCCTTGGCGAAGGCCGAGTTGTGGTTGAGCTGCCACATGTGAGATTGGGCCGCATCTGACGTGTGAATGCGGACATACCGCAGTTACGGCGAGAGAGAACTGGCTCATCGGGTGGAGGGTCGGAGGGCAGCGGTCGAGGATCTCCTCGACGAACTCGGGAATGGCGGCACGCGCAGCCCAGTCCTTGGAAAGCTCGGCGACTTGTTCCGAAGTAGGGATTTCGCCAGTAAGGAGAAGCCAGAAAAGACCCTCGGGAAGAGGTTCAGAACCCCCGGGAGCTTTCGGGAGAAGCTCTTGGCACTCGGGAATCGTCTTGCCACGGAAACGGATACCCTCCTCTGCACGCAGTGAACAACTAGCTCATTCATACGGGTTGAGCACCCACCAGCATCAAGCACGGAGCCATCCCAGATCAAAGCAGGCAGAGACCGCATACCGCTAACATGATATTCAGTAAAAGCGCGCTTGAACAACACGTTTCTGGACAAACCCGTATAGTTGGTCGACAATGACGGGTCCGAACGCCTTCTTGCCGTGCTCAGCACGCACTCGCTTGACCTGCAGAGAATTGGTTAACATGCGAGACCCAGGGTACTTTTCAGACCAACGTTTTCAATTTCCGCTGGAATGAGCTCCGCCAGGCGCTCCTTTAGAGTTGTTTTTGGGTGCCGTCGAGGAGAAGCCAGCCCTCGCAAGGCCGGAAAGAATAGGGCGTGCGCGGGGCTAAGGGACATGAGTTGGGAGGAAATCTTGGTGCAAATTGTTACTTGCACTACGGATGAAGAGCGACATGGTGGCGAGAAAGAAGGTTATTCCGAATCCTTTCCCCGAAGATTTCCGACCTGAAATTTGGGTCCTGTCACCGTCACGTGGTAAGATCACTGCCACTCGGTTGATTGTGCGTCTCTCCAATCTTTGCGACTTGCCACCATCGTCTTCGTCCTTCGTCGGCACTCTTATCTACCATGGCCGATATCAACGCGATTGCAACTCAATTCACCGACTTTTACTACCAGACGTTCGATTCAGACCGATCCAAGCTTGGGTCCCTCTATGTACGTTCAAACGGCATCGGCGAAGATCGACGATTCAACTGCGACCCATGCAGCGCGGCAACTCGATGTTGTCATTCGAGGGCTCTCAGATCGCTGGAATAGAGGGCATCGCTGACAAGCTCGTGTCCCTGCCGTTTCAGAAAGTGCAACACAAAGTAACGACATTGGACGCTCAGCCGTCTTCGACCACTGTTGCAAGCCTCCTTGTCAGTGTAACGGGGTTGCTCGTTGTGAGTGATTATCGTGTCTTTTTGAAAATCAAATTCAAGGTCCATCGAGGTCGATGACAGCCCGAATCCCCTTCAATTCAGCCAGGTCTTCCAACTCTTACCCGAGGGCGGAAGCTACTACGTGTACGTCTCCCGATCATCTTTGTTCTATTTACTGACCTGCAAGGTTTTCAGATTCAATGATATATTCCGACTCAACTATGCGTAAATCAATCACCTTGTTTGTTGTAAATATGGCAGTGCAGTGATAATGAAAGGCGGAGATTATGCGGAATGCATAGTCGATATGTAGTTACAAGTTTTTTTTGCAGTTGTGAATGGATGGACATGAACCGTGCTTGTAGAAATTTCGCCAGTCGTTGTGCAGTCATATCAACTAGTCATCCCCGACAGGGGGGATCAGCGACGCGGCCCGAATCTGTCAATGGCGATCATCTCGTTACGATGAGCCTCTCTTTCCCAGAGGCTGCTCCACCATGTCCTCGCGTGCCCACTACTCGCCGCTCCCCCACGATGAATGGGGCGTCGAGAATGAACTTGACGCCGCCTTCGACAATGACGACGAAACCTTGCCTTTGACCGCATCCGTTGGAAGCTCACAACCCCCGCAATTACAGCATGTGCCTGGCGCCTATGACTTTGAGCGGGAATATGACCTCCCTCCACCTGGCTCACCGCCGCGTCCGTCTTCCGTAGCTCTGCCGAACGACATAGGCAATTCCAACGGGCGGCTACCTGGCGCTATCGCTCGACCAGCCCCTAGGATATCCCTGATACGTAGGGCTGTTGGTGCTCTACTCCCAACGCACTACAGTCGAATTCCGAGTCAGGATCCGACGCCGAGGACGGTCGGCGGGGGGAGTGAAAACGATGGAGTGTTTGCAAACGTCATGGCCAAACCTTCGCGGTCGCAAGCTGTTCGTGGGGAAGATGGTCAAGTTTATATCGTGCCCGAAGATGCCCAGAAGGAAGCACCGCCTGTACGATCGTTGAATCCTAGCTTGGAAACTCTCGTTACTCACCATTTGACAGTCGTATGCTGCTGCTCAACAGGAGGAAAATGTGCCTCCGTACTGGGAGACGACAGTCCACGCCCCTTCCATGGGCGACTTCGGGACAGACATGATCATTGAGGATTTGCCCACCGGGTCTGCATGGATCTTCGCTGCCAACTTACTGATATCGTTCTTCTTCCAATTCGTCGGATTTATGTTCACTTTCCTGCTTTCCACCAGCCATGCTGCCAGATATGGCAGTCGGGCTGGCTTGGGAATCACCCTCATCCAATTCGGATTCTCTTCGCGTTCGGGTAGTTCCGAAGGTGGTTTCGGCGATGACTCGGACTACCATCCGAACGCCACCACTGGGAATTCAACCAGCTGGAACACAACTACCCCGGGTTTGACGCCCCCAGCCGTTCCGGACGCTGGCTCTGAAATGGATATCACTGTGGGGGGAATCGCTGGTCGAGACTGGTTGTCCTTCCTGCTGATGACTCTGGGTACGAGTCTATCGTCTATCGGGTTCCTTTGGTGCTGACAGTTTCCAGGATGGTTCATCCTCCTCTCGTCATTCATCGGTTACTGGAGAGTCAAGCGCTGGGAGCGTTCGATTCGGCGCTCGTCGCAACCGCTGACAGTGCAGGACGTCGAGGCTGACGCTGCCACCCGTCGCGACCTTTCGGCTGCGCTCGGGATAAACGTCGACCCACAGCCAACCAGCCAGGCGAGACCTCGCACTGCAGAAGAACAAGCGGCAGAAGAACAGCTTGAACGCGATTTACGCGCTGCGGGCTTGTTATAGCATCATTTATCGCTGTTTGGATGGCGCCCATAATATTATAATCCAGCTGTTGTATCGTACTGTGCTACGTCGCACTACCGAAGATCTGGTAGCGCCGGCAAATGCTAGGGCCGATTTCGTCGTACTGTGCCTTCGTGTGGCAAGAAGTGTAGAACTCGTCCTGGAAAAGGTCAACAATCGGATGATGCGCCCAAAGCGCGACGAACCAGAGAGGCCAACAGCGAACCACCGTACCACACAGCATACCTATGCCAAATCAGGTGGGAAGATTTTGGGAAGTTGAGAAAAAGTCTTACCGCTGACGTTTGTGCGAGATGACATCCACTTCGACACCGGATGACTGCAACAGAGCGTGAGCCTTGGGGCGTCACTGAAATGAGCACAAACCTGCTGGGTCCCCCCACTGGCAGTCACACTAGCGGCCAAACGACGGTCCACAAGCTGCTTCAGGTCACGCTTCAAGCGCTGGCCAAAGTGTTGGAACATCGTAGAGCCGCCGGACAGCACAATATTCTAATCCAGTTTCAACACCCGACGGCTGCAAATCACAAGGCCCGACGAACCTTGTAAAGACCCCGCCGAACATCAATCGGCGACTGTTTGATGACCTCTTCGACGATCTCCGGCAGTGGAGTCAAGAAATCCGAAGAGTAGATTTCCGGGTTGAAGAAGATCTCGGGCGCAAGGAATCGTTCGTAGCCAACATCGATCGAGTATTTCTGAATCGAGTTGATAAACAGAACAAGGTGCCACTAGTCACTCACCCGTCCCGTGACGCTGTGCTCACCGTCATATCGTTCAAAGTACTTGTACGGTTCCGCATCGTACTTTCTGAACTCCTTGACGATGTCTTGGCAGACATAGCTGTAGTTCTCCTTCACTCGGCTAGCCACACGCAGCTGATCTTCAGGAGGGACAGAAGCCATCTCTCCGCGCTCTCGCATCAGGTTCAAAACGAACTGAGAGATGTCTCGTCCAGCGATGGGGATATGCTTGATTGCGCTCCCGATAACATACCCCTCCGCACAAGGAATGACGTGGGTCACACCGTCGCCGGAGTCGATGACGGTGCCGGTCAAAGTACGATGTTCCACGCGCTTTGAGGACCACGACGCGGCAAGGGCGAGAATAGCCTGAACGCCGATGTACAGACCTTGGATGTTGAACGATTCGAAGAAGATTTCGGCAGTTTGTTCTCTGTTCTCCGGCGCGTTGAGGGGCGGTTCAGTCTTCCAGACAGTTATGAATTCGGAAATATGTAGCGGACGCGACTAAATCTCACCAGAAGAAAGTAGTGGTCCTCAGGCTCTGCGCGCAGATACTTAAAGATCGTCTGCTCCCAGTAGCGCTCCATGTGGTCCCAATTATCGATCATGCCGTGGCGAATGGGGTAGTGTACCCCGTATCCTGGAGTCTTTGCGTTTGCCAATGCTTCATCGCCGATGAAGAAATCCAAGTCTTCTACTCCACGTTTCGATGCGAGATGCCCAGGCTTGGATGGGACGGCGGGGGCGTTCGAGGACTGGGGACCGGAGCCGCGCGTCGCAATAGCTGTCGGGAATACACTACAGGATTACCGCCTCAGCCCAAACAGAATGGGCATCTTCCTTCCACAGATACTTACAAGGATGGATCTGAATTTCCTGCGAAGCTGGAAGACCGGTCAGTCAGCGCTTACAAGTGGCTTATCGAAAACACCCACCCGACTTTGGAGTATCCAGTGCCATTGTCACAGATAATCGGCGCTAATACTGACATAGCGAGGTAGATGTGAGGAGGAGGCTGCTGCGACTCGCTCTACCGTATTATGACGTAAGCCATCAACGAATTTCCCACGCTTCCATCAGGCAGGCAGTGAAATGTGTAAGCGCATGGTCGTCGCGTCGCAAACTGCACTTATTTCAAAGAATGCATATATCCGTATTTTCTTTAAGCCACCAGGATCCAAAAGTTGGTTGGGAGCTCCGCTACTAGACAATCCCGGATAGTAAGAGTACTGATGCCATCACACTCGATAACAGTTTTATCTTTCAAACGGCCACCATGGAAGCTTTTGAAACCTATCAGACTCCACTTTCGAGGTTCGCACTAAACGTTTGAATTGACAAAGTCTCAAGCTATTCGCTTCCGCAGCCGTTATGCAAGCAAAGAGATGGCACATCTCTTCTCTTCGTCTGTGAGTCCATCCATCTGGATGTCAACCCCATTCCGATCCAGCCAACTGCAAGCATCGATTCAACACCTGGCGCCAACTTTGGCTGAATCTTGCGATTGCGGAGAAGGAGCTCGGTCTGCCGATCTCTGATGAAGCCATTGAGCAAATGAAAAACAATCTTGTGCGAGATGCGTCTGCACACAGGACGATCAGTCTGACCCGTCCAGGAACTCACTCCCGAGCAATTCGACGTTGCCGCGAAAGAGGAAAAGAAGCGCCGGCACGATGTTATGGCGCACGTTCATACTTTTGGTACGGTCGCCCCAGCGGCAGCCGGTATCATCCAGTGAGGATGGAACCCCACTCTGCTTTGACTGCGCTAAAATGACGTGATAGCCTCGGTGCAACTTCCTGCTATGTCACAGAGTATGTCTGGGCTCATGCTGCCTCAATATTTGATCGAGCTAATGGGAGACTAGTAACGCCGATCTCATTTTCTTGCGTACGGGGCTTGACTATCTGATCCGTTCGCTGTCTGTCCTAATTTCGCGGTTGTCGGCTTTTGCTGAGCAATATCGTGATCTGCCTACGCTGGGCTTCACCCACTTCCAGCCAGCGCAGTTGACAACTGTTGGCAAACGTGCTACTCTGTGGATTCAGGTGTGCGTCCTCATCATCGACTGAAACGGCGCTTGAAGTTGTACGCAGGAACTTCTCTGGGATCTCCGCAATCTGAAACGTGCCCGAGAGGATCTCGGCTTTCGTGGCGTCAAAGGCACCACCGGGACGCAAGGCAGCTTCCTAACTCTCTTCGACGGAGACCATGCGAAGGTCGAAGCCCTCGACAAACGGGTGACCCAGCTCTCTGGTTTCGATTATGCCTACCCGGTCACGTCGCAAACCTATTCGCGGAAGATCGACATCGATGTTCTCGCTCCCCTAGCGTCTCTTGGCGCCACTGCTCACAAACTTGCGACGGATATCAGACTATTGGCCAACCTGAAGGTCGAGCCTTTTCTATCTTTATCACGATTTGTGGTTGATCCTGGTCCAGGAAATCGAAGAGCCATTTGAGTCGACGCAGATTGGGTCTTCGGCGATGGCATACAAGCGCAACCCGATGCGTTCTGAGCGAGTGTGCAGTTTGTCCAGACACCTGATGGTGCTGCACCAGAATGCGCTCATGACTGCCGGCGTGCAATGGTTTGAGCGAACGCTCGATGACAGTGCAAACCGGCGGATTACCCTTCCGGAGGCCTTTCTGACCGCCGACATCGTCCTCTCGACTCTCCAAAACATCTCTGAGGGGCTGGTCGTATACCCGAAAGTGATCGCCCGCCGGATCAGCCAGGAGCTTCCGTTTATGGCGACAGAGAACATCATCATGGCTATAGTCAAGAAAGGCGGAGATCGTCAAGAAGCCCACGAGAAAATCCGGGTGCGTTTTTCTGTTGGACGATCAGGCTTGCTGCGATGTCTGACCAGTACATAGGTTCTTTCGCACGAAGCTGCGCATCAAGTCAAGCAACTGGGGTTAGAAAACGACCTCATCGAACGTGTTCGCCGGGATGCCTACTTTGACCCGATCAAAGACGAGCTCGACGAGTTGCTCAGGCCGGAGAGTTTCATCGGCCGTGCGCCTGAGCAGGTGACCTCGTTTATTCAAGAATGGGTGCAGCCAGCTTTGGCAGACGCGGTGTCGCAGGAAGCCATTCGCAGCAGCGTCAAAGTAGAATTGAATGTCTGATTATACAAGATCGATATACACAACTACGGCCCATCACATTCTTTCTAGTGGTCGAATGCTGAGCAAGACCATCGCAGTGGCAAGCACGTCACGTGCGCACTCATACATGAACAGCCGAGCACGCGCCACCTCGAGATCGGGCTCGCCCTTGACCACGACAGTCTCCCAAGCACTGGAGATGACATGCGCCAGGCGGAAAGCAAATGTGACGACACCACTGGGCTCGTGCGTCTTCAGAGCAACCTTGACAACGTCAGGGAACGTCCCTAGTAGGAACACGATCTCTCGAGCATGTGCGGATTCTGCCAAGCAGTCTGTGTTGATCTGCGACAGCGGTGGCAGAGGAAGCAGGTTGGGATTTTTTCGCGAAATGGAGGCCAGTCGGACATGGGCATATTGCAGATAAGGGCCAGTATCGCCTTCGAATGACAGCATTCGATCCCAATTGAAAGTGTAATTGTTTATTCTGCAGGTCACTCCTCAGTCCTGGTCGACATGCAGCGAAATAAGCGCTCACCGCTTGGCCGCCATATCCTGGATTTTAACACCAGTGATACCGATTTCCCGCGCGGTTGTCTCTGGATCCTCGACAGCAGAATATTTTTCGGCGTTCTTCTGCATCTGCTCGTGCATAACTTGCGCTGCTTCTCGGATGATCTGGTCCAAAAACACGACGGTCCCTTTCCGGGTGCTCATGCCCTGGACCAGACCATAGTTGACGTGCTGCAGACTCGATGCCCAGGGAAACTTCATCAGCTCAAGCACCTTGAAAAATTGCGAGAGATGTAGGTCTTGCTGTGACGACACGACGTAGATCATCTTGTCAAACTTGTACTTTTCGTATCGCTCGATGGCACCACCAATATCACGAGTCAGATAAATCGATGTTCCATCTTCACTCATCAGCAGAAAGAAGGAGTCAGACTGTAGTAAATCTCACCTCGTTTTCGGACAACAGCTTTGCCCAATTTGTATTTTTCGAGGTTGACCAGCTTGGCACCTTCAGAGTCCTCGATCAAGCCCAGTTCTTGAAGCGGGCCAGAGCGCTGTCCATCGACTCCTTTCCTACAGCACTCTCGCCAGTGTAGACATCGAATTTGACGTTCAACCCGTCATACTCCTGCTCATATTTTTTCACGCTCATCTCCCGCCAGACCCGCCAGTTCTTCAGCGCGGTCTCGTCTCCATCCTCCATCCGCTTGAACCATCGCGCGGCCTCGGCCTTGACCTCTGGATCTGCCTCCGCGTCCTTATTGACCTTCACGTAGATATCGAACAGGTGCTTGATAGCGTCCTTTTCGAGCTCCTCTCGCGAGCCGTATTTCTCGAAACCAGTCGCAATCAATCCGAACTAGTACTATTCATCAGGCAAGTTACGGGACACATTGAAGGCGTCGTACCTGAGTTCCCCAGTCGCCCAAGTAGTTCATCGAGATGACATTCCATCCACACGCTTTATACAAGTTTGCGAGGAAACCGCCGATGATAGTACTCCGGAGGTGTCCAACGTGGAAGGACTTTGCAATATTGGGAGAGGAGTACTCTATGATGACGGTCTTGCCCTCTCCCGTTTTATTTGTGCCATAGGTCGGGTTTCCGGAAGGGGGGTGGGAGAGAGTGTGGACTTGGGTGAGGATTTCGCGGATGAGGGTGGTGGTTTTGCATTTGAAGTGCAGGAAAGCTTTGTCGTGTGTGACTGACTCGATGTACTCGTCTGGTACGAACTGAACGAAGATTTAACGCGTCAGTCGCGGTTTGCGGAGGGAACGAAGTGCGGTGGAACCGACCTGAGCTTTCACTTTTGCTGCCAACTCATCTGGTTTTCCAAGTTTGAAGCGAGGGAGGGCGATGGTGAAGTCGACGCCCTTCTTTCCATAGTCCACACCGGTGTAAACTTGCTCCTCAGTTAACGGAGGCAGAGCGGCGGCGACGCGTTGCGCAATGGCCGATCTGAAGTTGTCGATAGCACAAGAGGCCGGGTCTGGGGACGAGAACGCCATTCTTTTTCGGCAGAATAGAGTTGGCAAGAATGCCGGACGACGAGTAAGAATGAAAGCAATGATTTCGAAAGTAGATCAGGTTATATCGATGAAGATCGGAGTCACGCATCGAGTTTGCAAGTCAGGTATTTTTTTTGGCCTGAAGATCTTCTGTACTACAACAATTACGGCAATGATATATACTATGTTACACAGGCCTACATATTATGATACCTGTAGGTTGTCTGCGGATGACCTTGCCACTGTTGAGCAGCACCTGGAATAAATGGCCTGTCGGTGCTATATGCAGCGCTTGATGGCATAGTCCAGCCCTGTGTCCTAGTCAGCCAACAGCTTGCAAGAATGCCGCAAGACGGACTGTGTACGATCGCAAGTCAGCCGCAGGCCTATCAAAAGGCTGCTGGAGCTGCATCGGCATCGGCATCGGCATCGGCATCGGCATCGGCATCGGCGTCGCCACGGTATGTGCTGGGGCGACGGGAAGCATTGGTTGAGCCGCATGGCGCGCTGGCGGATAAGCCCCGTTCATACTGGGATAATCACGGGGAGGAGGATACGAGCGTTGCAATGGCGCATGCGTGCTACTGTTGTGTCCGTTGAGCACAGGATACATCGTGGGGTATTGCGCAGAACGTCGCATCTCGCAATTACGACAGACAAAGTCCACTTGGTCCCAGTTGCGCTTCGGCCGACCAGCACGCTGGTCAGCCATGTCGTGACAAGGGATGTGCTGCCATTGACAACAGATGCCACAGGAAAGCATCGGCATCCCGTCGTCCTGAAACACGTCAGCAAGTAACTATTGCTCCCTCAACAGAAAACGCACCATATTCACACCTGATCTGTGGCACACCTCACAGTTCAGCATCCAATCGTCGCCTTGGGGTGTCCGAGTGCCTTTCGTAGACGAGGAACGAGAAGTGTGTGCCCGGGCAGATTTCGACTTGCTTGGCATAGGCGGTTGAGTCTTCGAGCCCTCGCTGCATCCCAGTTTCAGCAATGGGAGATAGTAGAGGACATCGAACCAACTTCTGCTCTCTCGATGATTTGACGGCGGAGATCGCCTCAGCTGCTTCCTTGGCCTCATTCTCCTGCCGTCGCTGCTCTCTAGCAGCTTCACGACGCGCCCGGTCGCTCTCCTCCTTGGCTAGCCGTGCTTCGTGGCGCTGCGCGCGCGTCTGTTTCTCCGTCGCTTCTGCTTCTCGTTGTGCGGCCTGACGGGCTTCAGCTCGCTCGCTTTCCTTGCCGGCAATGCGAGATGATCGTTTGCGGTGTACGACCGCATCTTCTATGCGTTGCTTTCGCTCAATTTCCTGGAGAACGGTCAAAGGACGTTCAGAATCGACATGTTGAACAGCACACCCGCAATTGTTCTGTGACCACAGGGACGATTTCCTTCGTCAAGGCTTTGTAGGTAGCCTTCTCCGTGTAATGCGTGCCCTTCTCGAAGCGTTCAGCAATATGCTCCCAATCGAGCAGCGTAATGCAAATCTTGAACAGAAGATAAGTTACTGACTTGCAAACTCCTAGAAACATACCGTCTCCCATTCAATAAAGTCCATCTGCTCTGTATGTTTTGATGGCTCTTCTGGCAACTCTGCTGGAGGCTTCAACTCTGGTTCATCCTCCTCTATGTCTTCGGATTCGTCGTCATCGTCGTCGTTATGACCCTCGTCATCGACACCACTGTCTTCACTCAGCTCGGTCAAGTCGCTCTCCGTGTCGTCTTCGATGATGGCTGCAGCTCGTTGCTTGCCCTTGGATCCTTTCCGCTTATTTACTGCTGATTCCAGCCACTCATCGGGAACGGCTTGCCATTCTTCCTCGTCGTCCACGTTCCCTCGCAATCTGGAACTGAGCCGAGTACCCATGGGTCGAGCAGATTTTGGAGGCGAGCTCGCAGCGCCGCGTTTTCTGCTAGCAGCAAACCGATTGAGAGCAGCCAGTTCTTTGGCCTGCGCATCTAGTTTCAACTTGGCTTGGGCTTTTGCTGCACGACCTTTCGAATTGCCCGCGGTCTGTTGCTGTTCAGCGGCAATCTTGGCACGTTTCAAAGGCTGTCTTGTCGCAGGAGCTCTGGACGCTGGTTCAGCTCGTTTGCGCTTCAAAGAACCATTGGGAGCAGAGCGAGGAGGCTTCGGGGGAGCTCTTTGAATCCAAAGCCGTTCCGCTGTATGGATGTGTTCAGAATGTAAGCGGATACTACGACAGAGTGTTACTGACCCCCAATTAGCCAATAAGCGTTTGATTTGGAATCGTAGCCGATGGGTTCTATACGCTAGAGAACAATTGAAAACAGCGATGCCACCTCTTTTGATCACCCACCCAGGCTGCCTCTTCATCGTCGTTCTTCATTAGAGACCGCAGCCGTGTTGGATTTTGAAATTGCCATTCCGTCATGAGGTGGAGTGAATGCAACTTGGTATCCATGGGCAGATCCAACCAGTCCTTAGACTCTTCCTTCACATCATCTTCCAAGATATTTGGCTTATGTGTGGGCTCAGAGGCTCCAGTGCTATTCTGTCCTTCATCGGCGGTTCCGTTTGCCTCTTCGGGTGAGACGATGCCATTATCTGGAGCAGAGTCTTCTATCGAGACTGACTCGTAGCGTGAATCGGGCTCTGGCTGCTCCGATTCCGGGTCCGGGCCAATAGGATTGGAATCGGGATCGCGACGCCTGTGTTGTTTTCGCAAGTGTGCCTGCCAGTTGTCCAGCCTGAGCCGAGCTCAGCAACAGATAGTGAAACATGAACAGACGACGCACGAAACCTTGCGATCATACGTAAGAACAAACAACAGCCGAGCCATGACGCGGGGTAGGAAAATGGTGGTTTCACGCGCAAGGTCATTCTCAATGTCCTGGATGCACATACCAGCGTAAGTGACACGAGATAATCCTGTGAAAACACGCGAAAAGTGAACGCACAGTCACTGAGACGTCGGGCATTTGGAAGAGGTGCGAGAAGGTGTAGAAGAACTGGCAAAACGCTGCCCATTTCCAGTTCTTGCGCAGCTGGGCGAGTCGCTGGGAGACAGGGTCCAGATCCGCGACAGCTCCCGAAGCGCTGCCAGATTGGGCTTCCGTGATTTCCTTTGGACGGACGGCAGGCCGACGGGGCATGGTAAATCTGACTCGGGCGGTGGGGCAAAAAACGGCAATGGATCACGGGGAAACCGATGCAGCTAGTTCCAACAGAGACGAGGTGATGATGATAGTATAAATAATGAGGGACTCCAGGAGTCCCTGGAAGGCGCTATGTTGTGGAAGAAAGAGGTGTTGGGTCGCTGCCCATCAAATTCGAAACAAGAGTAAACTTGACCTGGAATTGTTGTCCTTGTTCAGCCCCGCCGCCGTCCTCACCATGTTTTGATCTGAAAGCTGTCATGCCCACCATATCTTGTCTGTTAACACCCATCTTGTCTCTTTTCTAGTTTCTTCAGACACGACCCCATCGTCCACTTCTGCCAGATCGACGCGCGTAAACTCATACAGACATGTCCGACTGTCCTATCCTCATTTGGATGCTTTCTCTAAACCGCGAGTACACGAAAGAAGTGCGAGCATTCTCTTCACTTGCTGGCCTCGCTCTCACTGGCCGCATCGATGTAGGAGTATGATCTGTGCTACAAAACTGTCGCAGAATGTGTTCCCCATGCCAAGATCACCTATGAACCACCTAATGCAGACAGTTTTCGTTCGTCCTCCACTTTATGACGGCTCTGCTCCGGCTGAACACTGCCCAGGACAATTGATGACCTACATGATGCCTTTACTGATGATGCGCCATCGTCGTATACCGCGCTCGAAATGGAGGGACTGCGTCACCCAGAACGGAAAGCACTGGATAGAACAAGTGAGCTCACTCGGGGACTCGATCTTGTTTCATCTCATTCGGGTCGACAGAGTCCCGATGACATGTCTCCCGAAAAATTCTTACACTCCATGATTGGATACCAGCTCTCTTATGAAGCCTCTCTATGTGGTATGGCCATGACACAGGGTCCACAGCGAAGCGTCGTCAACATTGGCCTCGGGATTCACTTGGTGGGTGTCGAGCCGCGAGGCATTGATGTCAAGACGTACATCGAGTCCATGAAACATAAGGTCCGTGGTGAAAGGGTTCCTCTCGGTGGCGCTGAATTCAGATGCAGATCACAGACGTTGAACGTGCATCTCTCGGGATTGAACTCGGGGATGAAGTTGCTCTCCGTCGGCTATGTATCATTCTCTCCCTGAAAGCGGCCTACATCAGGGCTATCGGACAACCTGCCGGCTTCGATTGGGGTCGGCTCAACTTTGATATTCCCCGTCAGTGTGCCTCTGGGGATGGGCATGCGCTGAATGGATGGGAATTTCGCATCTTCCGCGCCAGTCTGGGTGTTGCCCGAGGCGACACACTTTGCGAAGAGCATTACCAATGCGTCTGCGCATTTTTTCGTGGCACGAATGAAAGCAAGTTCATCTGGCACGAGAGTACCAAGGAACTGGAGAACTGGGTGCAGTTCATTAATATCGACCAAATGATCCGCGTCGTACCGAAGTTATCTGCCTGAAGCTGGTGTGCTGTTTGTTATCTGCTGTCTTATCACATTACTGGATCTCGTAATCATCTGCTGTTTCCGTATGTACTATCCTGATATTCCTACACGATTCGACTGCATATCTTCCAAGCGTCGAAGTTTTACACATTAACGAAGGAAACCAAGGACTTGATCAGAGCGGCAACCATGGGCGGCGGAACATCATGTCCCACTCCGTCAAAAACGATGAATTCTTTGGATCCAGGCCCAACTTGAAGTCCTTCCACGAATGGTTTGCTAGCCGTCCAGGGCACCAGAGGGTCTGCACCTCCGGAGAGAACGAGAACGTGTTTCCCATAGAATGGATTTTCTGGGCCTTCACTGGTGTAGGGTAAACTGAGAAGTGAGTCCCGCTTCACCTGCTCGACGAACGAGTCGGGGAGATAAGGCGGTCCTGCATTCAACCCTGCTTCCTTGGCTCGAGGATACATGAGCGCGAGGTAGTCGGGACACCCGATGATCGGAATCGTCAGCTTCAGACGAGGGTCGCTGGCGCCCGCAATATATGCTGAGTGCCCCCCCAGACTTATACCTGTGACCCCCCAATCAGATATCGTCCGCTCTCCGAGAGGGAACAGATAGGACGGGAGGAAATCGATTAGGAAAGAGACATCTTTGGCTGTTCCCACTGTTCATCGGGTTAGCGTGGGGAGCACAATGGGGACTTGATTCAAAACATACGCTGGATGGTATACATGTCCAACCTGCGCGTGCTTAGCGCTGTGCCTGGGTCCGATTGAACACACTCACGCATGGTTAGGATTCTCTTCGAAGCTCAGGTTATAAAGCCGGTCTTTGAGCCTTGTTCCATGGTTTCGGTGATCCTGGAGAGAGTCTCAGACAGCTAACGCGAAGAGTGGAGATGAACACACGAAGGTCACGATCATCAGATCTTTACTCTCTGATCGTGCAGCAGGGCTAGAGAGGATTTCTGCTGTAATCTTTTGCATGTAGTCTGATTGAGCAGACCCCATTCTCCCGTGGAGGAAGAATACAGCATAGATGGGCTTGGTACTATCAGCAAATGCGTCTGTCGTGTGGGTGTACACCTCCAGTCCAGCTATGACCGTTGTTTTCTGCATGATGGCCAGCAGGGAAGCAAACTGAAAGCGAGGGCTGTCAGACACGCGAAATGTTACAGTCAAGACGAATCAACAACAAAGGCCGCGAGAGATGGGTGCTTTCCGTTCCGATACCGCTTCTGATATCAATGTCAGATAAGATCTTCCATCGCCGCGGCGATCAAGTTTCAGGCTCAACCTATGGCCGGAACCACCGTTGTTCGCTCTTGCCAACTAGGACTCCAGCACCGGGCGGAAAACCTCTCGGGACATGGAACGAGATCCCACGACACACGCAAACTATTTTGAGATAGCCTCCCAGAGCGTCGCGTTCGACTGGAGTCTCGATTTCGAAACCAGCATATTGACTGGCTCTGCGACCCATCGATTGAAGGTCCTGAAGGATGGGGTCTCAGAAGTGATGTATGGTTGCTACTCTTGAACCTCCTTGTGTAATAACGCGACGAATCCTACGAAGCTTTGACACGAGTGATCTCGAAGTCCAAGATGCACAAGTCGAGGGGGAAACGGTCAAGGTGCCTTTAAAATGGAGAACTGCGAGCAAAGATTAATGGGGTTTCAAGCATACTCTGGGCGCCAAACATCCTGTGATGGGATCGGCTCTCCATATTCCTCTGCCATCCAATCTCGAAGCTGGACAATCCATCAGCGTGGGTATCCGGTACAAGACGACGAAAGATTGCGTCGCCCTTCAGTGGCTGGAGAAAGAGTGTGTATGCTTTCTTCTTCCATTTGTTTTGCTGCTGACTCATGTCCAGACAAACCCAAGGGCGGTCGTTCCCATTTTTGTTCAGCCAATGCCAGGCTATCTACGCGCGCACCATGGCGCCTGTGCAGGGTCGGTCCACACGATGATATGAATATTGAGCGATACTGACTTGCAGCTTTCAGACACGCCCTCTGTCAAGATTGTATGGTCTCATCACCTTCCAAGTATCATGATTTTAACAGAGATGCCCACAGACATACACCGCGCGCGTCAAATCAGTGCTGCCTGTGCTACTTTCTGCCATCAGAATCAATCCCCCATCGGGTGGTCCAGCGCACGGGGGTGCTGCGATTGGGAAGGAAGTGGTCACATACGAGTACACGCAGCCTGTCCCGATCCCGACCTACCTGATCGCCATCGCCTCCGGCAACCTGCGATACAAGGCTTTCGATGTACCAACTGGGAAAGAGTGGAAGAGCGGTGTCTGGGCTGAACCAGAGTCGATCGACGCGGCCTTCTGGGAATTCAGTGAAGACACCGCCAAGTTTTTAGCTGCGGAAGAATCAGTCGTGACGCCCTACCAGTTTGGTGTCTACGATCTGCTCGTTCTCCCGCCCTCTTTTCCTTATGGTGGAATGGTGAGAGGCATACATAGGCTCCTCTGCCAGAGATCTTTACCAGAATCCAGGAAAACGCGTGTTTGTCTTTCTTGACGCCCAGTAAGTTGAACGCAGAGGCTCACCGTTGGAGACTTATGTTCCGCAGGTTTGCTGACAGGGACGCGAGACCTGGTTGATGTCGTGGTCCACGAGCTGACACATTCGTGAGTCGGGCGCTTATAACACGACGCGATCATGGCTGAGCTCTGCAGGTGGTTTGGGAACGGCATCACCCATGCCCATGCGACCCATTTCTGGCTCAACGAGGGCTGGACAACATACATCGAACGTGTGCTTCAGCAAGTCCTCAAGTCGCCTGCGGCTCGCGGCTTCTCTTACATCATCGGGCGGGCCGCCCTCGACCACGCGCTCCAGGAGTACACACCGACGCCCCGGTACCGGCGTCTTGTCATCGACTTTGAGGTCGGGGAGGACCCTGAGGACGCATACTCTGACATCGCCTATGAGAAGGGGGCGAATCTTCTCCTCCACATCGGTAGGTCCGTCAGCCCGACTCGTCGTATGGTCTGACCACATTCAGAACGAACCCTCGGTGGCCTGGACGTTTTTCTGCCGTACGTCAAGGAATACGCCAACACTTTCATTGGAAAGAGCATCACGACTGGGGAATGGAAGTCGCATCTCTACAGTTATTATGCCAAACATGGTGGCGCTGAGAAAGTGGCGGCTCTGGACAGCATCGACTGGGATGTGAGTTCCTGCACTCTCGTTCTGGATTTACAATCATGCTATCCAGGCGTGGTTCTATGGACAAGACCTGGGTCTGCCAGTGAAGATGGAATATGATACCAGCATGGCGCAGGTCCCGTACGATCTTGCAGCACGATGGGACATCTCTCGCTCAACGGCAGACGTCGAAGGATTGGAATTTGTCAAGGCGGACGTCACCGACCTGCTTTCCACTCAGATCGGTAGGCATATCTCGGGCTAATCGAGTCGCTGGTCATTCTCATCATACTCTCCAGTCGTTTTCCTTGAGCGGCTCCAAGAATATCCCGGTCTACCGCATTCACACCTCTTGCACCTGGGCAACTTGTATGGTATCAGCGCATCGCAAAACTCCGAAGTACGTCTTCGCTGGTACACGCTCGTTCTGGCCGATCCGCAGTCGATTTCCGCCTCCCATTTCGCCCCCGAAGCTGCACGGTGGGTGGTAGGCGACGACGGGACTGGCGTCATCAAGGGCAGAATGAAGTTCTGTAGGCCCACTTTGCGGGCAGTGTTTCTTGTCGACAAGGCGTTGGCTACGAGTACCTGGACCAAACACCAAACCAAATTCCACCCGATTGCTCGGAAGATGGTCGACAAGGTTTGTCTCATCGCACGCTGGCTTCCTTGATGCTGACTTTTGTGCAGGACTTAGAACTACCCTGAGCACCATCCATCCAGGTTGACGATGGCAAGAAATAGATATCGAAAAAATTAATGCATTTACACGTCAGATAGTGACCTCTGAGATGACCTCCGTAATTTGGGTAACACTGGCATCCGATTCCTCCTTCTTCGTCTCAGTCACGTTGTCTTTCTTGGCGGCACTAGCGAAACTGAGCGACGGGCGCACCGACGGTGCTGTGGAGATAGCTGGCTTTGATGAACCAACTGGGGTCAATTTCGGGGACTGCGGGGACTGCGGGGATTCCGGCGGGGGACTCCTCGTTCGATTGAAAGGTGTTCTTTCCATCGCAGTTCGGGAATTCGTGCGTGACATGGACAATTTTTCCTTGGATACTTCGCGGTCTTTTTCGATGCGTTCTTCGACCTCCTTTTCGCGATTGGCCGAATCAACAGGCCTATAACACGCAACTGTCAATGGACGGTCGGATGTACAGAAAGGCCCTGTGTCGCTTACCTAGCCGCACCAAACGGATTGGATCGCGACGTCGCACTCGCAGGCGGAGTCGGTCCTATTTTCGGAGAAGAAAGAGGGCTCGGGACATTGGAAGCACTGCCAGATCGAGGAAGGAGTTCGAGTTTTCGTCGACTCAGCTGCGGAGTCGGCGGTGTTGAACTGTTCGCTGGAGAGACGTCAGCTCCGGGGATGAACGCAGCTGCAAAGCACCTACGAGAAGTGCTTGAAACGGCCTTTGGCCGGGACGTTCGCCAGTCATCGCCCATCGCAATGTCCTTGACAGATGGCTCACGGGGTGGTCCGCTACGAGGAGCACCAAAACGGCTGCCGCCAGAGCTTTCTTCGGCTACAGGAGCAGGTTTGAACTTGGAACCCATAGTCCAAGATTCTTCGCGGTCAGCGGCAGTTGGTTCCGGGGGTGTGAAGTTGCTGGGCCGTCGCCGATACGAAGATTCAGGTTCGGGTGGAGCAACAGAACGAACAGGGCGATTAGCGCGCCAATCAATGGCCCCTTCTGAAACTGAAGGTAGATTACTGGTCGTGGAATCAAATCTCCGTCGAGATGGTTCTCGGGAATTATTGCTGGTGGGGAGCGGTCCCTCGCGCCTCCAATTGTTTTCAAATTTGGCGTCATCCTCAGGGAACCCTCCTCGTTCCTTGGCTAACGAGTATTCAGCAATCACATGGAGCTCATGTCACGTGAAATGACTAACGAGGATCGGCTACGCTCACTCGAATTGTCCGGCCAGAAAAGTTCTTGGGGAACTCAGGCACTCGTTCAAGCTCAGAATTGACGACATACCGATCCGTTTTTAGCGATTGCATCCTTCAGATCATCTAGATCTTCAAATTCGATGTATCCGAAGCCCTTGGGTTTGTCCTCCCTGTCCTTAATGAGCTTGATGGATTTGGTCTGTGAAACCAATGAGCGAAGAAGTTAGAGTAAGCGCTATCCAGCGTACCCTAGGCGATCCGAAGAATTCCTCGAGCTCTCCCTCGGTCAGATCGAAGGACAGGTTGCCAACAAAGGCGGTATACGGGGGCTGGGTAGGCAATGGCAAATCGTCGCGTGGAGGCCCTGCAGCGACACGATCCGCTGGTTTGGTCGGGTCAGATAACATCAACAAGAGTCGATTATCTACATACGTCGGCTGGACAGGAAATCGTCGCGGCGGCCGTAACGATCGTTTCCTCGCGCGTTCTCCTCGTCAGTGCGTACAGCCGCTGCAACCAAAGTTAAATGCGTTATCGGGAGACAAATGATAGACCTACGGGCACTGGGAAGGCTTTCCATTTCATCGGCCCATGAGCCCAGGGCTATGGGACGGAAAAGTAAATATCAGTCGAGACGCGATCGTAGCCAACGCACCGCTGTCCCCGAGAAACTCATTCAGCGGGATTTTTTTTGCTCTCTTAGGTGCTGTAAGGATGTTTTTTGTCAGATGAAGCGGGACATGAAGGTCCGTGGAGACTGACGCATAGTAAGCGGGGACGAGTAGACTAATAGCTCGGTTGATCAGCGTTGTGTGGAAACAAAAAATTCTGTGCTGTTTGGTCGTGATGTCGATTCAGTTTTAGCTCTTCGACCTGGACATCCAGACTGCGTTTTGAAAGCGCGATTGAAGCAAATTCGTCTGGAATGGAAGCGTCTGTGCGTCTCAAGCACGCTAAGGAGTCCTTATTTACATCGAATCAGACAGGGATCGAATGTGCTCAACAAACAGATGCAAGGACTTTGGTCCGCCCACAGGCGCACGAAAGTGAATCTGAACGCAGCACCTGTGATCGAAGAGGTCCCCGAAGCGTCTCCGAACGAAGAACAGGCACCAGCATCCTCTGACGCTTCTCCGGCTGCGACACCCTCTGCCATCAACGGCAAGCGCAAAGTACGAAGCTCCCGAAACGACGAAACCAATCTAAATAAACGCGCAAAACTTACTGGCAACGGGACTATTGCGAAAGACTACTCTCCACCCTCGGCTCGGCTCTCTGACCTGGGAGGGGTTGAACGATGCATCGAAAAGGTTCTCGAACTGGTTGCCATGCCTCTCTCGCACCCAGAGATCTACTTGCACACGGGTGTACCACCTCCCAGAGGGGTTTTGCTGTATGGCCCTCCTGGTTCTGGAAAAACCTTGCTTGCGAATGCGATCGCTGGTGTATGCTTCATTCACTTCTCGTTATCCTGTTCTCAACCATGGAACAGGAGCTTGGCGTCCCTTTCATCAACATCTCTGCTCCTTCCATTGTATCCGGAATGTCTGGAGAATCGGAGAAAACATTGAGGGATGCCTTTGAAGAAGCCAAGGCAAGTCGCACGGCTCGGCTTCCACCTCTGATTTTGATCCTCATCAGCGTATTGCGCCTTGCTTGCTTTTCATTGACGAGATTGATGCTATTGCCCCCAAACGAGAAAGCGCTCAGCGGGAAATGGAAAGGCGTATTGTGGCTCAGTTTCTGACATGCATGGACGATCTATCGTGGGATAAAACCGATAATAAACCTGTGATCGTCATGGGCGCGACGAATCGAGCCGACTCCCTTGATGCTGCGTTGCGCAGAGCAGGTCGTTTCGATCACGAGATCAGCATGGGGGTCCCAGACGAGAGTGCCCGTGAAAAGTGGGTGCTGGGGCGCTTGTAGAAAACGTTCTCATTTTCATGCAGGATCCTCCGGGTTTTGTCCCTAAAATTGCGTTTGGAAGGCGATTTCGATTTCACTAGCCTCGCACGAGCTACTCCAGGTTACGTTGGCGCCGACCTGGCTGCGCTTACTGGTGCTGCCGGTATCATCGCCGTAAAACGGATATTCAAGAATTTAACTACCCAGAGGGCGATGTTGATATGACTGAGCCTGGGCCAAACTCGATCGCACAATTTCTGCAGGCGCATCCTGATCCGTTAAGTGACGAACAGTTGCAGCCATTGCAAATCACGTCACACGACTTCATGCTGGCTCTGAAAGAGGTGCAGCCGTCCTCTCAGCGGGAAGGATTCGCTACGGTTCCCGATGTGACGTGGGAAGATATCGGCGCGTTGCATGAGACTCGGGACGCACTGCAAATGGCTATCGTTCTACCACTGCAACACCCGGAGCTGTTTCGCAGTGTGGGAATTGCTGCTCCATGCGGGGTTCTGCTCTGGGGACCCCCCGGCTGCGGTAAAACTCTGCTTGCCAAGGCAGTAGCCAACCAGAGCCAGGCGAATTTCATCAGCGTCAAGGGTCCTGAGCTGCTGAACAAGGTTGGCCTCATTCTCTGAAGTAAGAATGTGCTGATATTGTTTCCCAGTACGTCGGTGAAAGCGAGCGAGCCGTACGGCAAGTGTTCACCCGCGCTCGAGCGTCGTCGCCTTGTGTGATATTTTTTGATGAGCTTGATGCGCTGGTCCCTCGCCGGGACGACAGTATGGCACGTATTCTCTGTTCGTTAGTGGCTGGTACTGACTTGCTTTGCAGTCTGAATCCTCCGCGCGGGTGGTCAACACCTTACTCACAGAACTCGACGGCTTGGATGCCCGCAAAAGTGTTTATGTTGTCGCTGCAACCAACAGACCAGACATGATCGACCCTGCTATGGTTCGCCCGGGGCGACTAGACAAACTTCTATATGTGGACCTTCCTTCTGCGCAAGAGAGGGCGGAGATCTCACGAACGCTGCTGCGCGGAGTGCCACTGTCCGACTCTGTGGACGCCGTGGCCCAGCTTGTTTCCGACAGGTGCGAGGGATACAGCGGAGCGGATCTAGCCTCGCTCGTCAGAGAAGCTGGCGTCTGTGCTCTTCGTCGTTCCATCGGACCCATAGACATTTCCACTCAGCCGACCACTGTGACAGTTACAGTCCCTGATTTCGTAGAGGCCCTTGAAAAAGTGGGGCCTAGTGTGAGCATTGCTCAGCGAAGAAAGTACGAATCTCTGCGGACAAAACTCTCAGGGCTGCCGGTCAGAGTGGGTAAAGACGAGGATCACAAACGAGTAGATTCATGATCATGATGTTACAAGTAATCAGATTACCTTCGGTCAATGCCGTAATATGATCTCATTTTCAAATGACTCAAAACCAAAAAAGTAGCTTCTGTTTCCACTCACCACCACGCCGCGATGTGCCCCCACGACAATATCGAATCTGCACCTGTCGACAAGTCTGAAATGGTCGAAGTCCCTCTGGCTGCACCTAGCAAAAGGGGTACATCTGCCAAGGTCAACGGTTTCAATGGCCATGTCGCTACCCCAGAACAAAAGTCAAATCCATATGCACCCCGCGCGGCGGACTTCTTGTCCAACATCTCCAACTTCAACATCATCGAAAGCACCCTCCGAGGTAACCGTGCCTCCATGCGCCATATCGCTTATCCGAGCTAATGCGCCAGTACTACAGAGGGAGAGCAGTTCGCAAATGCGTTCTTCGACACCAAGACCAAGATCGCGATCGCCAAAGCCCTCGATGCATTCGGTGTCGAATACATCGAACTGACCTCCCCGGCCGCCTCTGAACAATCGCGACTGGATTGTGAGGCTATCTGCAAGCTCGGCCTCAAGGCCAAGATCTTGACCCATATCCGGTGTCACATGGATGATGCTCGGATTGCTGTTGAGACTGGTGCGACCACCGCCCTTCTTGTTGTCACAGTCTTATGTATCTACAGGTGTGGACGGCGTCGATGTCGTCATCGGAACTTCCTCCTTCCTCCGCGAGTTTTCTCATGGCAAGGACATGGCTTATATCACCAAGACGGCCATTGAAGTCATCAACTTCGTCAAGTCCAAGGGAATCGAAGTCCGCTTCTCATCTGAAGACTCTTTCCGCTCCGACCTCGTTGACCTTCTCTCCATCTATCAAACCGTGGACAAAATCGGCGTTCACCGAGTTGGTATCGCCGACACAGTCGGCTGTGCCAATCCGCGACAAGTTTACGATCTTGTGAGGACGCTGCGTGGAGTGGTGAACTGCGACATCGAGATCCATCTGCACAATGATACAGGCATGGGTGCGTGTATTTTTCGGCATTCTGCTTCCGAATCTGAATGTCTGCTAGCCATTGCCAACGCGTACACTGCTCTGGAGGCTGGTGCAACTCACATCGACACTTGTATGCCACGGACCAATCTCCCCGAGCGTGACGATTCTCATCCATTTTAGCTGTTCTTGGCATTGGCGAGCGCGTTGGTATCACACCTCTGGGTGGATTGGTTGCTTGTTTGTACGCTGCCAACCCTGAATACGTCAAGTCCAAGTACAATCTGCATATGCTGCGAGAGATCGAGAACTTGGTTGCGGAGGCCGTCGAGGTCAACATCCCGTTCATGAACCCGATCACGTAGGGAACCGTCTCCCTCTGCAACGGCGCAATATTGACACGAATTGCAGGGGCTACTGTGCTTTCACACACAAGGCTGGCATCCACGCCAAGGCCATTCTCAACAACCCCAGCACCTACGAAATCCTCAAGCCCGAGGATTTTGGTCTCACTCGCTATGTGTCTATTGGGTGAGCAGAGCCGCATTCTTATCCGATCCCTTTCTCATGCACGAGCAGGCATCGTCTCACTGGTTGGAACGCGGTCAAGTCACGAGCTGAGCAACTCAACCTCACCATGACCGATGATCAGATCAAGGATGCGACTGCCAAGATCAAGGAGCTCGCGGACGTGCGAACACAGTCCATGGATGACGTCGACTCACTCTTGCGAATTTACCACTCCGGAATTCAATCCGGTGAACTTGCTGTCGGCCAAAAGGAAGCTCTGGACAGGCTCTTGCGGAGACATCGGGATGAGGCTGCAGGCCGCCCGTCCAGCCCTTCCCGCGAGAGAGAGTAGATACTCGCCCTACAAATCAAACAAAATGAATGTCTTGACTATATGTTGTCTACCCTGAGCAAGTAACATGATCGGACCCGCAAGCAATAAGGAGCAGGGATATGCCACCATCACCGAGTAAGCTGTTCCGACGATTGTTTGTTGAAAGCGGTACTCTGCGGCCTCCTTACCTACCATCATTGTTATCAACACAACCAAACATCAAGGACCGCCCATATCGCCACCTCTCCCGTCCTCGACACCTTCTCTTCTCTCTTCAGCATGTTTGTCTTGCCATTGTTGGCCCTTGCCACAGTTAGTGCTGCGCAAGCTATCAACTACGACCTCGCCCATAATGCCACATCAATCGTCGGAACATGGTCCACGGGCTCTAAGCATGTCGTCACTGGCGCGGTCAGTATCCTCAAACCAGGAAAAAATGCAGTTTCTGACTTCATACGTAGGGCTTTGCGAATCCCTCCCAAGAAAGCTTCATTTATCCGAACACAACTGGAGAAAGCTACTCTTTGTGCGTTGCTCCCATCTTCTAACGCATGTCTAACCAATCACTTCAGCTCTGACGATGGCTGGTATGAGGTAGCCCGATACCGATTCACATCGAATGGTAAAGTTTTTGCGATCGCTCTCATTGTCTCGTTTTGACCCCCCTTATCTAGCCACTGAGCCCAATTGCATTGTCGGTACGGTTGTCTGGGTGCATGGGAAGTACACGCTGGTCAACAACGGTTCTATTATCCTCACCCCGGCTGGTGACGGATACCAGCAAGTGCAAGCTCCGTGCGCGGCAGTTTCGAACTTCATCCAAAACTACAACTTCACGGAATTGTACCAGTCGTGGCGAATCTTCATGGACCCGACCTTGGGCCCCAAGCTCCACCTCTTCAAATTCGATGGGTCGCCCGTCGCTCCTCAGTTCCAGCTGTCGACGACGCCGAACATGCTCCCGAAGCAGGCTCTGAGGAACGTCACGGGCAATATCGTTACTGCGACCAGCGATGGCTTGGTCACGACTCAGACCAAGCGTTCCACCCCGAAGAAGCGTAGTGCCGCGCAAGGACTTCGTCCTGCCGGGGCGGTGGCTGGTCTACTTGTGATGGGTTCCGTCGCCACGCTCCTCTTCTGAGTGCTGGAGGTATTTCCGTAGTTGGACGATTTTATCTAGCCCTATATTATTGACAGCATTCATGTCCACGCCGCTATATACCTGACGCAAAGACCAGTTTGACTACTGGCGCGCCGCTCGTTTAACCTGTTTGATGCCCTACCGTGCGAATTCCCCACTCACTTAAGTAGCCACGTGCAGCTGTGATGGACCAAGTATTCCTTCTCTCTTTCGTTCATCTTCAAATTCCAGTCTTAAAGGCAAGTACCCTGTTCTCTTTGTCTCCTCAGATGAACACAGTACGGATGTAGAGTCAAAGACTCGCTGTCCGAGAGCGCTAAAACCGTGTGGAGTCTTCCGTTGCCTTCCTTCTGATCCCCTCCTACTTTGTCGTTTTCGTTTGTCGCAGCTTTGCTGACTTTGTGCCCGACAGCCGTCCTAGTTTGACCTCTTTCAGTGGGCTGCTTCATTCTTTTTGTACTTCCATTTCTTCTAATCGTTGTATACGACGACAAACATGCCATACGTTACAATTTTTTATCTGAGCGAGCAAGGCGTCGGTTCCCAGTCCGTTGTTTATCGCACTCGCTCTGTCAGGCAGTTGAGATGAATACAGTATTGTTACAATCGGAAGAGTACAAGTCCACATGGCAGTAACAAATAGAGAAATAAAATAGGATGCGACCACTGATTAGGCCTCTGGAGCGCCCTTGCCCTCTGACAGTAATTCATCAAAACCCATCGCAGGAGGGAGTAAAGACACTTACTCTTCGATACTGTGGGCAGCAAAGAGGGATCGATGTGGGGGACAACACCACCTTGGGAGATGACTACAGAGCCAAGAAGCTACGGTGTAGCATCAGCGTATAGTACTGGGGAATACCAAGCCACGCACCTTGCCCAACTCCTCGTCGTTTCTGATGGCGAGTTGAAGATGACGGGGCACGATACGGTGCTTCTTGTTGTCTCGGGCGGCATTCCCGGCAAGCTCGAGAATCTCAGCTGCCAAATACTCGAGGACGGCGGCGAGGTACACTGTGCGAGATGAGACAGTGGGGATGATAAAGGAAATTGAGGCGCGTACCAGGAGCACCAGCACCAACACGCTGGGCGTAATTGCCCTTCTTGAGGAGACGATGGATACGACCGACAGGGAACTGAAGACCAGCTTTCGAGGAACGCGACTGCGCCTTCGAGTCGCTGGAAACACCGGCAGCCTTGCCAGACTTGGATTTGCCGCTAACTTTGCCAGACATTGGTTTCTTAGTGTGTACGGGAGCAAGTGGGTTCGGCGAGTTGAGGGCAAGAGTCTAGTTCGAAACAAACCCGTTGTGTTTATATACCCCCTGAAGCGCTGGTCACATATGTCACGCGTTTGTTGACGCGTTTGTTGACAGGCTTGTTGAGTAGAGCCAAAGTTAAGCAAACAACACGCCGTTATAAACGACTACCCGCCCGCCCAAACTCGCTCTCATCTTTTGACTTCAACCCCCATCTCCCTATCCTCTTCATCTCATCACGCCATGGCCCCCAAACCCGCCTCCACTGCAGGGAAAGCTCCGGCGTCCACTGCTGGCAAGGCTCCCGCAACCACCGCTTCCAAAGCTCCGTCCAAGTCTACTGAGAAGAAAGCGGGCAAGAAGACCTCCAAGGCGGCGGCTCCGGGTGATGGCGAGAAGAAAAAGCGCAAGAAGGTCAGAAAGGAGACCTACTCCTCTTACATCTACAAGGGTGTGTGCGATGTCAGCTCCAGCTTGGAATCGTTGCTAAGTAGGTTCCTCCAGTCCTGAGACAGGTCCACCCGGACACTGGTATCTCCAACAAGGCCATGTCTATCCTGAACTCCTTTGTCAACGACATTTTCGAACGCATCGCGTCTGAGGCATCCAGTGCGTGCGATTCATCATGCTTATCTTTGTGTCCTCATACCTGTTCAGAGCTCGCCCAATACTCGAAAAAGTCCACCATTTCTTCTCGGGAAATTCAAACTTCTGTTCGTCTCATCCTTCCCGGTGAACTCGCCAAGCACGCTATCAGCGAGGGGGTCCGTCCTCTTTCTTTCCGCCGCTCTTCCTATCACTCAACTCTTGTTAGACCAAATCTGTCACCAAGTTCTCCTCTGCGACTACGACCAAGTAACATGGTCGTCTTTTGTCTGTCTGTACATTCTGTATCATCTATCTGCATAGCTTATTATCCCGTGTACTTCTATCCCTCAGCATTCGATCCTGCAATGCTGACTACCAGTTGAATGTGTAAGTACTGAATGAACTAAGGCTCAAACCGACTAGAGTCAACGGCGGTTTTCATTGATTTCTTCAAGATACTGATTAGAAAGATTCCTGCCAGCAAGGAATGAGCAGACGTACCAGGGTCGACGTACACCATCCGGCCTCGTCCTTTGAATCGTACGCCACCGTTGTCAGACTTGGAATCAGCCTCATTTCGGGCCTTGACGCGTTGCAGTTCCTTTTTTCTACTCTCCGCGATCCTCTCCAACTCTTCTCGCTCCAGCCTCGCGTCGTATTCCTCTTCAGTCTCTTCACGCGGTTCGTCTGGCTTTGAAGAGGATTCGAGGTCTTCACTTGAGATGCGACGACGGCTTTTTTTGGAGTACTCCCGATCAGAGTCGTTGCTGCTCGATCGTTTCTTTTTCGACTTCTTGCGACGAGACGTCTCTTCATCGGCAGAAGGAGATAGTCTCTTTGGAGGTTTCACGGCTGCAACGCATTCAATGTCATATTTAAATGCTCCTTTCGAGCACACCAGAACATACGTTTTCGTAATTCGAGTTCACCTGAGTTGGATATCAGCACGGTTTCGACCGGGCGCGATTTCTCGTCCACTTGCACTTCGCCCAGCTTGTATATGACGTCCTCGCCCCGCAATACGTGTCCGAAGACAACGTGTTTGCCATTCAGGTGTGGACATTCGCGTAAAGTGACGAAGAACTGGCTGCTGTTCGTGTTGGGACCCTTGTTCGCCATGCACAAGAGTAATGGCGCGTCAACGGGGCGGCTGAGGTCCTCATCGTCAAACGGACCACCGTATATTGATTCCCCACCCTTGCCATTTCCTAGTGTGAAGTCTGTTGAAAGATGAGTGCACGAAAGTGAACTTGAGGACGCGTCGTGCCTCCAGCTTGAATCATGAAGTCCTTGATGATCCTATGGGAGATGCTGTTCTTGTAGAATAGCGGTACATTTGTCCGAGAGAGACCCTTCTCGCCGGTGCATAGGGCCCGGAAGTTGTCGCACGTTTTGGGGACCTGGATGTGCATGGTCTGCAAACCTGATGTGCAAATATTCATTCTAAGACCGACCTCATCGTCAAACAGTTCGAATATGACTCTGACCACTTCAGTCAGCAGGAGAATCGGGATGCGCGCATGATCTGTACCTGCCCAGTGGCTTATCTGCCACAGAAAAGTCAAGAAAGACGCGCGAGCGAGGCATCGTGATGGTGGGACAGGCACAAGATTGGAAGGTGATGGCGGTGCTGCCTGCGGTGCACTCTCTCACGACCCATACTCACGATCCGCTCGCTGCTGCAACAGTGCACATGGTGCGTGCGCAGGAACACTGGCTGTTGTTCGAAATTCACGAGGTCGTAGAGACAATTCAACGTTGTGGTGCTGGGCGGTGATACACACGCTACTTGGCAACCGTTTCCCAATTGACACAAGGGTGTTTCAGCCGGAGGTGTTGGAAAGTCGGCTCTCACTGGTGCGTCGGTGAAACTGGTCGAGGCTCGCAGTGGTCAATGCCGCGCCCTCAGTTCGCTTTGTCCGAGACGTTTTCGTGGAGAATTATGATCCAACCATTGAAGGTTCTCGTACTCGGTCATAGGCCTTATCGTAGCCTGACATCCGGTCCCCTCTAGAGCAATACCACCGCTCAATAACGGTTGATGGAGTGTCATCCTCCGTGCGTTTCTCAATTGCTTGGGTACTGCAAGGACACCCAATCCTCCTTGGTCCATCAGCTCGAGGTCTTGGACACAGCTGGGGCAGAACAGTTCAAATCCCTGAACGAAGTGTATATCAAGGTAATCTTTCGAAACAACGCCAGTGTTGCGCTCTCAGCGTGCTTTCAGTCTGGCCAAGGATTCGTGCTCGTTTTTAGGTGGGATCCTTGTCATTTCGCCCACGGATGGTCCCAGTTCACTTATCTCTCACGCTAGTTTAACTCAGGAAGCGAGTCTCAAGGAAATCGAAAGCCTGCGCAAGCAAATCTTCCGGATCAAGGGGACGGAATCTGTACGTGATATCGGCTCTAGCGGACGACGGCAGACGCCGACGATGACTTGTTCTGCTTAGATCCCCATGGTCGTTTGCGGGACCAAGAGCGATCTTACGAGCGAAAGGGAAGTGCCAACGACGACAATAGAATCTCTAGCCAGTCGGTGGAACCAGCCGTTTTACGAGACCTCGGCGAAACGCAACTGGCACATCAACGACGTGTTTGAGGATATTTTGCGACAAATGAGGGTCCGTTATCCTCAGGAATCCCCTAAGAAGACGGGGAAGAAAAAGACACAGAAAGGACCCTGCATTGTCATGTGACCGGTGGTGTGTGGCGTTCATCTCTGCTTGCCAGGACTACTTTTCTGTGGCTTTTGCATGCCCGATACCCTTTATGATACAATGACAGTTACGAACAAACAGGATCGGTAATATATAGGTCACTGTGTATATATATTCCAGGACTGGGAACCGGTTATAAATTGATGGTAGAGAGCTGTAATTGACACTCCACATACCTCGCGCCAGAGCAAACCCTTGTGCTTTTGAATTGGACCATCGATGCCGAAGGCGACACCTTTGAACCACCAAAAGGTGAGCAGAACAGAACCAGCACAGAAGCCGAACACGCCGATCTTGACACGCATAGACCATCGGCGAGACGAAAATACGAAATGATCAAGTAGATGGGCCACCATCAGTACTGAGAAGTACAGCGTCGGAAGCTTGTGCGAGCAGATGAGTATCGAGCGAAGCAGCGAGAGTGGGGCTCACATAATGATGCAAATAAGTAACACGGCCCATGATCAGGAACGGGACTAGGAACGTCAGTAAGCAGCCACCCACAGAAACGAAATCATACCAAAGTGGAAGCACCATCCGAAGAACGCAACCTTGGCCACGTACAAAAAGTGCTCCCACTCGTCTACGCTTCCGGTCAGCCGGGGACGGGTGCTGTGTCAGAGCCACTTACGGTTTTCCATGTCGACAAATTTACGCTGTATCCTCAATACGTACACTCCGCATGTCAGCAGAGCCACGAATAGGCTCACAGTTCCCGCCCACCAGATGATGGGCGTCCCCATCAGATAGTACTTGGTTTGGGTGTCACCCCATCCGCACATCCGCAAACCGAGATGCAGGAATGGCCAGTCGAACGGCTGAGAAGACAAGATGTCTTCCTTGTCGGGATCAGGAATCAGGGCATTATTCGAGGTCATCATCGCCACATTCAGATGCCAGAAGTCTCGAAGGAACGGAGAACGGTAATACCGCTTCTCGCCTGCCGGTACTGGAACGAGAGTCTCAGCAAGCCAGCATCTTGGACTTGATCCAATGCCACTCACGACGCGAGTTCCAGTGACTCTCGATATTCCAGTAAGTGTGCGTGTCCTTGGCATTGTTTTCTGGCACACAGTTGACCTCAATCTGCTTGAAACCCCACTGCGGCAAAATGGCATTAGCAGCCCGAAGATAACAGCCAAGCACGTTGTGCCGGAACCGCAGGCGGGTCGTCAGAGAATGTATCCGGTCCACGTGTGCCCGGGAGCCGAGCAAGATATCGTCGACGACTTCCACGGTCCACGAGTCGTAGATGTCCCCCACAGTCAAGTTGCCATAAGCGGACACTTCGTGGCTCAGTTTTGTAACGGGCGCAGGAATGAGATGCGAATGCAGATTGCGTCCGGTAGGGTCGTGCGAGAGACGGATGGTGTCGCCATGCTTGAGAAATCTGATCGGCTCCTGCTCATCGTACGGCGACTCAGCCCATGGCGGAAGAATATTCCAGTCTGTGGATCGGTCATTGACGGTCCATGCGTGCATGAGAGAAAGCACTTTCGATTATTTGTGTCATCGTAATGATAGCATCTAGAAATGTCAAGATTTGTAGTGAAGCGAAGTCAGAGGGAAGTACAAACGTGACTTGTTGTTGCATAGAGCCAACCGGAAAAGTCTGCACATGTGAATGCAGCAGTCCTCCACCATAGCCGTAGTTTTTGATCGTAACCTTAGATCCAATGGCTACTTCTGCTAGAATGTCAAAACTGTCGGAAAGCGATGTAGGGTGAGCGCACCCAAGGGATTCTGAGCGAAATTGTTCCCGACGAGGTTGGCTTGGAAGAGAGAGCTCATTTGGGCATCTCCAGGACCTGTCCCGTTTAGAACCATAAAGTGGAGTTTGAAGGTCGCCATGAAGACAATAATCGGTAGGATGATCAAGCAAACGACTCTGGCAACCCAATGTCTGATTTGATCGCGCTAGGGACAGTCAAAAACTCGCTGCGATGAAGAATATGTAACCCACAAGCGACATCTTGACGTCCCCAAATTTTTCCCATAGATCCTCGACGGTGTAAAGGCCGACCAACGCTGTCACGAATAGTCCGACCATCTTCACGCTGCAATGTTCATGGTTTAGAAGAGCAGATCACAAAACGGAAGCGGAAGCGTACCTCGTCACAAGACCAATCGAGACACCCGTGAAAGACAACCATGCCCACCAATCAAAGGAGAAAGGCCTAAGCAGCGTCTCAGTCGGAAGTAAGAGGATGCTGACAGGTACACACTGGTATTGTTGATTATGGAATTTGGTCATACAGAACACGGTCAAGAAGATAAAGCAGAGCAACATAGAGTCCAAGAGGATGAAACGAGATATACACAGCCAGCCGACATCTGACATCAAATATGAGTACGAAAACGAGTTCATGATTGTCCTCTCACCAAGTAGAACCATCAATGCCACAAGATGGCATGCCCACTGGCTCATCCCAAGCTCTACTGCGGTATACCAGCCAAGTGGGACCATTGCAACCCCGAATGTGGCTAACATGACCCGCATTGCAACAAAGGGAACGCTGTCCGGGTATTCTGCGCCACTCTTGAATTCAAAGTTGCCGTCGTAGCCGGATAGTAGTCCGACGAAACCGACTATCATCTTCCCCAGTGGCGGATGCACGTCGAAATAGAATTCGCGCTTCAGGTAATGCGAGCCGAACTTTCCGAAGTGGGCCTCATCCCAGATCACGTTGTTTGCGCGTCCAATCTTGTGGAAGCGTGTCCAACAAGAAAGTAGCGTGTAGATCATCGGAATAACGTGCTCTAGGTTTTGGAGCAGGAACTCTCGCTGGCCCGACACTTGTCAACAGGTCGAGTTGGAAGGAAGAGCAGAAGCACCCACTATCGTAGTCGGAGGAGGTGGAGGCGCGTGCCGAGGTCTCCCACTGCTTTGGTACGGTTTAAACGACCGTGCCTTGTAAAATCCGTCTTTTCCTTCGTCGTCATATGCATCTGCAACAGAAGCGATCGTATGTGTTTTAGGGCCTCGTCTCCTAGCATTGTCTTCATGTAGGGAGAATAATGGCAGTGTTGCTTCATCCTTCTGAGACGTAGACGGAGGAGGATATGATACTTGCTCGTATTCATCCGAAGTCCGAGGTTCGTCCGGACCGAAATCAACAACGACAGCACCAGGCGGCGCCATAGTTCCTGCCTAGTTTCGAGCCGAAAAGTATCTTGGAGCAGGCGAAATGAATGTGGAGAAACTGTAGACGTGGTTTGACGGCTGTGTACAGCTGTGCACCCGTGTGAATGGCCGGGTTGTCCCTGTTTGCCGCGTGATTGTATCGTTTTTTCTTGCCCTCTTCTCCCACATCCTCATCCATACAAAATGGTTTTGTGTTCCGTTTTCTTTGTTACTATCGCTTATCTTATTTAGTCTTACGGTGGCTATGGTGGCAACTACGGTGGAGTTGGTGGTGGAGGTAGCTGGGGAGGAGGAGGCGGAGGAGGCGGGTACGGTGACGACCGCATGGGCAACCTAGGAGGCGGACTGCGCCAGATCGACTGGGCAAATACCAAAGTCGAGCATTTCGAAAAGAACTTCTACGTCGAGGACAAGAAGGTCAAGGAGCGCAGTGATAAGGATATTGAAGAGTTCCGTCGGTCGAAAGACATTCGTGTACGTCCCTCTAGGCTACCGTGCCCTATGCAGTGCCTCATTCCATCTTCGCAGATTCAAGGACGTGGTGTTCCCAGACCGGTCTCCTCCTTCGACGAAGCCGGCTTCCCCGAATACTTGATGACTTCTATTCGGGCCCAAGGTTTTGCCTCTCCCACTCCCATTCAGTGCCAAGCATGGCCCATGGCTTTGAGTGGAAGAGACGTTGTCGCTATTGCTCAAACCGGTAGCGGGAAAACCATTTCTTTCGCTTTGCCTGCCATGCTGCACATCAATGCGTACGTATTATGTCTGTCCCCCGGTTATCTGCTGACCCGTTATCACAGCCAACCTCTACTGTCACCGGGAGACGGACCGATTGCCCTTATCCTCGCCCCTACCCGTGAACTGGCTGTCCAAATCCAGCAAGAGTGTACCAAATTCGGGTATGAGCATCGAAGCCTACATGCACATCTTCTGACGAGTTTTCTGGTTTAGATCCAACTCCAGGATTCGCAACACTGCCATTTACGGTGGAGCCCCTAAGGGTCCCCAAATTCGTGATTTGCAACGTGGTGTCGAGATTGTTATTGCGACGCCGGGCCGTCTGATCGACATGCTGGAGACACAGAAGACTAACCTTCGCCGCGTGACTTATCTTGTGATGGATGAAGCCGACCGCATGCTGGATATGGGTTTCGAGCCTCAAATTCGCAAGATTGTGGGACAGATCCGACCTGACCGACAGACGCTCATGTTCAGTGCCACATGGCCAAAAGAGGTCCAGCGTCTTGCGAACGACTTCCTCAAAGACATGATTCAGGTCAACATTGGGTCGATGGAGCTGACTGCCAACCATAACATCACCCAAATCGTTGAAGTTTGCAGCGACTTCGAGAAGCGCGGCAAGCTTGTCAAGCATCTTGACCAGATTGGGTCTGAGAACGCCAAGGTCCTCATCTTTGTCGGAACAAAGCGTGTGGCGGACGATATCACCAAATATCTGCGGCAAGATGGGTGGCCTGCCCTGGCCATCCACGGCGACAAGGAACAGTGGGTCCCGGTCGATGCGTCCATTTTGCACCTGCTGATCTATCTCGTAGGCGTGAACGTGACTGGGTGTTGAGCGAATTCAAAGCCAGTCGATCTCCGATTTTGATAGCCACCGACGTTGCATCCCGTGGGCTCGGTACGTTTTTCCCTGTGTTTACCAGCGCTGCAGGGATCTTTTGCACGCATCTGGTGAAGGACGACGATTTTCAGGTAGTATGGTGCGGCAGCATGACACTATGCTACTCAGCGTCCTTCAGCGTGGCTCGTCGAGAACAGGATCAAGACAGACAATTTGTTCATCCCTCTAACCTCTGCTAGCAATGCTCGGACAGCGAGCGGTTATGGACTTGGCAATTGCTCTCTCTCCTCTCGTCGGCGTCCCTTGCAATCGGACGCGGCTTCTCTAAGCACGTGTTCCGGATGCGCTTTCTACTTTCTGCTCGTCTTGTCCACCTTATTGACTGGCTTTTTATCTCGCGCGTTCATTCATCTTTTGCTTGTGAACTGCACTTGCTATTGAATGTTTCTCGCATGCAGATGTCAAGGATGTTCGATATGTCATTGTAAGTAACTGCGTCTTTTTCTCGTTCCTTCGCCTGATTGTTCGCAGAACTACGACTTCCCGAACAACTGTGAAGACTACATCCATCGTATCGGCCGTACTGGGGTTCGCTTATTCATCCTTCGCCATGTTGGGTCTGTAACTGATGGACATGCAGCGTGCTGGAATGAAAGGCACATCATACACTTACTTCACCACTGACAACGCCAAATCAGCCCGCGAGTTGGTTGGCATTCTGCGCGAAGCCAAGGCCAATGTTCCGCCCCAGCTAGAGGAGATGGTTAGCTACGGTGGTGGCGGTGGTCGCAGTATGTTCCTGTTTGCTCGGCTGTGGCCTCTTCGCTCACTGTATAACCTGTAGGCCGGTACGGTGGCGGTGGTGGCGGTGGTCGGCGCGGTGGCGGCGGTGGTGGAGGAGGAGGCCGTTGGGGTGGAGGCGGCGGTGGTGGTGGCGGCTACGGGCAGAGTGACAACGGCTACGGAGGCCGTGGCGGTGGCGGCGACCGCTGGTAAATCCTCTGACTCTTTTTGTGCATCCACCATACCAGGTCTCTTGTTTCGTAGAAAAACGCCCGCCATACATACATAGACTGTTCTGTATATTTGTGCTCTTAATTCGCATCTGATGACATCCATCTCTCGTGCGATAAGATAAGATTTGCTGTCAACCGCACGCGGCAACAAACAAACCTGACGCCCTAGCTTTTGTCGTAATTCCCTTTCACCCACCTGATAATGTCGACTGCAGGGTCGCTGTCGGACGAACTTACCTCCCCTTCCCCTTCCCCACCACCGGAGCAATCGAATCTCCAGCCATCTCGCAAACCCGGTCGTCCGAAGAAAGCGCCCAGAAAAGCTCCCCCACGACCCGTGTCCATCACCTCAAAGCCTCTCAAACGCGCAGGTCCCCTTCCCCAACCGCCCCGATCCGCAGGGCTCGATACAGCTATGGACTCAGGCTCGGAGCTCTCCGAGCTGACGGAAGAGGAAGAAGATACAGGGCGTGATATCAACGAGGAGGACGAGGAAGACGAGGAAGACCAGCTGGCGTACGATGACGACGAGGCAAAGGCCAAGTCTCCGGTACGCGCCACTAAAGGCCGCGTCGACTCGCTTGCGATTGCCAGCGGTAGCCACATGAGCAGCTCGCCCTCCAAAAACAAACCTATGCCACTCCCGATGTGGGGGGTCAACGCGGAACCGCCTGCCGCACAGGAAGAGGAGGAAGAGGAAGAGGTACCAGAGCACCCCTCAGTCATGGAGGAAGAGTCGGGTGACAGTGGTGATGATCGTGCTGCTCCTAAGGTATGTCCCTCTCTTTCTCTCCATCTACATATTCTCACTTGCTGTACAGATGCTGCCCCCAGACATCGGCAAAATTGAAATTATTCCGGTCCAGGCGCGTCATCCCAATTCCCTTGACGTCCCACGCTAACATGACTCCTGAATATAGGAATCCCGAGACATGGAGGTCGATCCACCAGAAACGCATTTCAACTCACTCCCCATTCCTGTACTCTCGAGCACTGCTGCCGCTGCAGTGACCCTCCTCGACCTGTTCGCAGTGGCATCATCTCCCCCCGCCTCGCTCGCTCCGGTCGACTCAGGTATCTCAGCAAAGCGAACTGTCCTTAATGATCCGGCGGCACAGGATGGAGACGAGGAGATGACCGAATCAGAGGATGACCAGCTCAGTGATGTCGGCGAGGGCCGTGAACTAGATGACGCGGTTGAGTTGCCCGCCATCAGCGGCCCTGATGGTGGCATCAGTACTGGGGGGCGTTCAACGCCATCTGCTCCTATTCCGGAAGACGATTTAGATGTCGCGAGTCGCGAGGGGTCCCCCGAGTCTGAACAGAGTGGTGAAGAGGATGTCGCCGAGGACCCACTGGAAACCAATGACCTGGACGCACCGGACGCCGAGGTTGATGTCAAAGGCCCTCTAGAGAATGAGGACGTGGATAACAAGAGTGACATTGAAGCTGACGGAGAAGATGTTGCTGACCAAAGCGAGGACGAAGAGGACGAGGCCGAACTGGACGCTGACAAGAGCGATAACGAGGAAGTCAAGAGTGAAGTTGAGGAAGATGTCAAGTCGGACGCGGATATCGACGATGAAGTGCAGCCTGCGCATCGCGCAGAGGCGCTTGAGGTTCTGGCAGGGATTGAGCTGAAGTATGCGTTATTGCGTGAAGCCATCTATCTTGAGCGGATGGAAGGTCTGGGGTGGGAAGAAGGTTTGGTTCTTGCAGGAACGCATCCGGAGTTGCTCCACATTCAGCATGAACTTGCCGCAAGACGTGACAGACGCATCGAACTTGCTACCAAGAAGCGCACTTTGGATCATTTGGATGCAGAACGGAAACGCAGGGCTGGCGAAATAGGTGTTTGGGGCTGGTGGAAAGTGCGTTGCTTCAGTGCTCATTGAGAACTTGACTGACTCCAGTATAGTTCTCGCGAGATAATCTACAGGCCGACATGATATCCGAGGCCAACCGGAAGCGGAGGAAACTCGATCGTGATCGCCGAAGCAATGAGCGCCAGTTACCTCGTGTGTCTCGTCACTTTTGGATTAGATATATGATTTCTCACATTTGACAGAGCGTCGCAGTGCGCCGCCTCCTCCGTCCCACACCGTCCCAGCAGCCATACCCAATCTGCGTCAGATCATCAAGGCTGCCGAACCATTCCGCATTCTCGAGAGTGGTGCTCGTCGTCGCCGAGGCGATTCACGCCCTCATGAAAATGCATCACCAGCTCAGCCATTGGCATTTCCTGATCTGACCCCATTAAATGCGACGGATATCCAAAGCGACCTCAACTTCATGCTCCAGCACCAGTTGGTGCCACCCCCAACGTCCAGCCCAGTCCAGCAACATCCGGCAAGCACGGCACGGCCTGTACAGCCCCCCACGGCGCCACGCGCCATGCCCCCTGCGGCACAGCCTCAACCGATGTACGAACCCAACTTCGGGCGCGCTCCCCCACCTCCCGGACCATACCCGCCCTCGATGCATTCTGCATTCGCACCGCCACCAGCTGGTTATGGCCGGATGCACCACCATCACTCTGCACCGCCACCCGTCCATCACTCACACCACGTGGCTCCTTATCCCGAAATGGGCTATGCGCCATATATTGCTGGCCCCGGGCGACGAGCAGAAAGTCCTGCGGGCCGCTGGCCTATGAAGCCTGGTGAATGGCATCCCGATGCACGGCCACCTCCGCCAATGATGATGGGATCATTGGGTCGGTCGCTAGAGGAGGAGGAGCGCGAGCGCGAACGTCTGAAAAACTTGCGTGAGCGCGACCGTGATAGAGATGACATGGAACGTCGAGACTATCTAATGAGAGGTCCACCGCAAGGAGCTCCGCCACCTTCGCATCACCACACGATGATTGCAGGACCACATCACCATCACCGACCGCACCACCACCACGTCGTGCATCATCATGCCCCGCCGTCCGCCAGCCACCTCCCGGGGCATAGTCACCCCCGACCGTCACTTAGTCCTCGTGCATCACGTGAGTTCCACGAGAGTCGCCCTTCGGCGGAGATGATCAACCTCGACCACCGTAAGCGATCGAACACGGGTCCTCCCGTTGACGATCGAGAGCGTCCGCTGGCAACTCCGTTTGTGATGAACAACGCCTACAGCGGTCGGAGCTTGCATACTCCTCCGCCTCCGACTGCACCGAGAGGTCCGCGTCAATTGGAAGATGCTTTCAGGATGCCCCCGGCGTCGTCAACTTCGGTCGGGTACCTCGGGGATGCGGTCGGTCATCGGGATGAACAACGGCGAGAGAACAGTGCCCACCGCGATACTGTAGCCCGTCGATTCTCTCAATCCTCTCAGCCCCCAACAGGTCCAAGTTCCTCCCGGGCTACGACTCGGCTGTCGCCTCCGATACATAGAACACTCCCACCGCCTAGTCCATCTGGCTTTGGAAGTGCTCCCTCCCGTTATGGAACTCCCCGCTCCCCTGTTTTGCATCGTCCAGAACGCCTGCCTTCGCCGTCTGCCAGCAAGATGATGGTCAATTCGATGATGGAGGAAAAACACGATTCGCCCTTTGCTGGGCCGTTTGCAGGGAAACCCCCGTCTGAAAAAGATGTTGTCGCCTGATTATTTTTGTTGTCTTTGTGTTGCTCCAATGAATTCTGATTACATCCTATCTACATTGGCCCGCTGGCAAACCATCTCTCCCCATCTGCCCCAGCCCCCGATGTCTGCAAGCACCAGTTCCCTCAACAGGCTGTGGTCGGTCGGCAGTGGTGGCCACGCTTTAACTGCTGACAGCACATACGAACTTTTCCAGAGCATGAGCCATCTGTAATTCGACAAAGAGAAATGAACGGTTCTCACATGACGGTGGATCGCTTCAGTCGCGCCATTGCGCCCTTGTCGATGACAAGCTCAGCGCAGATGTCGTCCAGTGCCCAGCCGGCTTTCCAGTGGCGATATGCCCGCAGATGCTGGGGGAGCATACCCGCGTCGCTCATCCTCGGCGTCAGAGAAACAGACGGCAGGTCCGTCCGAGTCAATTCCATTTGGGAATAGACGAGCGGGACATGCCGAATACCCTCGCTGAATGTGGGGATCTCAACCTTGTTTGTTTGCGCTATAGACGCCATGGCTGAGTAGATCTCCATTGTACAGTATGCATCATTGGCAGCATCTGTCTGGAGTAAGGACCGGCCCAGACCACAAAATGAATGAACTGACATTCGAGCATTTCTTTCCTCTCGTGCAGTTTAGGATTCTCCCAGTCTCCCATCCGGGTGCTACTGTCTTTAGCCAGTGTCTTTTGCAGATATGCCTCAGTGAGCTGTGTCTTCCGTCAATTTGGAATGCGTCTTCTGTTCTCTTGTGGTGCACCTTGGCTAGGGCAATGATCTTTCTATTTCCCGCGATTTTACATTGAGAATCCACCGCTCGGGCAAGCGCGCCCAATTCGATACACGGATACATCATGATTCCATAGTCCCGGAATAGCTTCCTGGCATCATCTGAGAGAGAGAGAACTCGATAAGGTCGTCAAGGGCGAGTTGTACCACGCACTCAAGATATTGGCTCCCATCTTCGGGACGTTTTCATTTTCGAGTAACCTACACAGCGATTCCGGCACCCTGGACATGGTCCCGTACGAACCATTTGCCGACCATCGCAGCTGTATTATCAGTATGCGATGTCTGTCTGCTAATTGCACCACAGAGATAGGCCGAGCCGACATTCCGCGTCCGATAGACACTACCCATTCAAAATCGACTGATATAGGGCTATATGGCGGATTAAGACGTGAAGGGTGTATATTCGTCACACATCATGACATGCCTGGTTGTATCCAACATCCTCACAAGCCTATCGGCCTCGGCTTCGTCACGCGTAAAGTGGACAGTAGGTATCGGTGAGGCCGACGCTCTATAGGAGTACACCGGCAGTCTCACAGACACAGGAGGCGGTTCTTCGACGACGCCACTCGAGCTCTGCTTCCTGTGCAGGGTGTCCGGTGAAGAGACCCCGGATCTCAAGGGAGGGGGCCGTAATGTCTCTGAAATCTTGGACTCAGGTGCAGACACGCTTCGATGAACCAGAAATGGGGCAGGAGCGGGCTTTAGAGCGGGAATCCTGGGCGGAACTCTGGTTGTAGATTTAGACACATTTCCCGAGGCAGTGGGAGCAGGAATTGGCTCGGGGGCGAACCCCATCTTCGAGAGCGCAGCCATTAGCTTGCTGTTAGATGTGTTCGACATCCGTCGAGCGAGGGTTAGTGGTAGGCTGTGAGTTGGACGAGACAATGACATGAATGATGGACGCGTTCAACTGTCACTGGGATGTGACACGGCGCGACTTTTGATCGCTGATGATGATCTGGAACTCTCGTGATCGATCCCCACACGTGATCGGCCGAGGTGCCGGAACTATGCAGTCAATCAGCTTGAATTTCCTCGAACCCTTGCTCAAGACAAAACGACCCGACAATGGTACGCTCGCAGTCCGATGCTGCCTCCAGAGCTGACAGCCTCCGCTATACTCTAGACGAAAGGAACGTCGTCCTTTGGTAAGCGCCACACCAAGTCGCACACCCTGTGTCGTCGCTGCGGAAACCGCGCCTTCCACCGCCAGCACAAAAGTCGGTATCTCAAGTTCCTGGCTGGATCTAGTCTCATCACCTGTTATCGGAACAGCCTGTGCGCAATGTGGCTACCCGTCCGCCAAAATGCGCTCGTACGAGTGGGGCCAGAAGGCTAAGCGCAGAAAGACTACTGGATCTGGACGCATGCGCTACTTGAAGGAGGTCTCTCGCAGGTTCAAGAATGGATTCAGGTGCGCTGCCTTGGTTGGATTCAGCCCGTCTTGGCTCTGAACTCTGTCGCAGGGAGAACACGACGGCGGTCAAGCGTACCAAAAAGGCGGCGGAGTAGACGGACGGGTGTCGACTAATCCTTTTCTGTTCATTCTCCATGTACGCTATGCTGCACCCATCGACTATGCATATGAATCACGCATACGTGCCACGGGATTCCGTCTTGCTGGTCGTCACCATGTCTTGAATTGATGCCTGAACTTTGGGTCGTATAACACCATCGTGTATTCTCCCTCATCCAACTACAGTCACAAACCGCATGTCCCGCACCCCCTTATGAAGGACACGCAAAACCTGGTCACGTAATTGTGATGCATTTTATTTAAGGCTGAGCGTTATCTCGGAACTCGATTGGAACTCGTCTTCTACAAATGTCGGCTTGTTCTGCAGTGCAGATGAAATGTTTCACAGGCTAAATATTCAAATGGCTATGTACGACGGCTCAAATCAACCTGACCTCATGTAGCCGGCTCAGATCTCGTCCCTGAGCAGTCGTTCACACTGGTGCTTCCCATCGCGGCCTGATGAACAAAGACATATGCTTCTCAGTTGTTACAAGCCATTATAACTCGATCGCAATCTTGGTTCCCGGGTGCAACGAGCAGAGGGTGAATTGAAGCTGTCGCCACCGTGCGCGAGAGAGAAAGATGGAAATTGGGCATGATGCATAAACTCATATCGACGCTGCATGTAAAGCCCAGAGCCGTAACCAGATGATCGCCACACCACCACCCAGTTTACTTTTTCTTCTTGTTCTCAACCTCGACGACGTTGAGACCTACGCGCCTGCGTCAGAACCGAATAGATGGAGAGATAGATGATGGCCGTGCGCACCTGGGGGGAGGCCAAGCTTGAGCTTCTCCGCCTTGTCTGGGTCATCGAGCGACAGCGTGTAGAGATACCGGGAACACCGCAGCTTGAACTTGGTCTGCGTCTTGCCGCCGTTCTTGGCAGCGATCTTTTTTATGCGTGCCTCTATAACTAGAATCAGTGACCCAAATTTTGCGGGATAGAGCGTTTAGGAACGCACGAGAAGCATCCTTCCTCCGCGCGATCTCAATGAACTGCTTGATGTCCCGAATCTCCTTCGGCTTGAGAGATGTCAATAACTTGAAATACGATAGCGAGGACGCGGCCGTACCATTGTGGTGTCTTGAGGAAAGAATTTGGCTGGCGAAACGACTGCACAGTTCGGCAATTCGGCATATCATGTGATCCGGGAATGATCGCGGAACGCTCGGCCCACCTTCGGTCGACTCCAACGTTGACTGAAATAGGGTTGCACACAAGCGAAAGAGATACAGAGTGGTATTGCGTAGATAGTGCACAAATGAGCATAAAAATTACAATGTGAGACCAGATTATATTACTCCTCGTCGTCCTCGTCGTCCTCGTCCTCGTCCTGCTCTTCTCGAACAGGCGACGGCGTGCGTTGCTTGCGAGTCGGTTGTTCTGACGATGATGAGGGATTGTCCGAGAGAAACAGACAAACAAACACGACTCACTGCGCTTGGATGCACGTTTCTTCGCCGCCGCTTTCTTTCCCTGAGCGCGTTTCACTAGGTCTTGGTCCGCTTCTCCTTGTTGTTTGTGTTCTTTGAGGATCTAAATTGAACGCGTCAAGCAGTTGGTTCAGAACGCGTGATTCACAGACTAACCTGCTCGAACTCGGCCAGCTCCGTGTCGGGCTTGTTCGCAGACTTGTTCTGACGCGCCTGGTCGCTTGCGTCAGCATCAGGTTGGAAATGGTAGCTTGTTTGGGTACCTTGATCAGGATGTCTGTGAAGCGTTCGAAAACTACGCCTTCGTGAAGCTTGTCTCGGTAGAAAGGCAGTCCTTCAATCAGCTTCTTGACGGAGCGCTCAGACTTGAAGGGAAGGAGGGAGAGACAGAATGCAATGTCGCGCCATTGTCGAGGCTCATCTGTTATCTGGAACCGCTGGCAGAGCTTCTCAACGATACTCTCGGCTTGCTTCTCCTGTGGACGGGTAAGGAGATATCCAGGCGCTTGTTTGATCTGCTTGCCTTCTCGATGAAGGTGAAGATGTACGTCAGGATCCGCTGGAAGGTCTCCTCATCGACAGCATGTTGTCCGCTGCTAAGATGACTGATGACTATCCGCAAATTGAATGCTACGTTCGAGCCACGCGAAAATACACCCACCGTCCGGCAGATTATTGTAGATCGCGTTATCTTTCGTAGACAGATCAGTGAAAAACAGCTTGGCCAGGTCGGAGATCCGGGGCTCAGGATCCTCGATACATTTGGCCATCTCGCCGAGCTGGCCTTTGACCTTGATCATGCCGTTAAGAATAAGATGGGTCAGCACCATCAGCGTGTTCTTCTTGACCACCAAATTCTTGTCCGACAGGCCTTTGTAGAGCTCGTTGCTGTTCTCGTCAATGATACTGTTGAACGAGACCGCAACATCCCCAAGGGCGATGACGATATTGCTCCGAATGTTGGCACTCTTGGATTGGTTGAGCAGCCGGAACAAAAGGAGATAATTCTTGTCGCAGAACTGAGAGCTGACGCAGAGAAACTTGCTGAACGACAGAGTTGCGGCCGCCCTCAAAGTCTTGTTCTAACACCCGAGTCAGCAGGACCAGTCATAACAAGACACTTGGATCTTACCTTGTATTTATGTGGGCTTCCTGTGATATGAACAAGCAAAGGGCCGTACAGAGCAAGGAGCGATTCAGGTCCATAGAGCAACTCGGACTCGCGGACAGCAGAGATCCGTTCCCCGATCTCGTCCTCAGCATTACCAGCGACTTGATCGAGCTCCTCCCGCTCTTTGCTCTTTGCATGCTTTTCCGCTATGAACAGGATGAGCTGCGGAACAGAACTGTAGACCAGAACTTACCGCCCTCTCGCTCATCTTTCTGTCGTTTCCATTCTCGTTCAACGAGCTCCAGCCATACAATATGCTTGATCGCGACGTGGCCGACGACGAACAGAAGCTGACTGAGCTCAAAGGCGTCGCCCATATTGTCGCTGATAGGCTTAGGTGTCGCTGATGGACTGTGCGAGATGCCCTCCGCCATCTGTATCCCGTCCTCAGGTTTGGCGTCCTCGTCCATGGGTTCTCCTTCACGCGGTTGGTCAGCAGCCCCGAGTTTCGGCGCGAAAGCCCTGGCAGTCAATTGCTTGATCAAGTCGTTGCACAACTCGTCAGGATGGTCTCCGAGAGCATACACAGTGTTGATCGCCTGTTCCGCCAGCCCAAACCACTCCTTCGATCTTGTTGGGCGCTCGATGGCAGCTTTCAGACTGGCGAAGATTGGATCGTCCATCGGACGACGGATAGTCTTGTCAAGCAGCGATCCTGGTGTTCCATGTAAGCTGGAATGGTTTCCTAAAGGCGCGACCCACCTTTGATTTTCTTTGCACTGCCGTTCAACCGTTGCAATGCTACGCAAGTATACCGCGCCAATTTAAGATCAGTCTTTCCATAAGTGCTCAACCCAATTCGCAGCATGTCGTGCACATGGCTCGTCAGCACACTTCGTCTGGCCAAACCCAACATCCCAAGGATGACGATCGCACCCCTGCGCTGGTCCGAGGGAAGATTCTGCATTTTGCCTGGGTAGCCGATGAGCTATCACACCATCCAGCACCGGCCAGCACATACTGTACACAGCCCATAGTTTGGCAATCACATCTGAGTGAATCTGATCATCCTCCATCATAATGCGGAGGAGCTCCTCTAAGCTCGTCAGTTCCGCCAATGTTGCATTGTAAGTCAGCCTGGAACAATGTTAAGCACCGAAAACCGAGAGCATGCAAGACAGAGCCTACTCGATCATGTTCTTCGCAATGCGACTGACCTGGGCCTTCGGCTCCAGTCCCGGAGTGGCCTCGAAGTAAAGCTGTCGATAACACTCTAGCAGACGCTGTCTCACGCCTTTGAGTTCTGTCGTTCCTCCGTCTTCAGCAGCTGTCCCGGCTGCCGAGGAAGTCGGATCCTTGCTCCACACTAAGTGCAACATCTTCTTGATGCCTCGCTGCACAGCAGTGTTAGTCAACTGAGCTCGGATACTCCCAGAGGACTCACATCGGCGCCTTGCACTTTGAATTCATGCGCAATCCGGAGGAATTCGATAGCCTCAAGGACTTCAGCGCGGTTCTTGCTGCCCAACAACACTTCGATCCGCTCAACGGCGTCGCCCAGACATCGGATGAAGACGAGCCCCTCGGCGTGATATCGCTTGTCAAGACGCTTCTCGATCAACTGCAGCGTTTGAAGATGCTCCAGGGCGGCCTTTTCTGAGGTCATGTCGACGGTCATCTGTGACTTGCGAGGCTTAAGCTTCGGCCTCTTCTTCTTGGGTGTCGGCCGGTCTTCGCCGTCGACGGACATGGCGTCGTCGGAGTTTCCCCCGTTGTCTTCGGGCTCTGTATCGCCAGCCCCTTCATTGTCGACGGCCATGGCAGTCTCATCTGCATCCAGATCTCCTTCGACTTCTCTAACAGCCACACCGTCCCCGACTTTGGCTTCCAACTCGGTCAGCTCCGCCTTGGACTTCTGGTATCCAGCCTCCCATTTCTCGATGTCGAGTTCTGAGGCGTACCTCGTCCACGGGTGTGTCAGGGCGAGCTGCACAAGCAGTGCCGCGCCGCTCTTCCGCACACTGGCAACCTTGTCCTCGAGTGCACTGACAGCTGCTTGCGTCATCGCCAAACGTTGTTTCGGCCTCGTTCCGCGGATATCACAGAGACGAACCATCACAGCAAAGACCCTGACCCGCACGTAGCTAGATAGATCCAGAGTGCGTTCAAACAGCAGATCGTACAGTCCATTGATCTGTTTCTTCTGGTCGGATGTCTGCGTCGATCCCTCAGCCTCATTTTCTGCCGAGAGATCTTGAATAATGAAGGCTAGAATTTCCACCACCGCAATTCGAATTGGGTAGGCTTCTGAGTCCAGCTGATTCAAAAGCAGTGCAATCTGCTTGAACGCGTGGCGCGGGGATGCTTCCGCAAACTTGATGAGAAACCTGGAGAATGTCCGCGGGCCCTTCGTGTCGGCAGCGGCACCACCACCAAACGTCATGAGAGCGACTTGGCGAAGAACCTCGTCGGCGAGCTGCGGATAGTTGAATTCGTTGATGAGAATATGCAGAAGTTGAGCCATGGGTTCCGCGAGATGTTCGAAGAATTGAAGATTTTGCACAATGGCGATCTGTGCGTTTGGTCCATGGCCGCTATGCTTAACAGCGTAGCAGATGACTTTATACACGGCGGTCTTGATCTCATCTTGTTTCATATAAGTCTCCGATTCGAGCACAGTGTATGCGGGTCGCGTAAGACACGAAACGAAGGTGTCCCGTTCCGCAGTGGTGGTCCATATGCGCTGAGTTTGGAGTCGAAGGACTTTGGAGATAAGGACGAAAGTGGAAGGGATCGAGTCGGCCCAAGACCAATCCTGCTGCTGCTGCTGCGCCTTCTTTGCTCTTGACGAAGCAGCAGATTTACCACCGCGACCGCGCCTAGACTTGGGCGCAGGGGTCGATGGGCCCTGGTCGTTCTGCCGGACTTTGTCTGCGACAGAAACGAACCACTGCAAAAGGTATGCATACATCTCCAGCGGAATCTTGTGTGCAACATAAATTTGGGCCGGCTCGGTGTCGAGATCCCGTTGGGTGGCCTCCAGTTCCGCCGCGAAACCCGATGTTAGAGAATCCAAGAGCTTGTTCATGATGGAGCCGGAAAGACCGTCCGAGTACTTGAGAAGACTCCGGAATGTATCGAAAGTTTCTGGGTCGCGTATAGCGTCGCTCGAACTAGCCACGGCTTCAACAACATCTGTACCTTCATGAATGGGCAATCAACCACGCAAGCACCGGACACGAACTTTCGAGAGCAGAGGCTGGGTCCTCGGTAGAGAAGTCACGTTCGTGTTGGATAGAGGGTGAGTCGCCTTGTAGGTCTTGGATTTCGTCGCGTAGGTCGAACGAGTCCATGATTGTTCGAGAGAACACGTTGGGACGCGTGCAGGTAACGCTCACGTGGTGTATGTTGTGCACTTTGTGACGCAAATATGACTTCTGACGGTTGTCTCAAACGAGCAAAAACAAATGGTTTCGCGTCTGGACTCAGTGATACCGGAATCTGTGGTGCCCTAGTTGGACTGCAATGAGACTGGGCGATCCCTTACGAATTTGACTTTCGGGCTCGAGGCACGGCCATGGCACGGCAACCAGAACGGTTGATCGCCCATCAGTTCCGATCACCGATCAGTAGCCGATAATGTGACTGCACATATCACACGTGATCGATTTTCACCGACGTCCTCAAGTTTCCTCAAGATAGCCGCCGCGCCGCGTAACGCTGTAAGTGTTGCTAGTCGTGCTTTCTTGCTCCCGCTCCTCGTCACTTTTGCCTCAAGCGTTCTTGCTCATTCTGCACATAGTCGGATCCCCAATAAATATGATCATCAGCAAGGAGAACCGCCGAGTCATCTACGAGAACCTCTTCAAAGGCAAGCAACATACTTAGACTGCATATTCCGCGCGTTTACGAACATCTTCTCTCAGAGGGTGTCCTTGTTGCCAAAAAGGACTTCAATGCTCCCAAGCACGAGGAACTTGACGTCCCGAATCTGCAGGTCATCAAGGCCCTGCAATCTTTGACCTCGAAGGGCTACGTGAAGACTCAGTTCTCGTGGCAATGGTACTACTATGTGCTCACCCCGGAGGGTGTTGAATACCTCCGCGAATGGCAAGCGGTTTGGCTGTCGGATCACATAGTTTCTCACGGCTTCTGCAGGCTTCACCTCCCCGCTGAGATTGTCCCCGCTACCCACAAAAAGGCTGCTCGCCCACCGCGCCCCGCAGGTGTTCGCCCGTCTGGCGATGGCGCCTACCGTGCTCCCCGTGGAGACCGTGATGACTACAGGAAGAAGGACGCTGGTGGTGCTCCCGGCGAGTTCCGCCCTCAGTTCGCTGGTGTGGGACGTGGCGGACCGAGGGAGTAGAGTGTCGCTGCAGCGGTCGTTATGCTTCTCCAAGATCATGCAATCTTCCATTTCTTATGTGCATTATGCGTGACTGGAAATTTCTCTGACGTCTGCGACCGATTTGAGTCGAACGTGCTTGCATAGGCACAGGATCCTCGGCCCACAGAACTCCGAGAATTACAATCTCAAGTCCTTCTCGGCCTCTAAGTCCTATCAGAACATGCGCTCAGATGCTCTGTTCTGAATATTGCTTCGTGATGCACTCTGGAATGAAAAGTTTGCGGTTGTCATTGACTGACATACTGACGTGAATGTTCTGATTCCACGCACGAGTTTGAAAAGCGCATGGTGAGAAGCGCAGTTGATGACAAGTCATCCCTTGTCAAGATTGCGGACTGCGGAGAAATTGAGGTGTGAACGGTCCCTTTACGATCTGTCTTGATCTGGCGCATCGGAGTTCTCGATTCCAAAGCCTTTGTCATCCTGTAATTTTGATGACATTGTATCTTCCATCTCTCTCCTAAGTCAGCCCGTTTCCGTTTCAGGTGGCACAAGGTGAAATTTGAAACCGGGTGAGTCATCGCGGTGACGTTGGAAGGACCAATCGGACCAGCTAATCAATTTCCACAGCCACTGGGGTAACCCCAGATTCTGATCACCTCCGCACTGACGACAGAGCTTTCTACTGCTGAGAACTTGGGTCACAAGGAACTGAACCGAGGCCAAAACTAGGCCTGAAACCCCAAGATAATCGCGAAGCCGTTCCGTTCTCCATGTACAAGCACCAGGAACCCCAGAATATCCCTGTCGTCCGGCAAGAGGGATTCCATCTACCGACCCCTCCACCTTTTTCCCACTCTGGCACCGACACGAGTAACCACGATTCCTCGAACTCCTCCTCATCGCACCACAGTACGACGGGATCGTCTGTCTTTGGGCTCGGGCACAGCGTCTTTCATCCGGGCAATCTCGATCTCGACAGCGAGCTCGTGAGCCTGATCCACTCAGGGAACAATAACGAGGGCGGTCCACCCAATCCTGGAACCGGTGATTTTCGTCCCTCCAGTGTAGGGAGCTACCATTCGCCTCCCCATACCCACAACATCTTCGATATCAGCGCCCCTCCGTTGCACCACGGACACTCGTACGGACACCATATGCAAGGATCAGGATCTGGCGCCGGCTCTTTTCCCTCCCAATTTTCCCTACCATCTGCATCTACGACCAATGGGAATGGCCAAAACAACGGCCGGGACTCTTCCTCGCCTCCCGATGGCCCGCTCACTCGCCATTACAACTTCAACTCGACACTGCCGGCACTCAACAGCAGTATGCGATATGATCCACACCCCCCGTCTGCCAACGGGCTTCCGGGTACCACTTTTGCCTCGACACCGTCAAGCTATCACTCCCCCAGTCCCCATCGCCATTCACAATCGAGGAGCCGAAGCCGCAGCCGACCGCCTTCTTCCCATCTTTCGGTCGGTTCGGTCGGACCGGGGCCCACGCGTAATTCAAGATCGCGCAGAACCGACTCATTCGGAGCTGGCAGCCCACCGCCTCATCATCGGCCCGTGCCAGGAGCCATTGTGATACCCGGAGGAGGTGAGTCACTGACCTGCTTGATCAACACAATATGTCGCTCATCCGATCTGTAAAGCGGTCACACCTCGGCCATCGTCTTCTGCATCATACTCGTGGTTCAGTGGAACTCCTGGATCTGATTTCCTGCCTTCCGGTCACTCACCCGTTGATCCTGCCTCGCATCCGTCCCTTCCGTCGCTCTCTTCGTCGATCCATTCGCCCAACTCGTCCTATCTGGATGGCAGCTCGTATGGCAGTCCGGTGGAAACCAAGTTCGGTGGTCTAGGCATCGGCATGGGACTGAATGGAATGACCAATCTGAACCTCGACATCGGAGATGGTGTTCCCGGAAGCTTCGGGAGCTTGAACGGAATGGCCGTTCACGACGTCGCGCAGGAAACAAAACAGGAGCCCAAAGGTGCACATTGTTCTGTTTCCACAGAGCGAACTTCTGAGCTCACACAGAGTCCAAAGCGGCCCTCATTGCAAACGAGAAGCGTCGCCGCCGGCGAGAATCACACAACGCCGTTGAGCGTCGGAGAAGAGACAACATAAACGAGCGCATTTCTGAGTTGGCGACGCTCATCCCCGAGTGTTTACTGGAAGTAGGGCCTGGTACGTCTTGCTCGATGTGCTGGAATTGTGATGTGATGTCCGCGCGCAGGCTCGAAACAGGACGGAGACGAAGATGGAAAGGACGTTGCAGTGGCGAGCCCGGCGTCCAACGGTAATATGGAAGGCATGACCACTGGTAAAGATGGTGTCGTCAAAGCCAACAAAGGCATGGTTCTCCGGAAGAGCGTCGAATATATCCGGTCAGTTGTGTTGCATGTGACCGATCCTGGTACCGATCCGCGCGCAGATACCTCCAGCAACTTGTCACTGCTCAGGGAGCACGTAACCGCGAGCTCGAACAACAGCTCCAGGGCTTCCGAGGAGGCTCCGATGATGATGGTGCTACGCTGGACGACTTTCCCTCCGGGCTTGGTGACGGGGGCTGGGTGCAGTCTTTGGCTAGTATGCCTGAAGACGAAGACGAAGACGGCAAACTCAGCGTTGGCGACGGGATGGACGTCGATGCTGCCAACGCAGACGAAGAAAACCGAGGTCGCCAAGCCACCAGAAGTGCTGGTCGGAAGAAACAGGCCGCCCAACGGACCAACGACGAAGGCGGCAGCGAGGACGAAATGAGTGATTGAGGCTTCTCAACAGCGATTGAGGCCACTCGACAGTGATTGAGGACACTCAATTAATGGATACACGAGCCTTGTACATCTAGTATTTTCTGTTTCTGGTTACGATTAATTAAAGATACAACTGATGACTGCGTCACTGCAAATCAAAGATCTTCTTGACCAGACGGACTGTCTCGCTGTCCCCGGTGTTCTGAAGTGTCTGAGCAAACTGGAAACTGACGACAGTAGCTCCGGAATCTCAGCCGTACCTTGGTCAGATCATCGCTAATTTTTACACAAGGACGGCCGTCAGCAGATGAGAGCTTGATGACCATGTTGAGCGCCTTGCTTTTCTTTCCACTGAGGTTTTTGAAGTCGTTCGTCAAGAATGTGCCGATTCCAAAAGAAACTAGGCTATTTTCACCACACGTTCTGAACCAACGAAACGGCACTTACCATTCAGGCCGATCTCATCCGCTTGCTTCTTGAGTCGAACGCTCTTCTCGATGTCCAAAGCATCGGAATATATGATCATTTTGCTTTTGGGATCTATGCCCAGGGACTCGAACACGGATTTGCACCGAAGTCCGAATTCAAATGGGTCTCCCGAGTCTTGTCGCAATCCTTGCCACCGATTGGCTCTCTCCTTGTCACCGACATAATTCTAGGGCAGGTCAAAATACGCACGATGCAGCAGAACGGAACAGAGAACACTGACCTGGAAAAAAGCCTTGCTGGAAAAGGTATCGGTGAGCGCGATTAACAGCGCCTTGGGATAGACCTCTTCCCAAAGATCCATTGCCAAAGAGTTCGCGTTCTCATATCCCCTGAGCGCTGCAATCTGAGGACTGTGAGGTTTACATGCCATGCTGAAAAAAGTAACTTACGCCCATAAACCATTCGCTGTAACATAGTCGTCAGTCACGCGCCCAACCATAACCTGAAGACGCTCACTGTGCTATCGTTCCCACGGGGACTAGTCGGTGCTTGTACGCGAGATATACCTAGGTTTCGCTCAGCGGCGATACGAAGGCACAGAATTCGGAAGCTTACATTGCTCGTGCCAGCAAGCCGACCCTGACTAGGCTGTTCATTACACGCCTTCACGAGTCCTTGCACGACGATATCTTGGGCTTCGAAAGAGCGCCTTCTCCGGGTACCGAACTCGCTAAACACACAATCGTTTTTGAGCAAAGCAAGCCCTTTTTCGAACGCAAGATCTGCCGAAGTTAATCAGGTCCCAGAAATAGAAACACGAGCACCAGGCCTGACCTGCTTGTCCCTCGTAGTTCCATTCCGTATCAACAAGCGTGAAGTACACTTCGCTCAGAGTCGCCATGAGGGGCACTTCCCATAGGATCGTATCGACCCAGGGTCCCTCGATGTCGATGTCCACATGGCCGCGGTCCGGATCTGAGGCGCTGGGCACAAATCGTATCCGCACTTGCCCAACAGGATCAAAGCGGAAGCCCTTCAGGTGGTTGAGGTAAGCATCCGTAAAGTACGGACACGCCGTCCGCATCCAGACAAGCTCATCGTCCGACAGAACCAATTCACCGAATCCTGAACGAGAATGAGAACGGCCGCCACTGCGGAGAGATAGAGAGCGGACGGTTGACGGTGTCCTGGAAAATCTCTACGGAATGCCTGGTGAATAAAGCAGATTTGTCGCGCAGCGTGAACTTGTAGGATCCCTGAACGTTTGGAAAATGATGCAACACGGCTTGTTGCATAGTCATCTGGCATGCAAGGTTAAATATGGTCTCTGCACGCGTCTTGAACCACAGACTTTGTACAAGTCAGTGTCCAGGATGGACTTGGGGAGTGGAACACGCGACATGGCGGTACGGGAGAAAGCGTAATTTTGATCGTCAGATTGAGTTGTCCTGATAAGACGGGCGGGTCACGGCGGTGTACTTTTGATGTGACGACTGACACGGATCAGCCTTCACATCCACTGACGAGTGCTGCTCTCGATCGCTCATTATCGTTCAACTACAAATCTCCGAAGTTTATTCACGACATGACAAAGCACTCGAAGAACAACACTGCGTCCAGCATCTTCTCCTACCATGAATATAAGAAGGCAGCGACAGTTTACGGAACAAAGCGTCAGCGTCTGGGCAATGAGAGTCTGCGCCGTTTCGACGCCTGTGTCTTGTGTCTTCAGACTGCTCGAGAACCTGTCTGTTGTAAAGAGGGCCACCTGTTCTGCAAAGAGTGTGCGATGAATGATCTGCGTACGTCCGCCTGTCCTGACGAGAACCGATTCACAACGCGGACCCAGTATCGCAAAAGAAGGATTTGAAGCGACAGAAGGAGAAAGCAGAGCAAATCAAGAAGCAAATACAAGAGGAAGTAGAGAGCGCGAAAGAAACTGCTCGAGAACGCGTCTTGCGGGATTTTGAACGTGGGCAACTAGGTCTTGCTTTCAGTCCTTCAGGCTCAAGCACGGCGGCGGTGGCTGACCCCACATCGACCGGAAAGAAGCGAGCTTTCTCGGACGCCTTTGAATTCAATGACTCTCGCGTGTCTAAAATCGTCGCTGAGGCAGAAGAGGCGGCTGCGCGCGAGATCGTGAAGGAGAGAGCTGAAGCAACCAAGGGCGTTCTACCGGATTTCTGGCTTCCCTCGCTGACCCCTACTTTTGGGGGCGTGACCGTGTCGGAGACGTTGGCTGCTGGCGGAACTTCGGAGGTCAAGACGGGAGCAATGTGCCGCGGAGGCGGGGAAAGACATTCGCTTTCGTATGTGACTTCAATCGATGAAACGACATCCGGGCAACTGACATACGCACTCAGACTCAAGGATCTCACGCCTGTTAAATTTACACACCATGCAGAAACCTCGAAAGCGGGAAACGACGAGGAAAGTACAATTTGTCCATCTTGTATGAAGACACTGTCAAACAATACCATCATCTATTGTGAGCAACGCGTCTCTCGAACACATTCTGAGCTAAGCATTATAGTGATGAAACCTTGCGCCCATGTAATATGTAGGACTTGCAAGGAGACACTCATGGCACCGACACCTGGTGAACAGGCCTGTGTTGCCTGCGAAACAAGGCTGAAGAAGAAAGACATCATCGAGCTGAAGCGTGAAGGTTCGTGGCACTCCTGTGCTCATCCTCGTATTAAGCATTCTCGCAGGCACCGGCTTCGCAGGAGGAGGACTGGCTGAGGCAAAGCGCTCTGGGACATCTTTCCAAGGATGACAAGCATGGGCAAACAAACCTCTCATATATATGCGCCAATTTGCTCAGACCACACATATTGATCGCTTTCCAACACTGCAGTCAGCTGCTGGAAGGCCTGGGCGTCCGCAAAAGGAACTCCAGTCCTTGGATCTCGATATGGTGCAGGTCGGCCGGTCAAAGGGCATATAGGAAAAACACGGGCTGTGCATCTTAGATCTCGAAAATAGAGACGGGAACAGACTTACACATCGGTCGGTTTTTCCCTGAGTAGACCTTGACTTGTGTCCAATCCACATGGTCGCCGAACATAGCGGTCATGGTCGCTTCCCATCCTGGCTTTTTCGCTTTGAGCTCTTGCGATTCCTCGTGAACAACGTAGTTGTGAACATGCTTTGAGTCTGATCCAGGGCCGTCCGGCTCTGCACGACTGCGCCATCGAAGAAGCGGTCCCTCGACCACCGGTCGCACGACTCCTGTTTGCTTACGTCTCTCTTCCTCGTTCTTGAGGTAATCGCGGTGGGCTACGATATTGCCCTCTTCAGAATCGAGAGCACGAGCAATCAGTTCGGCCTGCGATAAGACTTGGGTCTGGATGCGTGGCCGTTTCACAGTATGATGCCCACTAGCCTGCCCAATATGTGAGAAAGCACTCCATAAACGATTAGAGCTCCTACCCGCCGCTCTTCAGATATTCTCAGTCTTGAATGAGAGAGAGTTGTGTTGAGCACGGTCTGTTTTCGGCCTGATTGACGCTGAGATGAGGGTTCTCCGGCCTCTGACTGTCGCTGCAGCCGCTTTGGCACGGCGCTCACAACGGTGGACTCCGTGCCAGTATTAGGGTCAAAGGTAGCTTTGTTACGAATGTGTGCGGCTTCTGTAGCTTTCTCCAGACGAACTTTCGACAACTAGCAGAGTGCTTGAGGAACAGCCCTGTTCTCGGAGGCGGATGGGTGGAACAAACCTTGTGTACACGTCTTTCCTCCTCTCGCAGACCAGCATCACCATCTTCTGTGTCCAACTCTTCGTCTGTGCTTTCAAAATCGACGTCAAAGATATCCTCCTCGACTACATGGCAGGTCAAGATACTCGCTCAACTTGTGACACCAAAGTCATACCCTTTTCGTTTGTATAATCTGCGTCATCTTCCTGTTCATTGAAAGAAGACTCAATTTCCATCTCCGCCATTGCTGCTTGCATCCTAGATTGCGAAATTTAACTTCGTGACATCGTATCTCGCCTCGCCGTACCGATTGCCCGCAGTGCTACGGCGCGAACGGCGGGTCGCCAGAACCTCTTCATGGATAGGCTCACTGTCGATAGCCATAGTGCTTTGAGATTCCTGCTCTTTTTGCATTCAAAGAATATCAACAATATATACGCGTCAACGCGTTTATATGATCGTGGTACGAAATCGAGGTTGCAAGCAAACACGTGACCTAATGAATCCTACCACCTTCCCACGCCCCATCCATTAAAGGCGACTCCTCTAAGATTCCAGAGACAATCCCTCGGTTGGATGAATCCACTCTCATCCTTGGCTCTTGAATAAATTGTACCTGTATCAGATACACTCGAGACGGTGACCTCCCACAAGGTCCAGCTCCATCTCCCTTGCTGGTAGATGATTGATGCGTCCATCCACGACTCACCGTTGTCATGACTGACTTGAACAGAGACGACATTCCCATTCGGACCGGCTAAGGCATATCCCTTGACGTGGATATCGTATCCCGACGCCTTGTTTGGAACGCGCTTCACAGAGGCGATCACGGAATTCAATGGTAGAGCCGTCATGGACGGGTACTTGTGCCACAGCGGTAGCGCGGCAGCCTTGGTCTCGACCTCGGGAGGGAGGATCCTGTAGTCCCGCTGCTGATAAAAGTTCGGAGATTCGCGTGAAGAAAGCACGATTGTATCGACCCATTTCACCCATCTCGCGCCCAAATGTCCTGGAACGACGACGCGCAGGGGACCTCCATGCTGGGCATTCAACGTTTCTCCGTTCATCTATGGCGCAGTTACATAACATAATGAGTGTAATCATGGTGTATCACCTCATAGGCCAGTAGCACATCCTCGCTGTGGCCCAAAGCGGTTCCGATAGCAATGGATGCCCCATAATACTGGTCGTCCTCACACAATGTGGCGTAGGAGGCAAAGCAGACATGGGCATAATCTTCCACTGAAGGAACACGCCTCAGCAGATCGCAAAGTCGGATGCCACCCCATGAGCAGTTGGCTACCACACCGTCTGCCCACAATACGCCCTGCACAGGCTTCGTCTCAGCCATTTCTTTGCGCCGGTTTCCAGCGCATTGCAGAGCTGCTACAACACTGGACTTGTCGAATTGTTGCCGCAGTTCGGGGATTGAGAGGCGGAGAAGGACAGTGTTGTCGTCAGTCTTGATTGTGAGAAAGTAGGAACACTCCTCGAATTCGCGTACCGGTCCTGCAAGGAATTAAACAATCGATCAGGTTCGTTTGGGCGATTCCGCTCGACCATGGTTTCGACAGTACACCAGTCGTTCCGGAGTGATTTCAAACTCGACGAGGTCTGCAGCCCGTGCTTCGGCATTCAGAGGTCGAGCACCCCGGATAACTAGTGAGTCGGAATGCTCAGACCCGGTAACAGAGTTCATGGGTGCCGATTGCGTGCCAGTGACGAGGAAGTCGAGGAAGAGAGAGAAAGACTGCGAGAGCCGGTTCGGACGTAAGGAGACGTAAATCCGCCGCGGCAACCGCGAATAGAGGATGTCACGGCGAAGCAGTGGACATGATTACTCGCATTATAGCGCGTAGACAGGACTCCAGCACCACAGTAGATTATGGACCTTGCTCAGACTTCAGAGGTCGGACAACATGGCAAAGACAGGTGAACGCGTATGCAGGATTCGTTCTGATCTTAACGCCACTAGTACTTACGGTTCGCAGGGCAAGGTGGAGGGAAGCGAAGCGGAAATGACAGGCCATCAGAACTCACCAGTCCCGAAAGTGGATACACGATGGTAATCTTTTGAGCTTGGGGCTGGGTATGGGTTGGTCGCGACTCCCCACCGAGTTTCTAACGTTGCAGTGTAAACGGGTGCATTGTTCGCCGGGCACCGGCATTCAATACATATTCTTGCAGAGCTACTGGTTCTCAATCTAAGCAACGTCGGTATGTTCCCACAATCATGTGATCCTCCGCTCCGGCACGAGTGATTCGAGAACAGGTCCAGTCTATCCGTCGAGAACAGCAGGGAACGTTCCGTTCTCCCGCTGGTCATCCCATCGAGAGACCTGTGAATAGTCAATATCGACACATTCGTAATGGGGTAAGCTCTTCACGAACCCATTCATCTACAAGGGTCATGAGCTTGAGGGTCAAAAAATGCAAGCAGGACGACTCACTGGGGCACAATGAGTTGTAGGTCATTTTGAACGTCTTGCATGGCTTGAAGTCCTCGCCCTTCGCATTGATGCACCGGAAGTAGTCACAGTAGTTCTGCCAGCTGAAGGATGGCGTCAGTGGTCAACGTCGGGCGAGGCCGGAGGTGATATGCACCAGTTCCTAGTCTGGTTCTGATTGGGGAACCGCGCGTCGAACGGAGCGGTCTTGAGAATGTATTTCCTGTACGAGATGAGGAGGTTGGACTGAGAAGCAGCCGGACAACGAACTTGGAGAGATCTTCCTCGTCGGACATGATGGGAGAGAGAGACTGGGATGTAGTCACATGTTTGGATTATCTTTAGTCTCGACCAACACACGTCGGGCCCAGCCTCCTCTCACACCAATTACTCTACTGGTATTCAACGCTCACTGGTCTACAAAATGAATGCTCTTCTTGCCGAGGTTGCTTCGAAGCGCAAGTCTATGACCGAAGACGTGCGGCCCAACAAGTACATGCGCCGAGGCGACATAGAGCGCTTGAAGGAGGAGAAAGAGCGCGAAGCTCAGGAGCACAAAGAATCAGAGAAGGCCACAACTCCCGACACGTCGACCATATCAGCGAAAGTGAGTTTATCGTCCTCGTCATTTGCTCTATTCTTATGCGGCATTGGAGAACAGATCCCATCCCGCGACGCCACCAATTCGCCTCTTCCCCCTCCAGATGCTATAGCATTGAAAGCCGAGTCCTTCAACATATCCAATGAAGAAACCATTCGGCGTCTACGAGCCAAAGGGCAGCCCATCCGTCTCTTCGGCGAATCAGACAAGGAGAGGCGGCTTCGCCTTCGAGCCTTGGAGTTGATCGAAGAAAAGGATCACGATAGGCAAGGAGGACAGAATGACTTCAAGAAGGCCCTAGAGGACGTCGAAAGTGTGGAGCGCGAGATGCAGGGAAAGACCAACAAGGGTAAAAAGCGCGACGACAGCGTCGCGGAGTCGGTGATCGACCTGACCCTGGTCAAGACAGACCCTGATAAGCTGTACCCTCTCATCTACTTTGCACTGAAACGGACGCTTCGGGAGTGGGGAGAAGCGATGGAGGAACGACCAGGTTCGTCCCTAATTTGAAGGACGTCGACCACTGCTAATTCGTTGATTCAGAGAACGTTAAGCGTACGACACAAGGAAAGCTAGCCGCCGCCACTCAAGTCCAGTCCGCCGAGTATCTCAAGCCCCTGTTCAAAACATTACGGGCTAGGGTATATTGCAATTTGAGACATCCAACAGAGTATTAATTCTTTCCAGGCGCTTCCTGCCGACATGCTGGCCCGCATTTCAGAGATAGTACATCACATGCAAAAGCGACAGTATCAACGGGCCAATGATGCTTACTTGCGACTTTCGATTGGAAATGCGCCTTGGCCTATTGGTGTGACCATGGTTGGGTATGTCCCACATGGGTATGTCACGATGAGTTGTCTTGTTGACTCCCCACAGTATCCACGAACGGTCCGCTCGCGAAAAGATCTCGTCAGATCAAGTGGCCCATGTGCTCAACGACGAAGTCAGTCGTAAGTACATTCAAAGCCTGAAACGGTGATTGTTGGCTTTGTCTCGTATCTGCTAGTGCTGACTTGCATACAGGCTGCTCACTTTCCCAGACCAAATACCCGCCGGAAAACCCAGCCGAGCTGATGGGTTGAACGGTGTCTATATAGTCTATCGTCTATTTTTCTTCCCTCTCTTTCCCTCTCTGGGGGATCATCCGGAGGGTCTGCACGAGCGTGACCAGTATTCTTGATGTGTGTAAATAGTGTTGTTCTGCTGTCGAAGTTCTCGCCACATTCATTGCAACGGATCTGCAAATTATTGATTTATATGCTTCTCGAGCAAGTGCACACGGATCGCGACTCACTAGTTTCGATGCAGCCTCGGCGTTCTCCGCCTTTTTAGCTTCTCTGGCCTTCCTGAGTTCCCGCTTTGTTGGAGCAGCAACGACGGGGTCCTCGTCGACTGAACCTACCCTTGCCGCCATCTTTTCTGTTTTTGTCATGGGCTCTGGTGGTGGATTGACGCCCCTTCTCGCCTTCTTGGTCTTGGCTTTAGAGGGCAGTCTGTCCTCATCGTCGCTTGCGATGATTTCGACGGGTTCTACTGGGGCTGGCGGCGTCTCTGGCTCATGCTGAGCCTCCTCCTGAGGAGGGTCCGCCGACAAGCCAAATTCGATATCGTCGTCCAACATCTCTCGCTTCAACCTCTCGACCTCTTTCAGATGCTTCTTGCTTCGCTCGTGGCTGTCCCAAGTCGCCTGACTGAAAAAGGATTTACCGCACACAACACATTCCCACTCTTCGTCGTCGTCTCCTTCCGCAGTAGCCCACTCGATGTCGTCATGTTGACGAGAGGCTTCGACTTTCTGCCATTCTTGTTCGACGTATTCGGCGCGCGGCGCCGCAGTTTTATTTTGAGCTGATGTTTTTGGGGTGGATGTACCCGCAGTTTGCTGTTGAGCCAGATACGTCTTGTACCTGGGATCTCGTTTTCGGAGAAACTTCGCCAGCGACTACAGCCCGGATTGAGTAAGATGGTGCATGATGTAGAAGAAAGCGCACCCTGATGGTGTCGTTATATTCTCTGCGGCCGTCTTCCCGGGCTTTCTTGTTATCCTTCTCCATCAGCCGTCGCACCCGTCTATCGGGTGCCTCGGCAAGATTGTGCTGATCTGCCCACGAAAAGTCTTTCTCTGTGACAAAATTCATCCACACGGCGTAGAATGACTTGGCACCAGGGACGGATTTCGTCTCGGACGCCCATGCCCATGTGGAGTCTCCAAACGACGGATATTCATTGTCGAAGAGGAGGACCTCTTCAGCTTGCAGGCGGGCAAAGAGATTGCGATAGATGGTGAAGAATCCCTGCGGGCGTCGTTTCAGCTGAGATATGTATTCTGAGCTGCAGTCTTACATTGTCTCCGTCATCGAACCCGGAGTATACTGCCGAGTCAAAGAACCTGGAAAGATGCCGGACAGTAATGCCTCTGCCTTGCGGCCTTGTAGGCGGTGGTGCGCCCTTCCGGATCTCCTCGAAGGTGGTCTCGTCGTCCGGTTCCGGAGCAAGCGCAGACTTGTGTGAATCGTACCAGGCGCGCTCCTACTTGATGATCATGATTCCAAGATCGTTCTTCTCCGAGCGGGACTTACTTGTTCATCACTGAGAACTTCATAAGCCTGCTGCAGGGCGGCAAATCGTTGTGTTGCGCCTTCGATATCATTCTGAAACATCGTTGAATAAGAGATTCGGCCAAGGGATACGTTCATAGCGCACAGGGTTCTTGTCTGGATGGTGGATCAAGGCGAGTTTCCGAAATGAACGCTGGAGGACGGTCTGTGTCTGCTACCATGGTGTGCAGCCATCACGCACCTTGATCTCGTCCGCTGTAGCCGTCTCCTCAACATCCAACATCTGGTAGTAGTCCAGTGGTGTTGAACCATCGTCTCCGGGTTGAGTGCTCGAACTTTGCTGGCCCATATCCTGGCGTGGTCGGAGGCAAGATCAAAATTCCCAATGCGGTAAGCCACTTCTCCAGACCGGAAACCACCATGTCCGACTTTTTTGGCTCCTCTTCCTTGTCCGCAAACTCGAATGGTGTGGCTGTTGCCGTCTAGTGAGCGTTTGTTGAACCGCTGTTTTCAGACCAGAATGCGAGGAAGGAATCGGTGATGGCGGCCGTGCGCAGTCAGGTCGCGCTCGCCAATGCCCAGCAACTCATGAACGTACGACATTTCCGGGATCGGACTTCATGCATCCTTTTGAGCTCTTTGTCGTCTAGGGTGCGAACGAGAAGTGTTTCAAGTCCTGCGTGACCAAGCCGGGCACGTCGTTGTCGGGCTCCGAACAGGTACTTCCGGTCTTTCCGTCCTGAAGGGCTTTTTGACCATTTCGAATAGACCTGCCTGTCCCGTTGCCTTGACCGGTACATGGAGGCCTGTAAGTCGCTGTGCATCTCCCTCGACGTTCATCCACTCACCCTCAAGCAGTCAACATCGTCCGAACCACATACATGACGCGGCTGAGCAAGGAACGTCTGGAGGATCAGGCCAATGTACTGTAGAGCGAATCATACACAAGCATACCGCGACATAGCATTGGTCGTACAAAATTATCTACGAGACACTAATAAAAGAAGGAGTCCATACGTCATGCTCTGCGGTTTGATAAACTAGGTACTAAGGTGAGGTATGGTAATTAAAAGTATGAAAGAGTCCCAAGTACATGCCATTTAAACGAGAACAATCCAAATGGGGCGCTTAACGAAGTCCGTCGGAAGGGGTGTAATACATTGAGGCAAAGGTTTCAGCAGTGGGTGGTGCATATGTGTAAACGGGAGATTTCAGACCCAGATTTTCCGGCGCGTAGGGATGTCGGGGGATGAGTTGGGCTGAGTAGACGGCAGGTGTCGTCTGATAAGAGGAGGCGTAGTCTTCAAAATATTCATCGGGGCCTGCAAGAGGAGCGGGTGTCTGCAGGTAGGCTGTGTGTGTGAACGGCATCGCAGGTGCCATCTCGTGAGCCCCGTGTGACATGTTATCCAGCATTCCTCCCATGGACCGCCGCCGGAACAGACTTGGAAAGTCCAGACGGGATGGTTCAGATCCCGCAATGGCATGCAGCGGCGGTGGGGGAAGTTCCATCACTGGCGACGCATATGGCCTGGGGGATCCTGACCGGAAGCTCTGGAGCAGATGGACGAGGGGAACAGTGGGGCCGATGACATCGTGTCGCAGGACATGAGAAGCCTGGTGGCCTTCAGTCCAATCGGTGCACCGTTTCCACCGTCGCTGGCTGCGGTCCTCGGTGACGTACTCCAGGTAAAACAAAGGCGGCTGAGACAACACAAAGGAGGCCATCCCACTGGCAGGAATGCCTGTCGAAGAGTGCGAGAACTCCGTGTCGATGATGGTGTCAAAAGGGAGTTCCATTTTGAAGCCGCAACCTCCGTTATGGATGAACCAAGTCAGGCAGCGTCTGGCCTCGCAAGTATACGCGACGAGATCACGCTGCGTAGAGTCCGCCGCGATCCGCCGCCATGAGCCGATGGTCAGATCGGAGCAAGGAATGAAGGTCACCGGGTCATCCTCGTGGATGAGCCGATTGAGCTCGTCCTCGAAGGCCGTCGTTACGGGAGAATGTCCATTGACGGCCAGCATCTGCTCTTTCGCGCGCTTAAGCTTCGCGTTCTGGTTCCGCGCTTTTGCGCGTCTGAAATATAACATGAGCCGGATTCCATCGCCGCCGTGTAGCAGATCTGACCTGTTTTGAAACCAAATCTGAGTCTGGCGCTCCTGCATGCCAAGCTCCTCGCTGATTTCACGACGTCGGGTAGCCGTTGGGCTGGGATCCAGAGAGAAAAAACGTTCCAGAGGAACAAGTTGTTCGGGAGTGACCCGACATCGTTTGGGCCGCTCGACGAGCACCTCGGCGCTGTGGTGACTCGTTTCTCCTTCGTCGCGATCAGGAGACCCCGCAGAGGACGAGCGGCTGGTGACCGGAGAAGCCATGGAACGTGCCAGGGCACTGTCCGGCATGATATACAAACGTCTGTGACCGGTGAGCCTTGACTACGGCGACGGACGCGGGGGCGCAGACTGGATGAAGGGACAACAGGGGTAAGAAAAGAACAAGTCAGGAGAAACTCGAAAGGCGGCGCGGCCGACTGGAAATTGCCTCGTCGTCAGGTGGGGGAAGGAAGGTGAATCGGGCGAAAGGAAAGAAGAGGTCCGGGGTTCCGAGCAGGTCTCAGATATGACCACATAAGGAAACAAGAGAAGTTGATGTCTACCAAAAGGGTTGAGTTGACGTGCCTAGATATGTCACTGATGGTGGATCTGATCGCCCAAACGCAACCAAGGGAACTGGGAGGACAGAGGTCCAGGGAAGCACCGGATCGACTGCACTCTGGGCCGGGCGAAAGATGCAATTGAAAACAGCTCCCACCAGTCTTGGAAAGAAACAAGACAAGACGCGCTCAGGGTAACATAGGACAGCATCCAAGCCCCTATCCCTATATCTGAAACGTGGCAGAAAGCAGCGATCAGTGGCAGTGTGACACCGGGCGATCACTCCACGTTCGAACTTCGATGACAGACCTTGACAGACTTCACGGGACGAAAGTCTGCAATCCACATAGCAGGTCCAAGCGGAAGATCGCAGAAATAAAAGCTGATTTTGGCAGTATGTACTGGCAACGAAGCCGGGAGAAGAGTGGTCTGTCTTTGGTCTGTAGCCCGTCGGCCGACGTACCCGTTGCTACCCGACGTGAAAAATCGCCGCCCGGGGAACGTAGGCGAGCACCACGATCAACCGGCATGTCTTGTGGAAAGACCTAGGACAAGAGACAGCTAGCAACTGTGAGCAAGGCGATGAGCGCTGAAAACGGCTCACAAGACCCAAGCCACGTGTGTGCACAACATAAAAATGCCAATCATATGCCGACGAACGGATGGACGCTAAACTATCGGAAGAGGAAATTTCCTGGTGAAATACTTATACCAAGCACATACTTACACACTTCTCCATACAACTACCTTGAGGATGAAGTGGAAGGAACAAGAATAAATGGCAATGATACCTTGCCAAACCTTCAATATCTCGGCCGCTTTGAGTCACGATCCTCATAACCTCCAGGTGCCTCGCGCTTGAGATCACGATACCCACCGCCTCCAGCGCCATACCCACCACCTGGAGGCCCATATCCGCCGCCGCCGCCGCCCGGAGGCCCGTTGAACCCGGGAGGACCATGACCACCCGGCCCATCGTTGAATCCACCACCGAATCCGATACCGGCACCTCGGCCGCCACTGTGATAGTCAGTTTCCAAAGAGAGAAATAGAAAATAGCTACACACCGGAACCCTCCACCACCAAAGTCGTCGCGACCTCGGAACCCTCCTCCAGGCGGACCGCTCCCAGGTGGACCACCACGGAATCCTCCACCGTTACGATCTCCACCGAATCCACCACCACCTCTGTCTCCATACCCTCGATCACTCGGTGGGAAGCCCCCGCCGCCACGGTCCCCAAAGCGACCCCCACCTCCGCCGCCAAAGCCACCGCCCCGGCCCCCTCCTCTGAAGCCTGGTCCTCCGCCTCGGTCAAACGGTCTCCCGCCTCCGAAGCCTCCACGGAACCCGCCGCCGCCGCCGCCACCACCACCTCTGGGAGGCCCGACTGGCTCAACTCGTTTTGGGCGGCCACCCAGACCTCCGCCAAGGCGACGAGGTTTCCATCCTCGCACCGTGCGCCCACGTTCGACGTCGACCAAAATACGCTTCCCCATAATGACTAGTCCATCAGACTCCTTGTACGCAGCTGCAACCATCAGTCTATGCTCAGCTCGAGGTGTAAAGAGGGTATGAACCTTTCATGTCACGTTCGCGCTCATACACAACAAACGCGTAGCCTCGGCTGCGTGCCTTCTTGTCTCGAACAATCCGTACACGCTCAATCGTTCCGTAACTCTCAAACTCACGCCGGAGGTCGTTTTCGGTGGCCGTTTTATGCTGTTGACGCGTTAAAAGCGGATGGATGTAGCCAAGCAAAGATTAGCCTACCAACCGGGAGATGAACAGAGTCTTGTATGGGTCTCCGACGGCCTCGGTATCATCAGCAGGTTTGTCTAATAACAGTCAGGCGTTGCTTGATAAAGGCAATGAATTAACCGACAGGTCTCCTTCGCGATTTTAAATTCTTCTGCTCTCTTTTTCTTGCGGTCCTCGCGTCGAATCTGCCGCTTAACCTCCTCAGCAAGAGTAAATGCGGGTTCTTCTCCCTCTTCCATATTCGCGTCTGTCTCCCCTGCGCTGATCATATCCTCCGTTTGGGCCTCCTTAAGCCGAGCAAGAATTTCCGCGACACCCGAAACATTTTTTGACCGAATTCGATCGCGGTCCTTGTCGACCGGACGAGTATACGGAAGCGGAGGACGAGGGGCGAATAATTTTAAGAGATTCGGCGGGAGGAGGTGAGTGCCAGGCATAGCACCGACGACGTGGATGCGGAGACTGAGTTGGATCACAAGACGTCACGCACAGTCACTGCCTGTCACAGTTAGGTTTGCGTTCGCGCCAAACCGTATTGCTTCTACGTAAGGCTTAACGTTGAAACGTGGAAGGAAGATAGTCCACTGCCTGAGCTTGAGACCAGTCGGGGTGGTCTTCAGTCAATTCGTAGAAAGTTGCCACCAAATGTTCGCACAATCAACCAGCAAGGCTGATCAACTGAATAAGTTTCAGTCCAGATGTGCGCGTACGGTACATAGCCCATGTTAGCGAGAGAAAAAAACAGAAGCCTGCGGAAGCCCAGAAGCCGCTGTGCAATAGGCTAGTCTGAACTTGGTGCGGGGGAGTACACGGAAGACGTCGAACTTGCTCATCCCAAAAAAACGCTGATCAGAACTGGGAAGGCGTCGTTGTGCCGCACACGCCTTGATCCTCGCATCGATGTCGTCTGCCCCAGCATCACCCATCCATCCCACCCCCAGCGTTTCCTCTCTACAATCACCGCACCCAGGGCATGGCGGCGCAGACGACCAGCAACCAGCTCGAAAGCGAAAAAAGACCAGTGGGGAGGACGGTTCTCCAACCGAACCGCGTCGTTTGCGGCGGTCGCATGAAGCTTGCACACGCTGTCGAGCAAAGAAAATCAAGGTATGGATCGATGCATCCTGGAGATTTCCGCTGCTGGCGGCTGGAAAATGCCGCTGGCGGTGTCGGCAACTTCCTTGTTCTCTGTCTTAGCCTGTTGGCTGATCTTTCTGCAGTGCGACTCTAAGCATCCTAGATGCACTGCTTGCGCGACGGCGGGGGTTGTTTGCGCTCAAGAGGACCGCCATCGAAACACGTTGACCCCGCGCGGCCATGTGGAACGCATCGAACACCAACTGGCGCAGTGTGAGGCCCTTCTCAAGAGACATATCCCATCGTTTGAACTTCATGAGCTGGACAACATTCTTGCCCGTGAGGGTATTGACCTTCATCTTGGCTCCCCTCATGGCTATGGTTACAGTGGTGGCTTCCCACCGCCAGGGCCCATGTATCAATATCCAATGCCGCCTCCGATAGTATATGCTCAGCCTGGCTATCATGCACCGCCGCCGTTTTCGGGGCAGCCACCGTACACCCATCCTCCGCCACCGGCGCCGGCACCGTTGTCTCAACAACCTTCTCCGCCCCGAACGGTCATCCCAGACATCAAAGGGCAAGATCCTCACTCGAATGATCTCTCCAACACGCAAGCACTCGCCAAAAACTTCGGCGTCTCCGCGGACATCGTTTCTGTGATTGCGAGTAATCAGGTTGACCGAGAAGACCTCGCCGTCGGCTCGTCGGGACTGACATCCGGTCGCGACCGCACTATCCACGAGACTTCGATCCCGCGAGACCCAGCGCATTGGGTCACCGTCACTGTCCGCCGCGGCTCCAATGCGTTCGTCAATCCGCCGCACATCGCGACGGTCATTCCCCACCAAGTGGCCTCCATTGATATCTGGCTTCCCAAAGACCGCAAGATGGTGAATGTCATCGTCGGCATTTACTTCGCACGGCTCAACATCCACCGACCGGTCTTCGCGCGACGGGACTTTGACAAGGCCGTTGACGACTTGTATATCGGACACAGCCTGCAGCAACACGACCCTGGATTTCTATGCAGCTTCTATCTCGTGCTTGCGCTTGGCACGTTGAGTGATCTGAACAACCGTTCGGGCACTGAGATTCACACAAAAGAGCTGCTCATCAAGAAGCTGATGCCTGCGGATTGGCCTGAGCACGACGAGTTCTTCGAGCGTGCTTTGAGTGTCAAGCCAGATCTCCGAGTCACCATATCGAGCTTGCAGGCGCTGATCCTACTGCACTGGTACTTGTACACCGAGGTGCGTCCAGTATTTCGGTTGGTCCAAGCCGTACTGACGATGCTGCAGCGGCAAGGACGGACTCTATGGCGTCTCGTTGGGAGTCTTGTGCGGCTGTCTGTGGAGTTGGGCCTCCATCATGATCCCACAACCCAAATGAACCCATCTACCAAGCAGAAATTGTTCACAGAGGAAGAATGCATGCTGAGGATCAATCTCTGGGGCATTATCTTGATTCATGATCGAGGAACGTCGATTCTTTTGGGCAGACCACTCGGGATTGCGCCGTCTGACTCGAACACCCCTCGGCCATCTCGCAAGGGAGGTCTCAGTGGGCTCGCCGACTTCTCTGAGCATTTCGAGCTCAGCCATGCCGTCGCCGAGATCCAAGCGGACATTATCAACTCGCTGTACTCGCCAACTCGCCAGAAGGGCGACACGCTGGTGCGGAACGCCACTCGGGTCATCAAGAGCATGTCAGAGTTCCGACGCAGTCTTCCCGACAAATACCAGTACTATTTCGGAGGCACGGATGACTGGAGCCTGGATCAGAAGACGAAACTAGTCCAAGATATCAACGAGGACGAGGGTCTGACATTGCTCAAGGTTGGGATAGCACGTTTGCTGCTGTTGCGAGCCCTGTTCAGCTCGAGCGAGTTGAGTTATGAACATCGGCACAAAGCTCTGCTGGATGGTCAATTCTTTAATCAATTTTACTACGTCTGCTCAACGATTCTGCAGCAATCGTGACCGCACACAACGTCATCATAGCCCACCAGTCCTTGATGCAGTTTCCGGATGTCGCCTTTTTCACTTCGCCGATTCCGTTGCACATCGCTGCGATGGTGATTTTGTACGGACAGATGAGCAATTGCGAGCGCCTCCCTCCTCAAACAGCCATCGAGGACCTATGGCTTGCTCTCGACATGCTTCCTCGTTTCCGTTGGCGCTGGGAACGCAAGGATCTCAATGGAGCACACCCGCTGATCTTCGAGCTTGCATCTCATGTCATGGGCGTCGATCTGCACCAGGTCGAACCCAGCAACAATGCTTTCTTCCTTCTCAGCGAGCCGGAATGGGACGAAGATTCGACTATGCCGTCGCCGGTTCCGTTGCCAGCGCATGCCTCACCCAGCCCCGCCAGTGCCTATCCCAGCGCATACGGGCCTCACCAGCGCGCTCTGAATGCGCCCCCGCCCGGTGGTCCTGCTCCCAACCCGAACGGAAAGCACCTGGTCGACATCCCCACGGGGCTGTTCTATCCATTCTATACGGACGAGAACGGGAACCCACCGCCAGCAGCCGAGAATGGCTACAGCCACATCCTTGCGGCTGCTGCCACGCACGGGCAGCACGGATCGTATGGGGGGCAGGGATCGCACGACACGTTCATCAGTGAGGAACGCAGCCCCACCACACAGCGCACCATGCCCTGGATCAACGGGCCCAAGCTACAGGGGCCCCATTCTCGCGCTTATCCCGTGCCTCCCCAAAACTGATCTCTAGTCTTGAATTGCTTTGTGTACATACAATGGTGTAAATCTTGTGTATCATTCTAGGGTTATTACAGTGTCTAGGTTTTGCAAACAGAAAAACAAAAAATACAGCAGTACAGCACACGTCCGGATCACCCGGTCAGCGTGTGAGCATATTTTCCATGCGTTCCAGAATCATATCTATCCCCCGTATCAGAGTGGCGATCTTGCTGGGAAGAATCGAGCCGTCGTATTCAGCGGCTCCATTGGCCTCGAGGACAGCCCGTTCCAACGCAATCGGGAGGCTCAGGGTGATCCTCGTCAGCTGGATCGTCACTCGGCTGCGCCCCATGAGATCAAAGTAGGACAGCCCCCTCAGCGTATGCTGCACTTCGACGAGCCGCAGCAACTCAGCGTGCAACGCAAACACGCAGGTCCGGCAAGCTGCACCGCAGTCAGCGACAGCTATCAACGGCAACGCAAATCCATCCTTACTGAGTGCGCGATCGCGGATGCCTTGCAGCGAATTCAGCACCGAATTGATGCCTTCGTCGCCTAGACTCAACGACGGATTGATATCACTGACAGCCTCTGGATCGACCGTCAGAGTCACTTCTCGTTCCAGAGCACGGTCCGTCGGTCCTCCAATAACACACACTCACTGAGAAACGATCTGATGACCTCCAGGTCTCCTTCGAGAAAGTCGTCGAAAACTCCCACGACGATGCTCCGGAATGTGTCTTGCGCATGGCCGGCGGGGTTCGCCGCAAACACGTCGTATTTCGCTTGCGGCGACCGTGTGTCGTATGTCCGCCGGGAGGCGGGCTGACTCAGCACCGAGTATGCGACGGCGATTTTTTGGAACGCGATTGTGGCTCCAGGGTTGTTTGGGAATTTGCTGCCAGACACGGGGACGTCAGCTGAGCAGAGCAGAAGGGGATGCGCGAAATCAATTCACTCGGGATGACAGGAGCGGCTTCTTGTTAGGTAGGCTCGCCTGAGGGTAAGCTTATCGAGGCTTTCAGATCGAGATACGCCCAGGATTGAATATAGGTCATCGTGCGCAAGAACTTCATCCAAAGCGGCAGATGATGGGCCTGCATATGTCCTCGAGGAGGATTGAGAGCCTGGAGACTCTCTGCGCGTAGAAGAAGATGTTGAGCCGCTTGACCAGGTTATATGCTTGCGTCGGTAACTGCGTAGGTGTGAGCTGTTGTGAAGGACGCAAAAAGCATAAAACGTGTACTCGTTTATTGTACGCTCTTCCTCTTCGTCGACAGGCAGATAGAAGTAGCTACTGGCCGTCGAAAGGGCATACGAGAGCATGAGAGGACAGGGAAAAGGTGCATTAACATGTGATTTTTCTCGCTCATTTGATCTCATCAGCCTCATCAAAAAGTGCAACAACGTGTTTATGTCAGCCAGTAAGTACGTTCAGCGAGATCTACACAACCAAAGCCGGTCTATGATTACAACAATACCAGATAAGATAAGTAAATCGTAAGGGAGTAGTTGGGACGAAATAGCCCGATATGTAAGTAATGTACGCTCAAAACATCAGAGATCATAGTAAGTCATAAGTATGAGCGGTCAAGCGACAGTGACAGAAGACGCCGCTGGGTCTCGGTTGCGCTTCCACCAAGGGCGAGCAACGGAGGGTTCTGAAGTGGGTCCTGCGCTCTCCCGAGCGCTGCTGCTGACACTTGGCGTGATGCTCGGGCTCACACTTGACGTGTGGCGGTGTCCTAGCTGGATTCCTTTCGAATCAGCCGATGACTCTGTCGTGTACGATGCGACGGAACCAGTTTCTGCCGAAACAAGCCGCGTGAACGGCGTCACGAGACGCTCGTCGCGGACAGGAGTGGGATTGAAGAGCGCGTCGATGAGCGACTCGGTCGGCCCGGGACCATGCACTCGCGGGATGTTACGCACATCGTACGCCTCCAGATTCTGTCGAGAGATCTCGATGGGCGCATAGAGATTGAGAGCCCGCGGACGTGTGCGATACACGTCGTCATTGGTCGATAACAATGTGGTCACCCCAGCGAGGATCTCCGCGCTAGGCAGCGGAGGCGCTACGAAATGCGCGACTGGGGGGACGGGCTCGACGGAGATGGACAACCGCAGAGTCGCGTTCGTCTTGCTCTCCCCCAGCAGATAGCGACGTGTCACAACACCCTTCGATGCGACACCCGCATCAAGGGGGAAGCTATCCGCGTACTCGGCAAGATCGAGCTCGACGACTCCCAGGCGCGGGTTATGGGGTGCGTCGGGATCGTGGGCGACGACCTTCTGCCACACGGTGAGCTTGAAAGGATGGGGCAGCAAGCGGGGGAAGTGGCTATCGCGCTCGATAGACATCTGCACGACGGCGTCCAAGTGGTGATCCCACGTCGCAGAGTGCTCCTGCAACGGCGCCCATGATGTCTGGCCGCGTGTCGCCGTAGCGCCTCCCGACTCATCGGGGTTCACTTCAGAAGACGACGAAGTGGCGGAGCGACTGCTCATGGGCGGCGCGGGGGCGTTCGGGCTTTCGGCGCTGCGGAAGCTATCATCGTCCTCATTCTCATTCTCGTGTTCGTGCTCGACAGTGTCCACTCCCCCCTGCTTCCCCCTCTTCCCCTTCAACGTGTTCTTGAACTTCCATCGTACGCCAAAAGCACCAGTAACGAGGGGGACGCTGGCGATTTGGTGTATCGTGATGCGGACGTGGAAACGTGCGTGGCGACTGGGTAGGAGATGGGTGAGCTGAGCTTTGAGCCCAGAGGAATGGGGAAAGTTTTGGGGTTCGGGCCGATGGTAGTTCATGGTCAAGGATCCCACATCGGTAATTTGCGTTGAGGTTCCGAGGACGGAGCGAAGACCTTCGCAACGGATCTGGACATGGGTGGCCCCGGCGATGTCATCATTTGATGTTTCATTCAGGATCACAGCCACTTCCGCAAAGTTTGAAGTAAGCAGTTAGATTGCATTCTACGTTAGTTGGACTTTTAATGCTAGACAGAATCTACGAATGGAGGGTTTCAGTGCACCCCGCTCTCCCATTGCCGTGAGCCTGACGGGAGGCATATCTATGTCGTCATCTCTATAGACGGTCAAATCGAACCGCCCAAAAGCCCAGTTGAGAATGTATGTTCCCTTCCCCTTGATCCGGATAAACCCTTTAACGCGCCAGACCGATTCCTTCGAAAGCTGGGACAGAGCGCCCGTGAGCACTTCCTCGTCGATGTCTTCTGTCGCATGCTCGATCTGATGTGCATCTTCGTGAGGATGGTCATGATGCTTGTGGCCACCGATTGACACGGTCTCAACCTCGTCGTTATGAACAGGCGCTGGAGTGTCCGCGTCCAGAAATAGTTTGGACTGCAGACCAAAAATGAGACTGGGATCCACACCGTCTCGTCCGCGACAACGGATTTTGGGGGTTGAGTCGTTCAATGTGTGCAGATGATCCAGCACGGTGTCCAGCTTGCGGTCATTCACCAGTTCCCATTTATTCTGTTCGAGTTGTGAGAGCGAGATTTTCATGAGGAACAGATGCGCACAATCAGAATGATATCCGTATAGCTTGCCTGCATCTTGGCCTGAGTAGATCGGATCAGGTGTTACTTCGCAAACGACGGGCATCCACTCACTGTCGGCGACGTGTCCTCATATCCGGTGAAATTCTCGGCATCGATGACGGTCGCGATCGCATCCAGCTTCAGATCCCCGTCGGTCTGACGCTCCAGTTCCCGAATTTGGAACGCAAGAGTGGCAGGGAAAGCGGATCCTCTGGTTACTCAATTTTAGCGCAATGTTCGTACAAAAGTAAACAAGCACGCACGAGCATTCGATGATAATGCGATCCGGATGGAACTTTTCTATATTGAAGTTATGGACATGCTTCAAGTACAGCGAGGAGGTTGACCTCTGATCTCCAACAAAGCAGTCTGCATCTGGCCGACCAAGACACAGCACCTGTTCGACAAATCATCAGCTTCAGCTCCAGCGTGCGCGGGCAGGAATATTTACATGCATCCATTCAAGATTTCGCTAACAGCAGTCAGACTCGATTGCTCAGCAAGCTTACTATCGACTGAGATGTTTAGTTCGGTGTAAACCCGGGAAAGAGGATCCATTAGCACCTTCTACGTCTCCGAACTCATTCTTCAGCAAAACAACCTTATAGTCCTTGGGAAGTTGGGGGAGTAGTGACAGGATGACGCTAGTCTTTCCTGCACCAAGGAATCCGGTAAAGACAGTGATCGGGATCATGATAGTAAAGGATCGTGGCGCGTAGACCGATAAGTGAACAGGTTCCGGATACGACCAGAAGATTTATTGACGTCACTGAGTCCAGCCGAAGCTGACGAAATGGATGTCTTGAGATTTGAGGATATGAGGATGAGCGCCAAGACGAGATTGAATGACCACAAGGGCTGATCGCGCCCATTACGTCATCTCGCCACTAACAGGACTTGATGTCCGCCGCCTACCACCTCAACGCCATCTCCGAAAATGCTTCGCGTCTGGGGATGCGGTTGCAGGAAACCTTTTCGGAGCATACCAAGGATCTTTCCCTGAGTAAAGGCTCCTCCCTGTACCTCGAGCCAGATGATAAGGGCCGTAACCTCAAGAAGCAGCTGGACTCGTCGAGCGACCGAGAGAAGTTGGACGCCATGAAACGACTAGTTGCGGTGCGTCCCTCCATCTGAGACTCTTATTTGGACTCACAAGTTTCCTTGATCCCATAGCTCATCTCGAAAGGCCGGAATGTGTCCGAGTACTTTGCGCAAGTGGTCAAGAACGTCGCATCTGCCAACCTCGAAATCCGCAAGCTCGTCTATATCTATCTCCTGCGATACGCCGAGCAGGAGCCCGATCTCGCGCTTCTCTCGATCAACACGTTCCAGAAAGACCTGTCGGACAGCAATCCCCTCATACGCGCGATGGCGCTGCGCGTGCTCAGTGGGATCAAGGTCGCGATGATTGGGAGTATCGTCGTGCTGGGCATCAAGAAATGCGCCGCAGACATGAGCCCGTATGTGCGCAAAGCGGCCGCACTGGCTGTCCCGAAATGTTATGCGTGTGTGGCTCCCTTGCCCGTCGATACCTACCGCTGAAGGGAACGCACTCTTCTGCAGACTCGACGCGTCGCACCAGCCTGCCCTGATCGAGATAATCTCCTCGCTGCTGCGCGACAGGTCGCCGCTGTCTGTCGGCAGCGTCGCCGTCGCGTTCGAAGCTGTTTGCCCCACACGCCTGGACATGTTGCATCAACACTACAGGCGGTTTTGTCGTATGCTCGTTGACGTGGACGAATGGGGTCAGATCAACCTGCTTAATCTTCTGCTGAGGTACGCAAGAACCATGCTCCCCCGGCCGAGTGAAGGAGAGGAGATGGACGGGGACGTGAAGCTGCTGCTCAACTCGGCCGAGCCGTTGTTCCAGAGCCGAAATCCTGCCGTGAGCTCTCGCTAATCCATATTCTCTGCGTCCTAAATTGATTGTTCTCAGGTTGTGCTGGCTGCGGCTCGTGTTGTGTACTATGGTGGAACGCCTTCATATCATCCACGACTGATCCAGCCTCTATTGCGGCTACTGCATACATCAAAGGAAGTTGAGCGTGTGGTCATCGCTTATATCATCGAACTGTCGCGCTCAAGCCCAGTAAGAACTGCGCGTGTCTGACTCGTCTATATCTCATGTGATTATAGAACCTTTTCGCGCCATTCTACCTCCAGTTTCTGTTGCGAACGGACGATTTGCGGTCCACAAAGCAAGATAAAATCAAGCTGCTTCTTCTCCTGTCCAACCACGACGCTCACCAGGCGATCCTACGAGAACTGATCGTAAGTTCGCACTGTTATTATGATTACGTCCCTCGACGGTGATTTCAGGACTGCGCGGACGACCCAGACGACGTGGTCGTCGCAGATGCCATCCACGCTGTAGGCAAATGCGCGCAGATGGTCCCAGATTGCCTGCCGCAGTGCTTGACTGCACTGATGACCATGATCAAAAACCGACGAGGCAAGTCGTGATCCAGCATTTCATCCTTCTCATGCCAACACCCCCGAAGATGTCGTCGTCAGCGGAGCAGTCATGGTCCTGAAGCATCTCGTGCAGAAGCAGCTCTCTGCTGCCACGTCGTCCTCCTTCGCCGCCGTTGCATCGGCCCCGCCGCAGTCTCCTCTGACGATCATCTCGCAGTTGGCCCGCCGCATAGACGATATCCGGCATCCCCAAGCGCGGGCCTGCGTGATTTGGCTGACGGGGCAGTACGCTGCATCGGCGGAGCAGGGGACCAGTCACCCAGACGGCGTCGTCGAGTGGGCGCCGGACCTGCTGCGTAAGACGGCGAAGGGATTCGCCACGGAGACGCACCTCGTGAAACTGCAGATCCTGACCATGGCTGCCAAGCTTCTCGTGCTGTGTCCCACCCACCATCGACTGGTGCTGCTGTGCACGTACGTGTTCTCGCTGGCTCGATACGACGTGAACTACGATGTGCGGGATCGAGCGCGGATGTTGAGCAGCTTGATCTCGGGGCTGGGGATACCGAACTGGGCGGGCAGCGACGAGGAGTCGAGAGGCGGTGTCGTTTTGCGGAGAGAGCAGGTCAGGGTGGTCTTTTTGAAGGGAAACGCGGTGTCGTCGAGACCGAGGAGCCTCTCGGTATGTGATCTGGCTGTCCAGATGGGAGATTGGGGCTGATATCATTGTACAGATTCTGGAAACACCCTCGGGTCTTTGGGTGCAGTAACCCACAAGCCGATGCACAGCGACTACATACTGCCGGACTGGCTGGAGCAAGGCGCCGAGTCGTCGTTGCGAGACACGCCGGAAGAAGCACTGCCGCCGCCGCCGTTGCTGAGCCTGTCGTCGTCCTCGGCAGCGGCGCCCGGAACAGGCCCTCGATCTATGCACGCACCTGTTGTGCTCAGCCCGACGAGTGGGCCTCCGAGCACCGGGCTGTCCAAGCCGAAATGGACCGATCTCGATTCGTTCTATGCCGAAAACGAGGAGAAGTCGGAGTCGGAGTCGGAGGACGAGGACGAGGAGGAAGAGGAAGAGGAAGATGAAGATGAAGAGGAGGAGGAGGAGGAAGAGGGTGACGAGGAAGACACAGATGGCGACGAGCGTCGCATCTGAATGTTGTGGATCATGTGGATCTCTACGGAAACTCGGTAATGCGTGTATTATAACACTCACGGGGAACAGCAATAGTAATACAGAAGCTGTACGAATTCGTTCCAACTCTCCAGCGAAATCGCTTTTACCACAATACGGAGGGTGTCCGTTACCCTTTCACCAAAGCTGATGAGCTCTCGTGAGACACCGCGATCACTCAGTTGAACAATACATCGTGTACATCACTACATCTACTACATGACAACACAAGTACCTACGCTGGCAACTTGTAGTACAACGGCGTGCCGAAGACATGGTACACATGCCCCGCCTTGCCGCCATTTTCCTGGTAATAGTCCATCGTGAACCACTGCAGTCAGTCAGCGCCCCGCCACATCGACCGCCAATTCAGCGAAGCACGCACGTGATCGACCGGCAGGTCCTCTTTGAACGAGCGCAGGTAGCGTGCCTCGTCCGAGTCGTCCACGACTTGCGTTCCGAACGGCGGGACAACAAACCGCGCGATTTGGAGTTCCGTGTCGGTGACCTTGCCGCGCGAGATGCGCGCGTAGGCGGTCCGGTACAAGCCTCGGTAGAATATGTACTCGCACCATCGATCCCAGTCGTCGCGGTCGACGTCAAACACGTTCCCGTCCTGCACCAGAATCTCGTACGGGGAAGCTGCGAGCGTTCTTAATCTGCGGTGTCGGGCCGAAAACAATATGCTTCGCCACTCACGACGCGCAGCGAGAGGTTTCGTGACCACATAGCCCAGGAATATGACTGGACCTGGAGCAGCGCGCATGATTCGCGCCAGTTCCGTGCTTTGCAGTTCTCGGTCCAGAGGGTCCTCTTCCTGCCCGTTGTGTGCGACGACCACGGTGACATAGGTCCCGAATACGTCCAGGACGGCCTCGATGGCGGGTGCAAGCTCGCCGTGCGGTGAGGGAAGCAGATGGTGCGTCGAGTTGACGATCGGGAACTAGAGCCTTGTCAGGAGCTGTCGGGAGATAGAGACGAATGATACTTTTGACAAGAGGACAGCGCCCCATGTATGTGACAAGGTGCTGGGTCCAATATCCACGTACTGGGCGACGCTGTCAATGCCTGGCATTCACAAGCAAATAGCGAGAGCTCACATATCCGCTCTCCTCGATGATCACTCGAGTCCTGGCGACATAAGCAACTCACAAAGCCATCCAGTATCAGTCACGCACAGATCACGGTTGCCAAAGACGATGCGCTAACACTCGATCAGCGGAGCCAAGTACCAAGCGAGTGTGCGCACATGGAGGTCTGTCTCGAGCAGCCCAACGACGTCCAACTCCATGTCCCGCACGACATCTCTGACCAAGCGCTGGCTGTCTCGCCCCTCATTGTCCATACCAAAATGCAGCGTCCATATCCCCGCCGTCAGAATCCGGGGACCCGGCTTGAACGGTCTCGGGAATTCGCTAGGCGTGCGATAGAGGGTGACCAGAAGCGAAGCAATCGCAAACAGAGCCAATACCGCTCGAGACAAACCCGTGTTGCTGGGCGACCCTTGACTGGGACTCGATCTCCGGAACGCAAGCGATATGCAAGCCATCTGCGCCATCAGCACACTGGCAGGACATCATCAGTAAGAGAAAGCAACAACGTATAGCCGTCTCACAGATCTGTCCGCTCTCTCAAATACATCCCACCAGGCCTATCGCTACTTCAGCGTGGAAGTCATCGGATATCAAACATACGCACACAAAGGCATACGCCACGGTCCACACGCTCGACACGCCCAACAGGGCGTACACAAGCATCGCAGCAAAGTACACGCGCCCCGGCCCATGCTCACGTGCAGCTGCGCCCGCGCGTGACAGGATAGACGGCATGCCAGACATCGCAAAGACAGCCAGATTCAAGCCGCCGATGTACCCCAGCCAGTTGCGGTAGGTGAAAAGCACTGCGGTTGACAGAGCGCCGTACAAAAACCAGCCGGGGTGTGTTGGGAAAGAGGATGGGGCGAGGAGCAGTCCCACACCCTGAGCGAGGAGCGTCAGTGCACCATGGACATGCGGCAGTGGGCCTCGGGGCAGCGAGTTTTCGTAGCCTGTCCAGGACCAGACGATCAGCGTGCTCGGATCCGAAAAACAGCTGTGCAGAGTGAAGATCAGGCCGCCGAGTGGGATCGCAGCAGTCGCCCAGTGTCTTCCAGAGGGCGTGGCTGCTTGAGACTTGGGCTGAGGCATCGGATTAAGCCATCGCTCGTAGATAGCCAACACCGCCAGCAAAATGCCGGTCTTATTCCATCCGCCAGATTCAGCATTGACAAGGGGCCAGACTAGGGTTCATGTGAGTGCCACCTCATGCAAGTGAGCAGCTATCTGAGCTCACTAGGATTGTTCGAGTGATTAGCGTGTTTCGAAAGTGAAGAAAGCATCAGTCCAAGTCCGGTGACAACGCTAGTATCTGCTGTAGCCCACTCCGCTGCCTGCTTCAGGACCGCAGCGGCACAACCCAAAAACACGGCAATCAGCCGATGGGCCGGTTTATTCGAAGCATATGCACCCAGAGCCAGCAGGGAAGTTAGTTGAAGCGTCGCGCTCCCTTCACGGCTTTGGATCCACGAGAAAACACCTGGAACAGTCAGTAGGATGGGAGAGAGGGTGCCCAGCAGTGCGAGCTCGTGCCCAGAGATCCCTAGTTCCCATACAGAAAAGTAGAATAGTGTGGGAATAAGCGAGGTGAAGATGGACCAGAAAACGTAAGCTGGGTGACTCTTGTGATGAGTATAGGCAACCAAGTCAAAGATGCGAACGCACATAGATACACCGACGATGCAAACGACAAGACTGGCTTGTACTGAACTAACGACGAGAAACGGATTGATGTTTTTGGTGTTACAGTCACCTCCTTCTGAGAGGCAGCCTGTTTTGCAGGCTCCGAAGGCAACGCACTGGAATAATCTTTTCTGTCTTCGGCGCCACAGCAACTTTGTCTGACTTGCTCCCGAGAAGGATCTAGCAGAAATTAGGTCGGCGATCATCTACCAGCTTCCTCTGCACACCTTGATATCCGCCTCCCGTAGCTCTATCTCACCACATGAATCAAAGTACACATCGAAGACGATCAAGCTCCATTCGAAAATCCCGTAGAACGAATACGCCCCGGGAACGCGGAAGACCTGGTGCTGGACGAAGAAGTAGACCATGGGGACGATGGCGAGGAAGAACCTGCGCATCTCCGTGAGGCACTACGACATACATCGCGGGTGGTAGCTTACATGGAAGCCACGGCGATACTGCGAGCTGGTCAATCACAGGCCACAAGTCACTAGCAGCTGGGCGCACCGTTTCCTCCGCGTCGCGTCGGAAGCTTGCACGACACACCCGATCATCCAGGGGATATTAAGCACCATGTACGCGATCATGAAAAAGTCGTGAACGTCGTGGTCGTCGTACGACGTGACATACACCCATCCACCGCAGCATAACGTCCGCAGCGCCCCGCATGCGAGGGTGAAGCCGGGCAGCCGCGCAGTTTCCGATTTGGCGCCCGACCGGTGGACCGTGTACAGCAACCACAGCAGCACGATGCGCGGGCCCGACGTGAACGCGATGAGGATCTGGAAGATGTTGCGCTCGGGATACCAGTCTCCGATCGTAGCAGAGACGGACGGAAAGAACTCTTGAGGGTATCCTGGGAGAACGTGTCGGTTCCAGCTCACATGCACACTCGACGGGGAGCAACGAGACCTGCGACAGAGTTCTTGACGATCTTCTTGTAGTGGCCCGACAGCCCGAGCGTCAATGCGGTTATAAATGAAGCAGCGGACAGGATGGTGTGTAGGCGCGCGACATGGTGGGCAGGCAGTCCGGCAGGGGCCATGTAAGCATGCAGTCAACCAGTATGACCATGACGTCAAGTCCGGGCCTGCTGCATGATGGCCTTTGGTTCGAATCCTGATCCCAAACGGGGATACAGCTGACGAGTAGGTGCTGACAGTTGCCAGTGGCGGTGCGCAGTGGTTTTCCGCGAAGCACACATTGATGAGATTTCCTAGTGCATGGGTGGGAGGTCAAATAAGGATCTTGGAAGATGACCATACTACCCACAAGGAAGTGGAGCGACAGGGAAAAGTCAAAAACTTGAGACACGATCACGTGATGATTGTGCTCAACGCGTCTGAAATCTGATTGGCAGTCATCACCAGACTAGGAACATAAACTGCAGCAAGGATTGCGGCTAACAGCGAAATTCTGGCGTAACTTGAGCATTTCGGTCTCCCCGGACTTCTTGTGTGATGTGGGAAGCCGCCGGCAAGCTACAGCCGGGTTGCATTTCACAGCGTCTGGGGTCACGATGTGCAGCACAAATCCCACGGCTCCAAGAAGCTCGGAATGCCTCCAGAGCTGATATAAATTGGTTTCCTTTTGGGACTGCGAGTTCGAGCGACCCATGAGACACTTCTCCCTCCTCTCGGTTCTGACCCTTTTCTCCGCCAGCGCCGTCCAAGGCATTGTGGTGCCGGCGGTGGACCCGGCGAACCACCCCCACTCCTCTGCAACAGGCGTCAAAGTGCAGGGCCATAACGAGACGATCAACGGTGTCCTGACCTACGTCTCGAAACCCGCGCACGGAAAATTCGATCCCAAGGTCGCGGTCCTGCTGCTCACGGGTACATACTCGGAAGCTCTGTCGGAGTAGCAACTCGTTCTTATAGCACCCAGATGTTTTCGGAATAGCATCCATCGACAGCCCTCTGCTGGTACGACGACCCTGGTCATTTTTGATTCCTTGGCTCCGCTGATCGCACTGCGCAGGCGGATCAATGGGCCAATGCTGGCTTCCAGGTCTTCGTCCCGGATTACCTGAACGGCGACGCTCTGCCTCTAGTTGGCGGCAATCTCACTTCGTGGATCGTCAACCACGGTCAGTTCAGTCCCACATTCAATGATGCCTCTTGATTTCGAGCACGTTGCAGGCGAGGCGCAGACCACTCCGCCTCTGCTGGCTGTCGTGGATGCGCTGAAGAAGCAAGGCATCAAGCGCATCGCTACCACCGGCTACTGCTTTGGCGGTCTGTACACCGTGCGACTGGTCCAAAATAACACCGTCACCGGCAGGTCCTTTTCCTTAGGAGCGTGTGACTGGAAGCTCACATACGCCAGTCGGCACGACGGCCCACCCGTCCCTGCTCGAGGTCCCGAACGACTTTGACCTCGCGAAGGCGCAGTCACACGTCCCGATCGAGATCAACAACGCCGAGCTGGACACCGGCTTCACGCCTGCCGTTGGGGTCACTGTCGACGGTCTGATGGACGACGGCCAGTACAAGCCCGGCTATGCCAGGAAACAGTTCAACGGAGTCGGCCACGGCTTCGCGGTGCGCGTAGCCAACCTGGTGCGTCTAGCTTGCCTCAGATCGGAGTCCCAACTGGATGCTCACATAATTTTCAGTCCGATCCCGTCCAAGTCGCTGCGAAACAGGGCGCCTTCGACACATCCCTAGCCTGGATCCAGCAGCATCTTCATCATTGAGCAGTTGAGAGCGACAGTATTACGCACATGTAACCGCATCGCACGAATGTGAACATCGTTACCACTTTCGGCAATATATGCGTGTGGTTTGATCGCAGATCACTCCTTCCATTGCAAGCAGCATGTGCGCAGTCTGGTCTGCCAAGTGGATACTTGATGAGGTGTTAGGCACTTGGCGTCGAAATTCCGCGGAAATCTCGTCTTTTTATCTGTAGCAAACTACTTGTAGCTTGGAAGAAATGACTTGGGGGAAGATGATCTTGTCTTTTATCCATGCCCTCATGACAGGTGACCGCGTCTTTTCGGAGCTTATTTATTTCCCCTCAACTCCGTAAATAGAACTCAAACTTGATGCCCTCTCATCTCACCTTTGTGTTTCTGCCTCGACATGATTCGGGTGATGAGCAAGCTTAGCTTCGTAAAAACTGATGTCATTATCCAACTTACTTCATGACCATTACGTCCGAGCAATCACTTGACAGTCCAACGCGATCACGTGTTGATAAGTGGAACGCGTGCAACCATCGTATATCTGATCCAGAACGCACATCACAAGACATCGAGCGTGGACCGAGTGGTTCTAGTCTCTAGTGGTGGAGTGACGATCCCTGATGGTCCGTCGCACTGGGTTCTCACGTCAATTTTCACCAATGAATCCACAGATCACCTTTGGACCTTGGCGGTTGTGGTGGAGTTGAGTCCACCTAGGATGGGACGGTTCCGAATTTTCACTCAGCGTTGTTGTCAAATACAACGGAATTTGAGCAAGCGCTCTATGAAGCGAGGAATTGCGCTTATGCGATCGCGAAACTGTCGCGTAGTCTGAGCGCTGCCGGACTTCTTTGAGTGCTGCGGAACGCCACATGGATGTCACAACGCGCGACTACAGGCCAAAGCCGAGGTGTATCAGAAACGTCTGGGGGCCTAGGTGTGCACTCCCTGGCGACTCCAAGCCGCTAAAAATACATCCGGCGCTGGTATAAATGGAGGGATGTTTGGGTCTGCAGCCTCCAGCAAACGATGAGACTTTCCGCTTCCCTCTCTGTCCTGGCCCTTTTCTCCGCCTGTGCGGTTCAAGCTGTGATCGTGCCTGCGGTGGGCCCGGCGGGCCATCCCCCCTCCTCCTCCGCCGAGGGAGTGAAACTGCAGGGCAAGAACCACACCATCAATGGTGTCGTGACCTACGTCTCAAAACCGGCCAAGGGAAAATACGATCCCAAGCTCGCGTTGCTGCTGCTCACTGGTCAGTGCATACCGGCAGCGTCTGACAGTACTGGAATTTTTATCTGACGGGCCGGCTCAGATGTCTACGGACTGGGGTCCATCGACAATCCCCTGCTGGTACGAACAGGCTGATCCCTCTGAAATATTCCCTGTGCTGATCGCACTGACTAGATCGATCAATGGGCTAACGCTGGCTTCCAAGTCTTTGCGCCAGACTTCCTCAACGGCGATCCCATGCCTCTGGTCGGCGGCAACATCGATACCTGGCTCCTCAACCATGGTCTGTCTAGCGCTCACATTGCTTAGGGTGTCCATCAGTCTCAAACAATTTTCAGGAGAGGCGCAGACGACGCCACCCATCTTGGCTGTCATGGACGCGTTGAAAAAGCAAGGCATCGAGCGCATCGCCGCCACCGGCTACTGCTTTGGCGGCCTGTACATCACGCGCCTCGTCCAAAACAACAGCGTCATCGGCAAGTGCTTTCCCCAGTATGCACGCTGAATCGGACGCTCACATACCGCAGTCGGGACTATGGCCCATCCGTCCCTGCTCGAGGTCCCGAATGACTTTGATCTCTTGAAGGCGCAATCGCATGTCCCGGTCGAGATCAACAACGCTCAACTCGACACCGGATTCTCACCCACCGTCGCTGTCGCTGTCGACGCTCTGATGGACGACGGCCAGTACCAGCCAGGCTATGCCCGACAACAGTTCAACGGAGTCGGACACGGCTTTGCGGTGCGCGTGGCCAACCTGGTGCGTGCAGTCTCTCTCGAATTGATGTCTGAAAACGGCTGCTCACACGAATCTCAGTCCGATCCCGTCCAGGTCGCTGCGAAACAGGGCGCATTCAACACATCGCTTGCGTGGATCCAGGATCACCTCGATAGTTATTAGAGTACGATACAACGGTGTCACTAACTTAGATGTGCTGTCATGCAAATGTGAGCATCACCACCTGCGTGGCTGGGATGTCCACTCCGTTGGCAACAGTCCCCGTCTCCACTTTCGCCGCGCCGCTGACTCTGCCGGTCGACGTCTCGTACGATTGGCCGCCCCAAGTGAGTCCGGATGTGTCGTCTGAGTGGCTACAAGTGCACGTGAGCGGGCCACAGTGTGCAGCGGGGGTCCGTGGTCCACTCACCCAATCACCAAGCGCTTGACAGTAAACGTCGTAGGCTTCGTCCCAGATCCAGTGAAGCCAAGGCTGATGTGCTCGCTCGGGCGACTGGTCGACGAAGAGGAGAACGAGAGCGAGTTGATGAAGATCGCCCGCTTCAGCCGCGATCCCTCATAGAAGGCATAGCCGGCAATGCGGCTGTTGTTGATGTTCAGCTCCCGCGCCGTTCTCGTCTTGCTGCTGCCCCCGATGGCCTCTGCCGCGATGATCGCCGCGTAATACTGCGGCTGGATGTGCGGCTGCTGGGGAGTGGGCAGCGGCGACCCGTTGAGCGTCGAACGCGTCAGCGTCGCGGGCTGGATGAGATTGTACTTGTAGCCGATCCCTTCGTGGAAGTAGACACGCGATGCGCCAATCTGTGACGCAAACAAAGCATAATCCAGCTGCCTTGATTCAGCGCATAGCAGTGCGAGCCGCGAGAAAACGCTCAACTGTCCAGAGGGCAGCGCCGGCGGTGTTGGAAACACCCGGAGCACCCTGAGGGAACTGTCAGCAACTCCATCGTGCTCGCTGAGACAGCACTTGCGTGACAAGAGTAACTGTTCGTTTCACCAAACACGTAGTCCAGGCCCTGGTCCTGGGTCGCCTGTATATCGGGCAGGAAGCTGGAGAGATTCGAGCGGATGGTCGCCTTGGTCATCAAATCTTGCAGGATGCCTTCGCTTCCTGCGCAAAAGGAGCCCCTGAATATAGACGTCACGTGCGAATATGCAACTGGGATAGGAGCACAAACGAATAGTGGTGTTGCGATATCGTGGTGATGTACTGGCCCGGATCTGAATTGAGCAGATCTCCGAATATAGCTTGAGGTGCGAAATCGGTGGTGCTATGCGATGAACCGGCAAAAGCCGCACCCCACAGGCGAGTGTTGGAACTGTCCAGGCCAGCTGTCTGGGTAAGATTGGTGGCAAATGAGATCCATCTACGCGAAATTAGCGTCGACTGCGTGGGAAAGAGAGAAAGCATGGATGGACTGACTCGGGTATGTAGTTGGATATGCTGTAGCTGGACGATCGCAGACCGTTGTATTTGTACAGATCCGCCTAAGACAAATTAGCCTCTGATGCAAGGATTAGCCTGGAGACGAACCTCATTCCCTAATCTGGACAGGCACAAAAGTCAGAGCTTGAGTGACGAAAACGTGTATCAGACGCACTCGAGCGCATCCAGTCTGATATTCGCAGACTTGACGGCGGCCGAATCGAAGGCTGCCATGATCGCCTTCGTCTCGAGGAACGTCGCCTAAGGAGATGAATTTTCCGTCGCAGAGAATCCCGTGGAAGACTCACTGTCATGTTCTTGCCCCCGAAGTTCACGCCCCACGTGACCCCGGTACCTATGCCCGATGAGAAAAGAATCACACGAGCAATAAATGAACCCACCGGGAGGCAAAAATTGGGCAGCCTGAGCAAGGGTCAAGCGGCATCGGATATCGGAGGCGATTCACATACCTCATAAAGGCAGGTCCGGCCACGATATTCGTCGCCTCAGGGTACGGCACGTTGGAACTCGGCGGAGGAAACGACTGCTGCACCGACGAGACTTTGGCGTTGTAATTGGTGTGGTCTTCGCTATCAGCGCCTGGAGAAAGAAAGAGAGAATCAGAGCGGAGATATCCCAGCGGCGAACCGCGACACACCGATGCGAACGGTCGGCGCATCTCCAGTGATCTGAACTAGGTTGTCCAGGACGTTGAAAAAGAATGTGTTGCGCGAGGTGGTCCCAGACCAGTCCAGCCAGCCTAGCAGAACGGATTAGTACGGCTCAGATGATGTCCAACGAGCATCATTACGGTCTTGCTCAATAGAGAGGGAAACCTGATTCCCAGTGACTTCGGGCGCGCTGCCTGGTGCCAGAGAGATCGAGACCGAGACGCCCCATGCGGAGGAGACCAGAGCGAAGAGGTAGACCAAACGCATCTCACACTGCCGAGTCTACAGACACTGAGTAGCAGCCTTTATACCTTTTGCTCAAAATGGTCCGGGAGAGGAACAAGAAGCCGCGACAGACAATCAGGGCAGCGTTCGTTCGATGTGCCAAACCATAGGACTCGAAACATCCAAATCACAGGCTGCAAAAGGGAATCTCCCTGCTCGGACGGCCTGGACCTGACGCACGGTGCGTGGCGATTGAGCTACACGAAGCATTCGGGGAAATGTCGAGGGTCAAAAGGGATGGGAAGCATGCGGCTGTTCCGCTCGGATCTCGTCCAAAATGGCTAGTATCGACCAGCGCAGGGACGACGAAGGTCAGGTGAGTATATTCGATAGAGTCGCCTCTTCCAAGCAGCTGCAGACTGCAGCGCCACCTGCGCACATCGGCCATTTGTTTGAACGCGGCCGGCAGCCTGTCACAATCCGTGACATCGGCTGCGCGCTCCAAGCTTGAGCACCCCAACCCACCTCGCACAATCTATTGCTCTTCCTCCCGGTGTTTTTTTCGCCCAGTCGAATCAAGATCTTGACCCAACATGGGCCTGCTGTTCTCTCTGCCCTTGGCAGGCGTCTTCGGCACAGTAGCCAGCTCCTGCCTCGCCGGAGTAGCCTTCTGTTTCACGTCTACTGCCGCGTCTATGTTCTTCAAGTCATGTAATTGCAACTCGTCCATTGCAACACGTGTTGGCTTTGCAGTGCGCACATCCTCTCCTCTTTGCCCGACTTCAAAGGCGTTCAACACAAGCGCAGATCATCTTCCTGCTAAACTCCATCCTAGCATGGGTTATGAAGACCCAGCTGGTCATTGAGCTCATACGAAAGTGGAGTTACGACTATATCAAGATGGAATGTGACAATGACAAGTGCTATGGGGTGCTCGCAGTGAGTTCCGGGCTTTTGTCTCCTTGAAGGAATGCGGACTTGAGCTGCCGTGTCAGGTGCATCGCATTTGCTTCGCGCTGGCTCTATTCCATGCCATCCTTAGTTTGGCTCTCATAGGCGTTAAGGATACTCGGGACAAACGGGCTGCTCTCCAGAACGGGTGCGTTGTCGATGGAATAAACTTTCAAGAAGCTAGTAATCAATCGCTTCTCAGTTGGTGGGGGCCCAAAGTGCTGCTGTGGATAGTCCTGGTTGGCGTCTCGTTCTTCATTCCGAACCCCTTCTTCATCTTCTGGGGGAACTATGTTGCGCTGATCGGAGCCACCGTTTTCATTCTCCTCGGATTAGTCTTGCTAGTTGACTTCGCCCATACGTGGTCGGAAACCTGCCTGGAGAACTGGGAGAATTCGGACGGGACTTCTAACTTATGGCAGTGGATTCTCCTTGGGTCAACGGCGGCCATGTACATCTTCACAATCACCGTGACAGGGCTCTTGTTCGGTTATTTCGCGGGTTCAGGGTGCACCCTGAATCGGTTCTTCATCGCCTTCAATCTCTCTCTGGTCATCGTTATCACCATTATGTCCGTGCACCCGGTCGTCCAAGAACACAATCCCCGATCCGGTCTCGCGCAGTCGGCCATGGTTGCTGCATACAGCACCTACTTGGTTATCTCCGCGGTCTCGAACCACACCCACGAATCGAAACAGTGCAATCCGCTGCGGTCGACCGAGTCGACGGCTCGCACCACGGCCGCTGTGCTCGGGGCCGTCTTCACGTTCCTTGCTATTGCCTATTCGACGACACGCGCTGCGACGCAGAGCCGCGCTCTGGTTCGCCGAGGAAAGCGTTCAGGAGCCATCCAGCTGCCAGACGATGGGTTCGATGGGCATGCCGAACTAGGCGTTGTCAATAAGCAGCCATCCAAGACCGATTCGCCACGCTACCAGGCCCTGTTGGCAGCTGTCGAGGCTGGGTTTGTGCCATCTCCTGTCTCGCCGATCTGCGCTTATCCGACTTGCAGCGCGATTCCGGCTTCCGCACTGGAAGAAGAAGACGAAGACGATGCCGACGAGGTCGACACCGAATCACGCGACGACGAGCGCTCAGGCACCCGTTACAACGTAGGCTTCCTTTACTTTGTGATGCGTGGTGTTGAATCCCTAGCGCAGTATTCATGGTTCCACGTGATCTTTGCTATCGGGGCAATGTATGTCGCCATGCTTTTGAATGATTGGTTCGTCTTTCTTTTCGGTGGCAAGGGTTGTTTTGATTCAGCTTGCATTAGGAATGTTGTCAAGGACATTTCCAAGGCCCAAGAGCCGAATGACATCTACATTGGGCGGTCGGAGGTGGCCATGTGGATGAGAATCGTCTCGAGTTGGATCTGCATGCTACTGTACATGTGGAGTCTCCTTGCCCCAGTGTTCATGCCTGATCGGTCAGTGCAAACTTGCGCATGTCTCAATCCAGCTACTCATTGCCTTCGCAGATTTGGTGATATCTAATATTTCAGTGTAATTAAGTATGTATGTTATGTCTGAAAATACGGAGCAGGCGCTGTTCAGTCACAATCCGCGTGCGACACATCGGGCACTCTCGTGTGCTGGACATGATCACCTTGCTGCAGTCAACACACAATGACATGTGCCTCGAAAACAACTCAGTCGATACTTGGAGGATGACAACGACACTCACCCGCAGTCGACGATTGCAATGCAGGCTTCTTCGTCGTAGCATATCACACAAAGGCCTTGTCTTTCAGGAACCACAGTCGGCTGTTTGAACGCTAGCGGCCTGGAGGAGTGGTCGATGTTGCCGGGCCATGATCCGCGCTGTCTCCCGCTGCATCAGCCGCGTCTTTCTCCCTCTTCGCGCGCTCGAATTGCTCCATCATCTGGTGCTGCAGCTCGATCCTCTCCCGTTCCTCCTGCTCTTCAGCCAGCCGATGCCGCTCTCGCTGTCTCCGTTCCTCTTCGACCAGATCCCGGACCCGCTTGACGAGCTCGCTCTTCTCCAACACTTGGCCCGCGTTCACGTGGTTCATGTGCAGCGTCTCCTTGAGGATGTGCACAGACAACGTGGATACTGTATCGGGGCTCATCTCGAGCAACTGATCCATGGTTGGTATAGGGATCGGCGGCGGTGCCGATGTCGGTGCAGTTGAACTAGCCCGCGGGCGTGGTTGCGCTCTTTCGGCATGCGGGTTCAGATTCTGGCTCGATCGAGATGGCCGCGGCCCGGCTTGTGGCGGACGATTCGGCGGATGTCCCGGAGGTATATTATGCGGACGCGGCTCAGGCGGATGTGGGCGCGTGCTATGAGGTCTCGGCGGAGGAGACTGCGAGTGAGGAGGAGGTCCTGGAGGCGAAGCGTATCGGGGATGGGGAGGAGGTCCTGGAGGTGGCGCGTATCGAGTATGGGAAGGTTCGGGGGCCAGATCCGGGCGCGCGAATTCGCTGTATGTTTGCTGTGGTCGTGGCGGCAATGGAGCCTCACGAGTCGGTTCGGCTGAGTTGCGCGAAAAGATGCCCCGCGAGCGAGCCATGTTCGATCGGTCGGGCACAGAATACTTGCGATAATATATCTAACGCAGCACTCTCTAGCCATGCGGTGCAAGGTGCAAGAAACACGCACTTCATTAGCCGGTGGTAAACAGCCATTGGCTGCTGCAAGCAAAGGAATATGGACTGCTCTCGAGTCAGGCATTGCAAGTGAACGCACCTTAGCGGATAAGATGGCATCTATCAAATCATCCTTCTCTACTGCCCGCTCTGCTCTGATGTTGTACGCGTTGATGTAGTTCTTGAGCTTAGATAGCTGGAGACCTTTCAAATGGGCACGCCCGCCGGCAGTTACTATGAATGCTGAGATTGAGTGTAGCCCGATCTGCAGTGCACTCACTATTCAGGTATTCGATGCAGTAAGCACACACATTCATCGCCTCGTAACCGGTGTCCGGGGATGGTCGAGGCATCAGGCCTTGGTAATCGGTGCAACTGTGGCAGTAGTTGTATCCTGCGAGCTTCTAAGCTTCGACTGCGAGCCGATCGCATGGAAAGACCGTACCGCAGTGGTTACATTTCCGAGACCGGGTGAGTAGAAAGTTGAATTCCTTAGCAAAAGTGAGCAGGCTGACGGAAAGGCAAGAATGGGTCAAGTCACTTTGCTACATTTCCTACACGCATTGGCATCCGCCCGAGTAGTTTCAAGCACAGGCGGCGGTCCCGATAGCAGGGGAAGACCTGACATGGCGTCGACACAGATATACCGCGGAGGGCGCGCGCACGCTCGTTACTGTAGAGAGTAGGCGGAAATTGAAAGAGAAGGGCTGCGCTTAGCAATTGGCGGCGGACGAGTAATCCGGACTACGTAGTCAGCAGGCTCGACAATGGCGGAAGCTACTAGATGGAAACGATCACGTGCACTGTCATTCCAAAACGCGTCGCGTGGCTTTGCTATTTACTCTGAATTCGTTCTGTCTACCGCGCAAATAGATATATAGATCACAGAGACTTTTCAAGAGCGATGAGATCCTCGACTGTCTTTGCATGCTTGTTCCCGACCAGAGATTCGGTGGAGATGGCTTTGAGCGGTCCGCGGACGGCCGTTCCCCCGTAGCCGAAATTTTTGCTGACAATCGCTTTGACACCTGCGACTCCGCCGAGCTTCTGGATTGCCCAGTCAACATGTCCAAGCTGGGCCTGCAGTTGCATAGCTTCCTCCAACTTGCCCGCCTTGTGGAGGCTGACCAACTTGCCGTGCACTTTTGGCAGCACGTTGACGGTCGCACCGATCAGACCCGCTCCACCACACAGAAGGGAAGTCACATAAAAGTCTGAACGTCCGGCGAACACAGCGAACTCGGAAGCAGGGAAAGAGGATGCCAAGCGATGGAGTTTGCCTAGCCGGGATGTGAGTGATCGCCGATTGCACAGACAGCTAGAGAAGACATGCCTATTTGTCCACAAGATAATTTAGTGCCCACAATGTTCGGATGGCTGGCGAGGCTGCCTATCACATCGGAGTCCAGGTCGAGCCCAGCGGTGACGACGGGGAAATTGTAGATCATGTATGGGAGGGGGGATGCATCGGCACACTAGAAGCAGTTGACCCATTGGACAGGAAACTGGCAGCATTTCTCAAGTCTCACCTCCTTGTGGAACCGGATGATGTTTTCCGGGTTCATTTGGGCTGGCCAAGTCGAAGGAGTCAAGACCAAGACGTGCGATGCTCCAGCGTCTTTCGCATCGGCGCATAGCTGCAATTAATAAGAGCCCCGCTCGGCGTCCTCGCAGGACGGGAGCTCACCTTCTTGGTTTCCCTGGTTGACTGAGCACCGGTCCCGGCGATGACGAGAACCTTGCTGAATCCGTTCTGATCCAGGGTCTCGCGGGTCAGTTGGATTGCCTGTTTCCGCTCCTCGTGGCTCAGATGCTGTGCTTCTCCATTCGACCCTTGGACAAGGATGCCAGTGACACCTCCTTGAGCAAGACGAAGAATGTGGGCTTTGATGGCCGGGACGTCCAGCTCCTCGTGTTCATCGAAGAAGAGCACGGCGGGAACGTAGTATCCTGGAGGAGGAGGCAAAGACATTGCAGAGAGAGAGAGAGAGAGAGAAATCGTGAAAGTGATGGTTCTGTGTTACGGTTCGGAGGGCGGCCTCCCGTCTGTTATCGCGCCTTATCGATAGCAATTCGCCGCTGCCATCGATGAAATCGTCCCGACTGAATATGTGCGCGGGAATGAACAACGGATATATTTGTTTCTCTCAGAGTGTATGTGAAAATCACATCTTCGCCCTGTAAGACCTTTGAAGCTGTGTGCAGGGCAAGCCTCCCGATGTTGTGCTGCCACAGGATCTTGTGATAGATGAGATTGGATCTAATCACCTCCTTGTTGACGGCATGTTTGGGCTAAGCTGTCAAAATTTTTGTGCGACCAACGACGATGGTGATTCCAGCCCTCCCTGCAGACTATGCGCCCCCGGCGTCAACTTCAAAGTTGTCTCCTTTCCACACCCAACCCCAGGGAAAACTGATCGCCGCTGGTCCCGCTTATCTCGCTCACATTCGTCTCACCCATCATCACGATGGTGACTTTAGCAAGTTCGATGCTGCCCTTGCCGCGGAGCGCGATGCGCTCGCTGCATCCAACGGCGGAAATACCGAAGAGGACGATCTCGGTGTTGGTGAGGAGAGCGAAGACGAGGCCTTGCTGTCGTTGGATCCAAAGGAATGGAAAAAACAAGATCACTACCGCGTTCTGGGCTTGAGTCACCTGCGCTACACCGCGTCTCCAGCTCAGATCAAGATTGCCCGTAAGCTCAAGATCTGTCTACCCACCTCACCAGCTGACAATATCTTTCAGACCGTAAAAAGGTGTTGCGCCACCACCCTGACAAGAAGGCTTCAGACACCACCGCCTCGTCTCTGGGCATCAACACGAATGACGACGCGTTTTTCAAGTGCATTCAGAAGGCGCACGAAGTCCTCACTCACTCCGAACGCCGCCGCCAGTTTGATTCCGTTGATCCGGCCTTCCTCGAGCTCATCGATGAAGTCCCCACTGCTTCTGAATTCAAGGTTGGTTCATCCATCTCTGTTATCTTCTGCTTATATTCTGCAGGCCAAAAAACCTCCTGCCTTCATCCCTGCGTTTGCTCCCGTGTTTGAGCGGGAGGGCCGCTTCTCTCGTACTCAGCCCGTCCCCGGTCTCCGCGTCCCGTCTGATCCGCCCTCTGCCGACCCCAACGACATCGAGGGCCACGACTTCCCGACTGTCAAGGCGCACGTGGAATCGTTCTATGATTTCTGGTACAACTTCGATTCGTGGCGGTCGTTTGAGTGGCTGGACAAGGAGGTGAACGAGGGTAGTGACAGCCGCGACGACAAGCGCTACACCGAGAAGAAGAACAAGAGCGAGCGTGCCCGCCGAAAGAAGGAAGATATCGCTCGTGTGCGGAGCCTTGTTGACTTGTGTTTGAGGTATGTACACGCAACCCGATGACGAGCCACCTTCTGATGATTTTTCCAGTGTCGATCCTCGTATCAAATGGATCAAACAGCAGGAGAAGGAGGCTCGCGAAGCGAAGAAGAATGCTGGCCCAGGTGGCAAGGCACCCACTGCCGCTGCTGCCGCCGCAAAGAAGGCCGAAGAGGAGGCTGCTCTCCAGGCCAAAAAGGAGGCAGATGACCAGGTCAGTTCTCTCTGCTTACCGGTTGCTGTTCTTTAAAAAAACTCTTTCCACAGGCTGCTAAAGCTGATGCAAAGAAGGCGAAAGCGGCCGCCGCCAATGCCGCGAAAAAGGCTCGCCGTGCGGCAAGGGTGGCGGAGGACGGAGCTTGATTTATACTTCTAGAGCACTTGTTTGTTCTTAAGAGAGAAATAGAGAGAGAGCAACTTCATTGCAAACAAGTCCACGATCAATTCTGGAACGCAACGGGACAACTCAGTCTCGTTTAAGATTCCTTCTGACGACAAACATCCGCTCTCCATCCTGCGTTGTTGTCAACTCCGACACACCAGCCAATGCAAGGAGGTCCTGTGACATCTGTTCTCCTTCCGATTTGTTCAACACGACGTAGATTTCAAGCCCGTCGCCAACCTGAAAACAGATGAACAAATATGCCGGATAAGCGAGGACGCATGACCGACCTCGATGTGACGTTCGGTCGCACTCGTAAAAGAATCGATGACAAGAGACAGCACATGAGGCAACGTCAAATGCGCTGGATGCGTCGTCCCCGGAGCCGGTGTTTGGTTCTTGAAGTAGATCTACAGCAAGGTGAGAAATAGATAACAGATGAGGCCAGAATAGGTGGGAAACGACGGGTAGATGAGCACGTTGTCAGACAAAAGGTACGAGTGACCGCGGACTTTTGACCGGACAGAAAAAGGATTTATATCGGGGAAGAGTCGGAGGCGGGGATGATATAAAGGAACAGCATAGCAGACATCAAGCAGCGGTGTATGCGGAGCAAGAACACAGAGCATCCAGGTTGAATTGAAGCATTGAATGAACATAGTTCCTTAGCTCATAGCCCAGGTCACCCGAGAAAAAGCGGAAAAACCGATTATCTGTGTTGGACATGTGGTTGCTCGTCGTGCAAGTTAAAGATCGAAGATGCATCTCCGTGGACGAGCGGACAAAGGATCCGGCGAGATAGACAGAAATGGTGCGAACCTGATTGTCCAAGAAGGGCTGCACGAGTGATTGAGCAGCACCGGCTGCACGGCAAGCCTCCCGTTCATACGAACCAACCGGGTCGAAGGAGTAGACAGCGCCGGTTCCTGGCATCTGTGAGCCCGAGTGATGTTAGGGTGAGGGTAATAGCGTACCGTCCTCCTCGATACCTCCCAAGATATTGTAGACGTAGTAGGGGAAGAAACGACGAGCATAGAGCATCGTCTGGATGAGACGCGCGATCGAACGAATCGGCATATCTTTAGCGTGCGCATGTCGGTACCACTTGTGAGAGTGAGAGATCTGTGCCAAATGAGGTGACGCTAGATAGCGATACCTCTAGGCGCTGCCGGACTTTCTTGACGAACATATTGCCGTCTGCTGCGAACCCGTTGGTAGCGAGCACGGCCTTGTCGGTTCTAATCACCAGCTCAGCCGTAAGGTTTACCATGATAACTCTTATACGAACAGGCGGAAGACCTTGGGTGCATATCGAGTTTGAATGTTATAGCCTTCGCTTTGGCGAGTGTCGCCCGCAATGACACTGAAGTTGGCGCCTGCAATGGCGAGGATCGTTCCACCATTTTCACTGTAGGGATTGAAGGGGCGTTGTTGGGGACCAGCAGATGCGACGAAAGAGTGTTCCATGGTCAAGTCGCGTGGAAGATTAGAGCAAGATACTCAAAGGCCGCGTCAGTCTTACGCGTAACGTGTTACCCTATGTGACTGAGGGCGTCACCCCGCATGACCTCAAGGTTGACAGCAGCACAGCCGCGACGCGTTCCCTACTTGCCAGAGATTTACAAAGATAGCCTTTCGGCGACCTTCAGCCTCTTCCTTCATTTCTTCTTTCTGCTCGGCTCGTCAGTTCCGGATTTGAATGTCCCATTTGCCTTACGGAGCAGGTTACGCCCCAACACAACATTCGCCGCAGCCGGCATCCGATCCACGACAATATTCTCAATATCAGCAACATCAGAACTACGCGCAGAGTAGTTACGCCCATCCCCAGAATCCGCTACCGCACCCGCAACAGTACCAACAGTTTTCTGGCCACCAATACTCACCTCAGACACACCCGCAACAGCAGCCTCAGTACTCTCCTCAACAATACTCTCCACAGCAGCAGTATCCTGTCTATCCACAAACTGCTCCCCAACAACAGCCGTACGGTCAGCCCCAGAACGTCTCTTATCAGGGATACTCTGGTCAAGCCCCGGGACGGCCTCGGTCGGCCCTCGGCCACACGCACTCATACTCCGTTCCAGCAGCTCCAGGATATGTGAATCCCCCTCCTCTTTCGCCATCAGCTCATCAAGCTGCTCTTGCTCGTGGGCAGCCGCTTCCCATACAGCCACAAACGCACGCTCGAGGTCGTCCATTGCCCCAGCGCAGCGAAACTCTACCTCCCCCGAACGGCTTGCCGCCTCAACAACAGCGTGCTCCGAGTCGATCACCGTCGAGATCGCGTCCACTTCCAACGCCAACGCCACCGACGATCCCGCGCAGCCCGGCTAAGCACCACTCGCTGGATCTTGGGCGTCCCCTCCCTTCCACGCAGCAGAACAAGCGCGTTTCTGATGATCCCAAGCCTGTTTCGCCGGTAACAGTAGCTGCACCTGAAACTGCCTCTCAAATCAGACGCCGAGCGTCGCCGCCGCGTTTCACCGGTGGATCTGGCTCCTGGACTGAGACATCGCCTCAGCCACCTCCTCCGGAGCCAAGCTACCAAGTCTCGACTGCTAACAGCCAGTATAAGGACTACCTTTCGGGCGGTTCTTCAACCGAGTCAGGCAAATTTGTCCCGGTCTGGAAACGTAGCATCGTGACAAATATAGAAAGTCCGTCACAGGTTAGCAGTCGACCTTTGCCCTCTGCTCCTGAAAGGACTGCGCCGTCCTCTGGGCTGAAGCGCGGGGGCTCCCTGCATGTTCGATCACCAGCAGCTACGAAGGCGACGGTCTCGCCCGAGCATTCGGAGGAGGAGCCGGAGCCTCCCACGTCAGAGAGTGAGTCAGACGACGAACCAGTGACGAGCCCAGTGGCGTCGGCTGCAGGGATTCGAGATTTGCCACGGCCTCCATCGATGGACGCACGCGCTTCCACATCTGCTTTGCCCCAGCCTCCTGAGATTCGTAACTCGGCGTTCAATGCGAGAAGCGCCCCGGGAAACACGGAGGCCGGAGCCGGGAGTAGAACGATGATGTTCGCTGCTGCGTCTTTGAAAAAGGCGTCTCCGAGCACGTGGCCCACCGGGCTTCCCCCATTGCCGAGAACGCCTGGACCGCGACGGGAGATCGGCGATTTGGAGGATTCGCCACCGATCTCCACCATGCGCAAATCCCCAGCCCCGAGGGCTTCTCCTCTAGCTTCTGCGACACCCACTCCGGAACCCCCCACTGTTCCCAGCGTCTCTATTGCTTCTTCGCCGAATGTCCCGACCATCAACTTGCCGGACGACGAAGATCAAGGACCCACGATCACCATAGACGGTCCCGATATCACGGTCCGCGGCCCTGACGCTCCACAGGTCCCTCCACTGGCAATTGTCCTCGACCCGGCAGAATCCGGGCCGGATCGACCCAGCCATCGGGCACTTCCTGCAAAACCAATGACAGAACGTCAAAAGCGGGGCCTTGCCTGCGGGCTTTGTGAGCGGCCCGTTCTGGGCCGGGTGGTCAGAGCTATGGGACTGGGATGGCATCCCGAGTGCTTCCGATGCACGGTTTGTAATGAACTTCTCGAACACGCGAGCCTGTATGAGAAGGACGGGAGGTTGTATTGCCATCTGGACTATCATGAGGTTAGCTGCCGTCTTATTTTCTTACGCTTGTCCGACACTCATCCTTCTGTTAGCAATTTGCGCCCCGATGCTATAGTTGCAAGACTGCCATCGTGGCAGAGCGATTCATCTCTCTGGATGACCCAGAACTCGGGAAACGGACCTACCACGAGCAGCACTTTTTCTGTTCAGAGTGTGGAGATCCGTTCCTGCCTCCGTCGTTGCCTGCAACTCAGGGCGAGATCGCCTTTTCTGGAGACGGCTCCTTCGTTTCGGACGACGTCGGATTCACGGTGTATCGTGGCTACCCATATTGCGAGGCGTGCCATGTCAGGCTGAGGTTGCCCAAGTGCAAGAAATGCAAGAAGAGTATCCGGGACCATGAGGATGCTCTCGAGGCGCTGGGTGGGAAATGGTGTTACAATTGTTTCTGTTGCACGGTGCGTGTTACCCTAGAAGAACCTTTTCAGCATTCTGATTGTTTCAGGGATGCGAGAAGCCGTTCGAGGATCCCTCTTTCTTTGAGAGAGATGGCAAGCCTTGGTGCGAATCCTGTTTCACTCTGATGCTGCGCAACGATGTCTGAGGAGGCTTGAAATCACTTTACGAAACTATATACTTCCAACGTTGTTGTACACCACTACATGTAGCCATTATCATATTTTCGATGCTTGTATCTGTTTAGGAAGCGAGGTAGCCATCAGCGCAACCTTGCGGTCAACGACCATGTCCGACCGGAAACAACGAAGTCGCAAGGATTACGCTTACTTTCAATCGCACCGTATACGATGGTCGGTGCCGACGCAATTTGACAAACCGCTCTGAGGGGTTGCAGGAGCGACAACGACCAGTACTCGCACGTCAACAACACCGTGTATTATCTCTGGTTCGACTCCATCATCAACACGTATCTGATCGACGAGTGCGGGCAGCTGCCAGATGCGTCTCCCATGATCGGCCTCGTCGTGTCTTCGTACTGCGAGGTGCGTCATCCCCACCGCGGCCGCCCCGACGATCGCATCCACTCATCCTGCAACAGTACTTCGCGCCCGTGTCCTTCCCTGGAACCGTGGATCTCGGATTGCGTGTGACGAAACTCGGGAACTCCTCAGTCACTTATGAAGTGGGGGTGTTCGCTGCGGGCTCAGAGAAGGTGGCTGCAGTCGGGGGTTTCACCCATGTATTTGTTGAGCGCGTCCAGAGAAAGAGCGGGCCGATGGGAAGTCGGACGAGGGAAGGCCTCGCAAAGATTCTAGCAGTAGAAACAGCTCCAGTTGCGAAGTTGTAGTGCGCATGAAACTACTTGAACAACGGTGCGACCACTTGTGACAATGATCGCGTAAGGTCACGTATCATGTCATGACGGTCACCTGTGACTGTACGCGCCGCTCCTCTTCCCGCCCCAGCCATGGGTATCAAAGGTCTCACCGGTCTGCTCTCCGAGCATGCGCCAGCCGCAATCAAGGAACACGAGATAAAAACTCTCTTCGGACGCAAAGTCGCTATCGACGCCTCCATGTCCATCTACCAGTTCCTCATCGCCGTGCGCCAGAAGGACGGCGAGATGCTGACGAACGACGCGGGCGAGACGACGAGTCATCTCATGGGATTCTTCTACCGCACCATCCGCATAGTCGAGAATGGCATCAAGCCGGCGTATGTGTTTGATGGCAAGCCGCCGGACTTGAAGAAAGGTGTTGTACGTAGGCCGTGTCTCTCCTGCAAGACCGTGGTCTTAACGACCCGCCATAGCTGGCCAAGCGATACGAAAAGCGCGAAGAGGCGAAAGAGGATGGAGAAGAGGCCAAGGAAGTCGGCACGACGGAGGACATGGACAGGTTCTCTCGGCGAACGGTCAAAGTGACGCGCGAGCATAACGAGGAGTGCCGGAGGTTACTCAAGCTCATGGGAATCCCAGTGATCGTAGTGCGTGTCGCTATCTCAGTCTCTTCCGCTCGTTCTCACCGCGCGCTGCCAGGCGCCGTCTGAAGCTGAAGCACAATGCGCAGAATTGGCTCGTGGCGGCAAGGTATGTCGAACTTATCATACTTGCGACACGAATTCACTCCGTGTCAGGTTTACGCTGCCGGCTCAGAGGATATGGACACCCTCACATTTTCTGCACCCATTCTGTTCCGGCACCTCACTTTTTCGGAGGCCAAGAAGCAGCCTATCAGCGAAATCAATCTCAAGGCAGCGCTGGAGGGTCTCGAGATGAACATGAGCCAGGTATGTCAGTCGTAAACCTTTCTCTCGCAGTCTCTGAGCTCGGAGCAGTTCACGGACCTGTGCATCCTTCTGGGCTGTGACTACCTAGAACCTATCAAGGGCGTCGGCCCCAAATCAGCCCTGAAGCTCATTCGTGAACACGGAGGATTGAAGGGTGTGGTGAAGCATCTCCGGGCTAAGTGCGACGATTCATCACGCCCGCGACGCGCTACTGAATTCATTCTAGAGCCGCAGAGAAGGCTGCCGTGGTCGAGTCGTCGGAAGACGAAGAAGAGCCGCCCGCGCCGACTTCTGACGTCGAGAAAGACTCGGACGAGGAGGCGGAGGAGGCGCCGAAGCCGAAGCCGAAGAAGAAAGGGAAGGGAAGGGAAAGGGCGGGATGTCCATCCCGGAAGAATGGCCTTGGGAAGAGGCGAAGAAACTGTTTGAGACGCCCGATGTCACTCCAGCGGACGAAGTCGAGGTATCTTGCACAAGTCCTGCCTGCCTGTAGCCGCAGCTGACGCTTGGACAGTTAGAGTGGAAGAACCCAGATGTGGATGGATTGATCCAGTTCCTGGTTGTTGAGAAGGGGTTCAAGTAAGCATTATTCTGTGTATGGCGTGCGAATGGTGGTTGACCTGCCGGACACAGTGAGGAACGAGTGCGCAAGGGTGCCGAGAAACTGGCAAAATTCCTGAACAGCAAACAGCAAGGTCGTCTGGACGGCTTCTTCACCGTCCAATCGAAGGAGAAAAAGCCTGCACCCGCCAAGGCAGAGACGAAGAAGGGAACAAAACGCAAAGTCAGGCTCACTCAGCTGGGGTTTACCGATTCTGACCATGCTTTATTCAGGGAGATGCGAAGGGGGAGACTAGCTCCAATAAAAAGTCCAAGACGAAAAAGTAGTAGCTGGCCTTGTCCTCTGTGTATACGATGTACGTTATCTACGCTTATACATTCTTTGTACTGGTAGTTCTTTTTGGCCTTTACTACACCGTTCAAACGACATGGAATTGCTTGGATACATATTGATATATATTCATCTCGAGTTGTCTTCTCTAGCTCTGCAACAGAATGGCCCAGTTGATATCCTGCACCGCGCCCAAGACGTCCGTCATCAAGTCCGCCCGCGTGACTGGCACATTGGGCTCGTAGACGGACGCCGGCGTCCGGACCGGCTGCCCGTTGCGGTCTTGTTGGAATTTGGCCACGTCCAACAACGGGGGCCACGACAGATCCACGGTGGCGGCGGCGGTCGACTGTTTGTTGTAGAGCGGGATGAGTGTATTAAGCTGGGTACGGATGTAGCCCGGGACGCTGTTGACGATCTGGAAGATCCACGTGTTGTACAGCGAGACAACATTCACGTTCCCTTTGTTGGGCGCGTCCACGTTGGGATCGTTCTGCGCGAGAACTGCTCAGATCGATGTACAACGAAGCAGGGGACACACACCTGATAGGCCGTTGCCCACGTGCCCCACAGATTCCTCACGCACTTGTTCATCCCGATGAAGATAGTGCTGACTTCGTACTGGTTCAGGAACGACGGGATGCCTGCAGCGGCTCTGAGGACCGCAATCTGCTTCTGCGGGCAGTACTTCTTGAAGGATGTGGTGCCCCGCAACGAGCCCGGCGTCTTCCCGATGAACTGGAACGCCTTGGCCTTGAAAGCGATGTGCTTCATCACGTTCGCGTTCTGCTCTAGGATGACCATCGGCGTCCGCTGCTGATTGCTCGGGTAGCACGTCCCAAGCATGTTGAAGAGAGAGACGTCGTTCCATTCCGGGGGATTGTAGTCCGGGACGTCGATGAGATTGTCCTGGACCCAGACACAAAAGTCCTCGTCCTCGGCTGCGTTCTCCCACAGATCAGTCTGCAACTCCAAATAGTCGATAAAAAGGGCCGCTTTGATGGATTGCGTCAGCTGCAGCAAGCAAAAGAATCAGAGCACGACGTACACATCGACTCCTCGTACGGGTGCTCACGCGCATAGATGACCTTGTTTCCTTTACCGGACGGCAGACTCAGGTACGGCTCGTTATTGGCATTCAAACCGAGATTGATGGGGACAGCCGGGCTCCATGATCCCATCGTAGGGTCCAGTGAAGCCGGGTTCTCGAGGTCATAGTACGAGATGATCGGCGTGTTATCATAACTGGGAATCGAGACCTGGTGAAGAATAGAATGTCTTTAGTACATGGAACGTTCCAGGGAACAAGCCATCGCAACGCACGGATTTGCCTGTGCAACTGGTCAACTTGGCCACATCCAGCACATGGAACGGCGAGTTAGGTCCGAAGCCAAACACTTCTGCCAGTGTATCCAGGTCAACTTCGGTCATGTTGGAGATCGACCGCCGGGGATAGGTGTAAGACCCGTCCTCATCGTCACCGTCCGGCGCATCCGAGTAGCACAGACAGTCCGATCCATCGTCGCTGCTCGCAATACTGGTGCCCACAGCGGGACAGAACAAGTTGCCGGGTAAGAACGGCACGCCCCCTCTCTTAGAGAGTTGCCTACGCGGCACAACCGGGTCGTCAAGCCATTCACGCTTGTCTCCCTCCTCGTAGGCAGCATATGCTGGGTACGGCGAGCGATGATCGATATCGACGGGGCCGCCCGAACTACCCGAGCCGGTCATCGGCTCCAGCTCACGCCTCGATGATCCGGTTGCCTCATTCGCTGAGTTGAAGCATTGGCCTCCGAAGGGGAACTGATTCGAGTAGAAGTTGTAGCTGACGGCATTGTTCCGCCAGAACAGCACCGATCCAGTCAACCCAGCGTTCAGATTCGCGCCGTAGAACTGGGGAAAAGGCTGTGAGCGACATCACTCGAGACTGAACAGCAATGAACGAACCGGATTGACACAGAAGTTGGGTGCCACTGTATTGGACACACTGCCCGTCACACCGACACCAGCATAAAGGTCAGCTTCGACGAAAACCTGGGCGTCGAGGACCTGGCCTCCGAGCACGCTGATTCCGAGCTGCAGACTGGGCACGAGGTGCGCCTGGACGTTGCCCTCCAGATTCACGTTGTAGCCCAGAGAAAAGTCGTAGCCCTGGTTGCTGGAGTCTGGGCTCACTGGGTTGCTGGTTTGTTCCTCGTCTGCTTTGTTGTCTTGCTTGCCAAAGACGACATCAATACCCGGGAATGTGTACCCGACAGTGGCGCTGTAAGTTCCAGACATGCTGAGTGTGCCTGATGTACCCATCAGGTACTGAGCAATTAATCCACTAAGCTGCCCACGCACCACTCAGCTCTCCGTAGAGATGCAGACTCGGCCCAATCGTCAACAATCCCGGGTAATAAAGCTACCATCTCATCGTGAGCGACTAGCATCACAAAGAAAGCGCGGAGACTCACCCCAGGAAATCCAAACGACACCAGCTCACTTCTCTCCGTCCCGAAATCCACCTGCGCAAGACCGGTGATGGTGAACGTGGCCTGGGCACTAGCACCCGCGTTCAGATAGACGTAGCATTGCTGGATCGCAGGCGGAACGATCGTCGCTTCGAGATAGTAGCCAAATCGGCTGTTCGCTTGGGCGTTGCCCGAGACCGAGATATCGAGACTGGAGCTAAAGTTGGGACAGGACTGGGTGCGCGTGTCAGCTGGTGCACATAACTAGCCGGCATCAACGAAATCCCACCTCTTCCTGATGAAAGATCGTGTACTGTTCATTGTTTAAAAACAAACCGCGTCACGAAATGAGCGACATACTTTATCCGACCAATGGAAGTTTCGCGACACGCTATTCGAGTTCGTCACCGTGTTGATCTTCTGAAGCCAGTTGTCGAACGGCCCAAACCACCGGCGTTCAAGTTCCTCAGGCTGGTGGAATTCACGTTTGCTGTTCGATCGCTTGGTTGAGGTTGTCCCTGAATCTGGAGGGGTGTTGATGATAGCATCCCAGTATCCAGGCATATCGGTCTGGGCTCAATAATAAGCTTAGTGGATACACATGAAAAACATGACCGACCATATCAGCACGCATCCTGTGCAGAGATTAAGAAGAGAGTCAGCGGATCGAACGGTCGTGGAGAGGAAGACCGACAAAATAGGCCCGTTCGCAGCTGGCACAGCAGCAAAGTTGTAGTCGAATGAGAACTGGTACACGAGCTCATTCTCTGGTAAAGCTCTCTTCAACCTGGCAGCTGCGAGGACGGCTTGATTCTCGTGCGGAGCAAGCGACACGACCCGGGCATAGGGTCCCAAGCCACAGCTCTTCGGCATTCGGACGACGGTGTGCTGGGCTTCTCCGATGAAAACATGCCCGCATCCGGAATCGTCTCCATCCATGGCCTTGGAGCAGTAGGCAAGGACCTTTCAGAATCATCAGCGCTGGAGAAGCAAACACAAGAGATCGACTGCACCGTCTGGGGCTGGTCACTCTTTGCATCACAGTCATGGATGACCCAGTCGGATGCCAGATCCAGGGAACTAACACTTCCCGGATTGGGGGATGAAATGAACACCTCGCCGAACTAGCAGACGTGAGTGAATTAGAAATAAACATTCAGTGGACCGACGAACCGGACTGTCGTTCTCGCGTCCATCGTCTGATTCTCCACTCGTTCCAGAACCCTGTGAGTTGACGTCAGGGGTGCCGATGTTCTGCCCAGAGATGATGAGCAGGTAGCGGTGAAGTGCGTAGGACTGCTCACGTCATCGAAGTCGACAGTGAATGACGCTGGTTGGATGACTTCGCTCGAGCCAGGGATGCTGGTGAGCTGAGGTAGAACCCATGCTTCCGGTACAGGCAGGAACTGTTGATCTGAGTATAGATGAGATCTCTGATGCATCGAACATGGACAGGCGTGCTCACTGGAAGGAGGATTACAGCAGTAGAGCCGTTTTCCGTTCCCAACACAAGACGAAGACGCGTCGCCTTGCATGTCACTGACTGTAGAAAAAGTTGAGATCAGTTATACGTCGGGTGTGAGTCGAGGGTAGCTTACAGATCCCGACTTGCCCCGCTGGACAAGCTGAGTTCAGACAATTCGGCAGGTCGCCGACCCAGTGACACTAGAAACGCCGTCAACGACGTGCACAATGTACAGAGACCAGTCAAATCACATTCGTGTAGGATGAAATCACTGAGGGAAGCAGAGTCAGATGAAGATCAAGGCCCCGAATCAGACAGTGGACGAACCATTGGCTTGACAGCATACAGGCTTGTTGTTGGTGCTGCAGATCGGAGGACAAGGTTGCTTGTTGATGACATTCGGGCTTGAATTCTGAGCCTCGCAGCTTCCGTTGTCCTCGCTCCCTTGCCTCACAAAGGTCAAGAACGCGTCCCCGGATGCACACGCCGTCTGCGTCTCACCACAACCCGTCGCGTGGCATCCCGTCGGATCATTCTGGTCGCTTGAGCAGCAGAACGCCTTGGTTCCCTGCGCGCAAGTCGGCTTGCCATCGCCGCCGACTGGGTCAGTGGCGAGAGTGATCTCGCCCACATTGCAGCTAGGATTGCACGTGCTGGATCCTCCGCCGCGCCAGGAGCAGCTCTGAGGCGCATTGCCAGACGGACAGCAAAGCTTGGCGGGCGAATTGGCGTTGCACGATGATCCCGCACCAGGATTCGTCGTCAATGTCGTGAGAGTGTCCCATCCAGAAGGGCAATTTTGTCCGCATCCCGTGATCGTGCATTGATTGCCGGACTCGACAGAGGACGGCTTGTTGACGTCGATCCCCGGATAGAGTGCAGAGAGCGCAGAATACTGCAGATCATCCTGGTCGACAGACCAGATCATCGTTCCTGTCGAGACATAAACAAAGACAAGCGCGAAAGAAGAACAGACGCGCCTCCGAGACAACGAGAGTTGGCAAACTGCAACTTCATCTGCAGGGTCTGGCTATCATCTGGGAGTCGATCAGCGTTCCCGAGTTGGGCAAGAAATGACGCGAGAACGCACCATAGCTGACCCATTGATCGTTGTTCCACACGATGTACTTGACTGCGGCGTCAGGATCCAGGATCGGCTGGAGGCTGTTTTGTGCAATGATCTGCTCGATCTCGGAAAACCTGACAGCCCAAGTTTATTCAGATGGCAAAAAAAACGACAGCTCGAACTCACATCAAAGTTCCAGAATTGGCCGAGCACGGGCCTGGATTCGCTCCACCCACGAAGGCACACCCAGGCGAGGAGCAGCTTGCGCTGGCAAGTTGGAAAGAACGACCATAGAAACCGATTCCGAGGACGATTTGATTGGGATTCACGCCGACATTGTCGAAGAGAGACAAGGTGTCTTTGATCTCCGTCCTGGGTTAGTGCATCAGCATCCAAGTAGCTTGAAAAGGTTGGGGGGGCTCACAAGTTGGTGTGAGCAAGAACCAGAGAACCAATATATGGATCAACACCGTCCCAAGTCTATCGACACACTTCAGCTGACCGAAAAGCACTGCGGGTCGCTTTACGCACTCCGTGAAGATCATACGTCATCACGTTGACCCAATCCGCCGACTGCATCAGACCCGGGAGATCAAAGTGTTGCAGATACCAGTAGGATGAAGGTGCAGTAAAGGTGAGCCCGTAGTTCCGGGGCTTGAAGGCTGCTTTGACTTTGGACATGAAAGTCACATAGTTGGCCTGCAGTAATTGAAGCAGGTAGGTATAATCGTGTAGGTAGTACACACCTTATCTGCAGGATTACCACCACGGTCGTATGCAGCAGGATATTCCCAATCAACATCTTTTCTCTCAGTCAGAGCAGGGTCTGCTAGACGGGAAACAACGCACCGATTCCGTCAAACCCATACGCTTGCAAAGTGTTGAGAGCACTGCTGATAAACGTAGCTGTATTGGCAGCGCTGCCAACGAGTTGACTGAAGATCTGGGACGTAGGCTGACAGCAGGTAAACCTGGTGAATAGGCCGACAGCCAAACAAATAAGCCTACCGGATCATTGAAACTCCATCCTCCGATTGACAAGAAGACTTTGAGAGAAACGTTCTTTTTCTTGAGAGCCGTGGTCCGGGTCCACAGGGCAGCATCGCCAGGAGACATCTCAATGATTGTAAACGAGTTGGATATGAGGGCAAATGCAAAGTTAACTGGAGAAACGCTGAGCATCAGAGTTGCATTTGGACCCAAACACAAGACTCACTGTGTGTCAGAGTCTCTGCTGATATCATCTCGGGTGTGTACGAGAGACAGGAGCGCGTCGTTGCCCATCCCTAGAGACGTAGTATGAGCACAAATAGCGCCCCCACTAACGATAATGGCCCACCTCGTAGTATCCGATCCGACGTTGAGTCGCACTTTGTTGATCAGCCCCGCACGATGGGGGTGCCGGGGGATTGCAGTTGGACTGGCAACCAGCTGAGCAGAACTCTGAATCCAACGGTCAGCCATCAAGTGAAGGGTGCTGCAACCTAATTCACATACCTGCTGTTGTACCACAGAAGCCGAACTGAGAGCAGCACACATTCAAAGGACACGTGAACTAATGACAGACGTTAGATGGCTCACAAAGAGTCGTGGGCCACTGAACTCACGTTGGCGGGAGCAGCAAAGGGTCCGCATTCAGCGAGAGCGTCACAATGCGACGTGCAGTGTCCACCACTGGCTACCGTGGTACAGAAACTGGGGCCGAACCTGAATGTCCGATCAGTTTTGAGCCTGGATACCAGCTCATCGGACGTACCCGCAAAAACCAGACTGTCCATTACAGCACGCGCCATTGCTGCAAGGTATGTCTGCGGTGCAGGATCCGACTGGAAGCACAGAGGAGTTGGTGGCCTGCGATACGACGGACGTCGGCAACAGTGCTGCTCGGGGCGCGATCTCGTCAGCGATGCAGCAAACAGCGGAGCGCAGGACATCGCCCACCGATTGCTAGGCTCAGGAGAAGCGAGAGTTGGCAGATAACGCGTCGCATCTTCGTTTACTCTGCACAGGGAGCAGAGTGAGCAGACGCGTCCGTTGATCCCACCGTTTCGATGCCCTTGAATATATGCATTCCAGACATAGCGCCGTCTCCGAATCAGTACCAGCATGACTAGGAAGGACCCCGAGTGCATCCATGAGATAGTGTCGACCTGCACTTCCTGTTTAGATGGGGCGCGTCGAGATGTGCGCATTGTCATCTGCGATCTGAAGTGAAGGCGTATTCCAGGCTGTCTTTGACGTCGGTACCGAAGACTTCGGGTTGGTAGATAGCACTATTGCTGGCTGTGGCGTCTGACTCGGGCAGTAACCCGGGGACAGGAATGGACGGGGTAAAAGCCCGAGGAAGGCCGAACCGACGCTAGAGCGCTGATCATTATGATGGCTAGCGCTCATTGTCCAAACAGCACTCAACTCGGAGCGCAGGCTGCGCCGTGCTCAACGTTAACCACTGGCAGTTCTCCATCGCGCGAATTCGGAACTGGAGCTTTGAGCGCTCGCTCATGACACCCACCTACCACCGAAAAACTGCGATTTGTCTCTAAGTTCAGCTTGCGAACCTCGTGAGCCTGGAACGTTCGCGGAATCCGGATCCAAACTTTGCAACTACGATTCTTGATTGTTGGGACCTTTGTCAAGTTTTACTTCAGCGCATCTCTCGATATCATGGACACATGAGAGCGGAGTTAGCCATTAACTAGAACAGGGCGTCGGGCGGCCACTGACCAGATCCGTGCTAGGAGGAGGAGATCCTTGCGCTGTCATGAGGAAGCATCCGCATTCATTCGAGGCGCTCGGGTGTCGCATTTACGTGCACCCAAATCTCATGCCGCCAATATCATGAGTGTTCATTCGGTGCCAGAGGTCCCGACCGTCCACCGCGCTGCTCGGTCGGATTCCTCCAATGTCCTAATCCGACATGTTCTCCCTACTTATGTCTAGGCGATAATCTGGAGCATGAATCACTCTGGAGCCCATCATGCACAGGAGGCTCTCTGTCCTGCTCTTCCCCCTCCTGTTCCTCGTCCCCCGCGCTCTGTCGAAACAGCCATTCAACAAGGTCATCCATTACATCGATAAAGCGCAGGACCAGGCCTTCCACGATGCACTGCTGAAGCAACTAGCCAGCTCGCGAAAGAACACAACTGTCACTCCGTCGACGACGCCTGAGCTGGCCGCGTCTAATGTGGACCTGAGCATGGGCATCGTTGCGGCTGCTGCGACGAACGGCACCTTTGCGGACGGCTCGACGTCGACGTTCCAGATCTACACGCAGAACAGTCTCCCGACGTCGCCAGCTCCTTCCAGTGCCTGTGCAGCTGCTCTGACCGCTTTCGTGCAGTGCAACTCGACGGTGCCATTGATGAGGTAGGCTTACCCATGGAGGTCCTATCCGCGGTTTCTCAATGGTCTTCCAGTAACTATCCGTACTTGCTCATCAACGACTTGGCGAGTGTTTGCACTTCGCAGTGCACCGCCTCGCTCGCAACGTACCGCGCGAATGTCGTCTCGGCCTGCGGGAATCTGGCCATCTCGGGCTCGAACAACGTGACCTACCATCCGACTTTGGCAGTAGACACCATCGCCGGTCCGTATACGGTGCAGTGTCTGCAGGATCCGACCACGCATCAGTTCTGCGAGCCCCTCGTCGCGGGATTCAACACCACCGGCGGGCTCCTGTCCCTCCCGTCCAACCAGCTGTGCACGTTCTGCACGCTGAAGACTCTGAATGCGACGCTTTCGAACCCCATCACGTACTCTGTGCCGGTCGCCCAGCTGCTGTCGTCCGCTGTTGCCCAATGCGGAAGGTATGTTTGATCGATGCTGCTGAAGAAGTATTACCGAGGACCCTGACGCCAACTGCAGCTCGTTCAACTCATACAACGTCTCAGCGCCTGGCACAGGCAGCATCACGACGCCGCCATTTGGTGTCACCGCGTCGACCAACGTCGCCGCGGACTGCGCCGTCTCTGGCAAGAACGTCTCGGTCTCAACAGCCACGACGTGCTCCGCACTGGCCAAGTCGAACAGCGTGACCATTTACTCCATCTTGTCGGCCAATCCGTTCCTCTCGGGATCCACCGACTGCGCTGTGCCTTCTGGCAGCCAAGTGTGCGTCGTCAAGCCCTGCACGACGTACACGGTCGTGGCGAACGACACGTGCGACAGCATCGTCGCCAAGTCGGCTCAGCTCACGGGTACGGGGATCACCACGACCCAGTTGCAGTCTTTCAATGCGGATCTCGGCACATACTGCCAGCTCATCTCGGCGAAAGTCGGCCAAACCATCTGTCTGACACCGAATGGCGGCTTCCCGAATGTGAGTGGGCTACGTACGTGTGATCCAGAGCACCCGTCTGATCTCGCAGGTGGGAGTGTCCACTGCCAATCCCAATAATCCATCGGCGACCCCGACTGCGGCCGCGTCGATTCCCACGCCGACGGCGCCAGGGACGACGAACCAATGCGGCAAATACTATCAGGTCGGGCAGGGGGATATCTGCAACACAGTCGTTCTTGCAAACAGCATCTCGTTGCCAGACTTCGTGACGATGAATCCGGGTACGTTTGTGCTAAACCATCTCAGCGCTTCGCACGTCTAATGAAGCCAGAAATCGACGCCAACTGCACTAATCTGTGGCTCAGCTACTACTACTGTGTGGCTCCCTTTCCTCCATTTTCGACAGCCTCGGCTGTGCCTCCTGTGACCACCAATTTCTCGAGCGCCAGCACGTTTGCGTACCCGATTCCAACGGCGTCATACACGCCGACGTTTGAAACTTTCGTGCTCACAGCTGCTGGTGTTCCGGCTCCGACCAATGTGGCGAATGGTACCAGGACCGTGGGCTGCGGGTTCTACTACGATGTTCAGGTCATTGGCATCCAATTCTACGTTCAAACAAAGACTGATACCTTTCTTGAAGGCGGGTGACACCATCACGACTATCAGCAACACCACGGGCCTGAATTCGACCGAGCTCCAAGCGTGGAACCCCGAGCTTGCGAAAAGCAGCCCCCAATCGGGCACGGCGCTCTGTGTCGTCTATCCCAAGGGGAACTACACGCTCGCTATTGCCCCGACTCCATCGAATGTGGCCGCGAATGTGACGACAAGCACGTGCGCGCAGTACTACACCATCCAGAACGGCGACTCGTGCACCAGTGTTGAGTCCAAATTCTTCATCGACGACCCGACCTTCAAGTCGTTAAATCCTGGGATCAATTCCCAGTGCACCAACATCGTGCTGGGGCTCGCTTACTGCGTGTTTTCGATTTACGCGCCGCAGGCTGCTACCGGGCCAACAGGCCCTCCTTCGAACGTTGCTCCTGGAACCATCACGCAAGGATGCACCAATTACTACACCGTCGCCTCTGGCAACAGTTGTGCCACGATTGAAAGCCAGTTCAATCTGACACTCGCTACTTTCATTACCTTGAACCCCGAGATCAACCAGCAATGCACGAATCTGGCGCTCGGCGAGGCCTATTGTGTCGCGTCAAGCAACAGCACCGTCCCACCTAATGTCGCTCCGGGGACGATCACCCAAGGATGCACTCAATACTACACCATCGCTTCTGGGGATGGATGTGCCAGCGTGGAATCTACCTTCCATCTCACCTTTGCCCAGTTCCAGGCGATGAATCCTGAGCTCAACGCCCAGTGCACAAATCTCGCGCTGGGAGAGGCGTATTGTGTCGCCTCGAGCAACAGCACGAGCAGCGGGCCGCCTTCCAATGTCGCTCCAGGCACAGTCACGGCTGGGTGCACGCAATTCTACACGATTGCATCAGGAGACGGATGTGCCAGCGTCGAATCCAAGTTCAATCTCACGTTCGCCAAGTTCCAGGCGATGAACCCCGAGCTCAATGCCCAGTGCACCAATCTCGCCCTGGGGGAAGCGTATTGCGTCGCGTCGAGCAACGGCACGAGCACCGGCCCGCCGTCGAACCTGGCCACTGGCTCGCTCGGCAACTGCACGTCCTACCACACAGTCGTCTCAGGCGACACCTGCACCGCGATGGACTCGACCGCCAAAATCGCCTTGGCGGACTTTTTGCGGTGGAACCCAGAGATCAACACTGGGTGCACCAACATCCAGCTGAACCAGGCGTACTGTGTGGGCGGTGGGGGGTCCGCGTGTGCGAAAGTGTACACCGTCAAATCTGGGGATTCGTGCTCTGCGATCGTGGCTTCGCAAGGCGTGACGCAGGCGAGATTGAATGCGCTCAATCCCCAGATCAATTCCGGTTGTTCGAACTTGGGTGTCGGGGAGAATTTGTGTGTTGGTTAGAAAGTAGTGTCCGCCCTCAGTCTATATATATTGCAGTAACAACGACAAGTCCTTCGATCGGTATATCCGCACTGGAAACGGCCTTGTCACAGTATGAACACTGGACAATAGACACTTGCACGCAACCAGTAAGTACCGGCAATTCATGTCCAAGATGACGTGATGGTGCTGCCGCCGCAAGTCCGCATCATCACCTGTGTGATCCGAGGTCTACAAATCTTGACCACAACCTACGCGCAGCTCTCACACAGCGAGGATAGGCGCAGAAGCGAGCAACCGGTGGCCATGCATCCCGCTATGCGACGCAAGATTCCGCCCGTCCTGCCCACCTCCAAGGCCGTGACATACGGATTGCATCCAGCACGCAGGCTGCTCGAGTCTTCGCGTCCCACGCACCGCCAGTTCACAACCTTCCTCGCCTCGGGCACCCTGCGCCAGCGCTACGCGCGCCCATCCCCGGTCCCCTTCCGCAACGTGCATGTGCGCGCCATCTCCTACTCGTCCATCCCGCGATTCGTGGCCCGTGCATTTCGCGTGCCGATAGCAGGTGTCACTGTCGGGGCTGGCGGTCTGGGGTATGCGAACTACAAGTTTGAAGGTGTGTGCGGTGTGCAAACGAGCAGTCGGCTCCTGCTTAAAAGCGAGGGTAGAATTCAGGAAGACGTCTGCGGCGTGGGTCATCCAGGCCCAGGACGCGGCGACAGATATCCTCGATTCCGCTTCAGACGGACTCAAGACCGTCGGAGGATTCGTGTCGAAGATTGAGACCCCCGATTTTGTGAAGGACTTGTTCGCGGCGCGGAAAGAGAGACGGAAGCAGCGGAAGGAGGAGAAAGAGAATGAGGACTCCAAAGGTTCAAAAGAGCGGCCACCCACAGATGAAGCAGCCGTTGCCGCTCTTGTCGCTGCAACCATGTCCTCTCCTGAAGAACCGCGCAACAACTCTACCGATTCCACTTTCGATGGTCGTCAAAACGGGCTCATGGGCCTCACCAAGAAACTGATCGAAATACGAACGATGTTGCTCAGCATCGATCAAAGCGACTCGCTCAAGCTACCTAGCATCGTTGTCATTGGAAGTCAGAGCTCGGGCAAGAGCTCGGTTTTGGAGTCGATCGTGGGCCAGGAATTCCTCCCCAAGTACGTCGGCTTCCTTGTCCTTTTCACCCTTCGCTGACGAGGTCAGAGGGAACAACATGGTCACTCGCCGACCAATAGAGCTGACACTCGTTCATGTCAGCTCCCAAGACGGCTCTACTCCGAAGGAGTACGGGGAGTTCCCTGGGTTGGGATTGGGGAAAATATCAGACTTCACTGTCATCCAGAAGACTCTGACTGATCTCAACCTCGCCGTCCCTGCTTCCGAGGCCGTCTCTGAAGAGCCTATCGACCTCAGGATATACTCCCCGAACGTGCCAGACCTCACACTCATCGACCTTCCTGGTTACGTCCAGCTGGCGTCGCTCGACCAGCCCGAGACGCTGCGGGAGAAGATCTCTGCTCTTTGCGAGAAGTACATCAAGGAGCCTAATATCATCCTTGCCGTCTGCGCTGCCGATGTCGATCTGGCCAACTCGCCCGCGCTTCGCGCCAGCCGCAAGGTCGACCCACTCGGACTACGCACGTTGGGTGTCATCACGAAGATGGATCTGGTGCCGCCCGAGCAGGGCGCGAGCATTCTGGCGGGCAACCGCTATCCTCTCCATCTGGGCTATGTTGGAGTTGTGCTCAAGGCTGGCAAGAAGAAGGCAAACACGACAGCGGTCGCGGTCCAGAACGAGTATTTCCGCGTCAACAGCGACGTGTTCGGCAGCTCGAACTCCCTCATGGTTGGCACCGACACTCTGCGACGGCGGCTGATGGAGGTCCTCGAGTCGTCGATGGCTTCGTCCTTGCACGGGATCACCAATGCGGTGCAGCTCGAGCTGGAAGAAGCGACATACCAGTTCAAAGTGCAGTACAACGACCAGCGGATCACGGCCGAGTCGTACGTCGCGGAAACGATGGATGCTCTGAAGCTGCGATTCAAAGAGTACACCCAGCAGTTCCGCCGCCCCATGATTCGCGAAAAGCTCAAGAGCATGCTGGACGACAAGGTGATGGACGTTCTGGAGCAGTTGTACTGGCAGGATAAACGCGCTGGAGAGCTGGGCACGCTGGGCTCTGATCCTCGCCTCGCGCCCGAGGCGATTGAGCCGTACTGGCGGCACAAGCTCGAAGCTGCCTCCTCCTTGCTGACCAAATCCGGCATCGGCCGGGACTCGACGCTGCTCGTCGCCGATGGCTTGCGGGCTCTGATCGACTCCATCGCCAGCGGGGAGCCATTCACGCATCACCCCCGTGCCGCCGACCGGCTGATCCAGTTCTCCCACGCCATTCTGCGCGACCGTATCGGTGTCGCGTCGGACCAGGTCGAAAACTGCATCAAACCGTACAAATACGAAGTGGAGGTCGAGCCCCGGGAATGGGACATTGGCCGGGAGCACGCCATCGACCTGTTTGAGAAGGAGGTGAATATGTGTGAATCCAAGTTGCGCGAGATTCGGAAGCGCGTGGGCGGGAGCAGACGCCTGGGAAGCGTGGTCAGCTACGTCAAGGGATTGGAGGAGAGGGAAAGAGACCGCCGCAATAAACGCGCGGACGGTCAGGAGCCGGATGAAGAGCCTGAATCGTATCGTTATCCCCCGGCACAGATTGTGGACGGTATGTTCAGTCTTACTCTCTGCGCCACTTGACATTGATTTCGTTGTGCAACAGCCCGCCATGCCATCCTCTACACAGACCGTGTCTCCATCCTCCGCTTACGACTTGCTGCTCTGCGCTCAAAGCGGTGCAAGGCGGGGCCCCAAAGCGATGTCTTCTGCCCGGAAGCGTTCCTGAATGTGGTCGCCGACAAACTGGCGTACACGAGTGCCATGTTCATCGGCATCGAGCTGCTCGATCAATTCTTCTACCAGTTCCCACGTGAAATCGACACCCGCTTGCTCTACGATCTGGACCGGAAGGAGATCGTCGACTTCGCTCGCGAGAACCCCACCGTCCGGAAGCATCTTGATCTGCAAGAGCGCAAGGACAAGCTTGAGGAGGTTTGTCGGGCATTCGCCATCTGTTCTGTTCCCATCGCTTACGGGTCCCGTGCAGGTCATGAAGCAGCTGAACGGTTTGTCGACCTTGCGCACGGATGCTCAACCCGCTCCCCGTCGGCAGAGAGGATTATTTGGAGGCATGTTTTAACCGGATTGACCACTTATCACGATCTATTCCCTCTCTGTATGTACATACGTCCTGTAAACTCGTATAATCCAATAGATCCCCCATTCTTTTCAAGTGCAAAACATTGTCAAGTACAGTACACGGACAGATCACAGCTTGGCCTTGGTCTTGGGCTTGCTAGCCTGGAAAGAATGAGCCGTCGTAAGGGCAAACCGACGCGAAAAGTAGCACCTTGAAAACCGAGTCCAGTTTAGTCGCAAGCATCATGTTGCCCTTGGTCTTCAGCTTTCCCGTCATGAACGCCTTCTGGCCGTTGAGCTACGTCATCAGATCCTTTAGTCTTTGCTCATCGGCAAACCAAGTTCGGTGACGCACCTTTCCCGAAGCCAAGTCCACTAGCGTGTCGTCCGAGAGGATGATGGTGACATCGGCCTTGGGCTTTGCCTCCCCCAATGACACGGTCCCCGTCTTCTTCAGATCAATAGTCCACACGGCCGTCTCCTTCGCCTCGTTGGTAACCTGGAGCTGGAAGATGCCGTTGACCTCGACGAGACATGAGCAAGCAGGGTCGCCGTTTGACATTGGATGGAGTCACCTTCTTGATCTGGGCGGCCTTCTCAGCGTCGGTCGAACTGGCGAACTGGTCGTTGATGGTGGAGATGACCTCGGAAGACTGCGGTGCACGTTTGAGCGGGAAGAAACTGCTCAGAAAAGGAGCCGAGGACTACCTTGAAGTTGTCAACTTTGAGACCAGACATGGTGGTATGCGAAGAAGATGGATGAAGCTGGTGAAAGTCCACACTGGGGTAAGTAGCACTGGCAGTTATCACAAGCCAATGCCCTAATGCCGTGATTGCCACCTTGATCCGCAAAGATTACTACCTCCATCCGGTTAGCATGGGAAACGGTGAGCTAACGTGAGGCCCCTGAGGCTCAACAGACAACAACACTGCTTGCAGGCTCACACAATGAAGTTCATCGACGTTCCAGCGCTCTCGAGATTGGCGCAGGCCCTCGGTCACGACGTAAGCATACAAGGCTGAACCGTACGGACTTCATTCACGCAGGCGCCTGTCAGGGACCGGAATGCTCAGTCCACACGCGTATCGAAGCTTACTCATGTAAGAACATCAAGCGAGACAAGAAGCTATTCAAGTCGCTGGAACACGCATACAAGGACGAAATTGCACATTCTCCATCATGGCTGCCTCCCGACTCGCAGGAAATGACACCGTTCGGTCCGCTTGCAGACGAGAGTGCCCGCAAGACCATGTACCTCCTCATCTCTACCCTCAATATCGCATTTCCCGACTATGACTTCTCCGACGTCCGACCGAACCAATTCGTGAAAGAGAAGAGTGGCGCGAGCGTTTTGAACGCTCTGAGCACAACCCTTGCGCTGCCGCACAGAGGAGGCTCGAGCAACGCCCCACGCACGTTTTCGTCCTACCCGCCTTCTTACCCTGATATCTTCCCCTCTTCCGAGCCCACATCGTCCTCCCCACTAAGCTCTCTCCTCCGCAGTCCCCTTGCACCCCCTCCTGTGGTATCGGGAACCCATCCCACGCTTTACCGGCTTCTCGACGACGTCATCGGCGTCGCCGACTGCGAGGTCTATTCCTATGTGCCCGACTTGGCATCCGATCCCCACGCTGATGTAGACGGAGACGAAGACGACGGAACAAGCGACGAGTCGGACTCCACGGATGACGGAGAGCTGTTTGAGTTTGACAATTACGATATCGACGAGGCATTGTCGCGGTCCCCGCCGTCCCCATCGACATCGCCGCCGTCTCCGGATGCGGCCTGGCCGCCTAGTTCCAGACGCAAGCACGGCGCGCTGTTGTGGTCGTCGCATTGGTTTTTCTTGAACCGGAAGCTGAAGCGCATTCTGTTCATGTCGATATGGGCCCGCAGTCAGATACTCGGTCGGGGCTGGATTGACGATTCGGTTGACTATCTTGATCTGCAGGCCAAAACGACAGAGCGATTCCACGGTTGGGAGGGTGGTGCCGGTGCCGGTGCCCGGGCTCTTGGACTGGACGTCTTTTGAGATGGAGTGCACTGCCGCTTTAACACACATATCTACGTGAGTCCAACTGCGTCTCCGAGATGACATGGTAGCTCACCTGTAGCAGCCTCTCCTCCTGTCCCTTTGTGACTCTCCTCCCACACTCTTCACACGCCTCCAGTCTCTTTTGGTTCGGACATTGATTCCCAGTGCTGGCGTCGGACTTGTAACATGCCACTGACTCTTCGTCAGAGCTGTACTTTTGTTGTATCATTCTTCGGCGCGTAACATAATAATCAACCTCGCGCGTTGAACCATAGTTCTTGCGGCTGCGATATTCTGTAGTTTCTCATAGGAGCTAGTTTTTTCAATAACCACCTGTAAACATCAACAAGGCGGAGGACATACCATAGAGCGGAAGAGGACGGCTGAGAAAATATGCATGAATCACGAGCCAATAGGTGCGTCGCTCAGGTCACCGGCTCGTCAATTGACCCAACAACGCGAATTTCGAGAGTTGGAGGAGCGAAAGGGAAAGCACCACCCAGTCGCCCGTTGTGCATGGAGTCAGAACGAAGGAGCGGAATGTCGAGTCAAGCAGAGGCAGTCAGTCACTTGATGATCGATGATCTATCGATGCTCAAATTTTACGTCGCGGTCATGATTCGAATCCGGCCCAGGTCATTACTAATATGTATGCTTGTGAAATAATTATCTAACATGGTCCGGATTACTTATGCCACGGGTATGAAGCAGACCAAATGCACATCACCATCGTCTCGTCTCGTTGAGCTTCCGTGAAAAGGCTTCGCGGCACTGGTAGTGCGTCACCTCACCGCTGTGAGGTGATCAGCCAAGGTTTCATGATGTCCATAAAACAAGCACGTACCGTGGAGAATGCACAGCGATGAAACTGTTGCCGATACGTTTATGGCACTGCGGGCATCTAGGAAGATCGGTTAGGCCGATAAAAATGGGTTAGAAAGACGTCTTACATCCGACTGTCCGTGACTTTGACACGTCGAGTTTGCAGCGCCATAAGCTTGCAGTCGACCTGGTCACCTCGAGCTTTACTCAGATTGCGCACGACCCGAGTATCGAAAATGGGAGCCCGAAGTGCACCAACGAGGAAAGTCCGGACGTCCTGCGTTGTGACCAAGGGTGGGAGCAGCTGCAAAGTCGCCACCGAGTCCAATTGATGGCTGTGTCGAGCAATCAGCTCAAGCGCCGGCTGTAGGAAATCTGCTGTTGTCTTGGAGGTGGGTTGAAGGTATATTCGCAGTAGAGTTAAGAAGACATTGGAAGTATCGGACCCGGCAACGTAGGCTCGGATGCAATGTCTGTGCAAGAGGTGAGCACACTGCTCAAGCACATGGGCGCACAAGCTCACTGTTCTGCTTTCAGGAAATCCTGCAACCGATACACATAGAGCTCCAGAGCCTGGTCGTGACGTCCGAATCTGCCCAGCAATATCGCGCGAGCCTCGAACAGATCTGCAAAACGTTAGCCACGGCTGATGTGTGACCCAGACCGAGAACACACACCTTCGGAGGACAGCTGTGAATACAGCCTGTCTATTCTATACCGGTCGGTGGTTTCGATGAACTTGAGCAGCTTGTCGTAGTGTTGTGACCAGTCTTTCTCATTTCTCTTCCTGGCTGAGAGGGTGGTTTTCAAGTATAATTCTGCGAGCCGATCATGGAATAGCGTCGATTCCTCTTGTCGTTCTTGGATCAAAAACTCCAGATAGCGGATACATAGCTGCGGATCGATTCCCTCCAGATAATCTGCGACCGATGAGCGCGGCAGTTCGACATCTTCTGACGTGAATATCTTCACAAGCCGCTGAGTGAACGCGGAGATACGGAAGATGTAGTCAAGTTCACCTGGAAGGCCATAGAACGGTCTTGTTCGAACAACCATCGTCCTGATTCAAAGATCTCTTGCAAATGGTCGGGTCCTAGCTTCTGCAGATAAAGGATCGAGGGTGCGAGCTTGTCTTCCATATCAGTCTCCGGCTCGCTCAAGCTGGATCCGCGTCAGCATGTCAGCATTGCGGGAGGAACAGACTTGCGTTCTTAGCAGTTCCAGCGCTTTCTTGTGCATTTTCTTCCCATTATACAAGTCACGCAACTCTGCATATTTCTGGAAGACGATAGGAATTCAGTCTCACACCAACCACACTCGATCATGGATGCGCGCACCTTGCGAGCCATCAGCTCCTCTTCGACCTCAGCCACCTCGCACCAATTAGCAACACGACAGAGGGATCCCAATAACCCAGGCCTGATAACAAGATAGGATTTGAACAGAGCCGTGTCAACGATCTGCGCGAATCGCAGCAATTGTTCCGGAGTGAGCGCTGAAAGCGGTGCATTGGGTAGGGAGAACAGATCCTCCAATGACGTCTCTGACAACGGGGCGATCTCGTGCGACTGGTTCGCTGGAGTGATACCGACCGCAGCCAGAGCCGCAGCGACTTTGGGTCGTCGATCAGACAGATATCGTAGCAGAGTTTCAATAGATTTAGGCATGTTATCTGGCATATTCATCAGGGCACTGAATCGACTCTTGACGCAACTGGGACTCTACCGTGCACAGCTTGCTTGGGCTTGGGCTTGGCTTTCTGATCCTCATCCTTCAGGGAAGGCAGAAACGCACCAAGCCCTTTCAATCGACCTCGAATAGTGCCTGATGCTGGAAGATTCACACTTTCGATCCCTTCTGCCGGTTGTTCGTCTTTTGAGGCTGGAGATTGTTCCTCGATGCTCGGTGTCGATGGCGCCGAAGGCACTTCTTCGACCGGCGCGGCCGGCCCACCATACAAAGGTATCCAAGCATCTTGAGGGACGGACAGACGACCGGCGACGGCTTCTGGATATAAAGCGACCACTTTGGCAGGATTGATCTCCAGCTCGATCAATGTGTCGATCGCCTTGTCGAAATCTCCGCTTCGGAACTGAGATACAGCATTCAAGCCGCGGATTCGCTTCTTCACTTCATCCTATTGAGATTTGAGATTTTAGAGCAGGAGTGCACGACCGACAACTTGCCTTGTCGGGGACATCAATGAGATCTAGCAGCGCCAGGGCATCGGAGTATCGACCCTCGGAAACCATCTCGTCGATCTGCGCTGTCCATGACTTCATGTCCATCCGCCAGATTGTACTGCCTTCGGCGGTAGCAGTAGTTCGATCCGTCGGAGTGGTCACTAGCCACAGTGGCGATTTCCCAGCTCGCGAAGGTGTTAACAGCCGGACAGTCGCATTCCCGTGAGTATTGGTCTTTGCGAATGGGAAGAAGACGGTTTGAGAGGGTTGCAAAGAGATTGAAGAACTGATCTGGATCGCTGTTGTGGGCGTTACAGGCTCGGACCCAGTCTTGGGGGATTGCGGGATTGCGCCTGAAGGAAGGACAGAGAAAACGTAGGGCTTCACATAGGCGATCTCTTCTGGAGGGGCGGGCCATTCCAATGGTCCAGAACGTGCCGGTGCTGCATCGGGTCCAATGAAGATACCCTCATCTATGGCAGTGAACAAAAACGGAAAATCGACAAAAAAAGCCCACGGACTGTCTTTGAGAATCAGAACTTCGGTCTCGCTGATATGCAATGCCCCTGGCTTCGGCTTTGCTCCGAGACCCAGCGTCATGTACGACCCCAGACCGGAGAAAGCAGCCATACCCGTCACGGCAGCGACAGATGGAGTCGGTAGAGTGACGTCCGCAACACTCATTGCAGACAAGGAGAAGATCGCATATTCTGTAGGCGAATAACCGAAGCAGGCTGTGTCCTTGTCCAGAAACGTAATCACACGCGCAGAGTGGGGCAGGGGAGCTTCCTAGCAGTTGTTGGATCTGGGGGAATATGGTTCTGCCATCGGATGAACTTGCCTTGGTCTCCTGGGCCTCGCCATCCTTCCATGTGTACACCACCACTTTCCTACGGCATCCCACAACGAGTTGAGTCACCAGTGTAGGAATGCTCGAGGCAGATGTCGATTCTCCCGTCGTAGCATCTGAAGTCAGGTGTTCAATTGATGTGTGAATGCCGAACGAGAATGCAGCTTTGGCTTTCAGTAGTGGAGTCGGCGGCGCCAGGGTAGGTAAAGGGTACAGTGTCACTGTCATCTCTACGACGGTCATCAGTGCAAGCACGAATAGATCAAGTCCCGAGGTACAGACCAGACAGGACAACCAGGGAGTTGATGTCCTTTATGAGGTCGAGCTGTTCGATGGCTCGTTTGGCAAGCCCTTTCTTGCTCTCGACTGGCGTCAATGGTTTCTCTGCTGCATCGTCTGACGATGACAGACGCGTAAGCCCAGGCAGTTTTCAAGAGGAGGGACGCATACTATCTTCGTCGATAGCGTAGATGTTTAGAGTTCCCGTCGCAGTCCCGACGTACAGCCGGTCCCCTGCGCATGCATTAACACGAATCACACATATGACGCCACGATTAGTTACCTTGAACGGTGAGACAGTCAATCTTCTCCTTGAAGCCAGTCAGTAAGGCCCTGGGCGGCTCGAATGGAGCCATATGTGCGCAGCCCTTCGAGGTCTGCTCGTCCGACGTGTGTGCGCGGGGTGGCCTAAATCGGCACGTGCTAGCGCCAGATCAGATGTCATTGATCGCCCGAATAGGAAGGTAATTTTTCTGCGACGACCACGCTCATGGCACCGACGAAATCGCCTAAAGGGCGGTCTTCCTCCTCCTCTATCTCCATCGCGAAGGTGAAAGGAGAGAACTTCTATCGCAATGCAAAGCAGGTCGCTCGTGCCAAGATGCTCACCGGAGGAAAAGCCGTCCGGGACAAGGACGGGAACATCGTCCAAGCTGCTGCGTTCCAGAAGGGAGAGGATGAGACGAAACCGGGACGAGTGCAACCTGACAGGAGGTGGTTTGGTGCGTCGGCTTGTGTTCATGTTGTATCCGGCGCCATCTAATTGCGACTGCAGGAAATACACGAGTGATCTCGCAAACAGCATTGGATCACTTCCGGACGAGCCTGGCGACGAAGAAGGACGATCCATACTCTGTTCTACTGCGACGAAACAAGCTCCCGATGGCTCTGCTCGATGACGCTGCTAATCCTAATCTCCGCAAGGTTTGCCCATCTCAACACATTTCGAACGACGTGAAGTAAATAATCCTCTAGCGCCCGCACATCGTAGAGGTGGAACCGTTTGGAGAGACGTTTGGACCCAAGGCTCAGCGAAAGCGACCACGCATCGACGCTGGCTCTTTTGATGAATTGAGCAAGCTAGGAGCCGCTGCTGCCGGAGAGGCTGCAGATGCTGCTCACGAGAAAGGGACAGGCACTGTCGGTACGCTCCCAAATTGAGTCATCGTTTCGGCCTATCATCTTATGCCTGATTCAGAGCGACTCGCTTCGTCGATCACTGAGCCTCAGCTGTACGCGGACTTTCACGAGCCCATTTACGCCAAGGGAACCTCGCGACGAATCTACGGAGAGCTGTACAAAGTCATCGATTCCTCTGACGTGATCCTACATATCCTCGATGCTCGAGATCCTCTGGGGACGATGTGTGAATCGGTACTGGAGTACATCAAGAAAGAGAAGAGCCATAAGCAGGTTGTGTTGGTCATCAACAAATGTGATCTAGTCCCGAATTGGGTCACCGTACGTTCTCTTCATGTGTGTGTTTCCGTTTTTCACGTCATCTAGGCGAGATACATCCAACATCTGACACCGCGTTACCCAACCATCGCTTTCCATGCTTCTCCGAATCACTCTTTCGGGAAAGGCTCGCTCATTCAACTTTTGCGGCAGTTTTCGCAACTACATTCTGACAAGAAGCAGATCTCTGTTGGTTTTATGGGTTATCCCAACGTTGGAAAGAGCAGCGTCATCAACACAGTGAAGAGCGGGAAGGTTTGCCGTGTCGCACCTGTTCCCGGTGAAACCAAGGTAAATGGTATCCAGTCATTCTGAAGGGACCATACTGAGGAGATTTTGAAGGTCTGGCAATATATTACGCTCACTCGGCGGATATACCTCATCGACTGCCCTGGGATTGTGCCAACGTCGGCCCACGACACCGAGACCGCGACTGTGCTCAAGGGCGTGGTGCGAGTAGAGGCCCTGCCGACGCCATCAGACCACATTCCTGCCCTGATGACGCGCGTGAAGCCTGTCTACTTGTCTCGCACTTACGATGTTCCGTTACCTGAAGCCGGTGGGTCGTGGGAACCCGAGGAGTTCCTGGACAAACTGGCCAGAATGAAAGGCCGTCTCCTGAAGCACGGCGAACCAGATCTGGATGCAGTCGCAAAGATCGTGCTCTCTGATTGGGTGCGAGGCAGAATCCCGTTCTTTGTACCCCCGCCAGAGCGTTCCGACGAACTCAACGAGAGTGAGGCCAGGGAGCGGACGAGGCGCGAGAAGGGCAAGGCCAAAGCAGTCCAGTCGTCAGAGGTTCCTGGAGTCCGACAGAATCTGGGGACCATCATGCAGAAGAATACGTTCGTTGCAGAAGATGTGCAGCCTCTCCAAGATCAGTTCGTCGGCCCGGCAAGTGCGGAGGACGAGGTGCCTGAGGATGAGGCACCGGACGTCGAGGATGGTTCAGATGAGGATCAGGAGCTTACTTGGAATGATGTTTGGGAGGGGATCAAAGAGGAGGAGCCGGCGACCACGGTTGACGGTCTGTTTCGTTCATTGTTTATCGAGAGTGATGATTGACTTTCGCAGAAGCGGACGACGAACTTACACAAAAGAAAGAAGCTCGTGTCAAGACCAACAAGGTATCTTTCTTCCGTATAGCCAACGCGCGGCAATTAACCATCTTCACCGATAGAAAAAAGCCACCAACTTCTACAGCGACGCCAATGTGAAGAACAAAAATCGGTCCAAGGCCGCCTTATTGAAATCCCTTCCTCGTGGCAAACGGCCAGAGGCGCGTGGGCGGAAGAAAAATTGAAGGAGATAGCTGTAGTCCTCCTCCGATCGATTATGTGAACATGGAGTGGGAGATGAAATATGTCGCACAGTTCTGAACCACGATCCGAGGATTCCGAGCGATGTCTCTGTCAATGTCATGTAACATCCAGGACGCATCTATGCTGTCACGCCTTTGCTTACACCACCAACTTGCTGAGCTTCCCTCATTTCTGTGAATCGTGTCCTCGATCGTTCAACGCGGCGGCGATAGTCTGCTGTAACGCGTTGTTTGTCGCTGGCATTCGCGGGATGGAATCAGGTGTACCCCTGGCGCTAGAAGATCAGAGCTGGACATCGTCATCGCTTACCCCAGAAACCACGAGTCGCGTCAAATCCTGAGTTTCAGAGCCCCCCAGCCGTGGCGTCTCAGCGACGGAGGCGAGATGGCTCGAATGCGGAGATGGTGCCAGTCGGACGTATGCTAATGGCTCATCCCTGTTCTTTTACAACTGGAACTCAGTCGCAGAACGAATCGCGCGAAGTCCGGCTTGCCACTTCCCTTCTTCCGCTCGTCGATCCACCTCTCGATTAGCTCCATACGCGCTGACGAAGCGAAGCACGGATGAGTAGGGAAAGGAAGAAGAACGCGCGCCGGTGGTGCATGCTGTTCGCGCGGGGATTTTCTGTTCCGGTCACTGTTCGGTGCTTTTGTTGTCCGGCCGTAACTCCGGGTTGAGGAGGGGGATTTGTCGCTGCTTTGCCGCCTGAGTTTGTTTCATCCTCTCGTACTGGGGCTACGATCCGATCGACGACTACTAGGCGTTCGACTTCTGCACGGTTAATCTGCCCCCAGCAGTCTTCCACTTCCAGGGACCAGAAACCGAATGCTTCGACGCCCGGATATTTTTAACTTCCGTTTTATGTCTTTGCTCCTTCGTATGTTTCCTGGTCGGCTTTCTGGAACTGGGCCGGAACAGCGGCTCCTACCTGGACAGCGCAACTTGAAGCACGGGAGCAAGGCATTTGAGGGAATCGGCTTTCTGCAGATTTGGGGCTGTGGGAAAGCCTGAGTGCCCGAGAGTATCGCAGCGATTGAATCCGTCCATCGTGTTGAAATGAACGGAGACCAACGGGGACGGCAGCCATGGTTCTCTTCAAGCTACGATCTTCCGATGGATGGCATGAAGGCTTTGACTTGGTTTCGTTCAAACATGGCAAGGGGTGACCCTTTCCTGGGACGAGAAGTTTGAAACGAAGGTGAATGTCGGTACGCAGTGTTGAAGGAACCGTGAGGATCCCCCTTTGTGGCTGTTTTAACGCAAGACCTGGCGGCCAATTGTGCTCAACGGCCGCAGAGAGGCGAGGAACCATCACCTCGAGTCGACCGGGAGAGTAATCCTACGAAAGTTTCCTTGTATGTGGGTGCCTTGCTTCGAATCCGATCTGATGATGCTCGTAGCTTCTAGTCTGTGTGCGTGGATTCACTGGATTAACTTCCTTGTCTTGTTGCAAGCATGCGGTCCAGACCTGCCAAGTCGGGACGACAGGCGGCGCATTTCGCTTGCCATCTTGAGCTTCCCGGCGAAACGACGCGGGTATTTAATACAATCCAAACACGCTCTCTTGGCTCCTGTGCACTTTCTTCTCCCTCTTCGCCATGAACGCACAGTCGTCCGCTGCCATCATCGAGGACGACGGGAAGAGACCAAGCACGGAGATCTCCAACCCTTCCCATGATGTCGAAAAAGGCGCCCTCGAATCAGACGGAAGCAGAGACACCCACAATCGCTTGTCGGGGGTGGCGATGTCGACACTCGAGGCCGCTGCCCTACCCGAGTTTGATGATCCGAATCTCGATAAGGACGCGGCTTTGGTAGGGATGCTAGAGGATGATTCGCCCTACCCTGAAGTGCGCTCCGCGGTAGCGAATACTGGTTTGGCGCTCGGTCGTTCCCGCTGTCCCTGCTTGCTCATCTGGACTTAGACGATCCCACGATCCCTGTTTCGACCCTTCGCGCTTGGACGCTCGGTCTTATATGGGCCATCATCCTCCCTGGGCTCAACCAGTTCTTCTTCTTCCGCTATCCGGCAGTCACTGTAACCAGCGTGCGTGTTCATTCTACTCGCCCCAGAGATCTTTAGTCAACTCGCTATACAGATAGTGGCTCAGCTACTGACGTTTCCTCTCGGTCGCGCATGGGCTCATCTGGTCCCGCGCCTTTCCGTTCTCGGTGTCGAGCTGAATCCGGGTCCCTTCTCGATCAAGGAGCATGTTCTCATCACTATAATGGCGGGCGTCGGTGCTGGATCCGCATACGCCACTGATATCATCGCTGTGCAAAGGGTGTTCTACCACCAACGGTACCCGTTCGTCTATCAGTGGATGGTGGTCATGAGCACCCAGCTCATCGGCTTCTCGATCGGGGGCATCGCTCGCCGATTCCTCGTCCAGCCGCCGAGCATGATCTGGCCCTACAATCTGGTCACATGTGCTCTGTTCAACACGCTTCATGCTCAGCAGTATGCTGGAGTTGGGTCGCGCGGTGGGTTTTCGCGAGAGAAGTTCTTTTATTTGGCGTTCATCGCGAGCACCGTGTGGTACGTTGTGCCAGGTGAGGCCCATTCTCTTGCCCGTCCGGAGGTGCAAGAGTTAAATAACCTTGTTCTAGGCTATCTCTTCACTGCACTATCCTTCTTCTCGTGGGTCTGCTGGATATTCCCGAAGAACATCGTCGTGAACCAGCTGTTTGGGGTCAACTACGGTCTGGCCATGGGGATGGTCACTTTCGATTGGGCACAGATTACGTTAGTCTCTTGTTAGGACTGCTTCCCTAGTCCACGTTTTTGACCGTTCCAGGTACATCGGCTCCCCGCTGGCGACTCCATGGTGGGCCGAAGCGAACATTGCAGCCGGTTTTGTCTTCTTTTTCTGGATCCTGGCCCCAGCGTTATATGTGAGTATTCTCCGACACCAGACCTCGTAGCAAGGACTGATCACAAAGCTAGTTCACGAATACGTGGTATTCCAAGTTCATGCCTATCTCGTCCGGCGGATCTTTCGACAACACGGGCGCGCCGTACAATGTTTCTCGAATCTTGAACGCACACGGTGTACGTCATCTCTATATCGTGTCTCGGTCGCTCATCGATCGCGCATCACCGCAGACATTTGACGAGGTCAAGTACCAAGCTTACAGCCCCATCTTCCTGAGCACGACCTTCGCGATCTCTTACGGCTTGTCCTTTGCAAGTATCACCGCCACGATCACACACGCGTTCCTCTTCTTCCGAAAGCAAATCTGGACCCAATCCCGCCGGGCGATGCACGAGGAGCCGGACATTCACGCTCGTTTGATGGCTGTGTACCCTCAGGTCCCCGAGTGGTGGTATGCCATCATTTTTGGTAAGCACCTGCTTCGGAGATTTGTCCTGCGATCGCTTACCATCCACCGTTATGTAGCGACAATGTTCGTGTTTGGGATTGTCGCAATTCAAGTATGGGATACCAAGTTCCCCGTGCAGTTTTTCATTCTGGCGCTCTTCATCTGCAAGTCGTTCCCTTAGATCTCGCGACTGTTGCTGAGAAGTGCTCCAGCGTTCTTCTATGTGATTCCAATTGGCATGATTCAGGCAAGTGAGATTTTTCTGCTCACGAATAGTCCCTTAACGCTTCACAGGCCATTACGAATCAACAAGTGGGCTTGAATGTGATCACCGAGCTGATTATCGGGTACGTACCCAGATATCAAGCCAGGTTCTTACTCATAGCGGTTGTCAGATATGCATTGCCCGGCCGTCCTGTTGCGATGATGATGTTCAAGACATGGGGCTACATCACTATGGCGCAGGCCCTGCAGGTGCATTTCCTTCATTCTGGCGCTCATCGTCCGAGCTGGCCTGCTGACATCGCTGAAGTTCACGTCGGACTTCAAACTGGGACACTACATGAAGATTCCGCCCCGGACGATGTTCCACGCGCAGGTCGTGGCCACGATCCTCGCTGGCACGGTGCAGCTCGGCGTCCAAGCGTGGATGTTCACAAACATCGAGGGCATGTGCGAGCGATCGCAGAGAGACGGGTTCTGGTGCCCCAGCACGGTTGTGTTTGGAACGGCGAGCATCATCTGGGGCGTAATCGGTCCTGCAAGACAATGTACGTGGTTCAAACACAGTACGAGGATTTCCCACCTGACTAAACCAATTCCAGTCTCATCTGGCCAAATCTATTACGCTCTCACGTTCTTCTTCCTGATTGGATTCCTGTGCCCGCTCATCGCGTGGCTGTGTACTCTGCGTTGGCCGAATAGCTGGCTGCGGTACCTCAACTTCCCAGTCATCTTCTCGGGCACCGGGCTCATTCCCCCTGCGAACTCGAACAACTACGTCCCCTGGGCTATCGTCGGATTCCTCTTCCAGTACGTCATCCGCAGGCGGCATTTCTCGT